AAAAAAAAAAAAAAAAAAAAAAAAAAAAAAATGAAAGAAAAGGGAAATGCAGAAGAGATGAAAAGAAAAGAAAAAGAGAAGAAGAAGAAAAAACTCCGATCCCATGCTGCCCCAACCGTTGTAGTGTGGAATGACCGTAGCAATCGACGATATGTTGTCTTTGGTCCCCAGACCTTGCGCCTTCCGTGCGCCGAGATATTCGAAACAGTATTCAAACAGCCGTGATGTATTTACGCTTGCGCTTGATCCATCTCTTTCCTTGATCTTTTTTCCGTTGCCACCATTGTTGTCACACCACCGATGGTTTTTTCCACTTCTCGCATCCCGTCCTCCACCGCCCGTCCGCCACCACCTCGAACCGCACGCCTCTTCCTCGCCGCTGGATTCCGCCATGGTCCAGCCACCTCGTCAGGTTCTTGCACTGGCTGACGTCGAACACTTCGAGCTCGCTGCAGCCTTCCAGCACCGCTTCCACGCCCGTGCCCGTCACGCGCACGCATCCGCGCACCGAGAGCTCCCGAAGCTCCAGCAGGTGCAGGCTGATGCTGCGCAATGAGCTGTCCGAGACGGCCGAACCACAGAACGCAAGGTTGAGGTGAGTGAGCATCGGGCAGCCCAGAGCAAGGACTTCGGTAGCGGTATCGGAGAGGGCGCAACAGAAAGACTATCGTACTGGTTAGAATGGCCGTGCCCATGAAGCGTTCTGGTCTTACTCGACTTACCAAATCCAGTTCCCGCAATGCCTTGGCAGCATTGGTCAGGTAGACGATTGCGTTGTCGGTCAAATATGTACAGTCGGCAAGGCAAATCTTCGTGAGCCTGTGGAACGGATATACACTCCAATGCTGGAAGCCTTGATCCGTAATTGTGGTGCACCGAGTAAGGTCGATTTGCTCCAGCCTGTTGGAAGCATGTACGGCAATGTGTGCCATCGACCTATCAGTAATGTGCTTGCAGTAACTCAGTGTCAGACGCTTCAGCCTCGGGCAGCCGACGACGGTGCCAGGAGGAAGCTGTTGAACCACTTGCTGGTGGCCCTTGCGTCCGCGACCGTTCATCTGCGCCTGCTTCTGTGCTGCAAGCATCTGGGGAGGGAAGTCTGGAACCACCCAACCAACGATTCTGGCCAGCAGGTTGTCGCCAACCTTCCGGCAGTTGCTAAGGTCGACCTCTTCGAGGCCCTTTGCCTTGTTCACCATCTCAAGCACCGCTTGTCCGGTAACGTCCCAAACACTCTTCATCTTCCAGATCTTCGTGTTGGCACCGCACGTTGTCGCTAGCGCCGAGAAGCCTTCGTCCGTGACGTGGAAGCAGTTGCTGACGTCGACCACACGAGGCCGGCTGCCCACGAAAGGACAGATGATGTCCATAAGAGTGTGGTCGTTGACACGTCGGTTGTAAGGAGTGAGATCCAGGTGGTGTAATATGCTGGGCGACGAGGAGATGAGCTTGAGCCAGTGCATGGACACGCGTCGCAGATGCATCAATTCACAAATGTCCAGGTTTTGGAACACCTTGACCAGAAGGACATCGGGAAGGGCGCCTTTCCCCTTTCGGCTCGCCCGGCGGATGATCTTGGGGCGCTTGTAGGAGTTGGAGCGGTCAGGCGATGTAGACTCTTGCCTGAAGACGGGCGACGGCAACAAGCCGTTCGGGGATGGGGTCCTGAGCCTGCTTTCCTTTCCGGTCTTGGACGTCTCTTGGGCCGGTTCCTGGACTGGTGGGGCGCCCGGAGGCGGCGGCGCAAGCGACGCGCGCCGCGACCTTGAGCGGAGGTTATCAAGGTCCACATTGAGCAAGGGATCAGGGTCAAATGGCTCAATCACGGGGTCCTCTTCCTTTGGCCTTGTCACGAGAGACGATTCAGCGCCATCGCTGAACGTAACGCTCGGGATGCTCTGCACGCTCTGTCTCCGGGAAATGTCACGAACCGGTCCGCCCGGCGCGCGATCGGCTATCGCCAGCTCGTCGATCGCAGGAGCGCCGTCAAAACCATCTTGCATGGGCGTGTCAGTGTTTGTAGCAGCATGCAGGCGCGCCTTGGCGGTCGCCTCGACCTGGCGCCGCAGGTCCGGAGAGCACATCTGCCAGAATTCGTTGAGCACGTCGCCGCTGATGGTCAAAGTCTCAACAGAAGACACCGACCGCACAGTGGCGGTCCGCCTAGGAGCCAAATCCAAGCTGACAACCTCTCCAAAATATTGACCGGGCTTTAGCCTCGCCTTGACATTCTGGATGTTCTTGGGGCTCGACTGCTTCTTCTTGGTCTCCTCATCAGGAGGCGTTTCCAAGACCACCTCCACCTCGCCACCGACGATGAAGAAGACATCGCGACCGTGGGAACCCTGGTGTATGATGTCGGTGAAGGGAGGGTACGACCGGGGCTGGGAGTTGAGACCCAAGAAGTGCAGGATCTCGTTGGGAAGGCTGGAGAAGAGCGGAAGCTCCTTCAGCAGCTGTCTGACGTTGACGGAGCCGCTGCCAAAGGCACTGGCGGCCGCAGCTTCGGCAAGGCCCGGACTGGGAGACTTCCTCTTCTTGTTGTTGGTTATGACGCTTCCATCCCTGATCTCCCCCGCCTCGCCCATTTCGATGTCCCCATCGTTGTTATCTCTAGACCGCTTCCCTGCCCTAGTGTGCGCAGATCTAGCCTTGGCCTTGGTGACGCTGATCTCCTTCTTCTTGCGCTCGAGGATGGCCAGTCGCTCCTTGGCCTCGTCACGGATCGACTTTTCGACCTCGGGGAAGGACGGCAGCTCCTTGGTGAGGTCTTCCTTGTTCAGCCTCACGACCATTGACCGCATCTTGGCGACAATGGTCGCGGTGCGGGGGATGTCCATGAGAATGCCAATCTCGCCAAAGAAGGCGCCCGGCTTCAGCTCGGCGTAGGTGCTTTCGCCATCCCTCGACGTGACCCTGACGGCGCCTCGCACCAGCCAGTACATGGCTTTCGCGTCATCTCCCTCTGCTATGATGGTGTCGTGAGGGGAGTAGAGCTGCGGCCTCAGGTGAGCGCCGATGGCGGCGAGGAACGAGTCGGGAGCGGCCTGGAACAGGGGAAACGAGCGTAGGCGGTCGAGGAGGTCGAGCGGCAGGCCGTGGATGGTCGAAGCCGTGAGGGGCGAAGGCCTCACGGGCTTGCTCGGATTCGTCTCCGAGTCGAAGGCGCGGATGAGGGCGAAGGGGTCCGGCACCGGCCCGCCGTTCATCTTGTTGGCGTAGGCCGTGGGACCACGGTGGCGCCGCATGGTTTCGGGGGTGGTGGTGGTGGTGGTGGATTGGAGGGGGAGGAGCTCGTGTAAGGATGGGGGAGGGGAGGAAAGGTCAAACGCGTGAGATAGGCGTCAAACCCTTTTGTTCACTTGGTTGCAGGTGGACAATTACGTAAGGACGAGAGGGTGCAGAGTAGCTATGCAACCATGACTAGACCGGTGAGGGAAATATTTTCTGCAGGAAGGGAGGGAGAGGGTGCAGCAAGCAGAGGCGTGGTGGTGGAGTCTGCGGCAACAAGAGGCGGTCAAGTGCCTCAGCGTGTCTCGCGGTGGACCGGGAGCGCGGGGGGTTTGGGAGCAGTGGGGAGGGCGCGCGCGGAAGCGGCAGGACCCAATGGCAAAGGGGGGCCTGGCGAGAGGAAGTGACAGGCACGCGATTCAGTGCAAATTTAGCGAGGAGAGATAAGGCGGAATGAAAGAGAATGGGAAGGGTGTTTGCTGTTCGGCACGCGGTGACCTACGGGGCGGGCGTTCGTTAGGGTTGCTGAGCTGGTGGAGGGCGAGCTAGCTAGGTAGTGTGACGCCCCACCAATGCGCCTTCCGTCCTGCTTCCACGACCTTTCGAGAAGTCTTCCATGCCTACCTACTGATGCTCCAAGCTGTTGTATACCTATAGCTTACTCCAGATCATCATCACTCCCCCGTCCATCAGGGTCTGCCAGTGTGTACATACATACGTATGAAGATGAAATGAGCCCTCTCACTGACACACACTCACTCACACTTACTCCAGCTCCTTCCAGGCACCAACATGGAGTGAGTCACCCACTGGCTGCTGTTGCTACTGCTGCTGCGCCTACCCGTGAACCTGTGAGCCTGTGAGCCCTACCTATATACCTTACACCCATCCATCCATCCATCCCTCATCCTCATCCTCTCTTGTCGTCTAGAAACATCCATATTCATCACCATGCACGACGACATCCTCTCCCACTACTCCCACTTCCTCGCCCTCACCCTGCACACCTCGTCGCCCTCCTCGGCCACGACCATCCCGCCGCCCTACCTGGCCTGGCTGGCATCGTGTTGCCGTCTCCTTTGCGACGGTACGTGCCATCCCATCGAATCGGGAGCTGTGGGTGGGTCGTCTCAGCCCATACGGCCGCTCTCACCCACTCACCGTATCGCGGAAAAAAAAAATATTCCTCCCCTTCTCCGCAGATAGCCGCCCGTTCCATGGCTAACCTGTGAGATCTGCCGTTGCATGTACAGAAGTCCAAACGGCCCTTCCGTCCCTGCACCTGGCCCTGCACCCGCATCCTCTTGCCCCCACACGATCCCTTCCCAACCCGCAGACGCTGCGCTTCCTGATTGGCGTCGCCCCGACAAAGCCCGACGACGAGGCCCTGCTCGCCCACCCCGACACCGCGACGCGCCTCACCTGCGGCCTGCAGGCCTTCCTGGCCCATGTCCGCTCCTCCCACCCCGTCGACAAGGGCATCTGGCTAAATGCGCGCTACGTCACCCGCGCCGATCTGCCCTCTGACGGCTTCGAGAAATTTCCCCTGGACGGCAACGACCATGCCACCAGCTCCAGCAACCCTCTCTCCCCGGCCTCGATAGCCGCCCTATCTGCCGCCCTGCGCATCCTCCCCGAATCCGCCACGCCGCCTCCACGCGGCAAGGCCCCGCTGCCCGTCCCGCCGCGCCCTGACGGCGCTGCAACTGCAAAACTGCGCCCGGCCGCCGACATCCTCGACCGCCTGCGCTGGGACGCCGCTCTCGGCGGCGCCGCGGCCTACACAGTCGGCTACCACGACCGCTTCGACGGCATCGTCGAAATCAGCCTCGACGCCTGGCGCACTGACAGCACCGACGACGACTTCATCCCCCTGCACCGCGTCAGCTACGTCAAGCGCAAGCGCGACGACCACATTGTCTGGTGGCGCGAGGGCCGCCGCGACGAGCTGTTTGGCTCTGGCTGCGGCGGCGGCGGAAGCAGCTCGGACGGCGACCAGAGCGCCTAAAAAGCGACCGTCCGTGGCCGCCTGCCCGCCCTGTCGGGCGACCGAGTGGCAGTGCGTGCGTGCGTGAGTGAGTGAGTTGAGTGAGCAAGTGACTGCTTGCTGGAGCCTGTGCACGCGTGCGTGGTGCAGCACAGCAGTAGCGGCAGCAAGCTCAGAGCGCGGCGCGGCACGCGCAGACGTGTGTGCTGCGCGCGCGCGCGCGCGCGCGGTGCTGAGCTGCTGGCCAGTGGCGCCGCTCCTCGGGCCACATGGCAGGCGAGAGTGATGAGCCCTGCACTGCGCAGAGCCCACGGCCCACGGCCTCTCGCCCCTCCCAGCGGTCTTCCGCGGCCGTGGGCACACGCGCGCGCGCACCAGAGGAAACTCCCGAGCCCTCGCGCGCCGTTATGAACCGCCCGCGCCCACGCCCAGCTACTTGTACCTGCCTAGCTGGTTAGCACCTATGCAGGACTGGCCCGACCGAGGCATGTGTGAGGCTGATCATGACGGCCGCAGGTGCGGGCAGCACAGTTGAGCGCGGGCGTTCGGGTCCGGGATGGGGCGTGTGACAGGGGCTCGCGCGGGCATTGGTGTGTGTGACGATGCGGCTGTTCGTTCGCGTTCACCCTTCACCCCTCGTTATTGTTGATGTTGTTGTTGTTTTTGTTTAGTGTTGTTTGCTGTTGTTGCCAGCTGTGCGTAATCCGTATCTAGGCTGTGCCCTTGCCAGCGCGCCTGCCTGATCTGGATGGCCAGGGCGCTCGGAGACGCTTTGCTTTGTCTGTGCGTCCCAGCTTTACGTTGGTAGCTTAGTCTCTTTTTCGACGTCGTCGGAACGTTTTTTGTTTACTATTAGTTTGTTTATCGCTGTCCATAGGGTTACGGTCGGAGGGGTAAATGTGGTTGTAATTCATGTCCTTGCGAGCCCACCTAGTGGTACACGTCTAGCTTCGAGCTCACTGTGAGGTTATGAACAGCTTTGCAGAATTTACAGATGCTCGAGCTCGGAGCAACCTGACACAATTTTGCTTCTATTCCATAAACATCACTCACCACGACAATATGTACCCCTGTAACCATAGTAGATCCTTTTCGACGTTGTTAAAACGCCGTTTGTTTGTTGTTCGTTTATCAACAATATCCATTAAACCCACGTCTACGAACGCCAAAGCTGAAAATGCACATAGCTGAAGAGCAGAAATCATATCGAGAATGCTCGCTATTAGTCCGAGAATCCCTTGCAAGTAAAGCATTGTATGTTCGTGAAGTCAGAGTATGCCAATACGTATCGTCAAGCAGCCACTCCGAACGGGACGTCCGGATCCACGTATAAATGGGGGGAAGTGATCGCTCATCTGCTGCTCCGCCTCCCCCTGCCGTAGTCGTGGTCATAGTCATAGTCGTAGTCATAGCCATAGCCATGGTCGTAATCATAGTCATACCTCGCGCGGCGCCCGCGCTTCTCCTCCTTCCTCCGATCATACTGGCGCCCCGCCTCGCGCGCACTGATGGCACCCAGCACTGCCGTCGCGACTGTAGTCAGCGTGTCGCCCTTGGAGATCTCTGTCCCCAAGAAACCGCCGGCAAGTGCGCCCGCCACTGAGGAGGCGACGCCTTTACGGCGCGGAGACTTGCTGCGGGGGCGGTAGTGGTGGCGGCGGGCGGCGGAGCCGGCGGAGCGGACGCTGCCGCGGCGGTCAGCCGCATCGAACTCGACGAGGTCAAGATCGCGGCGCGGCGGCGACGGCGCGGGAGCGGGCCGCGCGTAGGGATAGGGCGGCGGCGTGTACTCGGCCGCGGGCTTCAGGCCGCCCCCCGACACACGCCGGTGCGCCGCCGCTGCGTCGGCGCGCGAGCCCGGGCGCCGCGCATAGGCGCTGCCGCCGTACGCCTCACTCGGTGTGGCGGGGCTGTCTTCGTCCGGGTCGTTGAAGGCGGCCGTTTCGACGTAGGCGCGCGTGAAGGCCTTGCGCTGCCGCTCGAGCTGGTCCTCTTCCTCGTCGTCGTAGTCGTCATCCTCATCCTCGTAGGGGTTGAAGCCTCGCGGCGCATAGTTGGCTTTGGGATTGTGCCGGTAGTCGGCTGGATCGTAGGCGGCAGACTGGCGTGGCGTGGAGCGGTAGCGGTCTGTGTCAAGGCTGCGGTGGCTGGCGCGCGGGTCGCGGTGGTCGTGGCTTCCGTATCCGTCACGCCGGGCCTGTGAGCGCCGCCTCAGCTGCGGCGTGTGTCGGTAAAGGCGATCGTAGTGCTTGCTGCCGGTGAAGCGATCGATACCTTCGAAGCCTAGCTCCTACGATAGCACAAAAGTAAGTCAGTCAGTCGGTCGCCGGTGTGAGAGAGGGTTAAGTAAATACCAGCAGATCCGCGGCGCCTTCGCTCATCTTGGACGTGAGTGAAGCAACAGTCAGTCAGAGCTACGAGGACAAGGCAACCATGGCTGACGGGGTGGGGGGGTGAGTCATGCGACTGTGGCAGAAATAGGTAGACAGACAACTTTCCTGGGATGCTGGGATGTCGAGTGCGGGAAGGCGCGCGACCATAGAACCTTTAGGTAGATATGCGAGTCAGGCGATGACGCACACCGGCTTGTCATTCATCATTCCCGCTACACTATCGAGTGCACTAACCCGCCTCCACACTTCCTCATGCCTTGCCCGCCTCCTCCAGAAGCTTGGCCTGCTGCTCCGGGTGCGTCTTCTCCACGTTTCCCTTGGCCATCTTCTTGGTAACCATGTTGCCGTCAATCTCAACGTCCTCGGTCAGCCTGCCGCCCTCGATGCGCCACTGCCCGGCGATGGTCAGCTTGCCGACCGGCGAGCTGGCATTGACCAGGCTGTCGACGCCGTTCTCCACGTTGGTGAGCGTCAAGAGGTAGGTCGTCTGTCCGATAGGCTTCTTGTCCGTAACCTTGTACACGGCCGTGCTGGACGCGTCTCCCGATTCAATCTCGTACGACACGAGTGCCGGACAGAGCGTCTGGATCATGAGTTCGTGGTTGTGCAGCGCCTTGAGGACCTGGGCCTCGGTGAGGCTGTCGGGCAGGGGGGTGCTGACGTTGGTGGTAGGCATTTTGAAGAGGATACGTTTGGAGCAAAGCAAGAAGTAAAATGTGTGTATTGTACTTGCTGACTTGAGGGAGTCGGGTGTTGACTTGGTACTCCAGAAACCTCGTCGGCCGCCTGGCTATATATCTGCTCTCACCACATTTCTTCAGCTGTGTTGCTGTTGAGCCGGGCTGACCAACTCCGACGCTCGTTCAGCACCGCTTTCCCCATCTTGCAACAGACAGTAACATGTCAGACGTCTGATGGTACAACTCGAAACATGCTGAGCGCACTCCACGGCTCCCCATCTCCATCTTCGCAGCGAATGGTCGTATGAGATGTCGTATAAAGAAGCTACCTGACCCTTCGGCACCGGCTCCGCACTAGCAGCACAGCCACGCGAGCGAGATAACCAACAGCCATCCAAACTTACGGCCAATGGGCAACCAGCATATCGGAAATTTTCTAATAATACGCTCGTCTAGTAAAACCCTAGTCCTGCAGCCTGCGCTCCCCGCGTTCTAGGCGTGGCATACTGAGAGCATCTGATTCAGCGTCAACAGAGAGCTGTTCGGCTTACCGTGACTTCCGCGTCATCGAGCAGTAGTGCTTCAGTGACACGAGAGCTGTACTCTCGCTCTCTGGGGACTTCGTGGCTCGAATAACTATATTTAGCCCTGCTGCCTTGTCCACTCGGCCGAGAAGGCGTTCTCCCCAGTTCTCAAATTCCGCTGCCGATGCTGAGGTTGGGGCCGATGCTCGCCGTATGCACCAAGCGCGGGGTAATGTTTCAATCCAGCGCCAAAATGAGGCCTGATTTACGATAGGCTATCTAGAGAAGGTCCAGACGCTTCCGCCGGCCACGTTCGCTTCTTAAAGTTGCATTTGATGCGCATGTGCCACCGTGCATGATGCTGCTGAATTTCAGCGTTGGCATATTTCTGCGGCTAGTTACTAGCTGGGTAGGTTTGCAAATGCTGCTTGTTCTAACGGCATTGTTGGCGGGAACAACTCCTCCGTTCTCCATAGCAGGAATCCGGTTTAATTTGCTTGTCTCTTTCAACTATTTTCCTCAAGTCTCGACCACCTATTAAACCAAATCTATAATATCTCCTAATTACTCCTTCGAAACTCATGGATAGCCTTAATACTATACTTGGCAGATTGTACGAAGAGCTTAAAACAAGTACGACGATACAATATATAAGAGTGAAGATATTCTACAGCGTAAAGATGCGAGGGCACAGAAGCTTTTGCAAAGAAACAAGGGTAAAACAAACAAGAAGCGAGGATATAGCACAAGGGTACGAAGATGCAAAGATAATATGGTTAACGTTAAGCCTTATGTCTGTATAGGTATAGTAACCCTTACGTGTGGCCGGCAAAAGAGCTAAAGATGGTGGACAAATTGTCCGGACTCTAGCATGAACCAATTGAACTGTACCCGAACCTCGGTAGTCAGCATCATTGCTCCGGCAAACTGCGGGAACGGGAATGCTTACTCGTCCGACTCGGTCCAACCGACGCATTTCCAGCAACTAAACAGTCCTGTAGGGTCATACATTTTCTTCACCTTCAGCAGCTTGTTGTAATTGCCGCCGAAAAAGGTCTGTTGCCAATCACTTTCCTTCCAGTCTCCTTCATTCAAATAACATCCTCCTTCTGGTGTAAGCGCCTTCATCGGCTTGATTGCCTGTGCAACGGTATCGAAAATGGCGTCTTGTTCAGCTCGAGTATAATTGCTGAGATATATGCCACCGTGGATTACCTCCCACAGCGATCCGCGCCAAGCCGGGTGCAGTCCTGTCTTACTGTTGTCATGCTGATTCGCGGGGCCTGTTGCGTAGATCTGACCACTGCCAGTACCCAATCCCGCGCCAAGCTCATAGCTCGTCTGCATGCCTTGCAAGAACGCATCGACGAGCGCCTCGATATCCTCTGGGCTCGTGAACTGCTTCCGGGGCACAAGACGGGCCGCTTCCGCGATGCCAACACCAACGGGTCCGTTGGTTGCAAGCGCTGGCGCGATATACGTCGCGTAATCAGTGAAGTTCTCGAAAGCCTTGTATTCGTTTTGGGTTATATTGAGACCCGGGTAAGTCGTCAAAAAGGACGACCATTGTGCTGTCAACGCTTTGAGTGCCTTGGCGTCTTTACTCGGCAATATCTGGATCGATATGATATTGTTGGGAAGAAAGAAATTGTAGCCAGCGATGCGTTCGTTAGACCATTCAGTCTGGTTATTGGCCAGCGCAGTGATGACATCGCGGTAAACCTTTGACTGAGTCAAGTTGGAAGCTAAGGAAGAATTCAGGATATCGGCTTGGAAACTGTACACGTTCATCGGGACCGCGGGATGTAGCCGGAACTTGTACGCCGTCAAGACTGCGTAGGTGCCTCCGCCACCGCCTCGCATGGCCCAAAAAAGATCTGGATCATTGAACTCGTTGACAGTGCGGGCTTTGCCGTCCGCGGTCACAACATCGAACTCCACGGCTTGATCAACCATCAGCCCGTAGCTAGGTCCGAAGTGCCCGTGGCCGCCCCCTTGCCCGAAACCTCCGGCCAGCCCGACGGAGCCCACTGCGCCGACGGTAACGTGCATCCCAAAGCCTTGGAAGTAAGTATAAGCTTCTGATGCCTGGACTCCGGCTCCAATAACCGCAACGTGTTGAATACTAGAAGCATTTCGACCGTTTGAGAGAGAAAATTCGGGATGGTACTCCATATCTTTCATGTTGTGCGTCCATAGCGCAAGAGAATTTGCTGCCGCACTCCGTCCCATGTAATCATGGCCGGTGTTTTTGATTGAAAGACGGATTTTGTGTTCCTCGACAAACGTAAGGGTTTTCTGAACATCAGACGTTGAAATTGCTTCCACGTAGTATGCCGACAGTCTTCCAAGTGAGCACACGCCCGACGACGGAGCACCCGTCAGGGAATTTAATTGACAGCTTTGATTCCCACAAACCTCCCAGTTAAGCTGCTCCATAGCACCATAAATTGACGACCTGGGTTGCCCGCTGATGTACCCTTCTTGGACAGCTAAACAGGCATCGCTTGTTAAGTCTGTGTAACAAGGCTCAGCCCACAGTCTAGTTGCTCGAAGACGGCCACCGATGCTGGTATTGAATGCTTGCCACATGGATAATGACGGCCAACAGGCCTGTGAGGGTAGGCATGTGTAGCTTGAGGTTCCATTGTAGAACTCGGCTGTGGAAGCCGTCGCAAAAAAGAAAAACAACACGGATCGTCTCATCGCGGACGTTGGAAGGGCAAATTAGTATGCAAAGAAATGAATACTCATGACATGGATATGATCTTGATATATGTACCTGCCAACCTCCTGCAATAGACATCGCCACCAAAAGGATGATGTCGCGGGCACGCATAGCAAGCCTTTTCATCCTCCCATAAAGCCTCACGGTGGCACTGCTGGGCAAAGCGGGGCCATGTGGAGCGGTTGACGGATGATAGGTTCTTTTGGAGATAGCCCTTACTGCCACGGCGGGCCTGAATCCTGTAGTAGCACCAGCTCCAGCTTGGTAGAGGGGCCAAGATGTGAGAAGCGGCGTTAAAAGTCCAAGAACCGGGATTCCATTGAGCAAAGCTCCACGCCACAGGGCGCTTGTGCGGTCTGCCCGATGACATCGGAGACCCCGAGATGATGCGGGGGCGACGTTTGTTTCAGAGGCTTGCTATCTCGGCGTACGCGGCTTTTTTGGCAGTGCTCTCGACCGAGGTCAGCTCCTCTACACCATACCTCATGGTGTGTACGAAGTAGGTGATGCTGAGGTCAGACGCGAGTGATTCGGTCGCGGCGGCGCTTGGACCACAGCCGGCGCAGTCGCGGGACCGAGGGACCCTTGAGCCCAAGTCCAACGCCCTGCACCGACCCAGCATGTCTCAATGCCACTCTTTGGTCTCTTGTTCTGCTTCGGCCGCGGCTTGCTCCCACTTGCCGTCATAGCCACTTTGTACCTGTATCTTTATCCTGTCTTTCACGGTTGTGCTTTCCCCCCGCCGCGCCATGCCCAGGACGACAAGATAGCCCCTTTCCGCCTGTTGGCCTTGGGAGATCCCCAGATTGAAGGCGACACTTCCCTTCCGCGTCCGGAGGACCCCGTCTTCCCCAGCTTCGCTTCGTTCCCTCAACATGTCGGATCCGTAGGCATTGGCCAAGCCGCGCGCAAAACCGCCGCCGCCCTGTTCCAAAACGACATACCGCGCCTCCTCTGGTCCTACCGCAAGCGCCTCGACCTCTTTGGAAACGACTATTACCTCGCACACATATATCGTACTCTGTATTGGTGGACAGAACCGTCCCATGTGACGGTTCTGGGAGACTTGCTGGGCAGCCAATGGATTGGTGATAAAGAATTCGAGAGGAGGAGCTGGCGTTTCTGGCACAGGGTCTTCCTCGGTGGGCAGCGGGTCGAGGACCACATTACCTCGGTCCAAAGGACAGAAGGTTTGGGCGCCGATCCGGCCTGGTCAAGGCGAATTATCAATGTTGCGGGCAACCACGATATCGGGTACGCCGGTGACATAAACGAGGATCGAATTACCCGTTTTGAAAGACAGTACGGACCCGTGAACTGGGAGACGACATTTCGTTTAAATGGGTCTAATGCTTCGGCAGCCGCCGAGCAGCCTCCTGAGATACGTATCGTCGTTCTCAACAGTATGAACCTCGATACGCCTGCTTTGGTCGAGGACCTGCAACACGAAACGTACGACTTCATCAACGATGTCATAGGCCGGTCTCGCCCGGTTGAGGATCGCAGCACCTTTACTGTCCTGCTCACGCACGTTCCGCTGCACAAGGAGGCCGGAGTTTGTGTCGATGCACCTTTTTTCAGCTACTTCCCCACCGAGCGGGGCGCGGGCATTAAGGAGCAGAACCACATAGGTGATTCTGCGAGCCAGGGAATCTTGACAGGTATCTTTGGCCTGAGCGGCGACCCAAATGCCCCAGGCCGAGGCCTGGGCCGCAATGGTATGATCCTCACCGGACATGACCATGAGGGTTGTGATGTCTATCACCATCATCCTCGTGATGCAGACGGCTGGAAGGCCGCACGCTGGCAGGATTCGGGTAACCTTACAGCTGATGCAGACATGCCTGGTGTTCGAGAGGTCACGATGAGGAGTATGATGGGCGAATACGGAGGATATGCAGGACTCGTCAGTGTGTGGTTTGATCAGGCAGTGGGTGAGTGGCGCTTCGATATTATGCAGTGCCACTTGGGCGTTCAGCATATATGGTGGGCTGTCCATATAGTGGATCTGGTGACCCTTCTCATGCTTATTGGAGGTATTGTTGGGCGCGCTCTTGTAAAGAGTAAACCAACAATGCTCCCAGACAAAGCTGCGTTAAAGAAGGAATAAATACTGTGGAGGAACTTATCTTGCACAAAAGCATTCTCAATGTCGTACTAGCGAGTTGCTGATCATGCTTTTGCATGTGATCTTGGGGGAGCTTTGGCTACTAAGATATGGATGCGAGCGAACTGCGGTGAACCCAAAAAACCTTCATGATAAGAGACGGATTCTCATGACTAACATAGGTGACGTTAACGGCCTGCAAAATCCAATTGTAAAAGTTAAAAGCTGCTGATCTTTCAGGCCATTATTTCGTGCTTGCGGAACAAACTCTCCTTTTTTCAAACACAATGGGATACCAAGCTTTGACTGCTTGCGGTGTGCGAGACAAATTCAACGTCTTTGTCCCCAACCACTGCTGAGAACATTCAAGCCTCTAGCAAACTTCGTACCATAAGCTCAAAACATGCTGAGAGGTAGTCGTATGTCAATGGTTAATACGCATCATTCTCCTCTTATGACGCCTCAAAATAACAGCAAATTAACTTAACTTCAACATTTACTATTGTTTTCATTTATATTTTATTTAATGGCTCGCTCATCCTACCGCTTTGTTTGTCACCAAACATTTACTTTCTTTGGGCTCGTTGTTTCCGTCCATTGTTCCTTGGCAGCTTTCAAAAACGGATTTTCAAAGACAACATGAAGTCATAGTACTTATCTGGTTAATCTCATCATTCTCGGCTCTGGGGAGCTGCAGTCAGCTGGTCCATTGAGTTTTGGGCCAATTGCCTGCTCACTCGCCAAAGCATCACTCATTCGGATAGTTGCTTCTACGCAAAAGATACTACGTTGTTCCGTCACCGTATTCATACCTAGGACCTAGGCCTCGTCTGAATTAATTGCCGGCCATCCATTGCAACATGCCGTACACAAAACGTCGCAAAAACCCTCAAGAGGCAAGCTCCAACGTTCGCCGCGCAGCTCGGGGCGAGAAGCTTGTGGAAGTTGATATCAGCGACCCTTGTATATGCGTTGTCGGTGTGGGGTTTGTCGGCGAGGCTCTCCTTCGCGAATTTGGGCATAAATTCAGATCAATCGGCTTCGACATCTCCAATGACCGTATCGAGGAGCTACGTTCTCTGCTAAAGGGATACACGAACATTACCCTCACAACAAACAAGGATGCACTGGCGAGCGCAACCCACTATCTGATTTCGGTCCCGACTCTTCTGAAAGAAGACCGCTCTGTCGACCTTTCTCATCTCCTCTCCGCCATCACCATGGTCTTGTCCTATGCCCGGCCAGGCTGCGTCATTGTCATTGAATCCAGTGTTTCCGTAGGCACCACACGCCAGATATTTGGACCTTATCAAGGGATCTTTCACTGCGGCATGTCTCCCGAGCGGGTCGACCCTGGTCGCATTATCCCCACGGCTAAAGAGGTGCCGAAAATTGTCTCTGGTCTGACAACGAAATCCCTGGCCGCCATAAAAAATATCTACGCTCAGGCATTCGATCATATCGTGCCGGTCAGCAAACCAGAAGTTGCCGAAATGACGAAGCTGTTTGAAAATTGCTACCGCATGGTCAACGTTGCGTATGTCAACGAGATGGCAGACGCGGCGCGATCGCATGGGGTGGATCCAACGGAGATGATTCAAGCGGCCTCCTCAAAGCCATATGGATTCACACCTTTCCAACCAGGTCTAGGTGTCGGAGGTCATTGTATCCCAATCAACCCCTTCTACCTCTTCGCCAACAACAAGCACTTGCCAGTGCTCGAAAAGGCAACTGCAAAGATGTGGCAGCGGCCAGTCAAGGTCGCTCGCAGCGTCCACCGTCGCATCACCACAATGACTAAAGGAAAGCCGCCGCGTATCCTGGTAGTTGGGATGGGTTTCAAGCCAGGGCAATCCGTTCTGTCTTGTTCACCAGGTCTGGCGTTTGCAGAGAAGCTTCGTGACCTGGGATGCGCTCGTTTGACGTTCTACGACCCCCTCGTCCCACAGGACCACATCCGTTGGATGGAAAAGCTGAAGGAAGAGGATTGGAACCAGCAGATTATCGATGAGCAATTCGACGCTGTGGCCATATGCGTGCGGCAGACTGGTGTTAATTTCAAAGTAACGGAAATGCTGCAGAGAGCAAAGGTTCATGCTTTCCAATAATTAATCCGGCTTAAGATATTAGACGTACAATTTTACATGTTTCGTAACGGATTGGTCCCAGGGTTCGAAGTCGTCCAGTCTCGTCAATCCCGTCGACCGGACTGACAGTCAGCCGTCCCCACGGTCCACTGGACTCTACGGACTGTGAAGTAAGTCATCCGGCTCAGTCGGACCCTCTGAGGATGCTTGGCATGGTGTTGAACAGGTTGGTACTTGCACCCGCGTCCGCGCGTGCTCCCCCGCCACCCCTAAAAGGTCGATTTTAGGCGTGAAACAGGCCTCTCGCGGCTCAGCGGGGAGCTCGCGAAGACTACCTAGCGCTCGTTCGCTTCGCCGGCGCGCGCCCGGAGCCCTGAAGTTAAGCCTAATTAGGCAATGCGGGGGTGGCGTTCGCCCCTCAACACCATCAAATATTCGGCACGCCAGCAAAAACCAACGTCAATTCTACAACTACCGTCGGACCGGCGTCCCCCTGAACCAGTCTCCGATTTGGTCCCCAATGTTTATTGACATGTGCACGAAAGAGCATCACAATAGCTCGTGGGTGGACTCCAGATCCCAATATTCGCTGTATCCGCTTTTGGCGTCGTCCAAAGTCATTGCCAGCGATGCTTTTGATACACCCTTCTCTGCTGCTGATGGTGCAATATCACCCTCTTGCTCTGCTACAGATGTGGCAGCTGGTGCGGATGAAGCAGTAATGCCAGATACGCCCCATACTAGTGCATGCTTAGCTGTAGATCCCAATGGCCGAATAAAAAGACGGAAAACATACCTTGCGTACCCAAATGTCGTACCACCTTTGTGAAAATTACAATGGACAAGAACGGAGATACCAGCTTGTTGAGAACGTAACCGATTAAAAGCTTGAATGATCGTTTTCTCAGCTCTGGTTGTATGAACAACATAGAGATGAACCACATATTCGGAACCTGACTGATGATCAGTAAGGGGACGAGCTGGATAAGATCAAAGTCTTCGGTTATGAGTCCTTTGATAAACAAGCAGGTGTTCATAATACGATAGTATATCGTTGTCATGCGCACCACTTCAATAAGAGCCGCAAATCGCGTGGCTAGTATAATCTTTTCTCCAAAGCAGTAGAAGAAATTGTTGAAATAGGCATTTGAGCCCCAGCGTCGACGCTGGCTGAGGTAATGCTGCAGTGACTGCGGAGCTATAGTCTCGCTTATTGCTCCGGGGACGAAAAGAGTGTGCAGGTGTCTGCCTTGCGAGAGCATGGCATAAGTCAGCCGCCGGTCAGTGCCCTGCGCGGAAAAAACGTTAGCGCATATAAAATTTCTAAAGTGTTTGGAGTGCTGACGAGGTATTGAACCTGATGGTAGATCACAGGGTATATGGTTACTGGCTCCGCGTATTTTCTAATGGCACCGGCCATCTCTTCCCGAACTGCTATCATGGTGATACATCCTGGTAAACAGGTGACCTTTCCAATGAAGCCCTCAGCCCTTCTCCGTACATACTGGCCAAATGCATACTTGAATGATCTTTAGCAGATTTTCCGTCTTACGTGCAGCTGCCTTTCACGTACCTGAAATTGCTGGTAAATATTCCAAAAAGACCACTCAAAGCCTGGTTCTATCTCTACAAATACCAAACCACAAGCTGCAATTGCATTCTTGTCTTTAACAAGTGCATTTGCTAGGCTTGCTACCGCTCCCTTGTGGATTGTTGAGTCGGCATCGGTACAGAAGACCATGTCAAAATGGTCGAAACCTTGGCCCTCCGTAAGTATAGGTAGCACTCCGGTCCAGATCTCGTGCCGTAGGAGCCTTGTGTAGTACGGTATGTTCTCCCGCGGTACATTGAACAGGTCGTGGCATAAGACCAAGGAATCCTTTTTACCACAGTTTTTGACCTTCTCAATAACTATCACAGGAACATCCTGCATGAAGCCGGCAGCGATCTTTAATACACCACGTCTGTGCTTGAGGGAAACATAAGGCCGTTCAAACTCTCGTACAATGAATGTCATGTGGCGTCTAACGTCTCTTGGTCTGCCATCGAGTACCACTACCATGACTTGGCGGTGAGGATATACGTCGTTGTCGCGGAGAGAGTATATAGTTTTGACGATTTGATCCTCACTTTCAGAGAAAGTTGGTATTAACGTGAGAATCCACTGTCGCGGAATCTCGAGTGGTGGCTTGAAATATGCGTATACTTCTCTGAGCATTAAGAAGACCACTGATAGGATGACCGAAAGAACATCCTTGCTCTTGACAAATAATATGAAACAGAGGACCCAGACGTTTTGATTGCCAAACAATGCGCCGCAGGCGCAACCGACATTTAAGATGAGAATTATACCGAGGAATAGAATCCGTTGTTTTCGTAAGTCTGTGGGCTTGAGAATCCGCGCTGAATCTTCCGGGTCTGGTATTTCCGGGTACCCACAACCTTTGACAGTGTCTTCATACTGAATTCCTTTTCTCGATACTGGCTCGTCGTTCTCCGGTATAATTTCAATGTGTTCTTGGCTTCTGGATCGCTGTCTTCGAACCTCCTGGGTACATGTATCGAACGAAGGCGCTGCGGATGACTGATTTGCCGAAGTCGCAGTCTCAAAAGACTCCCCCGACTCACTCGGGGCCTGCGAAATGATCTCGTGTTCCTCTTCTGCCGCGAGTCCGGAACGGTTTTGAGCATCATGATAAACAGATGGAGTGGGTGATAGCACCGATTCTCTTACAGATCTCCAGTGATCCGCCGCTGAGAGAAGTTGGGAGGATCTCTGACGGTCAGCAAACGGTAAGGCATCGCCATCACTCGAAACCATCGAGAGCTTTGAGGTTCGCCCAAAAATCGCAGGTATATTGACTGGGGAATCATGAAGCGGGAAGTGTAACTGATGTTGGAAACAGCTCGAGAGTGAAGAAAGTGAATGCAGGTATCCCAATTCAACCCCCTTGGAAACTATAAACATGGCGAGACCTCCAAGACATTCTTGACATGCAACTACCAAAACGTTACACCACCAAGCACACAGTTTTGCCTGAATTTCCGGATAGAGCACCAATACTTTCGGCCAGTATAAACGGCCAACTGCAGGGCGGAAGTAACAGAATTAAAACAAAATGCTACTTCATAACATGCATAGCAGCCACCATAGTGAAGTTCGAGCTCATGGTACCTGCCGAGCATAAAGTAAGGGGCCACGATATTGATGATGTTGCCGAGGAGATGCAGGTGCAGCTTGGCTGCTCAAGATTGCACAGCCCACCTTGCTGGCAAACAGGATTTATTAAAGCCGAATTGGGTTTGCCTCCGATGTGCTGAATTCGGTTGAGGTTGTTTGCAGCAATATGGATGGTCGCACAATAGCAGTTACACAACCCGAAAGCAACACAAATATGAGCGAGGACCACTACGTCATCATGCGTTGTGAAAGAGTGCGGAATGTTCGCTTAGCGTCATACTGAAGAAAAAATAGATGTTATAAGGGCTCTCTTTCGATATACGCAAACGGCGCCCACGAGGACATTATTTTCAATTCATTGATGTTCTTTATCCGGTTTCCTTTTGCCCCCTCCACTTTTGTTGTGTATTTCCTAGGGAGTATATAAAGCTATTGTTATGCCGTCCGTTAGTCGCTAAAGCCAACTCAATACATTTTATTCTTATCATACATTACTCAATTATGTCCGACTCCGGTAGTGAAACTAGTCTCTCCAGGAAGCCACTAAGGGCGGAGAAATCACGGCGAAGGAGAAAATCACTCGAGATTCTTCGAGACGCAATAGCTCCTCCATTAGTGAAGACCGCCAGGGTTGCCACGGAAAAGAGTAGAGCTCTGATCTCAGTGGCCACTAAACTCGCCAAAGCAAGCGTTGGTGAAGCGCCTGCGGTCGTCCATCTTCATACGGAGCGCGCTCGTAAAGTGTCCTCATATTCCGAAGTTGATGCCCTCTACCAAAACGGCACTTGTTGGTATGTTGCTACTACTTGGGTCTCTATTGTAACCAATAAGGTGATTACTAACGAACAAACTGAATACAGATCCCACTTAGTTCCGTGGACTTATAATACGTTGGGGAAACTATGCAGCAAGATAGAAATTATGCTATAGGAAATCAGGCCTTCGTAGGTTGAAGAAGCTACAAAAATGGAATACCCTTAAGACCAGATGATTTGTCTGCATCTGTTGCCAGTGGGTAATGGAACATATTAAGATCTATGAGCATTAAGCATCGACTTTCTAAAAGTTTCATGAGCTTTGAACTGTTTCTCCAAATGTGCCCACCTACTAGTCGTTTTTGAAGAGACGCACGACTCCTAATATTTGCACGTATGGCTAAACCGAGTTAATCTTAGTAGTCGATTCGCAATTGCATGCATAGCTCAAATGAAGCTATAGACTTCCTCCGTTCATAATAATTTTACAGTATTGTCATACTAGGATTGAAATATGTCTTCGTAGAGCCTAATGAAGTTTTAACCTAGTTTATTATCGCTTCTTACTATAGATGTAGATACTTTGACAACTGCACGCTGGAAGTGGACGCGAGTAAGTCGACTGGACGTCGGGCGGATACGCGGACCAGAGTTGCCTAGAGCGGTAATACCGGCCCGATCAAATTAATCGTGGCCGACCTGTGACTGCGCCAACAGCTTCAAATGCACTCACTGATCACGCTAAAAGTTTTTCGCATAGGCTCTGCATTATATTTTAATATTTTAACGTGACATGAGCGACCTCTGCCAGTGTAGAGTTCGGCACTTGCTATAGGCTTGAGAGCGCTGTCCACTGTATGCACAGCTTCCATCGTGGTATGATTGCCCCCGCCAACGGCAGAAACAATCAGTTGCTGGCCGTCTAGGAGTGCCTTGAATTGCATAGGACGTGTATGCTGGTGGGTTGATTTTGCTGGATACTTAAGGGTTCCTAGCGTGATAATATATCACTCCTACTAATCGCTGGGATTATGAGTAATTGCAAAATTATAAAAATATGTGCCCGTTCACTGTATTTTGTACTACCCCTGAAGGTAGCGTGTACCCCTTATAATGTTTAAATGTTCTTAGTCCCAGAATGTTTGGAAGCATTACTACGTAGTTCTCACGTAACGTAATATTGAACTCCCAAGTCTTCACTTGAATGAATCTTGTTGGCGTGTTAAAAACTGTTTGGTCATTCAGCGGCCGAGCGCTGCGCAAAAAAATATATACAAGAATGGGTTCAAATCATGGACGTTTCCAGAGCCCCGAAGTTTACACAACAGGCCAGTCGTTGACGAAGTGGATCTTGTTCCAGCCAAACTTCTTGTCACCGTCGGCGTATCCAATCCTGGTGTCGACTAAACATGAATTGCATTAGTCATGCCCGATTTACTTTCAAAGGTATCGTGGCAACTTACCATAGTGATAGTAGACAACTGGGCCGTAAGTGCGGTCCTGGTAGACACCCTGACCACCAGGTGCGTAGACCCAGCCGTGAGACTCAAGGAAAGTTGTGCCGCCACCAGAGGTGCAGGACTTGCCGCTCTTGTCGACAAAGCCACCAGTAGCAGAGCTCGAGCGGCAAACCATGATCTTGTACTCAGCACCGGTGGCCGGCCTGCTCTTGTCAAGGTTACAGCACTGTCCTTTCGAGAAGAAGAGATAGTAGTAGCTGCCGTGCTTGAACACGAAGGCGCCCTCCTCAGCAGTATCGACCGGGTCGTAGGCGATGTTGACGGCTCCACCGGCTGCAGCGGTGGGGGTGCCCTTCATCTTAACCTGGTAAAGATCATGCCAGAAGCTACCAAAGCTGAGATAGTAGTTGCCATCCGCATTAACAAGGTTGGGGTCAATGGCGTTGTAGGCTTTCGACGAGTCAGACTTGATTCCAACGCTTCCGACATCGGTCCACGAGCCCACATCCATCGTCGAGGACCTGGCGAGACCAATGGCAGAACTCTGACCACCGAACGCGGTGGAAACGGCATAGTAGAGGTAGTACACTCCATTAATAAGCGTAACATCGGGTGCCTGCACAGTTTGTCAGTATATAATGCCACAAACAGAACGAGATTCGTACCCAAACGTCCGTGTTGCCAGGAGAGATCTTAGAGCCAGAGGGCAGAACAGCACCCTTGTAGGTCCAGGGGCCCGTAATGTCAGGGGCGGTGTGGATGGCAACTCCGCCGTTCGTCGAGAAACGGAAGTAAGTGCCGTCACTACGGCGGATGAGAGCAGGGTCATGGGCGTTGCCGCAGACACCGCTACAAGCTTCAGGGTTGGCGTAGCCCTGCACCATGGGCAGGAGCAGCATTGTGGCCGCAAAGAGGGACTTGAGGTTGAACATTTTGGGAAGGAGTGTGCAGAAGATCGGTCACGGCCGTCTCCTTGGTTATGGAAGGAACGAAGAGATTATAAATAAAAGAGAGAAAGTAACCACCAGCGGTCAACGCAAAGGCGGCTGAATTGAACGGAAGAACTCAGTGGGTTGCAATATCAACAGAGGTCAGCTGGCCGCAGGCTTATATAGATCTTGGGATGTTTCTGGCGGCATCCAGCTAGTGCACAGCGCCACCGTCTCAGACAAGTCATGCCGAGAGCGTCGAGATACAAGCGAGTATGCTTGGAAACACTTAGGGTAGCTGCAGAAGGCATACTGGCCCCGGGTGCGGAGGAGTGTGGCACCTACGGCTTGCCGACCCGGGTCTCGAGCTGGATGGCGCGACAGATTAGCTTTCTGAATGTCTTGGCCTTCATGCCCTTGGTGGGACATGTTTCGAGCGATGCCGTTTCGGGGCGTCAGCCCAGGCCGATTCGAGGGATTGCTGGGGTAATATAGAGCAGAAACTTAAGTGCCGGACTTCAGTGTGGCTACACCCGACGGCGTTTGCGGGCCGGCACAGAAGCCAAAGAGTGAAAGCGCGATCCGGTCGCAAAGGCCTTGGCCGGTCCATGGTCTGCCGCCGAGGGCCTGGCCACCAGACGGGCCGGCAGGCGAAATTGCATCTACGGATCGGTCCAAGGGGTTCGCTCGGGATGGACAGGTTGGGTCGAAGAGGGTAGGTGCTTGGACGGCGGCTAGAGAGAGCATCGGACGCGCAATGGCGCCGGCGGCGGGAGCCAGCTTACGGATTGCCTGGCTAGGTTGCAGCGCGGGGTAGGTGGGTGTGTATGCCGTATATGTACCTGGCTGGGCACGTAAGGCTGAATGCGGCTCGAGTTTCTGGTGCAGGTCAGGGAGAAACAAGACCAACCACAAGTCATGTCTCACACCAAGGGTACCTACCCTTTGAAGTTTGGGTGGAGGACCAGGACACGGAAACACAGATCGGGGGAGATGGTGTCTCAGCCACAGCCGACCTTAAATTTTACCGATCGTTATGCGCCACGGGACTACCGGCAGTCGGGTGGTCGGGTAGTTGGGAGCGGTGCGCACCCGGGCCCCACCGTTCATGCATCCTACATCTGCTCACCTCACCTCCCGCTGCCTCTTCGGCGCCGCGGCGGCATCCTCCTTCCCACCTCGGGCCGGTACCAAGTAGAGCAAGTCACTCGATCGCAAAGGAACATGGCAATGGAAGCAAGACAGAAATAAAAAAGACAAAAATAAACCAATACATGTGCGTCCGCTCGGCCACGCACCAAGGCAAACTACTCCAGCTCATGCAATGCAAAATAAAACTAACATGCCTGACAACCATCAGCATCGTCTTTGGGTATCACCATCATCGTCAGCGCCTTAGCCGCCCTCGGCCGCGTCGGGATCCTGCTTCCCGGCCCCTTCCTTGCCCTCCTCCCCTTGCTTTTCCTCGCCCGCCTCTTTCTTCGGGCTGCCGAAAGACGCCTTGCTCCCCCGCCTAGGGAACGATCCGTCCCCCACTGGCGTGCTCGCTTGGCTGCCCAACAGGTGCTGCGGGTATTTCTGCAAGTCTTTGGAACTGGTCGAAAACGTGCTGACAACAGGCGTGTAGTACTCGCTGTTCGTCCCCGAGTGCCCGCTCATACCGCTGGTGCCGCTGACGTCGCGGTGATGTTGCGTGGGCGTACGCGCCTCGCTAATGGGACTCGTGAGGTTGTTGGCGTTGACGTTGCTCTCGACGAGATCGTCTCCGGGGGTCATATCGTTGCCAAATTGGGCGCCGTTCATCAGGCCATTCCAGCCACCCTCAATGTCTCGCAAAAGACGCACATACTCCTCGGGCACAAGGCCAGACTCCCCCGTGCGTGGGTCTTGTGCGACGAGCCAGCCTTGACCATGGCGATAGCTGACAAGTATGACTTGGCCCTCGGTCAACGGTAGCTCATTGTCGTTTTCGCGCGCAAAGTCAAACAACGCAACGGCCTTTCCATGCATCTCCTCATCCGGGGACGCTATAGTGAATTGGTAATCCCGCGAGTATCGGCTTTCATCAGCGTCGTAACCGCCTTGCGATGAGGTTTCTGAAATGTCGTCTTCGGATCCGTAAGTGAAGCCATCCTGATCGGTGTAGCTCCGACTCGGCAACGCATTCGCAAAGTGCGAGTCCCGACGCCGCTCGTCCTGGGATGATGGAACCGAGAGCGATGTATCGTTGCCAGCCCCGCCATCATCAGCCGGATATGTGATGTATTCGCCGCCCGGCCCATTGGCTGCCTCGTCGAAGTTGCTCACGTAATACGTTTGACTGCCATCGCCATTCGTGCCAGTGTACGAGGCTCTCCTTGGACCGTAGCCTCTGTCGATACCCCTGCTATGTTTGCCATCAAAATCGGACTTGTTCTTCTTGTGTCTAGCACTCGTCACCACTGGGCTGTGTAAGTCTTCATCCTCGCTCCATGGCGGACCGTCGCCAAAGCTGGTCGAGGGTAGTTGTTCGCCTCCGGTCCCCCAGGGTCCAGTCGACCAGCCCAGGCGCGAACCATCCCAAGGGATCGGAGGGTCGGACAAACGCCTGGCAGGAACCTCACTGGCCGGAGTCGACGTCCCCGAGCGCTGCTCCGGTAACGGCCCGTAGAACAGCGGGCTAAACGGAGGGTAGGCAAAGTCTCTAACGAGAGTATAGCTGAGGCTCGAATGGAAGACGGGGAAGACGGTGGACTGGGGGCGCGAGCGGAAGGGAGCCGAAGTTTGCGACATGGTGGAGAAGCGATGATTGGCGTAGGAAGGGGGCCTCGAGTTGGTGGATGGCCGCGAGGGCGGTGAGGTCACGAGCGGTGGCAGAGCAACGGCGGGGTTTGAGGTTGGCGAAGAGGTGGAGGGATCCTGAGGAGAGATGACGGCAGCCATGACGCTGCCCGTCTTGCCCACCAGCACAGCTGTCTCTCCAGGAGCGCCAGACCCGTGAGGCGGGGTGGTTTGGCCGCGATGGCTCGAGTCGCGCAATTGCGTCTTAGCGGGCTGCGGTTGACAGGCGCGACGCGCCGAGGATTGCAGTCAGGCAGACGGGCGCGTGCAGCCTGCTTGCGGGCGGGAATGCGCGGGCTCACAATCAGGATCGCCAATGGGCCAGGTCCCTGAAAGGAGGGCTTTTGGAGCCCAAGAGCTTGACCTAGGTGGTGTTTTGTTGGTGAGGTGGGAAGCGCTGGCAAGGGACAGGGGTCGCAGGACGGCCCCAGTGACGGGTGCGAGGGAGATGGCGGCTGCCGGCTGCTGTGAACTAGGCAACCGGGTAACGGGGGGGCGAGTTGTCTGGCCTCGAGAGCGTTGTGCGAGCGAGCGGGCGAGCGAGAAAGCAGGTGGGTTGGACGGCGACAAAGCGGCCTGCTCATCAAGCTAAATTTAGGCCTGAAACGCGGGCAGCAGCAGCAACAGCGCAACAGCGCAACAGCGCACCACTCGCCACTATTTCAACTAGCACTACCTAGCTCCAACGCTCGTCCGGGTCGCTCGCCCGTGGTTTCTTTTTTCCTACACGTGACTGCACGTGACGCACCGCCGAGGCACCGAACTTCCTAGCGCGCTGTAGCAGTAGCTTGCCGCGACGACTCTTCTACAAAGACACACAACCACACACACACACAAACACAACCACACACATAAGATACAAGGTATGTCTGCCACCCGCCCTTCCATCTCCGCCCTCTCCATCTCCCGCGCTTGCATGATGATACCTTTTATTGGAGCTGTCCTATTCCCATGAGGAGACTTCATTTACCGTATACGCAACTTTTCTGATTCGCCGCCAATTCGATTTCATCAATACCTACCTGCCCTGTCGCTCGCCTCACCGTGCTGACTTCCGCCCTAGATGTCAGCAGATCCTCGCCTGCGGTCGCGACCCGTTGTTCCTACTCCTCCGCCGCCTCCTCCGGTGGAGCCTGTTCCCGATTCCACTAAGATGGGAGTCGACGGGACGCAGGAGCAGGCGCCCGCTGCCGACGGAGGCTTCAAGCTCAAATTCTGCACTGTGTGCGCAAGCAACAACAACAGGTACGTGAGGGCTGGCGACAATGGCTCCCGGGGAAACATACGCCTCTACTTTCAATCTGCTGTGCATGACCACCTCTGCTCTCGTCTTGACTTTTCGTCGTGCATCGCCCATCTGCATGTATATACTTCGCCATCAAATCAAACAAAATCAACTTGGGGCCTTCGATTTCTCGTGTCCGCATGTCCGCCAGCCGCCCCATGTGCGCCATTTATATGCAAACATCCTCATTCTTCGCGCGTTCGGGCAACTGACACGCTTCTCCCATAGGTCAATGGAAGCGCACCTGCAGCTTTCCACCGCCCACTTCCCCGTCATCTCATTCGGCACGGGCTCCCTTGTCAGACTCCCTGGACCAAGCATATCGCAGCCCAACGTTTATTCCTTCAACAACACCACCTACGACGCCATGTACCGCGAACTCGAGCACAAGGATGCACGGTTATACCGCGCGAATGGCATCCTCAACATGCTCGATCGTAATCGAAGCACCAAGCGCTGCCCGGAACGGTGGCAGGACTGGCGGGTAGGCGTGCCTCGCATCAGCCACAAGGAAGACAAAGGCGCCATGGGTGTCGAGGGCGGCGTTGTTGACGTCGTGATTACGTGCGAGGAACGATGCTGGGATGCTGTCGTTGACGATCTACTCAATAGGGGCAGCCCGCTCAATAGACCGGTGCATGTGTTCAACGTGGACATCAAAGACAATCACGAAGAAGCGCTGATCGGCGGTAAAGCCATTCTAGACCTTGCTACACGCTTGAACGAGGCTGCCCATGAGGAAAGAACCATGAAAGGGGCAGAAGAATGGGATCGGGGCCAGGGCAGAGCTCGTATCGGGTTCGACGAGCGCGTACCGGACATTCTTGGTGAATGGCAGGCGCGATGGCCGCACCTACCCGCCTTGTGGACGCTAGCTTGGTTCTGATTCTCTCCGGTTAGCTGAACCATGGTAGTCATCTTTTGGCAGCAAGGCGTTTAGGTGTTATTGCCCGAAAGGGCTCCTCCATGTACTGTAGAGTTGGAGACGGCTGTGTCTTCTACCCGAGTCAAACAAGTTTTTTGATGACTCAATTTGCTTCTGCAAAAGAATGAGATACGATAAAGTTTTAAATAATATACAGAGGTTTGGGGAAGGGAGCTTTGCTCCAGTCACGGCCTTATCATCACTGCCTCAAATTCTACTTGCGACCTCAGACTGGAAGTAAGATATTGGAGGTTCATGCGCATTTTCAGGTACGTACGTACTCGAATCTCTGATATGAACATGAAGGAGGCTTAGCCTATTAGTCATTAAGCTATTCCGATGTCGATTTTTATCTTGATAGCGCCGGACCATTAATAGTCATTCTGATGTATGTTCTCGAGCAGAAAAGCTATGTTGGAACCCCCCCACCATTTCGAGATTAGGCATTCCAGTTACCATTTGCCTCTGGATACATCTGTCCAGGCTGCATTTGAAGATATTGTTGGTTGGCTTCGTATCCCATGTCGCCACCAAACAGGCCAGACAGATCAACATCCATGCCGATGCTGCTGAAATCAATATTGCCAAATCCAGCCATGTCCCAGCTGTAGTTGGTCATTACTTGGCCTCCGATTCCGTTGTCGTAATAGGTCTGTTGAATGGGGGGTGCCTGTGCCTGTTGAGCGACTTCGGACAGGAGATGCAATGGAGTCTGCGTGCTAGGAACGCTACTGCCGCTCGCATAAGAGTGACGGCTTTGCTCCTGTGGATTCGCCGTCGATGTGGTCTTTGTCAACGCTGAAGCTGCTGGAGTTTGAGCAGCCTCGGCTGGGCGAGCCCCGCCGCTCTTCATGCTTGTAAATTTCTCTCTCAAGCCCATGACAATGTAATGGAACTTTGCATGCGGTGATTGCGGGTCCTTCTCTACGGCAAGGAGAAAACGGCGTATTAGATTTTCGAAGTAAAATTCCAAACGTAAAGACTCTGGTGTGATGGTAGCACTGATATCTCCAGGAGTCGTTGCATCTGCCCACAGTTTTGCGAGGCATACTGTGGAATACACGGCACGTACGGCTGTTACAGTGAGTCGATCAACCCGCGCTATTTCTTGCAGCGGGATACTTACAATATATGACTGGCAAGGCATGGAATGACTCGAAATCAAGAGAAAGAAAGTTTTCGAGGAGGCCATGACATGACTTGATGCACTCTTGGAGCGAACTTATTGCGACAGGGCTGAGTAAGTTCTGACGCCCTGGTTCTTCTGGATTATCGTCTGCGTTTTGGTTATGATGCGCGGCAACTTCATGTGCAAATAGCCCAGTGACGTTCTCTGAGAATTGCAGTAGTGCTGTTGTGCGTTAGCTCCAGAACTCCCAGAGACGAAAAAACCACAACTCACCATTGTTGGCATATGCAGGGCGCTTCTGACGCAAAGACTCTAGCTTCGTGTCATAGTTTCTGAGGGCGATTTCACTGAATTTGTCTGAAAGGTTGTTAGCTGCCGCTGGGTCGTCCATGGAGAATTGCGAAGCGACATCCTCCGCGATAGCTGCTAGCTTGAGGTGATAACAGAAGATTTTGTCGGAAGGCAGAGCATCCGAAGCCGTCTCTAGCTCCGTGACACACTCATCCATGTATTTATTCCAACGGAGGAACATAGGTCGGCGAAGTATCATGGCAATGCTAAGACTAGTTAGTCGGGAACTACAGGGTTAAGAGAACTCGTTGTAAATTGCAATAGACATACTTTGCCCCTAAGTAGTAGCATGCCTGTGGATGTCAGCATAGTAGACGATAAAAAGACGGGCAACAGCTCACCATGAAAGCTCTGCGAGCTTCGACACCCCCTGCGTTTGGCAGACATCTGCGAAATGGACCCAGACCGAGTTTCGCCTTTGATTTTCCAGCTCTCTTCCCAAGGCCAAGCTCCAAAGCCATAGAACTCGCGGCGTTGATCATCATGTAAAACGCATGATGCTCGTACATTGCTGGTGGTCGATACCACAACACACCTACTATCAGCGCCTGGATGATCTCCAAGGTCTTTTCTTGTTTGCGCCAAATAAGCTCAGCAAATGAACCTTGCAGCAAATCAGCCAGGTAGCGCTGGGTGTCTGCCGGCACGACTGGTTCGCATCCATAAGAAGCGGCTGTTAGGATGGACAAGAAGAGTAGGGGTTTCTCTGTGCGAAGCCCGGCGGCCGTAGTATCCTGTGGTAGAGGAACAGCCGGGAAAGCGGGAGCCAAGTCGTTGACATAGCGGTGGATGACACGTTCAGCAACATCACGATCCATGCATCTGTCAACCTCATACGAGATGTATGAGTAATCAGTCTGACCCGGACGCCCCTCAGCTCGGTGATGCGCGGCAGCAGCTATTTCCGCATGGTCGTCGTACATGATTTCCCGTCGTGCATCGCTGGAATTCTAGGTGCCGTAAGTAGAAGCGTTTTGAAAGCTCGTAACGGAAAACACGCACCAGTCCTCCGGACGGCTCATTGGTTCTCCTCCGCTTTTCGGGGCGTGTTGAGCCAGGGTACGCTGCAGCTGGGTCCGATGCATCCTGAGGCAATGGCACATCGGGATGTCCAGCATACGGGGGCATCGGAGCATCGCCCAAGCGAGCGGTCAGTTCATTCACCTTCTTTTCGAGCTCGGCAACACGCGTGTCAGCCTTCTTGGTGCGCTTCTTAGTTGGCGCAGTGGTGATGCATGTTTTTTTGGACTTTTTGCAACGCTTGCACGGATGCGTCTCGGAGATGGTCCCGTTCTCATCTTGGGGATCGCATCGAACCTGAGGCGGGTCAATTGGGACTGCAACAAAGCAGGCAGCAGGGCAAACAGACCTTGAGAGCGCGGCAATGGTCGCATGCGCGCAGGCGCTTTCCGTCCGGACCAAGCTTTGTCTGGTTGCTGGCGGGCGTCAGTGGAGGAGGGTAGGGCCAGAGGGGAGCATGATATACCTCGAGCTGTTCAGGTCCGCAGCAGCGCCGACAGACGCAGAGCTGGCCGTCGAGGCGCGGCGGTCTTCTTGGGCGGCCGTGGCGATGGCCTGAAGGGCCGCATCGCTGGGCTGAGGGTGGGCGGCGTCGTAAAACGAAGGGCCCCGGGAGTAGTAGGCGTCGGACACGCCAAACTCGAGGCGCGGATCGATGCGCGACGGGTCGGCCATCAGTCGCTGAGAGTAGATGGTCGGGCGCCCGGCGTGTCGCGACACCGATGCTTTGGCGGGCGCCACCGAGTGAGCGCATCGCACGTATCACGTGCGGAACCCAAAATAGCACCCGGCGGCACTGCCACGGCCCTGGCATAATTCCTCGCAATGTGCCACACCACAAAAGCCCGTCATCCATGACCGCAGTATGCTGGTGCCATAGCTTAGCCTGATCCCCGTGCTTGCTTGCTCTCTCTCTCTCTCTTTCTCTCTTTTCGCTCTCTTCCGCGCCGTGCTTCGCCCGCCTACTGACTGTCTCCCCACCCATCCTCCGCCCTCGCGCCCGTTGCTCGCTCCCTGACGCTCGTTCCTCGACGCCAACCTACCTACGATCTACGAGTACCTCCCCCCGCCTCCGCCGCCGTCCCGCCCGCCCGACCAGCACCGCACACGCGCCCAGCGTTGCCCCCCAAGGCTTTTGATGGAAGGCGTTGCGCCTTGTGGCTCGACAGCGTACGGACCGCAGGCATCTACGTCACGGAAACATGAGGGATTGGAGCAGGGGGTAGATCCGACGTCCAGCGCCATGGACAAGTTCGGGTGCGTCGCGGGGAAAGCAGCCATGCGTACATGCCGTCGGGCCGCACGCGCCGGCCCCTTGGTTCTGCTTCTTGTGCTCTCCACCTTGGTCGCGTCCGTCGGCGCCGTCTTCATCGACTTCAACAACTGCCTCGACCCCAACATTATACATTCGGAACCCAGGCAGCTCCAGTTCATACCTCACTTCGTCAGCGCGAGATTCAACACGTCCGATCCTAGCCATAATCTCAATGTTACCATCTACGGCAACGTGTCGGGCCAGGCAACCCAAGGCACTCTTCCATCCCCGCTCAACACGACCTACTGGAACAACCCCAACGAGACCTTTGGCAAGATTGTCGACCTCAGTACTTCAAACAACAAGTACACCACCTTGTTCTCCAAGTTCCAGGTCGTCACATACACACCATACGACGCAGAACCCAGCCGTTTCTGTTTGGCCACGGTCAACACGTCATGTCCGATTGCGCCAGTTTTCGAGGATGTCCAAGACCCGTACGGCCTTTCTATTTTTACTGTTGCCCACGACTTTTACAGTTCCTATGCCTTCGCCTCGTTTGCTGCCACAATCCGGGTCCAGTCTGGAGATAGTGGCGCGCCAGACCTAGCATGTATATCCGCAACCATCACGCCAGATCTGGGTGGAGCCCTATCTGATGCACTCCGCTACCTTCCGGCAGCTATCCTGGCACTAGTAGCAGTCGCGACTATATTCGCCGCAATCTTCAGTCCCTGGGGATCTTCCGATCCTTTTCGCTGGACGAGCAACTACGGAAGAGATGAGGACCTCCTGCGTTTGGTTACCCCGGGTTTCGGCGATTGTCTGCAGTACGTACAGTTCATCGTCCTTGCAGGCAGTCTAAATCTGGCATATCCAGGCTTCTATCAGCCGGTCATCAGCCAGGCAGCCTGGTCAACGCTTCTGTTCAACGAAAGCTTCGTGACTCCTGGAAATTCGTCCTACAACAGTCTTGTAGATGGCATATACGTCACCAACAGCACATACGGCTTGTCCCGTCTAGGGCAGTTGGTTGGCATGGACAAAGACCAGGATATATGGGCCGCGTTCGCCGTATGGTTCCTAGGCATCACAGTCGCTGCGGTGCTCTTATGCCAGATCGGTTTTGTGATAAAATGGGCATATCGGTTCATATCGCACACGCAGGAAGAGGATTTGCGTAGCAAGAACCTACCTTTTTCGACAGGCGTCGTTGTCCGCATGACCTTCAATTATTTCCTCCTCCCCATCGTGTCAATTTCACTCTTCCAGCTCGTCGTGGCGAGCAGGTCACCCGCTTCGGTGGTCGCAATGGCCGTCTTCCTTCTCATTGTGGTTATTGGGCTGGCAGCCTGGATCTTCCGTCTCATTTTTACCACTAAGCCTCGCGCACATCTGTTCGACGACTTGCCCACCGTATTGACGTACGGGCCTCTTTACAACACTTATTCCGACGATGCAGCCCCTTTTGCTTTCATTCCGGTCCTGCTTACCTTCATCAGGGGTGTGGCAATCGGCGCGATTCAACCTTCCGGCATTGCTCAACTAATCATATTAGCTATCTGCGAGGTCATTTACATCCTCACGCTCCACGCATTCAGGCCTTTTCAGGCACCGACGTCTATGAACGCGTACCATACTTTCTTCTCCGTAGTTAGGCTGCTCACAACGCTTTTGAGTGTGGCGTTTGTTCCCAATCTCGACGTTGCTGAATCATCTAAAGGATGGCTTGGCTATGCGATTTTGTTGCTACACGCGATCGTTTTGGTGTTTGGTTTCTTCTTGAACTCAATACAAACCATCGTTGAAGTCTCTGCGAGAATGGCTGGAGCTGGCGATGCCAGAGGTGGCCTAACCAAGGTCTTTGGAAAGAGGCAGTTATCTCGCCGTACACATCGCAGGGGCCAGCGGAGCAGTCTTAACTCGAACGCAGGGATGCTCGGCGATGGCGATTCTAAGTCCATTCAGCTCATGGGTGGCCGTTCACGGAGCCTCTCGGCTAGTTCTGCTGTGCTACTAGCTCGTCAAGCCGGAATGGATGGTCGTATGAGCGGCGGATTTGAACATTTCAGCCAAGGCGGCGACCCCAGCAACTATGGTGGAACAAGCCCTGAGCCCGGGACACCTGGTGGTAGTGCTACACCTTATACTTTCCTTCCAAGCGGTAGTGCATCGGCTGGTGCTTCGTCCCGCCGCCCTACCATGGGTACTATGGCCCCGAAGGGCCTGGAAACCACGGATCCGTACTACCGGCCTCCCCGCGCACGAAGACAGACTGTCGATCCTTACACTCCTGGAGCACGCAGCAGAGCTTCTTGGGGGAACGGGGATTCGTCAAAGGCATACGAAGACGCGCCAGAGTCTGGAGATGCTGGAGAAGGGTCTTCATTCTCCCCTCATCGTGGAAGTATAACGCCTGCTTACCTGCGAGGCCTTCGGGATGACTCCGACCCGAACATCAACGAACCACGAAGGCCTCGCACCGATTACGCCGTCAGAGAATCTGATTTCTATTACGGCGTCACACGAGGCCCGGCCCTTGCCAGCGATGGTGTCCCAACCCGCAAGCTTAAGACCGGACCAGCCGACCCTATGGGTCCCATGTCTTCAGCCGGTGGATGGTTGAAGAGTCTTTTTGGAGCCAAAAGGAAGGACAAGAGTAAAGGTTTCGAAGTTGTCAGAAGCACGCGAGCACCTCAAATGCTTGCTGTTGGAGAGGAAGAAGAGAATGCGCCAGATGATCATCATCACGAGCCTTACCAGGACAACCCAGACCCACGTGCACACCCAGATCCACCGCGTGCTATGTCAGCCTACACTAGGGCCAGTTCCGAAGATGGGCGGCATCCGGATCCGCCGCGGGCTATGTCGGCCTACACTATGGCCAGCTCCGACGACGGACACATCGCTAGGCCACGGAGAGATTCAAGCGACAGTTCAGATTCTCAGGAGAGCTCAGAGGAAGAGAATCTGATTGGCGAGGATGGTGATATCTTTCACTCAGGAGGCCCTCGGGTCTCAGACATGGCTCCAACATTAGGGCCCATTGAAACAGGTGGAGGGATTGAGTTGCCGAGCAGGATTGGGTCGAAAGCCAGCTCCAAAGTATCCAGAATGGGTAGCTTGAGCAGACCCCCAACCATTCCTCGCAAGAGCTCGAAGCGCCAGTCTGGACACGAGGCGACCATGTTCGCAGACACGCCACGGCTATCGACTATTTCGGCCTCGCCATCCGAGTACGCGACGCAGGAGCCGCCGGCGGCACAGGAGCAACACGCGTCTGGGTACCTTCAGCCGGGGGCAGTCCCACGGCTTCCTTTCGGGTCGTCGAAATCGTCGCCATCTCCAGAACGGTCAGCAGCATCAAGCATCGGGGGAGAGGCGGGGCATTCCGGGTCAATGCGGAGGCATACAGGGTCGCAGAGCACCGAGGGCGAGCGGCCGCTGAGTACAGGATACGTGCATCAGCACAAGGCGTCGGAAAGCATCCAGCCAGGACTATACGACCCGGCGGTGCACATGGGCAGTCGGGCGGAATTTGTGCAGGATCCGCTGGGGAGTCGCAGCACGCGGCGGAGCGAGGAGTGAGGAGGCTATACACACGGAGTAGTTAGTTGATTTAATGTTTCTATCTAAATTAATTTTTGGACGGGGCGCTTATTAAGCGGCAAGCGGGCGGTGAGAGCAAGGAGGGGTGATGATATGATGTCGCCCGCCCGCAGCTTTGCGACAACAGCCAAACGAGGTACACTATGGACGCCCCTCCGAACAGCGACGGCGACAGGCGGCCGTCGGTGGTACCAACACAAGAGCGTGGGGAGACTTGGTTGGACTTTCTACGCTCGGACGGGGGCGAAAGTCGAGCTGCTTCAGACGGGCGCCCGACGACGGCAGGAACGACGGGGACAACGGGGACTACGGGGACGACGGGGACGACGGGGACGACGGGAACGACAGGAACGGCAGACAGGAAGCGACGCCTCACCGGTTCCGACACGGCCAGGGAAGCGGCCAGCGACGTCTTCATCCCCCCGTGGCAGCCCGACGCCGACGTCTCCCACTGCCCCGTCTGCGAGACGCCCTTTAGCTTCTGGTACCGCAAACACCACTGCCGGTGCGTGCACCTAAACCCTTTCTCTCTCTTTTTCAAGCTGACCCACCCCCAGTAAATGCGGCCGCGTCGTCTGCGCAAACTGCTCGCCTCATCGCATCACCATTCCGCGCCAGTACATAGTCCATCCGCCCGAGGAGCTACGCCTCCCCCGTAACCCCACGCTCATCGACCTGCCCGGCCATGTTGACGAAGACGCGTCGCCCCAGAGTACCATATCCACAAACCCGGCTCTAGGCGGCGGCGAGGAGGTGCGCGTGTGTAATCCGGTACGTGTCCAAGGGACGTCGTGGGCCTTGTTCTATCGCTAACTGTCACCGCCAGTGTGTCCCTGACCCCAACTTCAGTCCACCGCCTCGCTCTGACCTCACGAACAACCGACTACCCTTCCCAGACTTCGAGACAACGGGCTTTCCACATGACCATGCGCCCCCTCCTTTTGCAACATTCCATCCCTCAAGTAGACCGAGGAATATGACATATGATGGTGCGCAAGCTTTTGACCGACCGCACTCGCCGAACCACCGCCCGTCGCGAAGTGATGTTAGCCAGAGGACAACAACTTTGTCGGGCACTGGCTTGTCAAACCCTTTCTCCAGTCGGCTTGTAAGCCTACAGCCCCCTACCATGTACCCGCAACCGCCCGCCTTTGCTACCAGACCAGGTCAAAGCGCAACTCCGTTTCCTCCGTACGTGCCCCGTCTCGCCTCAGCATACACAGGAATGCCGCATCATATGCGTTCTAGCCGAGCCTCTAGTGCCTCGAGCTCGCAACAACCGCTGCGCTACCGCTCACTTCTAGACGTCACAAGTCCCGACTCTGTATCCGAATCTTTTGCGCCAAACCATCCTCAACCACAACCCCAAACCAGGCCACAGACGCGCCGCCAGATTCCAGAAGAGGACGAATGCCCAATATGTCACGAGGAATTGCCTCCAAAGGGCCCCGATGGAAGCACGGTTGCTCGGGAAGCCCATGTCGAGGAGTGCATCGCAGCAAATTTCGCAGGCTCTTCAGGGCCCTCGCGTTCCTCGCCTCCCACTGCCATCGATGCTGCAGTTGCTGCAAATTCAGCTCGGTCAGCAGATGGAAGTGCGGGAACGACTCTTGCCCCTCCCGGTGAGCGAGTACAGGCTGAAGGATCGAGGAGGCGCAGAGCCACGCAAGGGATGCTCAGGTATCGAGCCACCGAGAAGGATTGTGTAGACGAAAAGGGCGAGGCGCAGGAGTGCGTCATCTGCTTTGAAGAGTTTGAAGAAAGGGATGAAATGGGAAGGCTCGAGTGCTTCTGCAAGTTCCATAGGGTATGTAACGAAATTTTCGTCTCCCAAGGCGTCTTGAACGGAATCCCTATCCCCGTCCCCAATTGAATCTGTACGAGGCTAATGCTGATGCGCCACCGATATAGGACTGCATACGGCAATGGTGGAACACCAAGGGCGATGGTTGTTGCCCGACACACCAAGGCAGCTTTGTCTTGGGATGATGATAATGATGATAATGATTTTGTATTGCATCGTTCCCTCGCCTGGATAAGCACATTTCTCTTCAACACGGCGTCACATTAGAAGGCTGCCTATCATATGGGCCGGTCAAAGGGGGGCGCAAAGGGTATTGGCATCAGACAGTTTAGTAGTTTAGCGCGGTTTAAAGCGGGGGACAGTAATTCCATTGGTTTTCAAACATTGATTCGAAAATTTGAGCAGCCTGTACAAACACCTAACCCACACATCACATGTACATGTAAAAGAATGACTGCTTGTGCTCCAGTTATGGACAGATAGACGCTAGACGTAGACCGGACAAAAATCGGATCAAACAATGGTATAACACACGGCCCGGAGTATGTATTGGTAAGGTTGGAGAAACATCAACACTACCGCAAAATCGTCATTCCGTTCCATTCGGAGTTGTGTGCCGCCTGCAAATGAGTCGAGTTTTAACCCGGCTAAACCTCACACCAAAATCACACCCGCTTCAAATAGCAGCCCTTTTGATCAACCGAACTGGATTAGCCCTCATTCTCCTGTGGTAACAGTCGACGTCGGTGATCGTGACCTCCCACATGTCTCCCAGTTTTGGTTCGTCTCCTATCTCCTTGAATGAACGAGAGTGGACATCCATATCGAATGAATACTTGAGAGACCACCCAACTACACGAGGGTAGTTGTCGTTAGGAATACTCGTAATGTAAACCTCGAACGTCTCAGGCAAATCAGCTTCCTTGCACATGATCGCTCGGAAGAAAAGCTGAGATAGCCAGAAAGACTGCGCGTTTCGTTTCGTCTTACTGATTAGGCGCTCGCGAGGGGTAAGCCGAGAAATGATGGCTTCAATATCCTTTTTGGTGAAGGCAAGTTCTTGCTCTTTGTAAGTTGAGCCAACTAGGCTCCGACCTAGTTTGTGCTCCAGCCGCATGGCAGACTCAATTTGCCAGTGCATAACCATGTCTCCGTAGCGGCGCAAAGGACTGGTCATCTTGGCGTATTGAGGAGTTCCCAGAACACCGTGCTCATAAGGCGTCGTAGAGGCTACCGAGGCACCAATGTGTTTCAGGTAATCCATAGCAATACTGAAAGGTATAGAGCCATCCTCCCTCAAAGCTGGCTTCATGACGGTGTTTTCATACTCTTTCATGTCCATGGTTCCGGGCCTCTTGACCATTCCACGATATATCACTGGAAGATTCCGGTCTCTGCACCATTTGGCGCCCACTTCACCGGCGAGCAACATTATCTCTCGCACTAAAATTTCGGATTCGGCGCCCGCAGTCGAAAACGGATTCGTGCTTGAGTTTGCGCGCATTTGGATTACGGGGTCACCATCCGTGAAACGAGCTCTGTCTCGCGATGGAGTAGACCAAGGGACTCCCGGTTGGTCGTATTTGTCGTAGACGGAGAACTCGGGATACCCTTGGTCCCAGAAGATACCACCCGCTTGCCTACGCTTCTTGTTCCGTGCCATCGCTAATGCTTGCAATGTTTTGAGGTCAGATATTTGGCTTTCTGACAGATCTGTCTCTTCATGAATTTTCCGAGTTGCAATCTCCGGTACCTTACCACCCACGGTAAGAATGATTTCTGTTTCACCGGATTCTTTGCTCACGTCTTTTCCGGTGACTATCCGTTCAACAGTAGGGGGTGTCATTGAAACGACGTTACGAATGAAACCAGATTGCATCTTCACGTCCAAGACGTCAGCATCATCGTTGAGCTTGATGCTAATCGTGAGACAAGGGCGGTTCGGAGCCAAGCTAAATTTTTCCTGGGTGATCCAGCTGGGAAGCATGGGGTATGTTCTCTCCGGCATATAAATCGTTTCTGTTAGATGAGCGGCCATCTTTGATGCGAGGTGATCCTTTGGCAAGAATGCCGTCGGGTTTGCGACATGAACATGGACCCAGTACTCAAATCTATCCGGAATTCGCTCAAGAGATATACCGTCGTCGATCTCTTCGGCAGTGGCAGAATCGACACAAAAGACTGTGCGATCTCCGTAATCTCTTCGGAGGTGCTTCATAGCATCATAAGTCGCGGCTTTGGTTTTGTCAGTTCCCATGTGCTCGAGATGGCCAAACAATTGCTCCAGTTGTCGAGAGTGTTGCGCTGTGGGCAACAGAAGATGGGGGTCAAACTTGATGCGGTTCTCGTGTGGCGGAATGACTCCAATCTCTTGCAGAAATACAAAGCCGAGACTAGATTGATTTTGCCAAGAGGGATCGTAAACCCCTACCGCACGCAACAAGATTGGGCAAAGGCTCAGAAGCCGAGGTGAGGAGCGCAGAAGACTAGACATGGACCAGGCTTCCAAGAAGCGGATCAGAATCTGCTCCGACTCAGTAAACTCCAGAGACTCAACAACTCTGAGAGCGGTCGAGGTCGGAGTAATATCAAATTTGTTTTTGGACGACGTCAGTCGTCCGTACATGGTGGGTTCGCGCATGCGGCGACTTTGTTCGACAAGAGTTCGGGCTTTTGCGGCGAAACTCTTGACTATGGCGGCACCTTTCAAATCTTTCGAGCGACTACGAGGACCACCGTCGTCGAGTGCCATTGACTCCTGGTATTCGCGAATCCAGTCCCGTGCCTGCTCCAGGCGCTCCACTAAGTCCTTTGGAATTATTTGAAAGACACTAGTTAAACGGTGACTTCGCATATCGGTCATGAACCCCAAGGGTTGGTGCATCAACGCCTTGCGGACCGCATACATGACTGTTATGGGTGGCTTTTTCGTGTTCAAGAGAGTTTCGGTAATCTTCTGGAGAGTGCCAAAGCGCAAATCAACTTGATGCGCCAATTTTTTGTGTGCATTTTCCAGTAGGGAAGCATGCTTCCGATGGATGGCATCCGCTTCTTGGGCAAACTGTTTGAGTTTGAAGATGACGGGCGATGCTATCTCCCGCGGAGCGCTGATATCGAATAACTGCATCTTGTCTATGAGATCAGAAGTAACTTCTTTGCTGGGTAGATACGGAACAATAGGGTCGATCAACGATGGATCCATGAAATCCTGCACAGTAAATTGGACATCGTTGAGTTTCCGGTGAAACCATTTGCCATCTATGCTGTAGAACTGGGACTGTGTTTCAAATTGTTTGACAAATACGGCAAGTAGGGGCTCGCGCTCTACTCCTGGAAACCTGTACAATGCTTAACAAACGTCGAACGCCAGAGGATCACCAAAACAACTTACATTATTTCAACGAGGTCACCTTTGTTTAAGAACTTCCCGTTTGTGGGGTCATCCAGGAGTTCGGCCGCATGCCGAGTACGCTCTTCTTCGTCAACACTCTTCTCGGGATCGTCAAGGTCGCGAATGTCATCCGGATCTGAGAGGCGCGCCAAATTTGTGCTCACTCCCTCAGATGAATCATCTAGGCCGAGTTCCTCAAGAAGATCCTTGTTTGACAGACCGTGCTTTTTTTGCCATTGCTGCAAATAATCCCGCGCTGCGGTTTTGCGCTTCGATCCTGGAACAAAGTTGGAGAGGTCCGCCGACGCGCCTGGACCAGTTACATTGCCCACTTGACAAAGATTTCGATAAGAGTGAAAGTGGCGTTTGGCCCCTGGCAGCTCCGCCGAGGGGTGGGACACATTCGAACGCGCCGATCTAACGTGTTGATGGTATTTATATTGGGCGTGGCGACGATGGTCGTCCAACGCCGAGAAGAACAACAGCTGTTCCTCTTCCACGAACTTCTCTTGGGCCAGCTTTGTAGAAAATCTTCCGGTCGAAGCAGCCTCCTGGATCGTAGAATGCGCTTTGCCACTAGGCATCTTTTGCGGTCCTACAGAGGCGGCAGTGCTGTAGGATTGCGAGAGCAGGTGGCGCTGCTTCAAACGACAGCTCCAGCAGAGGCTCGAGGGCGGGCTGCCCCGGGCGAGGGCTGCGGCGCGAGCGAAGGGCGCCATTGGGCAGTCAGGTCAAAGGAAGCTGAAGAGTGAGAGGCGAAAAGTACAATGACAGACCAAAAAGTCGAAGATGGACGCGGAAGTCCGAGGGTCCAAGCTTCCGGTTTGCGATTAACTACCGGGGTAGTGCCGTCATCCTCATCGGCCGGCAATCTCTGCGTCAACCACTACAACCACCACCACCACTGCTAAGTAAAGGTAAGCATTCGCCTTCTTCCTCGCCCTTTTTCTCGCCTATTCCCCTCTTCCCCCTCTTGTGATGAGATCAATAAAAAAATAGCATGTATTATCTGAGCCATCGCCTTCTGGCGTTGCCTTTGTGGAGCAACTCAACTCTGACTCTTGGTTTCGCCGTCTTTTTTATCCATCAGAATGAGCTCCTGTTTCGTCGCTGACCCGTTTCACCCATCTAGGCCAGCCGGTATGCCATCTACAAATGCGCCTCCTGGTCATTTCAAGGTTCTCTACTTTGCCGCCGCGTCATCCTACACTAAAAAAGACCATGAGATGTTAAAGGCGCCTTTGCCGGCCTCTGGCCTGCTCACGCTCCTGGGAAATGAATATCCTGGGATTGAGGCCCTGTTGAGCAGCTGCGCCGTAACGGTAAACCTGCAGTACATTGACCTTGAAGAAGAGGATGGCCATTTGATGATAAATGAAGGTGACGAAGTGGCTATTATTCCCCCAGTTAGTTCCGGATGATGTCTGTCTTTCCTAAAAGAGTCTGAACGACAGCTTGACTCGTTCTCTTATGACCTGCAGCTACTCCGGTTTCTCACGGTCCTCAGCCTCGTGAGTCTTCGGTAGAAAAAAAAATAAAGCTTTTAACGTTCCAAGCCCGCACCGGATATGCGGGTGGGAAAAATAACAAGTAAATAAAGAAATAACTAAACAAACATATTATTATTATCTTATTTTGATTAAAAAAAATAAATGAAGGATCCATCTAATGACGGGTTGTCTCCCTACTTTCGCTCGATGTCTATCCAAAATCGGCTGTCAGCAGATCGTATGGCCTTACGTAGACACTACTCAAAGATTGATATCAAATCAAGGTTTCTCAGCGCAAGCAGTCTCTTATTCCGGTTATAAGACGATCGGGGTCAGATGTCTTTGAGCTCGACGAAATAACAGCGCTATAAATATGCCATGATACCATAGTAAAAGACTATTACTCCAGGTGTTTATAGCTTTTTGTCTACCTAACTACGAGCATTTGCTGAGACACTCATTCATCAACAGGGTGCGGAATCGTCCAGCCTCATTACCGTCGGTCCAGCAAATGGACGGTACGCTAACGGACGGTCACGACCGTCTCGGTAGCGTCGCGCTAAAAACGGTCTCGTCCCGGCGGAGCTTGGTTCATAGGGACGGTAACAGACGGTGTTGTATATTTTTGCTAGTGTACCGAGTATTCGATGGTGTTGAGGCGCAAACGCCACCCCCCCTCGTTGCCTAAATAGGCTTAGTACTAGGGCTTTAGGCGCGCGCGGACGAACGAGTGGGTCTTCGCAAGCTCCCCGCTGAGCCACGAGAGGCCTGTTTTATACCTAAAATCGACCCTCTAGGGCTGGCGGAGAAGCGCGCGCGGACGCAAGATATTATATTTTCGGCTTTAACTCAACACCATGACAAGACTCGTGATAACCGTCCGACGGAGCCAGACGACTTACTCCACCGTCCGTAGAGTCTAGTGGACGGTGGGGACGGCGGGCTATCCGTCCCGTCCACCGTCGGCACCGGACGGGACGGTTGTACACCCTGTTCATCAACACACAACTCAGAAACATTTCGTCTTCCCTTTAAGTTTCGCTATCCGTCATAAATCTAAGTTTCAAAAGCATTCATCTAAACAATGATGAAAGAATCATTCGTTTATTGACAAGCAGCCGCTTGTACGCGCTGCATTGATAGTATTTAGGAAACATACAACTTCAACAACTTGTGTTCCTTCAATTGTATGTACTCCTAGGTGACTCTTTGGGTCCTGGGGTTTTGCCGTTTAACCGCCCCAACTTTGTCCAGTCCCATACCCATCGCGACTCAATCCTAGGTTTGAGCTATGTCGTCTGAAACCCATCCCCATCCCGATTGGCACACTGGTCTTCCTCCTTATGGGACGACCTTTCTGTTGAGCACCAGAACCTCTTCGACTCGAAGCTGTGTTCCTATGCAGACCTCCACTTGGAAGCGAAGAGCTTGGCTGGGGATGTATCATGTTCGCGGTCCCAACATCGTCATCGATGTCATTGTCAAGAACACCTGAGGAAATGGTGGTTGTGCGGCTAAGTAACTCACCGACAACGCCATAGTCATCTTCAGAGCTCAAACTGTCAGAATCCCCACGTGAACAACGTGCAGGCTCTTGGTTTTCCTCGTCCGACACATCTGGTTCTTCGGGACCGAAACCTTCTCCCTCAATCAAAAGGAAGGCGGGGATGGCACCCAACAGCGAAATGGCAGCGAATATCCAGAACGGTACAATAACGTAACCGTGCTCCACGCCCATGGTAAATGTACTTCCTCCAATCGCAGGACCGGCAGCTCTGCCTATCGCAGAAACGCTTGTTGCGATGCCATTCAGTGTACCGAGAATCCTCAAAGAAGTGGCGCTGTTGGTCAAAAGAATCGTGCTGCATGGAAACGCAAACGTCGAGGCACAGCCCTTTACCATCATGATCATAAACATGACAACTTGTCGGGATGTCGATGTAGGTAATAGTGCGGTGAATGGAGTCAAGAAGAAGCAAACTGGGAAAATCAGAGATACAACGCGAAAGCAACGGACGACGCCATAATGCCTAGCGACCGGGGGGAATAAGAAGAGCTGGTACAGGATGCCCAAAAAACCATAGAGCGTAAAGAGGGTACCTATCCTCCCAGAGTCTATGATGCGGTTAGTGCTTCCTCTGGTGTCTTGTGCCAAAAAAAAAAGAATGGAAATTTACCGATACCAAATCCCCCAGAAAACTTCAGAGGATTCTCAGTATTGAGCATATGTTGCTCGGGATGGTGCATAAATACTGGAAGAAGCTAAGTTTGGATCTTGTCAGCGCACTCTATGCGGCGGCTAGAGGGTACTACTCACTTGATCATAACCTATCGAATGCGCTGCCAGAATCGTGTACACCAGTAAGTTCATACAGGATTGTGTGGTAAGCACATCCCTCACGCTAGGTGCCTTTTGGTCTTCGGGGGATTTTGCAGGTGCAATGCTGTCTGCTTCTTGGTCATTATGGGCTTCCGGTGAAGTTAGACCTGGGCGTTTCAGCAGTGGTTCAATTTCTTCTCCTCTGGCTTGTCGCAGTAAGTTCTTGACTCTAGTAAGCCCTTCAAGTACAGTGTGATTTAGTCGCTGCCCAAGAATGAGCCCGTAATCTTTTTGGCCCTTCTTCGATGCCAGCGTTTCCTGCAACTGCGTAAGTAACATGTCATGAAATATTTCAGAGGAAGGTCTACGTGGAGATAAAGAATGCCAGTCATGATGCCTGCAAGAAAGACACAAGCAGAGACAATGTTCGGGAGAGCGTATGGGAACTTCTCGAAAAAGGAGTCTCCGCGTGGCTTAGTGATATCCACATGCAGAGGGTTTGCAAGAGCACCTCCGATAGCCTAATATAATGTCAGGCAAATACTTGGCATGACAAGAGAGCATCATACAGGGCCAAAAACACTGCCAACGTTGTACACAAGTGGCATTATGCTGAAAGCTCGCGGTTGTAACTCCTGCGGCGTAGGGTAAGCATAGACGTGGCTGTCACGGCACAAGATGAACACACTTTCCAAGGGCACAGTTCGGCGACCATGGTGCGCAAGATCCCCACGTTACCGTTACCAGCACCCTGCAGTGCCCTGACAATCAATGCCATTGGCAAGGAGGTGGAGAAGCCCCACAACAAACTCGTGAGCATGGTGTTGAACAAACCCAGCAGGATGATGGTCTTGCGGCCATATTTGTCAGAAGCGCGCCCCCAGGCTATGCTCGTCGCACACTGGCCCAGGCTGAAGATGGCTGAGGCGATTCCAGCCCATTTCGCTATTTTGTTCTTTGGGACTTTGAAGCTCTCGACCATCTCAGGGAGGTAGGGAAAGACGCTGGTCAAGGCCAGCGGCTCGGCAAACCTGCACAGGGCTGGGGCGTATCAGATCAGCGGGGAAGCAGGCGATGTGCTGGCATATGTATATGTACCTAGAATGACAAACTGCTGCCGAGGCAGCCTGGGCGCGGGCATGGCAGGCGGGCGAGAGGAGAGAGGGTGTGGAGGAAGAGGAGCGGGAAGAGCGAAAGCACGCAAGACAGGCGGTCGAGTCATGCGCCTGCCTATTTTACCTATTCGATCATCCCGGTCGGTCGGCCCTCCTCGGCCAGTGCCGACCACCGGCTCACCCGCACCCGCCCCTCCTTGAGCACCGCCAACACGTGCTCCTCCGGCCGATCCAGCACCTCCATCGCCTCGAGCGGATTCGCATTCAGCACAAGCACGTCCGCCGCATACCCCGCCTTGATTTGGCCCAGCGTCTCCGCCTGTCCCAGCATCTCTGCCGCGTTGACCGTCGCACTCTGCAGCACCTGCACCTTGCTCAGCACCCGCGCCCGCAGCCCAAACTCTTTCGTCTGCTCCACCCCCAAAGGGCCCAGCAGATCTGATCCGTAGCACATCTTCACCCCCGCCTCCCAAGCCAGTTCTAGTGCACTCAGCCCGCGTCCCAACACCTCGCGGTTCTTAACCTCGCTTTCGGCCGGCAGGAATCCGGGGAACCGTGACATGGCCTCGTACGCTATCAGCGTCGGCGTAAGGTAGACACCCTTCTCTGCCATGTATTTCGCCGTCTCCCGGTCAATGAAATTGCCATGCTCTATCCCCCTCACCCCGTTGTCGATTGCATGACGTATGGCCTGAGGCGTGTAGGCGTGCGCCGTGACCCATGTGTTGTAGCTTCGAGCCACTTCGCACACTGCTCTAATCTCCTCGGCCGTGAACTGGGTATTTTCAAGTCGATCTGTCGGAGACGCAACGCCGCCGCCTCCCATAATTTTGATGAAATCTGCCCCAGTCCGGAGCTGCTCACGAGCAGCTTTGATGCATTCAGGCACACCGTCACAGAGCACACCAATCCCTGTTATGTGGCCACCACAACATTCGCTATGGTCATGCGAGCTTCTCAAATCTCCATGGCCTCCAGTCTGCGACAGTGCATGGTTGGCAATGAACAATCTTGGCCCTGGGAAGACGTCGTCCCGGATGGCTTCCTTAAGCGCGAGAGAAGCACCACCGCAATCGCGAATCGTTGTGAATCCCCGACGTAACATCTGTTCGCATACGAATGGTTGCCTGGTCATGGATACAGCAGGATCCATCCCGATACAACGGCCAAGGTCCTTCTCGCCAGGTACCGCTGAGACATGGACATGAGCATCGATAAGACCCGGGCAAACGTATTTGCCCCGCAGGTCGACGGTGACATCGGCATCAAGTCCTGACGATGGGAGTTCTCTCGAGACTGACTCAATCAAACCCGAAGAGATCTTGATGGTGGTGTTCAAATCGATTGATCCGTCGACGGGATGTATGACATTCGCATTCTTAAAAACGTATGTTTTCGGTGGGGGTAGCTTCCAAGGTTTAATGAGCTCTTCAGTCGTTTTACCCGGTTTGTGTTTATGATCTACTCCCATCATGGTAGCGCCTTCAAGTCCTTGGGAAGGAAGGGTATTGATACTACAAATATCTGAGCAATGGACAACTGTCTTTAAAGATTAGGAAGGACGGAGTCTGTATCGATTATTATATAGTAGTAGTCTTTGCAATTACTTTGATATACATTAGCGAGTAAAGCGGGGTAATTGTACTTTCCTCTCGGAAAAATCAGTACAAACCGAGGAGGCTACCCTAAAATATTCCGACAGCTACTCATTAAGATATACTACTAAGCTTCAAACCTAGTCTTAACTATCTACTGATTTAATTTATATTATAAAGTTTTAAAATAATATATAAAAAATAAATCTACTACTCTAATTTAGAAGAATAATATTAATATATATTTAACTTAATTAACTATTCTAATAACTTATAGCTATTTACTTAAAGATATATATATTTCTTCGAACATTTTCTAAGGTATATATAATATTTCTAGGATATACTATATACTTAAAAAGTCTCTTTAAAGTATATACATTTTTATATATTTCGCTAGTAAATAAATATATTATAGTATATTATAAAAACAATTATAGAAAAAAAATTAAGAAATATATATTTATGCATTTAGAAATAATTTTTTAAGAAAATAAATACTTAAAAAAAATTATAAAAGAACCTTGAATATACTATTTGAAAAAATACATTCCTAATAAATTTTAGAAAAAAAGTCTTAAATATATTCTAAAAGAAATTAAAAATAAAATAAAATAAAATATACATTTATAAAATTCTAAAGAAAAATCTTAAATATATTTAAATATACGGCTATTTACTAAGATATATATATATATATATATATATATATATATTTTTCGTAAAATTTCTAAGATATATATAGTATTTCTAAGATATATATATCGAAAAAGTCTCTCTAAGATATATACTTATTTATATATTTCGCTTATAAATAAATACATTATAGTAAATTATTAAAAAAAAATGTGTATCTTAGAAAAATAATTGAAAAACATATGTATCTTAGAAATTTTACGAAAAAAAAGCGTATATCTTAGAAATATATTTGAGAAATATATATATCTTAGAAATTAGTTCGAAAAATTTTTTTATATCTTATTAATATTTTTTTTAAGAAAATATACTGCTATAAATAATAAATATACTCTTTTTTTTTAAAAAAAAACTAAATATACTCTTTAAAAATCAAATGTATTCTTAAAAAATTAAATGTATTCTTTAAAAAAAAAAAAAAAAAAATCAAATATACTCTTAAAAACTAAATACATTTTTTTTTAAAAAAAAAAATCGAATATATTCTTAGAAAAATATATTCTTTAAAAAAGGAAATATATCTCTTAAAAAGTCGAAATATACTCTTAATAAATCCTAAAAAAAAATTAAATATATTCTTAAGAAAAATTAAAATATACTCTTAATAAATTTTAAAGAAAATCGAAATATATTTTTTAAAAAAATAACTAAATAGAATACGTAAACGCCTAAAAGTAGAACTATATAAAATTAATCTCTTCTTCTTCTTCTTCCTGCGACTATAACCTAAATATAAGCTAGGAAAGCGTTATAACTTAGGAGTTAGGCTGGTTCTCTATAGCCGAATTCTGGGAAGAATTAGGCTAATTCTCTATAGCCGAATTTTTAGAGAAACCTTAAAATTCTTCTAAATTTTCTAAAGAATTCGAATTTTCTTTAGCTATTTTAGAAGAACTCGAATTTTATCTCCTTATTCTCCTAAAATTCGATCTTCTAAGATTAATTCTATATTAATTAAAGGTTTCCTAGCGTTACCTTTTAGCTAGGCGATTATAGCGACTAGCTACTGTTTCTTTTCGTAGGTATTTAGTAGGAGGTCGCCCTAGCTTTTTCTTTCTAGTACTATTTTTATTTAGCTAGGTATTATCTAATTCTAGCTAATTAAATAGTACTAGAGAAAGAAATCTTTTAGGGTAATAAATTACCGTATAAGAATTAATTTTCTAGCTAAAATTAATTAAATCTTTAGAATCTAGTTCTATAGTAGTAGCTTAAGCGTAAGTTTATCGATAGGGGAGCTTATATTCTATAAAATCTTTATAAGAATATTCTTTTTTAAGAATACGGCTATTTACTAAGATATATAATTTTTTTTCGTGTAATTTCTAAGATATATATAATATTTCTAAGATATAATATATATATAGAAAAAGTCTCTTTAAGATTTTTTTTTTAAATATTTCTAGATATTTCGATATATTATAATATATTATAAAATTATATATCTTAGAAATAAATTTTTAGGAATATCTTTTTTCTACATAAATATATTTCGCTTTTTTTAAATAGTATATTTCGCTTTTTTTTTTAAGAATATATTCTTTAAATATATTTATCTAAGAATTTATTTTAAGGAGTATATTCTTTTAATACTATATTTACTTTTTTTTATAAATATTCTTAGTTTTTAAATTTTATAAGGAGTATATTCGTTTTTTTTTTTAAGAATATCTTTTTAAGATTATTTTTTTTAAGAATATATTCTCTAAAAAAAATACTTCTAAGATATATATATATTTAATATTTATTTTTAAGATATATATATTTATATATCTTAGTAAATAGCTAAAAAAAAAAAGAATCAGGAGTATAATTTCTTTAAAAAAAAAAAGGAGCGAAAAAAAAAAATAAAAAAAAAAAAAAATTCTTTAAAAAAAAAAATATATATTTATATATCTTAGTAAATAGCTAAAAAAAAAAAGAATCAGGAGTATAATTTCTTTAAAAAAAAAAAGGAGCGAAAAAAATAAATAAAAATAAGAATATATTCTTTAAGAAAAAAAAAGAACTTATTATATAATTAGATACTAAATTTTTACTAGGTATAATTAGTAAATTTAAATTTATAGAAAAAACTATATAAATTTAATCTTACTATTTTTCTATATAGTATAAATAAATTTAATTTATTATATAGAGAATAGGTAGAGATCTCTCTATAGAGAATAGGTAGAGATCTCTCTATAGAGAATAGAAAACTAGCCGATTCTAAGATATTTAATATAAATTAGCTAAATCTATATTAGGAATTTTTCGAAACTCTACTATATTAAAATTAGATAAGTCTAATAAGCAAAGCTAGCTATAAGTTATTTTATATTTTAAATAGTCTAAATCTATATTATAATTTTTTTATAAGGGTAGAGTAGTAAATTAAATTAAATATAAATTTATTTAAGTTTATCTAATTTTATTTAATTTTCTCTAATATAAATTAGACGGATTAGAGTAGGATTTAAGAGATATAAAATAAAAAAGTAAGAATTTAAGCTAAATCTAAATAATAAATTACTCTAATTTATATTAGTAGGTATTAAACTTTTATATTTTAAAGAAAAACTTATAAAAGCCTATTTTCTTATCTCTTCTATAGTTAAGAACTTAGTTTTAATCAGAAATAGCTCTATATAGAGGCCTAGCTAGTTTAAGTTTTTCGCCTTCTTTTTTAGAATAGACCTAATATAGAGGTATTACTATAGTAACGGCCTATATAAATAGGTCTTAATTAGATTCTAGTACTCTATTTTTAGGCTACCTAAGCCTAGAAAGAGCCTAAAAAGACGTTGATATACTATAAATTAAAGGCCTATTACTAAGGTAGTATACTCTATATCTATCTATTCCTAAAAAGAAAGATAAAAAACTTAAACTAGCCGGGCCTTCGTAGTTAGTTTTTTTAAATAAAAAAAAAAGGAAAGTTTCTAGTATTATAGCCTAGTATTATACGCCTATTAAATTAAACTAAATATTAGGCGTCTAGTTCTAAGTTTTAGAATTTAAATTCTAATTAAACTATAAAATTATTCACGTAATTTTAAGTTCTAGAATATAGATTTTTTATTAAACTAAATATTTACATATAGTTCTAAGTTTTAAAAATTAAAGATTAATTAAATTAGATTATAATAGCGTAATCCTAATATAAATAATATAATTTTTTTTAAGAATATATTCGTTTTTTTAAAAGAATATACTTATTTAAGAATTTATTCTTTTAAAAGTATAATTTTTAATAATATATTCGGTTTTTTTATAGATATTTTTTTTAGTTTTTTTTTTAAAATTTTTTTTAGGACTCGTATATTCGTTTCTTTTTTAAGAATAAATTTAATTTTTTTTTAAAGATTATATTCGACTTATTAAGAATATATTTTCTAAAAAAAATTCTAAGATATATAATTTTCTAAAAACGGCTATTTACTAAGATATAAACAATTTCTAAGATATATATATCGAAAAAGTCTCTCTAAGATATATATATATATTTAAATATTTCGATATATTTCGATATACTATAATATATTATAAAAATATGTATCTTAGAAATAAAATCGAAAAATATATATATCTTAGAAATAAACTTTAAAAATACGTGTATCTTAGAAATTATTTTCGAAAATATGTATCAAAAATTATTTTTCTTATGAATATCTTTATTTTTTTTATTTTTTTTAAGATATATATCGCTGCTTTTTAAGAATGTATTTTTAAGAAAAAAATATTTCGCTTTTTTAAAGAACATTTATTTTTTAAAAATATATCTTTTCTTAAAGAATATATTTCGATCTTTTAAGAATATTTTTTTTAAAAAGAGTATATATGTTAGGAGTATATTCTTTTAATAATATATTTGATTTTTAATAAATATTTATTATTTTTTTTTAAAAAAAAAGTTTAAGGAGTTTATTCGTTTTTTTAAGAATACATTTTCTAAAAAAAAAAATGTTTCTAAGATACATAATTTTCTAAAAAAAAATTCTAAGTTATATAATTTTTCGATATTTATTTCTAAAATGCATATGTTTTTTTAAATATATTTCTAAGATATATAATTTTCGTAATAAAATACTATATATATAGCGTAAAACTCTAAGATAAATATATTTATATATCTTATAAATACTATATTTATGTTAGAAATTTTATAAAATATATATATATATATCTCGGTAAATAGCCGTTCTAAATTTTTTTTTCTAAGATATATATATATATATTTAATATTTTTCCTAAAATATATTAGTAGATATTTCGATTTTATTTTTAAAATATTCTACATATTTTTTAAAAATATATTTCTAAGATATATAATCTTAGTAATGAAATACTATATATATAATGTAAAACTCTAAGATATATATATTTTAGAAAATATTCGAAAAAAGTAAATATATATCTTAGTAAATAGCTAATAATCTTATTTTTTAAGAATATATTTTACTTTTTTTTTTCTTAAAAAGAAAATCTAATATAGTATACTATATAATAAATAGAAATTAAATATATATATTTTAGCAGATTGCTATAAAAGATAATAATACATTAGGAATTTTTCGAAACTCTACTATATAAAGATTAGATAAGTCTTATAATTAAAGCTAGCTATAAGTTATTTTATATTCTAAATAACCTAAATCTATAATAAAACTAATATATTTTTATAAGGGTAGAGTAGTAAATTAAATTAAATATAAATTAATTTAATTTTATTTAGTTTTTCTTAGTTTTTCCTAATATAAATTGGACGGATTAGAGCGGGCTTTAAGAGTTATAAAATAAAAAAAAAGTAAGAATTTAAGCTAAATCTAAGTAATAAATTACTCTAATTTATATTAGTAGGTATTAAGTCTTTATATTTTTAAATTAAAATTAAAATTCGTGATGTAGCTAACGGTATCCGAAAAGATACTATAATAATCCTAAGATATACCTATTACTAAGGTAAAAAGTGATAGGTAGTAGTATAGCTTTAGAAATTGGCCCTGTATAAATACTTGATAATAGTCAAAATTCGAGTTTAATCAATTCATTATGTTATCTATTTAGAACTCCAAAGCGGACAAAAAGCGCTTCTATATAATCGCTAAGAGAATGCTAATAGTAACCTCTGAATGATAAGGCATCATGCAACGGCCGGCAACCGGTGCACCGTAGCTTGTCAACTAATCAACGCCGCCCAGCAGCTTTATCCCTTATGTTTGTCATGGCGAGGGAAGTTGGCGTTTGAACACCTGCCGGAGGTGCTGGAGTAGACGTTCTTGATGGCACTTGGCTACGGTTGTGGGCCATGTGAGCCTTGACAAGGTGACCGGCAGCAAGAGCACTGCACAAACTGAGCTCACCAGCCAACACAGCTGAAGCAATTATGCGGGCAAGTTGACGGGCGTTGTCGCCAGGGTTGGTGGGATGAGCGCCCTTGACACCAAGAAGGTCAAGCATGGCACCCTGAGGCTCAAGTATAGTACCTCCACCAATAGTGCCGACCTCGATGGAAGGCATGGAGACAGATATTTGAAGGTTGCCATTCAAGCTTCAAAAGAATTAGCGCAAGCAACTTTCAATGGTGTTCTTGTAGGACTTACTTTTTCATCACAACAATACAATTGCTGCTCTCAACGTTTTGGGCGGGGTCTTGCCCGGTGGCCAAAAAGATGGCCGTGACAATGTTGGCAGCGTGTGCGTTGAAACCGCCGATACTACCAGCCATTGCCGATCCGATCAAGTTTTTGCTAATGTTAAGCTCGACGAGAGCATCGACATTGCTCTTCAACACATTCTTAACGACGTCGCCAGGAATAATGGCCTCGGCAACAATACTTTTGCCACGACCGTCAATCCAGTTTATGGCAGCAGGCTTTTTGTCAGTGCAGTAGTTACCGGAGACGGATATGATAGCCATGTCCTCAAATCCGGCCTCATTCGCCATGACGCTCAGAGCATGCTCTACGCCTTTAGAGATCATGTTCATACCCATAGCGTCACCAGTCGTGGTCTTGAACCGAATGTAGAGGTACGTGCCAGCCATTGCCGTCTTCATAGTTTGAAGACGAGCAAAGCGACTCGTCGAGTTGAAGGCATTCTTCATAACCCGCTGTCCTTCCTCGGAGTCGAGCCACACCTTGGCAGCAGCAGCCCTTGTCAACGTTTCGAAACCAACACAAGGACCACGGGTCATGCCATCGCCAATAAGTGCCGACACAACACCACCTCCAGCGTTGATGGCCTTGCAACCTCTGCTAGCGCTGGCGACCAAGACGCCTTCGGTGGTAGCCATGGGAATAAAATAGTTCTGGCCATCTATCATCAGAGGGCCAGCAACACCAACTGGAAGTGGCAGGTAACCGATGACGTTTTCGCAGCAAGCACCGTGAACAAGGTCGTAGTTGTAGCCCTCATATGGCAGCTTCGACTTTTCAAGGAGATTGGACGTGTGGCGAGTCGCATGAGTACGTGACACGACTGCTCGGCGGACCTTGACAGCACGGGTCTTGTCCCCAAGTGTCTTCTCCAAAGCATAACCAGGAATCTTGCCTTTAAGCGAGAGCTCGATGAGCTCCTCGTCCGTCATCAAGCTAACCTTTTTCTCTTTCAGCAGAAGCTCGAGTTCCTGCAGAGGGCGCTTGGGGCCGGTCGCTTGGTGGGCAGTCGACTTCATAACCAATCCATCTTCAGAATCATCGTCTTTGACAGGGTCAGGGACCGAGACGGGAGCCGGTGCTTCGTTAGCTGACGCGTCAACCAACTTGACATTGCTTGGCGCCTTGTCCAAAACCTCATAGTCCGCAGGGGGCTTGATGCCGGGAGGGTGGGTCGAGTCTTTGATAGACCAGCGAGCGGCATTGAAAAGGTAGCCGTTGAAGGCCAGACTGAGAGCCAGAGCAACAATAATCCACTTGCTCAGGACTGGATCCTCGAGGCTCTTCAAAACGCCTTCAACGACGCGCCCTCCCATGCCATCCATCAATTGATCCTTGTACTCTCCATCAAATAGACCAGATGCGTCCTGGGTAGGGGAGTAATGGACAGAAGGGTACTGGAGCTCATACTTGATTGGAGTCAGAACTGTGACAAGTGTGGGAGCGTTCCTTTCCTTGGCAGAAGTGAATATGGTGTCCAGCGCATTACCAGCAACCTTGAATGGATCCATGGCCGCAGGGGTGACCATGCTAGATAAGCCCGAGGAAGCTGTGGGCGTATTACGCCCACTCCTGAACGGAATCGTGGCGAGGTTGAGAATGTTGACGACAATGAAGCCCGTAACCATAAGAACCTTGAAGCGAGGAATGCTACTATCTCTCATCTTCCTCCCAAATACCGGTGTGTCGGAAGCCTGAGCGATGCTACCGTTAAGCTTGGGCCAGTCGTTGTTCGTGGCAACGCTCTCTGCCACACTTCGGCTGACGCCATCATCCTCGAGAGTTCTTCTAAGAGCAACGTGGCGCTTGATGCGGTTGATCTCGAGCTTGATGGTGAGAATGGCAGTATAGAAAGTCAGCAGCAGGAGAGCATCGAAGAACAGGATCCAGGCCGCCAAGAAACAAAACTGGCGCAGGCCACCCTGGACACCAGAGAAGGCGCCAGCAACTAGAATAAGGATTTCGACAAAGTAGTCACGGACTATTTCGAAGCCTTTCTCCTTGACAGCAGTCTGGACCGCGTATTGAATGGTCAAAGGTGCATTGTCGTTGCTGTTAGAAGACACCTTGCGGCGCGAATCGAGAGAGGCAGAAAGGACAGCCTTGGTCAGCACAATGGGTTTCTCGAAGCCAATGGTAACCACGAGAAACGGAAGACCCTCGGACAACAAAACCATGTTGATGGGCACGCCAAGCTTGGTGGTCACGGTAAGGCCGAAAAGGAAAGCAAAGAAGGACTGGAAAAGGACGGTGGCTGCAAGCCAAAAGTTGGACCCCAGACGCCTCATGGAGAGGAAGAGCGAAACAAAGGTCAAGTGCATGGACAGGTAACCCAGAGCCATGATGACAATGTCTAGGGTCTCAGCGTTCTGCCCGGCTGGTTAGAGTCTTCAGACAAAGGCAATGGTAGTTATGCTTACCTTGAGAAGGTCCAAGAAAGAAGTCCAAGAGGTTTCAGCCCATTGGCGCACGCCGCCCTGGTTGGCTCCATTCTTGACAGCTTTCATGATCCATTTCTTCTCCTCGACAGTGCCGTCGCCCGACTCTTGAGCCTCGGAAGCGTCCGCCGGGGCCGGAATCTCTTGCAAGGCAGCGAGAAACTCGGGTGTCTCATCGTAGGGGATGGAAAAGGCCAAGCTGGTGTCGTGGGAGATCTGTGAAAAGGCAGAAGACGAGCTAGGGAGCAGCTCGGCGGACGAGTTGCGCGGGATTGGAACGGCGTTTCCAAGGGGAGCGGTTTGCGGAGCGTTGGCAGGCGTCGAGTCGGGGAAGAGAAGGGTCAGAAGAGCCAGCTTGTCGGAGGACTGTTGCAGTTAGCAATTGGGCGCAGAGAAACACAATTTGGCAAGGAACTCACTTCTTCGGCGGCAATGTCGTTACGATCCTCTTCGGCTTGCCATTTCCACTCGGTGGCAGGGCCGAGGCGGAGAGTCTTGCTACCGGCGAGTAGGGTGTTGAAGTCGGCCTTGCTCAGGGCGCTGTCGGGCGAGGCGGACTCGAAGAGGCTGCTCTCGAGCACGCTCAGGTAGGTGGTGCTGGCGAGCAGGGCGGTGAAGACAATGGTGTGGATGGGATGGGTGCAGGCACGGCGACAGACGGCCTGGAGGATGGGCGAGATGTGGCGGTCATACCAATTGGGCCTCGACTTCTCGGCGGCGCCAAAGAAGCTGACGGGAAGCAGTTTGGCGCCCAGCATTTTCGAATGGCGAGCAGCGAGCGAAGACGGAGGAAAAGAAGGCGATTGGGGGTGTTGATAAGGTCGAGTACGGGGACACACGGCTCAGGCAGCGGCGCGTTCGCGTCCGTGGCCCGTGGATGAAATTGCACAGCAAAGAAACAGTGTCCGGGGGCCGCGTGGCGCGTCATTGGGCCGCGCCGCACACCGCTCGGGCGAAGGATGCGGCGGATCCAACGCACTCCCACCCACTCCTTCCTTGTTGTCACGGCTTCAGCCACACGAGCGCCACACCTGACGGTTCCCACGGGTTCCGTGCAATTTTTCACCACTTTTTCCCCATTTCCCCTTCCGACTACGGAACTAGACCGCAGGCGCCTTTTGCGACAGCGGCACGTCGCCCCCGGTCACCCCATCCACAAAGCCCGCGTCCGGCGCAAAGAGCATGACGTGAAAGTGCTCGACTGCGTGCACCGATTTCAGAGACCGCCAGTTCTTGAACCAGATGACCTGACCTCACTCAGCATCCAACAACCCCGAACAAAGCCCTGCGCCACGCAGCACTTACCTGTTCCGGCGGCACGCGCCTGCAGAACGTCTTCTGCACGTAATCGTCTATCTCCCTGCGCGCCCTGGGCGTCAGGTCGTCGGTTGTCGCATCGTCTTCTAGGTCAAACTTGGTCCACACGACCAGGTGCATGATCCGCTCGTCGACGCCGTAAGGCCAGTCGTTGTGCAGAATCTTAATGTCCTCTGTCTTCGTCAGCCAGGTACTACTCCTAAGGCAGGGCAGGCCGACCTGGGCAGCTGAACGGCGCGCCCTTGGGCGTTAAGTCCGCCCATTTCAAGCGCTCATTGAGGACAAAGTTCATGATGGAGCCGTAGTTCCTGACCAACTCCCACGTGTAATGCCGATATCTACGTAGCTCGCTAGGCTTGCGCACAAACTTGTCGATGCGGTTGGTCTCTACCGCCGTGAGCCAGGGGAAATGCGGCCATGCGCAGACTGCAACTCACTGATGATGGTTTTGACCTCGTCCCACGTCAGCGGCACATAGTCCGCATTGGGAGTGCCGATAATGCGGCGGTCCTTCTCCCCGCACTCCCGCAAGAACTCTGGGCACTCATCTGTCCAGAGGTCCCGCGGGACATTAACATTCCAGAAGGGCAGCTGCGAAGAGGACATGTTGTTCACAGGGGACGAGGTCAAGGTTGGGTAAGTACCAGGGATAGTCAGGGTGCCAGGGATCCAGGCACAGGTTGCAGGGGCCGATTAGCGAGCAGCTTACCGGAGGGCCAGTGCTCTCTTCCCGCAGCCGCCGATCAACCTCAAACATCACTCGGACCCTGTGGCAGTGACACTCGGCGTGTCGCATCCAGAATGCCGTGTGCTGAGGAATGCTGACAACCTACAATGTCAACGTCATCTCACTTCGTCCACGTATTATTCTGTTCTTCTTCCCCGTCATCGTCACTCAGCCGCACTTTCTTCCATCTGTCTCGGCCGCTGGCCGCCTTGCAAATAGTAGGTAACTTAGGAAATCATTATTTGCCGGCGTTTCGTTTCAGAGGAGCTTCACGTAAATTGCGTCCGAATTCAAACAAAACTTAGACGAAAGCTGCCATTCAAGTTGTTTCCGCAAGTCAACCTCCCTACACCTACATGTCAAAATGGCGACGGTTCGAGATTCCGACTTCTGGAAGCGTTTCTCAGCCGCCGTTCACCTGGACGAAGAAGCAACAGCACAGGCATCGTCAAAAGAACTCGCACATTCGTAAGGTATCCTACTTGCATGGGCTTCCTTTGCTCACTCTTACCTCACACAGAGACTCGTGGCTTGCACGTGAACAAGTAAAACGAAGACGTCGCTCTTTCATCTGCTGGATATTTTGGGTGGGCTTCGCGGGCTTTGTTACTGGTGTCGTCGTACTGGTTTTCTGGTTCGACTCTGCAGGTTTCTTTAAGAACCGGAAGAAAGTAGACGCAGAATGAGCATTGAACAGAGCCTTCCTACTTTGCTTGCCGACCCGAGACCTGGTCATGCCCACTTTCAGTGTGCGCCTTTGGCAATCAAACCTGCATCGCATCAAACCAAATCCCGAAATTCGGCAGGACAGAAACCAATCCGAGTAGTGATGAAATAGTCATCTGACTACTACTCACTTTACCGCCAAATGAACACTCCGGATCCATCTGGAGCTATGTCAATTCGACTACGCTTTGACATATCTTGGCAACTGCTTTTCGTCACATAAAAGAAACGCGATGTCAAAAAGTAGACGGCTAGGATTGTTCTGCTGAATTTTTATGTACATACTTAGGAGTTTACCTCGTACGAATGCCAAGGCAAAATGTAATAAACACCTTCGCATTTCGAGTTTGTGTATTTACAGCGCCTAAACTCTCACAGGCTAGTGTTGAGCAGACTCTGTAAATAGCTGCATATAGACCAGATTACATAAATGGGGAAATTCGAGCACAACAGACTTAAAATGTGCTCCATTTACACCCTGATACGGAAGCAAAGTCATTATCGAAATCAAAGTTCTTGTGTGAACAGAGTCATCAATTGACGGATATCTGACCATGTTTTTCCCACTAACGCCAAAATCACTGGACAAAAACTACGAAAAAATGAGACTGTGGAAAGAGTTCACCTAAAAACACAATGAGTGAATGCCCAGAAAAAGTTCATAGGCTCAAGGGACATACCCAGTCGGGTCCCTGCTTGCTTTGGTTTGCCTTTCGTGGGTAACATCTTTGGATGAACCGGCTAACAGGATAACTTATTATCACTGGCTCCTCGCGGGGCTCCGTGAAGGAATAATGTTCATAGCCATCCTGCTTTTCCGGGTGTCGCAAACCGTGCAGTGCTGAAAGTTGTATCATGGGTCTCACCGCATGATACTGTCGACACTTGTTTAATATCTCCTTCTCGTGGGCTCCGGACTGGGGCTCCTGCTCTCGCTTCTTTCGTCCCTGCCTCTCATCCTCAACCATTTCTTCGTTGACAGCTCTAGTTCGCGCTCAAGCTCCGGACTCGGCACCTTGCGATGAATGAAGTTACAGAAGCCTCCACGGACACAACCTTCGCCGCTGTTCAGACGACAACAGGCCTCCCGGAAATCGGTAACGGGGGACAGTTCGCAGTAGATCGGCCGCGCAGCGTACCAGCGGGAGTTGAGGGCGTCGCAAGCCTTCTGTGCACTGTCTTCGTACTTGAACCGCGCGTAAACATTGCCGATAAGATCTGTCGTAAGAAACGTTAGCTATCGCTCCCAACCGGAATCCCTCTCCAGGCTCATGGATTCAATGAGAGATCGAAAATGCGAATCAGGTTTTGTCTGACCCATACGATTGTAAGGTAGCTCCATACGACAGAGTCAACTCAGCATAAAGTCTCGAGCTCTCTGTGAATCCGTGGCCACCTGGCGGGATGTCAAGCATGAACAGCACTTACGGTCGTTGTTATTATCGCAAACAACAACCTCCTCAATCTCTCCGTACTTGCACATCTCGCACCAAAAGTCTTCGTAGAAAGCATCAAAGTGATTCTGCAGCTGGCTGGCATTCATCTTGTTCTTGGGATCGTATGCGGGATTCTGGTAGAGATTGGGGAGGAGGATAGTCTGGGAGTAAGACGGCTTCACATGTTTGCGAGAGCAACGGTCACCATGGCGACAGGCTCCAATCTTGTAGTAGAAACTACAGTTAACCCTAGAATAGTAGAGTTAGCTCGCGCACAACACCACCAATCGAGGGCCTGCGCCTGCGGCCAAAACAGCCGGCAAGCTCAGCTGTGCAGTGGCCAGAGGCGCAGAAAGCAAGGAAGACCTACTTGTCCTGCTCAGTACCAAAGATGGAGGCGAGGTAGTTGGCCATGTCTGCGTGAGGGGTGTAAGAACTATGGCAGAATGGATTGGCGTTGGAGGTTACCCAGCAAGTGAACCGCGACGGCACGACGGGTCTGGCGGTGAAAATTGGCAGAAAGACGTCGCGATTCATATGTACATACACCATCACGTGCTGATGACAAACGCGCCAAGCCACATTCCGCTTCGAGACGCTTCCGCCCACTCCAACCCATTATTGGCAATGCTGGCACAAGACATTGCCATGCCAAACAGCATGCTGCATACACGTGCGCTTCAGGCGCGCATTGTATGTACCGTATGGTTCTCGTCCACAAGGGGAAATCCACCACTAGGGACACGGCTCTTTTCGTAGGCAATAAACCAGGATGGGAAGGCCGGATGTATAGACTATTCATTTTTGGGTTCCCATTCATTGGATACGCAAGTATGTACTCAGCGCGGCCACTCTTACTCCAAAGCATCCAAGGTGGCTCTAAGGTGTATTTCACCCAAGTACGTATATTTGTTTGAGCACCACAAACACCCTCCCTTCCATCTTACCATCCTCTCATCCCCAGCACGGCTCTGCAAAATGCTCAGAAAACCTACCGTCTATCTCTCTTTATTACCTTTGCTGCTTTCGACATGCGTACCATACGGGCTAGTGGAAGCTATAGGTCTCGGTAGAGCCAGGCAGATAGAGCTGAGTCTATTGGCTGAGAAGGGCTTGCTGCCAGGTCAGCCATTCCTAACCATATATACTTGCTAGCACGAAGCAAGAGTTGACGTTTTGCACAGATGGAACGCCAATGGGCTTGCCAGTCGACGTTATGGCCAAGGTTTTTGATGCTTCAATGATGAGAAGGACCGAAGAAACCTCCCTTGCGGAGTATGTGGAACTTCCATTGGATCACTTTGGAACTGGACATAGAACATTCAAAAACCGTTTCTGGGTCGCAGAGAGTGGTTACAAAGGAGCTGGTCATCCTGTCTTCATCTACGATGCCGGAGAGAGCAGTGCGGGCACAAGTGCGCATTTCCGCCTGCACAATAAATTGTCATTCTTCAAGCAGCTCGTCGACTCTTTTGGTGGCATCGGTATAGTTTGGGAACATCGATATTACGGCGAGTCGAGTCCAGTGCCTATTGATAAGCATACGCCGCTTAGGGAGTTTAAATATTTGACTAGCGCCCAAGCTCTTGCTGACGTGCCAGTATTTGCTTGGAATTTCTCGAGAGAGAATTTTCCCGAGATCGATCTGACACCAGCTTCTACGCCATGGATCTTTGTAGGAGGATCCTATCCGGGGATGCGCGCGGCCTTTATGCGAGAAACTTATCCAGAAACTATTTTTGCATCATATGCTTCCTCAGCACCAGTCGAAGCGAGAACGAACATGTCGGTCTATTTCGAGCCAGTATACCGAGGGTTGAATGCCTACGGATTTGGAAACTGCACAAAGGACATCCACGCTGCCATACTTTATATGGACAACATCATGGCCAACGAATCTGCCTCCAAGAAACTCAAAGAGCAATTTTTAGGCCATGGCGCCGGTGATAATTCGAACGGCGTATTTGCTGAAGTGCTGGAGTCCATCTTTTACACATGGCAGGCTTATGGAGTTGAGGGCGGCCTAATTGGGCTCCGAAACTTTTGTGATTGGTTGGAAACCGATGAAACCGAGAAACCAGGCGGCAAAACTGCAGGCGCCAAAGGATGGGCATCTACCGAAGGCCCTCAATATGTTGTTGACAAGTGGGCGCGGTATCCCAATTTCGTTACGCTTGTCAACGCAGCTTTTGGCACCGATTGTGAGGGCCCAACTAAGCGTACTTCTCGGCATGGAGATTGCAGCCTTGCAAAACAGACCAGTATTCCAGCGTCGATCAGCTGGCTTTGGCAATCCTGTACTGAATGGGGTTTTCTGCAATCCGCAAACATCGGCGACACCCAGATTGTCTCTCGTTGGAATTCACTGGAGTACCAGCGTAGCATTTGCGACCGCCAATTTCCAGATGCAAGTCCTGTTTTGCCTCAATGGCCACAAGATGTTGAGACAAACAACGACTTTGGAGGATGGGATATTAGACCATCCAACACCTTTTGGTCGGGTGGCGAGTTTGACCCCTGGCGCACTCTCAGTCCACTCAGCTCTGAAGACTGGGCGCCACAGGTCGATCTCTTGAACTATATCCCAGCCTGCAACGTTAGCATGGCCAAGTCTGAGATATTCGGCTATGTCATACCTAATGCCCAGCATTGTTATGATTTCCAGACGGCATTTGCAGACGGTGAGAAAAGCAGGAATATTTTCACGAGGGCCTTGGAGAAGTGGTTAAAATGCTTCAAGTCGGCCAACGGCTACTCCTATTGAAATGGTTTGTGACCAGAGATGGATTTCGGTGATGAAAACGGAAATGTTGTTCTTGTCGATGGCTTTTGTCTATTACAGTGAAACTACCTACAATGAACAAAGTCTGTCGCCGTCAAGATAAACTTACTGCCTAACGAGACAATGATGCTTGCACGAAGTGGAAATAATCCAGTTAAAATATCCAGGACTCAGGCTTGTAGTTCGACAACGAGTTTTATAAACCCTGAATAATTTGCCCACCCCTCAACTACATATTAAATGAAAACTACGGTACCTATGCAGTAAGTTTTAGGTGGTTATAATAGACTAGTAAAAAGATAGTATGTATAATTATACTTAAAAATATGTAAAGGTTAAAATATATAGAAGTATTAAAGAACTCTACAAGGATACGAAAATAAAATATTCAAAGGGTATAAAGGTACCTAAAATGATACAAGAATATAAACTATATAAGGGCAGAAATATTGTATAATATTGTATATCATAGTTCTACAGGGGTATGTTATCACGTGGGATAGGCAAAATATTTAGAGGGATGGGCAAGGCAAATAATCTGGGGCCTTTTATAGAGTAAAAAGATCCAAGGTAAACCTAGCGTGCATACCTAGCACTGACGTGGAAGCAAGTGACGTCACCCATTGGTCTAAGGTAAGGTACGTCTCACACGAATGCGCGTGATTTCGCGTAGCTGATTCACGCGGCTCAACTCTTCTGATTTTAAACCCTACCCCACGACAAAGCAATGTCGACCACCTCAAAACCTTCGCGGGCTAAATATCGCCCTTCCATGGAGGAAACGGTTAATAGAATGGAAGGGGAAGACGAAAGCGATAGTGACCTGGACATCACCAGTGCAGCCCATAAGGATTGTGTCGACCTTGACAGCTATATCAAAGGCATACATGATCGTTCCGACTCAATTTTCACTCATTTTGCTAATATTCATGCACTCAGATGTCACAGTTGAGGACACTGAAGGATCTGAAACCACAGATGAAGACGAACAGTCGCAGCAAGCTCAACTTCACCAGCCGGCTCAGGTTATCGCCGATAGAGCGACGAAGGTGGAGTGGTCTGACGACGACGATGCAGAGGCTGCATACAATGCCTTTAAGAACAGGCTATCGCTAAAAAGAAAACGTGCTGCGGCCAGCACTAGAAAAGCAAAAGTTGTGGCAGCCCGCAAGTCTACCAGCATGGTAGGAAAGAGAACACGGCCGAAGATTGTGCCAAACGATGGTGACATACCTACGCTCAAAAAACACAACACATATGGCGATGATTCCGAGAAGGAGGGGCAGGAACTCTTAGATAATGAAACACTACCAGACTACATCAAGGTTCGAATGCGCAAATTTGAAGAGACACGCCACAAACTGGGGGAAGCAGGCCTCAGAATACCTCCACGTTTTGACGAAATCTACTTTTCCGATGATGAGCGACTAGCACATCTTCAGGAAAGGCCCATATTTCCAGAGTTGAAGCCTCCTGGAAGGTACAAGGACTGCATTCTTCAAACGTCGGCTGGCATAATACCGGCACCCATCGCACAGTGGCTGCGTGAGTATCAGGTCGAGGGGGCTGAATTTCTCCACGAAAAGTTTGTATATCAGAAAGGCGGCATCTTGGGCGACGACATGGGTTTGGGAAAGACCATCCAAGTTATTGCATTTCTCGCTGCCGCCTTTGGAAAGACTGGAGACGAACGAGACAAAAAACGCATGCGCAAAATGCGGAGAGCCGATAAGGATTACCCTCGAGTCCTAATCGTCTGCCCCGGAAGCTTGATGGATAACTGGAAGACCGAATTGGAGACTTGGGGCTGGTGGCAGATCTATACATTTCACGGCCCTCCAGATAACAAGGAGGCTACTCTCAATGCCGCCTTGAAAGGGCGTGTGGAAATCGTCATCACGACTTACACCACTTACCGTATCAACAAAAGCGCGATAAACATGGTCGACTGGGACTGCGTTATTGCAGATGAATGCCACATTGTAAAGACGCGGAGCTCCGAGATTACACAGGCGATGAACGAGATCAACGCTATCTGCAGACTCGGGCTCACAGGGACGGCAATCCAAAACAACTACGAGGAATTGTGGACTTTGCTTAACTGGACGAACCCTGGAAAATTCGGGTCTCTCGCCACATGGAAACAATGTATCAGCAAACCCCTCAAAACGGGACAAGCGCACGATGCGACATACCACGAGTTAGCGAAAGCTCGCAGGACGGCAAACCTATTGGTTAAAAATCTGCTCCCCCCGTTCTTCTTGCGCCGCATGAAGACATTGATAGCAAACCAACTTCCAAAGAAGAGTGATCGAGTAGTGTTTTGTCCGTTGACCGATACTCAAGCTGATGCATACGAAAACTACATCAATTGCGACATTGTCGACTGTATCCGACACTCCGCTGATATATGCGATTGCGGCTCCGGAAAAAAGCGTGGCTGGTGCCACTATGCTGAGATCGAAGGTTATGGCAAGTGGCAGAACCATGTCTTTCCATGCATCGTGACCTTACAAAAACTCTCCAATCACCTCGCTCAACTTATCCCTAGCGGCGTCGATACACATGACAAACAGGAAAAAGATCTAGACGATCTCAAGGTTGCCATGCCATCTGAATGGAGGGACCTTTATCGCAGCAGAGACAACATAATAAACTTCGCGAACCCGGAGTTTTGCGGCAAATGGAAGATCTTGAAAAGATTGCTCCAGTTTTGGCATCAGAATGGCAATAAGGTGTTGGTGTTCAGCCACAGCGTACGACTGCTCAAGATGCTCCAAATGCTGTTCAAGAGTACATCCTACAATGTCAGCTACCTCGACGGATCAATGAGCTACGAGGAGCGAGCACAGACTGTGAAGGACTTTAACTCCGACGCATTGCAGTTTGTTTTCCTGATCAGTGTCAGGGCAGGAGGTGTCGGTTTGAACATCACGTCGGCCAATAAAGTCGTCGTTGTCGATCCAAACTGGAATCCAGCGTATGACCTTCAGGCACAAGACCGCGCTTACCGTATCGGGCAGACCCGGGATGTCGAGGTCTTCCGGTTGGTAAGCGCTGGCACGATTGAAGAAATAGTGTACGCTCGCCAAATCTACAAGCAGCAACAAGCCAACATTGGCTACAATGCCTCGAGCGAACGTCGGTATTTCCATGGCGTACAAAACCAGAGCGAGAAGAAAGGCGAGATCTTCGGGCTTGCCAACCTTTTCTCTTTCCAAGGCGACAGTGTCGTCTTGCGGGAGATTGTAAACAAGACAAACATTGCGGAGTCGAGGGCAGGCGTCTCGGTCACTGGAATGGACGGTCTCAGCCAAGAGGTCGACGAAGCCGGGGATTTTTTGGGGGGCGAAGACGAAGATGCGGCAATGGTCCAGATCACCACCATGATACGGAGTGGCAGTGCCGACGACGTCAGCCAGGACTTGAAGCCTGCGGTTAAAAAGACTGACGCGGTCCAGGCCATTCTTGCCAGCGCCGGTGTGCAATACACTCATGAGAACTCCGAAGTAATCGGCACGTCCAAGGTCGAGGCGCGCCTGAGTAAGAGAGCGGCGGAAAATGAGAATGACATTGACTTCATTGGCAAGCACGTTTTCGGCCCCAGCGGGAGCCAGCTGTCGCACGCCCTCGGGGAGGGCAGGTTCCGGTACAAGCCGCCCGAAGACGTGCAGAGGCGGCAGTTCTGCACCATGGCCAAGACGTTTGGCTATGAAGACGTGACGGAATTCGCGTTAGTAGTTGAAGGCTGGACGCAGGAGCAGCGGCGAAACTGCCTGGAGAAATTTTACAGGCTGCGGCGGGGAGAGGCTTGACGTGGTTTGTGTAGGTAGGCGTGGTAGGTAGAGGTGCAACAGTCACAATAAGTAATACCCCGCCACACCGCCGCGGCGCTAGCTAGACGTGCCCACTTGCGCCCACCCGCGTCATCCTCCGACTTGAAAGTCCTTCCCGTCCTTCTCTTGGCCTGATGCCTAGCCGACCGCGCTCCACACCCTGAACCCCTTGCTGAGTCTCGCTTCTTTTGCAACGCGCCAACATGGTACTCGGACACAGACGGCACTCGCTGTCGAGCAACCGCTCCTCGACCGACGAAACGCGGGACAACTCACAGGTCACCGGCGACGATGAGACCGTGGTGGACTCGGAGCAGAGCAATGGTGCGCCGGCTCGTTGTTGAATTCGAGAGCGACGCTGACAACTGGACCCCTTTTGCAGTTCTCTCCCACATCATCTCGCAGCTCCGTCCCGGCGCCGACCTCAGCCGGATCACTCTCCCTACTTTTATATTGGAGCCTCGATCCATGCTGGAAAGGATAACCAAGTGCGTCTGCCTCAGTCATGTGCCCGCGGCCGAGTGCGCAAATATGAGAAATGGAGAGCTAACGGCAGCGGGGTAGCTTCATGGCCCACCCGGAGACCCTGCTTCCCATGCCCGCGATCGAAGATCCGCACGAGAGATTTGTATCCGTTGTTAAGTTTTACCTCAGTGGCTGGCACATCAAACCACCGTATGTATGCTCTGCGCAACGAACTTGTCCGGGTCGCCGCGCAGGGACTAACAATATGCTCCAGTGGGGTCAAGAAGCCTCTCAACCCCATCCTTGGCGAGACGTACACTTGCTATTGGGATTATCCGGATAAGACGCGGGGTTACTACATCTCTGAGCAGACCTCACACCACCCGCCTAAGTCGAGCTACTTTTACATGGCTCCCGAGCACCACATCCGCATTGACGGCACGCTGAAGCCCAGGAGTAAGTTTTTAGGTAACTCTGCTGCTAGTTTGATGGAGGGCCTGGCAGTCATGAGATTCCTCAACCACAACGAGAGATAGTAAGCATATTCCAGCTGTGCTTCTGCTTCACATTGGACCGACTAACAGAGCCATAAAGTTTCATCACTCAACCTAACATGTACGCGCGTGGCATCCTGTTCGGCAAGATGAAGTACGAGCTCGGGGACCACAGCTTTGTACGCTGTCCGGAGTTGGGCTTAGAGGCCGACATTGAGTTCAAAACCAAGGGATGGGTTGGTGGGACATACAACGCCATCGGTGGTTACATTAGGGATATGAAGACAGGCAAGAATTTGTACGAGCTCTCTGGGTTGTGGACTGGGGAGATGCACGCCAAGAACTTGTCGGTATGTTATGCATCTTTTGCGGCACAATCACACAGCAAAAATGTTGCCTTCGCAACATGAAGCGAACGCGGTCGGCTAATTTAAGGATGTAGACGGGCAAGAAGCAGCTTCTGTTTGACGCATCGCATGCGAGGGAAACACCACCCTTGACTCGCCCTCTCTCAGAACAGGATGAGCGGGAATCCCAAAGACTATGGCAGAAGGTCACCGCAGCTATCAAACAAAGAGACCAGGTTGTAGCTACCGACGAAAAGTCCAGGATCGAAGACAGACAGAGAGAGGAGGCAGCGAAGCGGTCGGACGAGGGTGTTGACTGGCACCCCCGGTTGTTCCGGGCTGTTAAAGGCGGACCGGGCGGCCCGGAGGAAGGCGAAGAAGACCTTGACTGGATCATCCACACCAGGATGTAAGTGCAACTGCAAACTGGAGAGGCTAGCTACTGGGCACTGACGAATGGATGCAGTGACGGCGCGACCCCAGCGGAGCAGACGAAGCAGATTTTAGCCATAGCTCCCATCATTCCGGGGCAACATGCGCAGCAAAAGTTCCCGATTCCCGAACGGAAGCATGAGGATCTGCAACAGCCGGCTGCTGGCGGAGGTGACCTAATCGATTTCGGCCAGAACCAGACAGCACAGCACCCAGAGGGCAAGGCGTCCCGTTTCGTCTCTCGCAAGGACTCGGATACCCAGGACATAGATGAGTTTGTCGATGCCGAGTCGTGAAAGCAAGCCTTGGGTTTGTCTTCTCGAGTCTGCTGCCCGCCTCAACGGGGGTAGAACACCGAACCGAAAACTCAATTCAGTTGGTCTCGTTATTGGCTTAATGGGCGGACTAAGGGCAATGTTATGCCGATAACCTATTTAACTTGATTGAATATTGAACTTCGTTTGCCTGTTTTATCACCATGCGAACCACTGACAACCAATGCAGCTTCCGAACCAATCAGGGCCGTATGCGGACCAAATGTTCTCGATTGTTTGTCCTTCGTTCCTTGATTTATTCGTTGCAAGCAGTCTACCGCTCTAGGTATCGTCTATGTTTTTCATGTGTCTTATATACGTCATAACAAATGGCGGCTTTGGATGGAGCCGGATGAGAGCGCCTGTGTCTACTTGGCCTCAGGCGGCAGCGCCATGCCCAGCAAGAAGGCCGGCTCGTCGACGTTGTGGTGCTGGTAGCTCAGGATGCCGATTCCGCCTGGCTCCATCATCATGCTCAGCGGGAAGTCCATCGGGTACCCGAGCCAGCGTTTCGTGAAGGCGCGCAACAAATGGCCGTGTGCGACTAGTACGACGTCGGCTGGCTTCTCGCCGTGCATGTTGGGAGCCTGGATCTCGCGGATCTGCTTGATCAGCGCGTCAAGGCGATCGGTGACCTGCTGGGCGGATTCTCCGTCCTCGCAGCCGTCGCGCCAGATGTCCCACGGCCTCTCCTGGTCAAGGCCCTTGTCCTTGCGGCGGGCGCGGATCTCCTTTGTCAACAGGCCCTCGTAGGCGCCGTAGTCCCACTCGGCAAGGCCCTCGGTGGTGGTGACGCGGTCTTGCAAGGCGCCCTTGCCGAAGAGCAGGTCGAAGGTCTGCTGGGCGCGGGTGCGGGGAGAGACGAAGACGTGGGCGAGCTTCGAGGGGTCGATCAGGTGGGCGGGCCCGACTAGGAGGCGACCGGAGGCCAGGACCTGGGCCTCGCCGACGGGGGTGAGCAGCAGATCGGTGGTGCCGGTGTAGCGGCCATTTTTGGTCCACTCGGTCTCGCCTGCGACGGAGGGTCAGCATGCGACGACGAGGCAGAGGATAGGTACAAATAAATACCATGACGAGCCAGGTAGACACGCGGGGTGCCGGCGTCTTTGTCGGACATCACGTGTGTGATATGCGGTATGCGATATGCGATATGCGGGCTGCGAGAAATGATGTATGTGATGTGATGTCCCGGCGGCCTGGCGTTGGAGAGACAGACGGACCAGGCAGGAACCGCGCGACTGGATTTTGGCCCGGCCGACTCACGTGAAGATGCCAAAGATAGCACAAACCCTCCCGACCATCGACCATCGCCCACCGCCAGTCCCATCGGCTTCTATATTTGGCGTCAGCTTGGTATCAGACAGATCAGGCGCGCGCACGCACTCGGTCGCTCCCCGCAGACTCGCTCTAATTATGGCTGCTGCAACCTGCCACAATTGGCCCCATGGCGCCTCCGTGCAACCGGCCGGCTCTTCTCCGCAAGGCCCCATGCGGATATACACGCGCTCGAAACACATCACGCCTCTCCCTTGGCCAAGCCCGTCGCGAGGGATTCGCCCGCGTTTCGAGCATGGAGATTCAGCCCCCGCCACAGATCGCAGTCAGCGACTGGCTTTCTTGCTCGCCCTCTCCTGAGCCGGCGGGGATGGCCATCCTTCGTCATCCCCGCGTCGATCGTCGACGACGACGACGCCGTGCCGCAAGTCTTTCGTCGGCGCGTAGCGACGGCCACGGCTCCACCTTCTGCTAATTCTGGCAGACTGGCCCCGTTAGCAGACCCTTGCGGAACTGAGCCCTATCTGCCTTGATCCTTCAGAGATGTCCCTGCCATTCAGCCCGTGCTCAGCCCTCTCCCACTGTGTGCCTGAGCTCGTGCCTTTGCTTCCGTGCGGCGGGGACTGTGCCAATTGGTGCCTGAGACTCAACGGCTACATATCCCCAGTGCTGCCTGCAGATTGGACGCCAAGTGCGGAGGTACAGACTCAGCTTTCTGTCTACTTTTTCCTTTGTCCGTCGTCATCATCATCATCATTTATCGCCATCTTACCATGTCGGCCTCAAAATCCCCACTCCCTTACTCCTCGACATCCCACCACCAACATGCTCCCGCCCAGGACATGGACTCTAGCTTACAAGACTCCTCGTGGTACGGGACGCCCGTGCCCGTCAACGTATGTTTTCCCACCACAATGCAATGCTTCGACTTCTCGTTAACGCCGCCTCAAGCCTTCTTACGATCATCTCTCCTTCCACAACCCTTACGTGACTCCCTCGGTTTCTTCGGCGGGCTTCTCGCCCATGCCAGAGCAAGGAAAGCCGAGCAATGCCCAGATGATCCACTTTCCCACAACTACTTCAAGCGATTCAACGACCTATCCAAGCTCTTCAGAAGCCTTTACGTTCGATTACCTCAAGACCTCTAGCAATGTCTTTCCCGAGTTCCCCAAGTTGTCCATTCCGCCCTACGTTGATGTCCCACAACCTTCTATCTACAATTTCGCAAAAAGCGATGGCTCCAATTACTACGGCCTAACAACCTACGACGGCCTACCTCCCCGGCCACGCAGCAGTCCTAGCGTGTTCAGCCCGGTCACCCCCGGGGGAAGCAGAGCGGAATCCCACTTTGCTCAATGGCCGAGTAATCCTCTTGGAATCTCCCACGCTAGCGTGGATGAACCTATGTTTAGCAGTCACGGTCATACGGCTGTTCTGGCTTCAAGCCCACCACACAGCACCAGTGCGACACCCGAGATGATTGCACCTCAACCACGTCGGATGTATCCTCCCATTGCTCCACACCCCTTGAGCTTGCAACGGATGGCTACCACCAAGCGTACGCGTGAGGATGAGGAGGGTTTTGAAACACCGGGCAAAAGGAGGAAGACCTCCACCTCTTCTGCTGGACTGTCACAAGCAGCTGAGATCAGTGAAGAAGACAGACTACTGCTCAGGCTCAAGGACGAGGAGAACCTTCCATGGAAAGAGATTGCCGCAAGGTTTCAGACCGATATGGGCAAGAGCTTTCAAGTTCCGGCGCTCCAGATGCGGTTGAAGAGGCTGCGGGAACGCCTGCGGGTCTGGACTGATATGGACGTCAAGGCTTTGCGAATGGCGCACGAGTACTACATGGAGAACAAGTTTGAGATCATTGCTGCGAAGGTGAGTCAGGCTTCCAGCAACCCGAAGAAGAATCTCGCTAACAGCTCCCAGATGGCCGAATTCGGTGCTTCCGACAAATGGACCTCGAAGCAATGTGCTCGGAAATGGGTTGAGATAGAACCCAGCGCCACGCCTTTTATCACGACGCAAGACGACAATACGCCGAGCTACTCGTTTACTGCCAGCCCTGTTGAGGCTCCCAGTTACCTGCCTTATCATCTCCACATGCCGCAATGAGTCCATGGAGAACTGTCCCTAGATGTCGCTACGGCTCGCCGACACTCACGACTCCACAAGCCCAAAAATGGCGGTGTTTAACTTTATGATATTCGTTTTCTTCTTTTCCCACAGCTGTTTTGCGCCGAAAAGCCAGCATTTCCCGGTTTGCGTTGTATATACCTTTCCGACGACCTTCGCTTGATACCCATTTCATTTTCTATTTTGAACGTTCGCTACCAAGATACCCCCTTGCATTCGCTTAGAGCCTGCATCTATGAGGGCAGATTTCCTCTCGCTAGATACCCCGCTTTTGCTTTGTTATATATGGTTTCGTTTGTTTTGGCAGCATTGGGCAGGTTGGAGTCAAGCATGGGAGGGATTCGGGCGCACGCTTGGGCGATTAGACAGTACTTTTTTTTGTTTATTCTTCCTGTATGTACGATTGACGATTGGTGGGACATTGCGAGAATTCCGAGTTCTTTCCAGACGTCATGCGCGCAACGAGCGGTCAGAACAGTGTAAGCGACATGCAGGTCCGTGAGTCAAATTGCAAAGGATGCGCTGGCTAGCAAAGGATGCACATCCCTGCAACACGCGGTGAAGAAGCCGAAAATAGAAACGCGACAGGAGGTGACGATAAGCTTGATGGATCCTCCCGCACGCGAAGCGAGTCAAGAGTCAAGTCTCGAGTCGGGGGGCGGCGGAATGGAGTGGTGGAGAAGTGACCTCACTACCGGTCCTGCCTTCCATGACCTTGTCCGTGTCCATCCGTCCGCTGCGCTGCGCTGCGCTGCGCTGCGCCCCGCCCCGCCCCGCTGCCGCCCTCACTTACTCAGACGTCTATTGATCCTCCATCACAAACCACCCGACCTGCACTGCCGACTTACACCAGCTGGACGAGGCGCAGACTGCCAGCTGATGCGGCGGTGCATGCGCCGTCTTGTTGCCTTTTACCGCCGCCCAGGCTTCGCAGCCTCGACTCCAAACCGCTGACTGATGACTACCCATTGCGCAATGGTAAATGCATAGCGCATCGCCAAGGGATCATCCCGCTCAAACGCACTCTCAATGAGGCCTTTTATCTTACTCCACTCCACGAAGCCTAGCTTCGCCACGTTCTCCTCCGTCATCAGACAAGATAGGAGCCTGTGCAGAGGCCCGTGAGCTGGATACGTCGTAGGTGCTGAGTATGGCTGTGCGAGGAAGCTAGCATTAGCGGTGAAGGTCTGACAGAAAGATAGCCTCACGTCCAGAGCTTTGGACACTTACGTGCTTCTTCCGCTCGTACAGCTCCTTGGTAATGAACGGCCTACTAGCCTCTCGCAGAATCCACTTCTCCACAAACCTTTGCTCCTTAGGGTCCCATCTGATCTTTACACTCGGCGGCAGTCCGTTGACATACTCCGTCAAGTGGTGGTCGAGGAACGGTGTCCGCGCCTCTAGCGAATGAGCCATCTCAGTCCGGTCGCCCAGGCAAGTAAGAAATATATTGGCCAGATGTCCTTTCGACCAAACGTACTGTGCCGCATGCAACGGATGCCACTTGTTCAAGATACATTCTCTGACACGGCCGTCCGGATTGTTTGCAATAGTAAGCTGCGGATCGCAGAGACCAAAACATTCCGTCCATGGAGCAAAGACCTGCAGTGTGAAGGCCGTCATCGACGAGACAGTCGTGATGTTGTTGAGCATACGTCTCGCTACAGAAGGGCCTCTGTTTCTGGCATCCGCGCCAACGGACTGGTAATACTGTTTCGCCGCCTCTTCAGCCTCTTCGCATTGCCTGATGCGCTCCTCCTCAGGGAGTGTGTTTGCCTGCCAGGCGAGGTCAGGTTCGCGCAGATAGTCGGGCAGATAAACAGGATAGCCGCCAAAGTTCTCGTCCGCGCCTTCGCCCGTCAGCACGACTTTGAAGCCTACTTCTCGGGGAACATCGGAAAGTGCGTATTTGCCGATATAATTCAGGTCTGGGTTGTGGTGTTCGCAATGGTAGGTCGCGTCCTCAAAGCGAGCAGCAAGCTCAGCTTCGTTCATGTGTTTCTTGTAGTATTTGACGCCCAGATGCTCTGCCGTACGGTTTGCAATAGCTGTTGTCCTGAGTCAGCTATATCCAAAAGAACGGAGTCGAGAAAGAACAGTCTACTTGATTCATCGAAGCCGCTCTCTTCATCAAAAGCTATGCTGAAGCAGCTCACGCGGTCAGTCTCCTTCTCGTTTCCAATCTTTTCTCCACGTTCTTTGACCAGATGTGTAACCATGCCAGCAATTACCGAAGAGTCGATGCCACCACTCAAGTACACGCCTACAGGTACATCTGCACGTAACCTAAGACGAACCGCTTCCAGCATCCGCTCTTGAACGCCTTTTATCATCTCCTCTTCTGTGCGAGGATCCGGCATTCTCTTGGTTCTGTTAGCGAGCTCGCTCCATGATGTCCCAGGAGCGAGAATACCTTGTCAGGATAGTCAATATCCCAGTACGGCCTCTGTTCGAGGTGCTTAAACGACTGGCACGTAAGATAATGCCCAGGCCTCAACTACGCAAATCTCAGCCAATGCTCCTCAACGAACAATCCCCGAGCACAAAATTCCTACCTTCTTAACACCCTCAAACAAAGTTCTCTCATCGTGGTTCCACCCCGCATCAAGCAGGCTCTTGACATCCCACTGAGGCTTCCAGCCTAGTGGCAGAAACGCTTTAGCTTCCGCTGCGATCAAAATCCTGCCCTGGTCTCGCATCCAAAACAACGGTTTTATGCCATAACGATCCCTGGCCGCGACAAAGAACTGTCTCCGCGCATCATACAGACAGAGCGCGAATTCACCACGCAGCTTAGACAAGAAATTCAGGCCGTAGTGCTCATATAGCGCGATGACGATCTCGCAATCAGAGCGGCCCTTGAACTTGTAATCGGTATCGCGCTCGAGCTCGGCACGGATGGCATCATAGTCGTACAGCTCGCCGTTAACCACGGCGTGGACGGCGTCAGACGCGTCATGGAAGGGCTGCGCGCCGTCGGGGCTCAGATCGTTGATGGCAAGCCGGACGTGGCCGAGGGCTGCATGCTGCACGTTAGCATTGGCGGTGATACGGATGCTGATCTTATTTCCTTATTTGGCAATCAATAGGCAAGGGTGACGGGCCGGGGCAGAGGTTGGAGGACCAATTCGTTTGTCGCCGCTGATCCATTGGCCCCGCGAGTCTGGGCCGCGGTGCTTGATTGTTTCGAGGCTCTTGTCGAGCTGCGAGCTGAGTCGCGTCGTGTCGACTGCGGTGGGGTCATCCTGGTGGATGATGCAGCTTATTCCGCACATGGTGGCCTGCGCAACGTTTGCTCTCTGTCCATTGACGTGGCCTCGGTCATGGTTTTATTGAGTCGCTTGGGGCCCGCCGGCATCCGCGTCGAATCCAGAAGTCGATGACGTCGTAGTTCATTGGATAGATCGACCTTTCCGTCAACACCAAAATAGCTTATGTCAACGTGCCCCCCACTTGGTGTTAGCCGGCGATTAAGTGTCGCAAACTAAAAACGCGAACGTCGCACGACACAACATACACATCGAGCTTCGCCTAGTATGAATAGGTCTCCAATTCCAGTCATGCGCTATTGCATTGTCTGCTATGAACGTAAAACGCCGCGTTTCATATAACCCAACCAGGTAATTCCCAAACTCCCGTCTCCAAGAAGACAAAGCCACTTTTGTTTTGTCATCATAACCACATCTAAGAGTAGAGCTTCTTGTCGTAGCTGTGCAAGCCGTGCACGTTGCCCTCAAGCTGGGCAGAGGCAGTCCTGAGCTCGAAGCGGACCTTGCCCTCCAGAACATTGCCACGCATCTCAGTCAGGCTCGTGCAGCCAATGTCCTGGAGAGAGTGCTGGACACCAGCCATGAGGTAAGGAACGAACTTGGTGATGGAACCGCGATCAAGCACGGAACCGGACACACCCTGGGCAACAAGGAGACGGTCACCCTCAGAAAAGTAGCGAGCAGTACCAGCGTTGCTGGCCTTGGAGTCCTTGCCGCCACCGGCGGCCTTCTTGTCCTCCATTGCATCGATGGAGCCCATGCCACGGTAGGCTTTGACGAGCTGACCCTCGCGGGAAACGAAGGACTCACCGGGAGACTCGGTGGTACCGGCGAGCAGACCGCCCATCATGACGGTAGAGGCACCAAGGGCAAGACCCTTGACAATGTGGCCGACGTTCTGGATACCACCGTCCGCAATGCAGGGGACGCCGAAGCGGGCAGCGAACGAGGTAACGTTGAAGACGGCAGCAGCTTGGGGGCGACCGACAGCCATGACCTCCTGGGTGATGCAGGCAGAACCGCTACCCATACCGATACGGAGACCGTCGGCGCCAGCAGCAATCAAACCAGCAGCCTGCTCGCGAGTGACGACGTTGCCACCGATGACGTCCAGGCCAGGGTAGGTCTCCTTGATGAACTTGATCATCTCGATCTGGTACATGGAGTTACCCTGAGAGCTGTCAAGAATGACAATGTCAAGACCAGCATCGACAAGCTTCTGAAGACGAATCTTGTCCTCAGGACGGGTACCAATAGCAGCAGCGGAGATAAGCTGCTTGGAATCGGGAAGCTTAGAGGCAAGAGGGTAGTTCAGGTTCTTCATCAAGTCGGAGCGGGAGACAAGAGCAGTCAGGTTGCCGTTCTCATCAACGATGGGCAGCTTGCCCTTCTTGGAGCTGCGGACGAGATCGTTGGCGTCCTCAAGGGAGATACCCCGGCGGGCGGTGACCAGATCCTTGGACATGACAGTGGTGACAGTGTCATCGTGCTTGTTGTGGAACTGGATGTCGCGGTTGGTGATGATACCGATGAGCTTAGAGTTAAGAGAACCAGACTCTACAATTGACGTCAGCTTGCTATCGCAAAGACCGTGGGTTGCGCGAAGGTGTGTAGGAGGTGCTTGTTTTCAGAAAAGATCATAGTTCTCCCCATGACGACAGAGTCGCACTGCGGTTGAACGAAAGTTATATAATATGGTTTGAACATCATAGAGGTGTTTGTGCTCATTCATGCTGGAACGTGGCAAGACAAAGACTTACCAGTGACGGGGAAACCGCCGTAGCCGCACTTCTGCCTCAGAGCCTTGACCTCACCAACAGTCATGGTGGGGGGAATGCAGACGGGGTCGAGGATGAAGCCGTTCTCAAAGCGCTTGACCTTGCGGACCATCTCAGCCTGCTCGTCGGGAGAGCAGTTGTGGTGGATAACACCGAGACCGCCCAGCAGAGCAATGTAGATGGCCATCTCGTGCTCGGTGACCGTGTCCATGGGCGAGGAGAGGAAGGGCGTCTTCAGGGAGATGCGCTTGGTCACCGGGGTCTCGAGGTTGACTTCATTGGCAGGGAAGCCTGAAAGATGTCGGATTAGTCTGAGCCCCGGGTCAAAGAGGCGCTGGACTCAAGTACCGATGTAGCCAGGCAGGATCAGGAAGTCATTGTAGGTAAGACCGCCGTTGAGCTTGGAGTCAACGAGAGTCTGGACATCGATACCGTCGCGCTCGGGGTACTCGTTCTGGAGGATTTCGAGGGCAGACTTGTAGTCGAGGGCCTCGGCAGGGCCGACACCGTTGATGGCGGGGGACATGATCTTTTTTTTTTGTAGACGAAAAAAAAAAGAAAAAGAGCTTTCAGAGAGTGAAAGCGGGGTATCAGATGATAAAAGCAGGAAGATACGACAGGAGTAACGTATACAGACTGTCGGGGTGAGGGCGAAAACCTTTCCCAAGAAGAAAAGAAAAAAGAGGAAAAGAGCTGGAGCAGCAGATTTTTGAGTCGCGAGGGCGCGCGCCGCGCAGGGCCCCGCTAGCCGCAATCGGACATGGGCTCGCTGGCCTGGCCCAAGCTCTCCCGATCGAGCCTTTGGTAGCTGCGGCGGCCAGCCAGCCACGACAGCTAGCATCCATCAAAACAATGCGACCCACGCTCGCCCTTCGCTCTCTCATGTCTCAGGCGTCTAAGAAACCGCCCGCGACGCCTCGTCCGTCGGCCAGCATCCTGCTCGTCTCGCCTGCCAACCATGTCCTGCTCCTGCACCGCGTGCACACCTCGTCTTCCTTCCCCAGCGCCCACGTCTTCCCCGGCGGCAACCTCTCTGCCTTCCATGAAGGACCCCTCCCCGGGCCAGGCGACCCGGCGCTCCATCAGGACTCCGAGGCCTACAGAGCCGCAGGAATAAGGGAGTGCTTCGAGGAGAGCGGCATTCTGCTTGCGCGGAAGCCCGGCGACGAGGCTCTGCTGAATGTGCCCGAAGACCAGATAGAAATAGCTAGGAAGGAGGTGCATTCCGGAATGATAAAGTTTGATCATGTCTTGGCAGACTGGGGTGCCAAAGCCGACACGGCCAATCTGCTTCCTTTCACGCGCTGGATAACTCCCACCAATGCTCCGAAACGATTCACGACCCAGATGTACCTGTACTTCATGCCCTTGCCCTCCTCTAAAGCCGAGACAGAATCCGTTCGCAGCCTGCCCGTGGCCTCGGAGGCCGTCATCCCCATCCCCAAGCCAGATGGTGGTATTGAGCACACGGCGGCTCGCTTCCTTCCTCCATCTACCTGGCTATCGCAGGCGCAGTCCGGCGAGATCATCCTCTTTCCACCGCAGTTTTTCCTTTTGCACCTCGTGTCGCGGTATCTGTTGCCCTCGTCGTCTCCAACGCAGCCGCTGTCGCCCAAGGTCCTGCAACAACAGCGCGATCAATTGACAAGCTTGGTTGATCAAGGACGATGGGGGGAGATGTGCATCAGTCCGAGTATGCTAGCAAAGAGAAGGAGCGATGGAAGGGTGGTCTTGGGGCTGGATAAACCAGGGCCGGAGCTGGAAGGAAGTGGGAAAAGGGATGTGGATGATTATGTGATACTTGTTGATTTCAAGAAGGAAGGACCCAGGAGGGTAGAAGTCGGATTAAAGAAGGATGTGCTGGAGCAAGAGAGAAAGAATACATCAAACTTGTAGACATACGGGGCACGTCTATCTACTTGAGTGAATAGAACTGGAACTCCATCAGACGCAAGCAAAGACGTCGAGACGTGTTGTAACACATCCCAACGGTTCCTCGCACGTGTAGTAAGGGTGTTCAAGTCTAGACTGTGGGCTTGTTGTACCGATGTCGGACAAAGTGGACAACCAAAAAAAAAAAAAAAAGATAAAATTAAAATAAAAGAAAAAATTTACGAGTATCTGAGATACTAATGAAAGACACATGAACCGACGCCGGCAGGACTCGAACCTGCGCTCCCGAAGGAAATAGATTTCTAGTCTATCGCTATAACCACTCAGCCACAGCGCCAGTTGATGAAACTTGAGTCTAGACATTGAAATTATATTAGTTTGTGCCCGCACTACAACAACAAACCAAGCCGCTTTTGGTCTAAAGCAGGTCCGCATCGTGGGCACCAAGCGTTTCAAGGCGGGCTTGCGGCAGGGATGCCAGGATGTGTGCCTTGCTTGGCTCGAAGCAGAAACGCTGGGCGTGTGGACCGAGAATCTTGGAGTTGCACGGGGCGGCGATCCGCCAATCATCGATGAGCGCACCGCGCTTCCCGCTCCTGCCGTTTGGTCACCCGGTGGACTGTGACTGCGTGGTAAACACGAGAAATCGTTGTCGCCGAGGTCACTTTTGTCTCTCCTCGTGTCCGCTGCCTCGCTGCCCCTCAGTCGCCCACTCACCACACTCTTTCGCTTGGCCCCAGCCGACCTCTGGCGATCCGCATGGGCCCGCATTGAGGAAAACCTCGACAACACCACCGCAGCGCCTCGCGCGGCCCACTCCCGCGCGATCTTCTGCCTACACCGCATCCGCTCCTTTAATCCTCGCCGCCCTTTGCCGGCCACTCCTCCGTGCGAGACGCCCTTTGTGATGATCACGACTTACGACTAGCACGTCGACGACCATGCCTTCTACCTACCCTTCGCGTCCTAAGTCGTCGCACCAGACGGCGTCGCCGAGTCCCCTGCGGCAAGCCTCTACCGCCTCATCCCATTCTGCCCTCTCGAATACCTCCGAACTACCAAGTCGCGCCCCGTCCAATGCCGCCAACGGCCTTCGGCTCAATGGAACTAGCCATAGGCGCGGACAGAGCGAAATCACCCTGCCCACGCCGACAGAGGAGGCTTTCAGTGGCAACGGGCTGAGTGGTGCTAGCAGCTACCAGGCCATGCGGTCGAAGTTGCGGCCCTTGTCGCTAGCTCCTGGTCAAGCTCCTGTCAGTCCGCCAATCTCGCCTGAGAAGACTTCTCCAGAGAAGACCTCTCCACCTACGACGCACAGCCCTCGGTCTCCGCCTACGACGCACAGCCGCTCAAAGAGCCTAGCACCAGCGCTCTCTCCAGCGCTCTCCCCAGCGCTCTCACCACCGCCGTCTCTGGATAAGACGGTCCCCAGGCTACATAATCGCTCTCAGAGTCTAGAGCCTTCCAGCGCTGCTTTCCTCGATGGATCGACATCGCCGACCAAGTCGCGCCCGTACTCTCTGGCCATTTCTAGGTCGGATTCCGTTCGTGCGCCTACTCACGAAAGGTCCAAGTCGCATACCCACTTTACGCCTGAGATTGAAAAGCCGGACCTAGAGTCTCTTGCTAAATCCACAACCGGCCACCTTAGAACGCTATCCAAATTCGCAGAAAACGCTGACGAGGACTTTACCATTAAATCGCCAGATGAGGAAGTGGTGGGATTGCATGGGCGCAGAAGGCTTCAGCGCGCCAAGTCACAGCGGAAGCCTGGGCAGTCCAGCTGGTCAAGCGTCAAGTGGATGGAACAACAACGACAGTTCTTACAGGCATACGAATACCTATGTCATATTGGTGAAGCCAAGGAATGGATAGAAGACGTCATCCACCAGCCCATTCCGCCGATTGTGCAAATGGAGGAAGCCCTACGAGACGGCGTTACACTTGCGGAGATCGTGCAGGCGTTATATCCGGATAAGCCGCTCCGCATTTTCCGACATCCAAAGCTTCAATTCCGGCATTCCGACAACATTGCATTGTTCTTTCGATTGTTGGCTGACGTTGAGCTGCCAGAGCTGTTCCGCTTCGAGCTTGTCGATTTGTATGAGAAAAAGAATATCCCCAAGGTCATCTACTGCATCCACGCTTTGTCATGGCTGCTCTTCCGGAAAGGGATTCTTGATTTCCGTATAGGAAACTTGGTCGGTCAACTCCAATTCGAAGACCATGAACTAGAAGAAATGCAGAAGGGTCTTGATAAGTCGGGAGTTAGCATGCCTAATTTCTCTGGTATGAGTGCCAATTTTGGAGAACCGGAACCAGAACCCGAGCCAGTCGAGACCGAAGAAGAGCGCATTGATAGGGAGCTTGCTGAAAACGAAGATGCTATCATTGATCTGCAGGCCCAGATCAGAGGTTGCATGGAGAGACTTCGTCTCGGTGACTTCATGCAAGCGCTTTGGGACAACGAGGAGTGGTTTACCGACCTCCAGTCCAGGGTCAGGGGAGATTTTGCCAGGCAGATTGCCTTCTACAAGTTGGATATGGCGAGGTTTGCCATTAATCTCCAGAGTGCCGCGAGGGGTTTCAATATCAGGTCGCGACAGCGGAGTAACGAACAATACTGGCAAACTAAAGAGAAGGAAGTTGTCATGTTGCAAAGTCTTGTCCGCGCGCGGAAAGCAAGAGTTCAAACACAGGAAATCAGGACGCAGATGCAGCGTCATGAATCCGGAATCCGGAAATTCCAGGCTGCCATCAAGGGTGCGCTGAAGCGGAGGGAGGTCACCGAGCAGTATGAAGGGACTCGCGAAGCGGAGTCTGGAGTCCAAGGCCTACAGGCCGCCATTCGCGGTGCGCTGCTCCGAGGAAAAATTGAGGCCTTGTTGGTCGACGCACATGATGCAGAAGCCAGTATCGAGAGTCTTCAAGCCGCTATCCGCGGTGCCCTTCTTCGCAAGAAGATTGGTGACCAGCAGGCGGAAACGCAAGAGGCCGGCGCTCAAATTGAGCTCCTCCAATCTCTTGCACGAGGCATGCTGCTGCGCCAGGAGCAACGCGCGCAGCAAGACAGCTTGCGCCAACACGAAGATCTCTTCTCTTTGCTTCAAGGAGCGATTCGCGGAGCGCATGCAAGGAAGGTAACGGAACAAGTCCTGAATGACCTCTCGAGCTCAGAAGCCAACTGGATGGACTTCCAAGCTGCCATACGCGGCAAGGCTGTTCGCGATTCTCTTAACGAGCTTCGCGAGAACCTCTGCTCGCACGAGAGTGAAGTCACAGATCTGCAATCCCGTGCTCGCGGCAACGTTCTTCGACTTTCTCTTGAGGAGCTTCGCAAGGAAATTCATTTGCACGAGGATAAGGTGATCGATCTGCAATCTGGATTCCGCGGTATGGTTGTGCGGTCTTCTCTCGAAAATCTTCGCGAGCACCTTAATGCACATGAGGACGATGTGGTCGACCTGCAATCTCGGGTCCGCGGAAATGTGCTCCGGGACTCTCTCGAGGAGCTCCGCGAAAACTTGCGTGCGCACGAAGACAAGGTTATCGACCTACAGTCCTGGTTCCGTGGTATCAAAGCAAGGGCAACATACGCTGCAACCCTTGAGTCTCTGGAGGAGCATGTGGACTCTGTGCTTGACTTCCAATCGAGGATTCGGGGTCACCTATTCCGTAACAAGCATTTTGCCGACCTTCAAGCTTTGGAAGACGCAACCGACAGCATCGTGGAGTTACAGTCAGCTTCTCGAGGATTTAATCTCCGAAACCATACCTATGAGACTCTTTGCGACCTCACCGACAACGACGAGCAGACTGTCGCGCTGCAGAGTCTGGCTCGAGCTATGCTTGTGCGCCTCGATGTGGGTGACTTGCTGGCGCAACTTGACGAGGAAGAAGAACTTGTCTGCGAGTTGCAATCTCTTGCTCGTGGAAACCTCATACGGAGTCGTTTTCAGGAAAAGAAGAAGTTCTACCACGAGAACATGCAGAAGGTCGTCAAGATTCAGAGCTTTGTGCGCGGTCGGCAGCAGGGTGAGGCATATAAGAGCTTGACAACCGGCAAGAATCCCCCTGTTGGTACGGTGAAGAACTTTGTGCACCTCCTGAACGACAGCGATTTCGACTTTGACGAGGAGATGGGTAAGAGGACATGGTCACCTGAGCCCCTTGCAGCTTGCTAACTGTACTGCAGAATTTGAACACCTTCGGAAAACAGTGGTTCAACACGTCCGCCAAAACGAAATGGCTGAGCAGTACATTGACCAGCTTGACATTAAAATTGCGCTCCTTGTTAAGAACAAAATCACTCTTGATGAAGTTGTTAGGCACCAGCGGCATTTTGGTGGCCATGTTGGTGGCCTGCTAGCCAACAAGGACTTGGCCTCGAAGGACCCTTTCGACCTCAGAGCTCTCAACAGAAACTCGCGCAAGAAGCTCGAGCACTACCAAGAACTCTTCTTCATCTTGCAGACCCAGCCACAGTACATGGCTCGCCTATTCCGACACATTCGCGAGACTGGTTCTGCTGAAAAAGAATGCAAGCGTATTGAGTTGCTGATGATGGGTCTTTTCGGCTATGCCCAGAAGCGGCGTGAGGAGTACTACCTGCTCAAGCTCATCTCACGCTCCATTAAAGAAGAAGTGGACGCCGCCGACTCCCTTCAAGATTACCTCCGCGGCAACTTCTTCTGGTCCAAGCTCCTCGGCAACTACATCCGCTCTCCCCGCGACCGCAAGTTCTTGCGCGACCTGTTGGGACCTCTGATCAAAGAAAACATTATGGAAAACGAAGGTCTCGACCTCGAGTCTGATCCCATGCAGATCTACCGCTCTGCCATCAACAACGAAGAACTTCGCACTGGTCAACGCAGCCGTCGTCACCCTGATATCCCACGTGAAGAGGCAATTCGCGACCCCGAAACCCGCGAGACGTTTATTCATCATTTGCAAGATCTCCGTGACATCGCTGATCAGTTCTTCGCCTCTGTGGAGGATTGTTTGCACAGGATGCCGTACGGTATGCGATTCGTTGCGCAACAGACATTTGAGCTGCTGTGCAGCAAATTCCCAGAGGAAGAGCAGATCCATCTTTTGCAGATTGTCGGCCAGTGGCTGTGGAGGCAATACTTGCAACCAGCAATCCTCCAACCCGAAACCTGGGGTGTGATTGACCGCGGGCTGTCGCCTTTGCAAAAGCGTAACCTTGGTGAAGTGTCAAAGGTTTTGAGCCAAGTTGCGGCGGGCAGGTTGTTCGGTGGTGAGAATGTCTATCTACAACCGCTAAACAGCTATCTCACGGAAGCCATTGGGAGGATGGAAGAGATTTGGACAAACCGTAGGTTGACTTTCAACGCCTCATCTATTCATACTAACCGATTTTAGTCATCAGCATTAGTCCGGCTGAAGCGCATTTCGACATTGATGAGTACAACGACCTTTACAACACTCAAAAACCGACCCTGTACATCAAGCTCGCCGATATCTTCGCCATCCATCAACTTGTCGCATCGGACCTCTCCGTTATCTGCACGGCACAAGAAGACACTGTCCTGAGGGAGATTCTTCGCGAACTGGGCAGTGCTGGTAGCAACGAGAGGGAACTGTCTGGGGTCAGCTCCACTGAAATCAGCCTCACTCTTAACCCCAAGTTCCACGATGTCGAAGACCCTGACGCACCTGTGAAGGCTCTCTTCATGGAGACCAAGCGTTGTGTGTTGTACATTATCCGCATCCAGACTGGCTCGGATCTTCTCTCTATCATGATCAAGCCCATCACCGACGAAGACGAAGACCGCTGGGCCGCTCTCCTTCGTGAGGAAACGGCCTTGCACAACACCAACAAGACCGCCTACACTGACGGAGCCAACACACTTGTCGATATCACCACGGTCACGTACACGGAGCTCAAACGCATCGCCCTGGAAAACATTCTTACCCTCGAACAAGCCGGCCGCATCAACCGGCATAACAAATACCAAGACTTGCTCAACGAGATCGCCATTGACATCCGGACCAAGCATCGTCGTCGTATTCAGCGAGCTCGCGAAATTGAGAACGTCAGGGCCACGCTGGCAGCGCTCGACACCAAGGCGGAGTGGCTGGACAGCCAACTGAAGAGCTACAACGACTACATTGAGCAGGCGATGGTGACTCTGCAGAACAAGAAGGGCAAGAAACGCTTCCTGTTGCCTTTCACCAAGCAATACAACCACGAGCGTGAGCTGCAGCGCCGTGGCCAAGTGCCCAAGTTCGGCTCTTTCAAGTACAGCGCGCGTGCGCTTGGCGAGAAGGGTGTTCTTGTTGAGTGGCGAGGCTACACCGACAAGGAGCGTGGTTGGGAGAAGACCAACATCACCATATCGTCGGATGAAGTCGGCATTTTCCACATCGAAGGCTCAGTTGGCAGCATGATAATCCCGGGAGCTAGCGCCATGGTGCCATTGGACGATTTGTTGCAGGCGCAGTTTGAGAACAAGATGTTCATGAACCTGTTTGGAGCCGAGGGATCCGGAGAGGCAGCGGGCGCGTTGAAGCTGAACGTTAACTTGCTGCTGCACTTGATTTTCAAGAAATTCTACCGCGATGGTGAGGCGGTGAGGCTGAGAGTTTAATTCGAGAGATAGAAGCGGTGGTGAGGCGGAGAGGACTGTGAGTGATAGGGACGTCGCGCTTCGGCGTTCTGTCTTACATTTTGGGTTTTGTCTGCTTTTTGGGGGTTTCTTTAGGAAGGATTGGTGTCCCGGAGGATTTCTTTGGTAGGAGAGAGCCACGAGTCTCTTTGCTTTTTCACTCTGTTCATCCTACATTGACGCACGAGTATACCCTTATCCGCACATAGGCTCATTTTTCTAGTCAACCCTCTCTGTTCAGTTTCGGTCAGCCACGGCCCGGAAACGCATTGCATATCGGGAGCAAAAAGGGGTACGGATCTCGTTTTTCTTTTCTTTTTCTCTTGACTTGCGACGGCATAAAATGTATCTACGCGTGTAGTAGCGCGGCGGATGATCGAGAATGCCAGTATGCTTATTTTCTTTAATAACATATATTTTTACTCGTAGCTAGCGAGAGCGTCGTCCCCGACTATTTTATACAAATACAAAAAACAAACCAACACAATTCATGTTCACACCTCAACCAGCACATCCCCCCTTTTATTCACGACAGTCAAACGCTTACTGCGCCCCTCGACCCTCGCCTCCGTGACCACGCCCTCGGCATCCCACGTAAACGCCACGCTGCCCCCGCCCCGCAGCCTCAATCCGCGAACACTTCCCCCAGCCCAACGTCCCGGGATCGCCGGCCCAAGCACCACAGTGCCGGTGCCTCCGGCCCGCCCGAGCTCCGCAGCCGGCAAATCGACAACCAGCATGCTCAGCACGGCGCCGGCCAGGCCAAAGTTGGCGTCGATCTGGAAGGGCGGGTCGGCCGCACTGTACATGCTGAAGCCGTTAGGCGCAAAGTTCCGGCCCACGGCGTAGCGCAGCAGCGCGTCTGCGGCGGCCGTGTCGTTGAGGCGTGCCCATGCCGCGGCGCGCCAGAGCTTGGCCCAACCGGCGTCGGCGTCGGGGGCGGTGCCGTTGCCGCGGGCGAGCAGGGCGGCGCGTACGGCGGCCTGGAGGGGGGCGGCGCTGTAGCCCTGCGCGAGCGACGCGATGCTGTGGCCGGGGTGCCAGCCGGTGAGGTGCGAGAGGTGCCGGTGGTGCGGGTCGATGTCTGGGGAGCTCTCCAGGGAGGGGAGTTTCCACTCTTGCAGGGCGCCCGTCTGCGGCGAGACGTGCACGCCTTTGTCGAGGGCGGCGAGGGCGGTGTGCACGGCTTGCGTGAAGTGCGCGTCCGGCTCGTGGCCCAGCGCGCTGGCGCTGGCCGTGGCGTGCAGCACTTGGTGGATGAGCTGCTGGTAGTGCGCGCAGCCGAAGGTGACGGGGCCGTGTTCGGGGCTGGTGCACGGGAGCGCCACCAGCGTGCTGTCGTTGGTGAGGGCGTCCGGGCGGAGCTGCGACAGCCAGAAGCGCGCGACCCCTTTGAGGAGGGGGTAGCCTTGTGCGGCGAACCAGGTCGAGTTTTGCGTGTACGTGTAGTGGTCCCAGACGTGCTGCATGAGCCAGGCGGGGGCGGCTTGGTCTGCAGAGGGGAGGGGGTGAGTGTTAGTTAGTCTTTGGCAGAGGATAGGGCGATGGATGTATCATCACTCACAGTCGGCCCACTTCTCGACGTCCTTCATGCCCGTGTGCCCGAAGATGTTGACTTCGCCATGCACCAGCCACCCCGGCGCGCCATACAGCAGCGCGGCCGTCTCCTCGCCGCGCGGCACAATCGTGTCCTCGATGTAGTCCCACAGGCCCTGCTGCAGGCGGCCCAGGCCTGTCTGATCCGCGTGCCAGTAGTTCATCTGCACGTTGATGTCCAGGTGATAATCGTCGGCCCACGCGCCCTCGAGCGTCTCCAGCCACTTGCCGGCCAGGTTCGCGGGCAGCGTGCGCTCCCGCGCCGACGAGATCAGGAGGTACCGCGCGTAGTCGAAGAGCAGCGAGTCCACGTACGGGTCTCCCTCGGCCGTCGTGTTGTAGCGCGTGATGAGGGTGGCCGTTTCCAGGCCTGCGGAGCCGAGCGTGTCCGGGAGGTCGAGAGAGAAGGCGTGGGTCAAGCTTTGGAAGTCTTCCAAGTGGCGGCTGAGCAGCGTCTTGTGCTTTTTGGAAGCTGCTGAGATAAGTCGCCTGAGCCGCGGTTCGGGGTCCTCGCCCTTGAAGGAGAAGTTGTGTTCGCGGGTGCCTTTTTTCTGGTCGTAGTTTGTCCCGGCGGCGATGAGCAGCTCGATTGACGTTGTGTTGGCGGATGAGGGGATGACAAGCGCACCAGTAGTCGTGTTGCTGCAGTGGATAAGGGGGATATGGCTATCCACCACTTGGGCAAAAGCATCGTACCGCATGCCCTCTGGCGGGCCGAGTTGGGTCACTCCAGCCAGCCGCACGAACCCGTCTCCGCATGTTGGGTTTTGCAGCTCTGGGGCCGCGAGCGTGTTCTCGAAGGAGACGGTAACAGTAGGCAGACGGTCACTGGAGCTGAGGCGGTAGACGCAGACCTTATCCGGATATGAGCAGTAGATGGTGGTGGTGTAGCTCGTATTTCCGTTCGCCTGGAACGACGTGCTGTGGATGCCGGTATCCAGGTCTAGGGATCTGTTGTATGCCGTCGTACTCGTCACGCCGTCAATGGCGATGCTGAGGTTGCCGAGGACTCGAAAGGAGCCGTAATTGCTGGCGTCTCCCAAGAGTTGATAGACGTGTCCCGCGCCATTCCTGAAGATGGTGTCTCGAATCTCAGGTAGGTACTGGTACTTTGTCGTATTCGGGTTGCCGCCCGTATAGTTCTGCCGCTGCCATGTCAACGGGGGGAAGGGAGTTGACAATAAACACCTACACTAGCAGCAAACGGTCCCCCCGACCACAGCGAATCCACATTCAACGACACCTTCTCCTTTCCCGCCGCCCCAAACGGCAAAGCTATGCAACCCACTTAGCAATTACTCCTCTCCAACTCCGCCTCGCTAACAAAACACTCACCTCCCAGAAAGCCATTTCCCACCGGATAAGCCTGCCGCATAACATCCGTCGCCTCCGCCGGCGTCGACGCCCACAGCACCTTTGCCTGCGCAGCTCCCGCCACGACGAAACCAACGGCGACGAAAAGCCTCATCCTCAGCATCACAGTGAGTACGAGCCTCGCTAGTAACCAAGTGGTAGAAACTACTCTTTCCGCGGTATCCCGGCAGCAAACACACCGGCTAAGTACTCCCGCCACGCCGTCCCATAAGCAAGCAAGCAAGCAAGCAAAAGCCACTGACATGGTCATGTACATAACTACCGGTAGCCCACACCTACCCCTCGCGCAGAGCCCCGCATCGCGGGGAAGCTGAGCAACACTTACAAACACACATCGAGCTGAGCTGCTATCTAGCTCTCGGGGCAGCATGCTCCTTAGCCGCACCAGCGACGACGTACGTACATACGTACAGTACAGTACACGCAGCGATGCCAGCACGCCCAGCCAGCGGGTCGGGTCCATCCGTACCTATGTCTGTAGTTAAGTCTGGCATCAAGACGATCCGCCCAAGGACCGCCGGGGCACGGGAGTTGCGGACGAGATTTCTCCGCTTTTCGGCAGATCGCTCCGCCGAGGCAGCGTGGTTGCTTCTTTCGGCACGGAGGGCCGGGCAGGCTCGAGCTCGCGGGCAATCATATAGCCAGTGATGGCTGCTGCCATGTAGATCCAGGACCCGGCGACCGAGGGTGCGCGCAGGAGCCAGGGCCCCAGGTGGAGGGGGCGTGGGGGGCGGCCATGATGATCTTCTCTCCTCCCATGCCGGAGGGATTGTCGCCGCACCGTCTTGGCCGTTGACGTGTGTTGGCGTGGCTGAGCTGGAGCTGGAGCTGGAGCGAGCGAGCGAGCGAGCGAGCAAGCGAAGGAGCTGAGTCGACTCTCTGCCCTTCTTATACAAGGCTGTGGCCGCCACCCGCCGTCCGCGCTTTTTTGTGCTCTCCTCCTTCCTGTGCTGTGTATACCTCTCCTATCGTGGCCGACCGTCACGCCCGCAACAGCCAGAAAACGAATGATCAGCGCGCAAGAACCACAGAACATGATTGCTTTTTTCAAGCCTTCCTACCGGTAATCTGGCCTCTCTTCAAAACGACCGTATTTCCCTTCCGCTCCTCCATCTGCTTGCTCGCAAGCACGATTGATTACACGCGCGCGAAGCCGCGTCGCATCGTCATCATCATCATCATCATCATCATCATTATCATCATCGCCCGCATATAACAAACATGTACATTCACAGCATCCAATCCCCGCAAATACGTCTTGGAAAGCCAGAAGAAAAAAAGCACCATATGTTGGTAAGTAAGCGAGCAAGCAAGGAAAAGGGAATCTCTCTAGCAAACATATCCCAGTGCTAGCCTGGTGAGTGCGCAAAAAACCATGCAGTGATATCATAGACAACGACGAGACGAGAGGCGCAACGAAGTGAGAAGAAGAAAAAGAAGATGAAGAGAAGGAAAGGGTTCATACAAAAAAGCGCCATTCCAGTTTACCCGTAGGTATCAAAATCCCCGTCGTAAAAGTCGAGACGAAATCAAAACGAAACCCAAACCACCCGGCAAACCGGTGGGACAAAGTCGACAACTGCCTGTCTTTACAGTATGAACTGAGAAGCAGGCTCCGGCAGAGAATATAATCACTCCAAAACCTCGCACCGCATCTCGCAGCACCTGGGACATGGGACAATCCTATGCTCGCATGTTTTCATGTCACATCCTCGAGTGACGAAACGTTCTTCTTCAACCCCTTTCACTGTCCAGTACCAGCGGCACTCTGCTGTCCAATATCAAACACCATCAATGGCCATAGCTGGCCTTGTGCTTGGGCCGCCTGTGCCACTGCAGCCGCGCTCACCGCTGGGTGTGGATGGTGCTGCTGGTGTTGCTGATGCATTCCAACTGAGGCCGCAGCCTCCATATCCACTATGGTGCCCGTGCCCGCTTGCGGGCCAGAGGCGCCACTCACCCCGTTTGCCATGGGACTGTTGCTCATCCCACCAACACCAGACACGCTACCGTCCCGTCCGCTGTGTGGTCCGGTGTGACCCAGAGCCATCAACGCGCTTGCCGGATGATATTCTTGCGAGCCGAGGTTCGTCATCATCCATTGGCGCCACGCGTCACTTTGGTTCTGCGGGTTGGCGTTCTGGTGGGGTGGAGCACTATGTGGCGGCTGTGGGTATGCAAACGCCATGCCATTATCCTGCGTTGTCCCAGCCGAAACGGCTGCAGCGGCATGTGCAGCGGTCATGTCAGAACCTGGGACACCGTAGGGAGATTGGGAGTATTGAGCGTCGCCGTTCTGGTAGGTTGACATGGAATGTGGCCCATTGGCGTAAGGAGAATACTGCGGCGCGCCAGCAACGGCAGGGTAAGGGTGCGAGGATTGTGTCATCGAGGGATCGTCAGGAGGCATGTAGCTGGGTTTACTGGGATCGGTAACTGGAGCATTGTTGCTAATAGCACCACTGTACTGGTTGCCATAGCCATTTGCGGGCGGATACGGTGGCGGTGCGGGCGCCGCATCCTGGCGTGGGGAGGTGCTTGGCGATTGCTTCAACGCTGCATTGGCCACAGCGGCGGCAGCGGAGGCCGTCTTTTTCGCCAGATGCCGGCTGATGTTCCCAATCGCCTTGTCGATAATAACACGGGTAGCTTCTTCCAGACGCTTCCCCGAACCTCCGGAACAGTTAGCTAATACTTTAATAGCGCCGGGGCAGGTCCTACCGAGAATGGAACCGCATTCCTCCATGATCAGAAGCCACATTTCCATCTCGATCTTCAGATTCGCGAGATCCGACGACGTTATCTCATCCTTGCGGTGCGAGTAGACAAACAGTTGGGTCAAGATCGCTGCCAGGTAGACCGTGCAATTGATCCAGGGAGTATCCAAACTTTTGTAGCGCCTGATCTCGTCCAGAAACTTGACCATCTTGGAGTTGGCCTCCAGACAGATGTCCATGTTGCGCTTTAGCAGGTTCTGGTCGCTGGACCGAGACAATGCCGGATGATGAAGCATCAAAGAGAACTCCTGGTCCCAGAACTGCACGTACAACGCAAAGATATGGTCTTCCGCGTCGACACGCGAGCCTTCTCTGAGCTCGGGAGGGACTTGTTCGCGCCACCTTCGATGTTCCTCTTCTAGCCTTCGAAGAGTGGGCTCGTAAGACTGGGGCAACTGTCGTACCGCATATATACTGCTGTACATTTGCGACGAAAGCGCCACGATCTTGATACCCTGTAGACCAATGTGAAAGGAACACTTCCGGAATTCACTGAGACTCTCTTCCGAAGGCAAATTGTCACGAATAGCTTCAGGAAACTCCACGTCGATATCTTCCATGCGGAGAGGCATTGGCCGGCCGAGCTTTCCACTGAGTGTGATATGGAGTGCATGGAGCGTCCAAAATACTCTCTTTCTCGTCTCGATCTCAACAATATCTCTCTTGGGCGCCGTTTCCGCCCATGCCTTTGCAGACCTGTGAAGGCCCATCTCCACAGCTACAGAGAGAACCAACGATGACATCATCCAAGCGGCACCGGGCTTAGGGAAGTTTCGAAGATGCAGGCAGATCATGGTCAGCGCTTGGATGTCCTCCAGAGTGTGACCGCTGAGTAGCTGATAGAAGTGACTCAGGGACCATCGAAAATGGGCATTCGACTGCTCCTGTGCTTCTGGATTGTTGTTACGCGCCGCGAACTGGTACTTGATGATCGCCAGTACCATCTGCACCATGACGGTTTCTGCTATGGTAGTGGTATGATTCACATTGGAGTATATCCTGGACAGCTATATGCAATGTCAGCAATAACCACACACGGACCAACAAACACCTCATCCTTACCAAATCCATAAAGTGTGGCTTATACAGAACCGGCGTGTAGGGATGCAGGCCGCGAAAGTACCAGCTGGCATAGGTTTCACATTCCTGATGACTGCTAGGCAGATCGACCTTGTGGGGCTTCGGGCGGTCCGAGGCATTCATGGCCACGGCCAAAAAATGGCGATAGGACATAGGAGAGCTGATATCCTCAACATCGTCAGGCACGAAATCGGCAAGGTCGATCTCCATGCCGTAAAAGGAAAGTGATGTGCCCTTAATGGGGCTGAGGACCGAGTTGGCCGATGAGACGCCCAGGTAGTTGTCTCCATTGAGGCCTGAGCGGAAGGTGGGCAGGTTTGTGGTGCGGAACTGGGTCGAGTCGATGTCGTTGGCCGAGGTGGGCTCGCTGCTGGCAGGTGGATAGGTCATGGCGTTGGTGTTCGCGGGGGGCGCAGATCCCCACAGGTGACCATCGGCAGTGGCCGTGGGCCAGCCGTTCTGCGCTGGCTGCGGAGTGGGCGCGTAGCTATGGACCGCAGGTATGACTTTTGGCTCCACACCCAATTCCTTGAGCTGGGCCTGCATTTGGTAGAGGGCCTGCTTCAACTGCACATTCTCATACTCGATGGCCTCGGTGTGGCCGCGGATGGTGGCGCGACCGGTGATGCGGTCCGTCGTCTTGCACTCGGTGTTGTTCTGAATGCACGGCGAGCATCCGCCCGGACGGCCATCGCAGCGGATCTTGCGAACCTGGCGGACGTTATTAGCATGGGTGGTTTACGCCGTGACCCGGCTCTGCGGATCCTACCTTGCAACGGTCGCAAGCCTGGCCGGTTCGCGTCGAGGCCGACAGCTTCTTCTTGACCGTGTGTGAAAAGTCCTCGGCGGCGTGGTGCTCGGTCTTGGGCAGCTTTGGCGATTGCGCCTGCGACGGCGACGCGCCCTCGGAGGGAGCAGGGCGTTTAGCGACAGGCATCCTGCAGCGCGTGGTGGAAGGTGCCGTGGAGATATCCGCGCGGGACGTGTCGTATTAGGAGACCGGTGACGGCGCGACGGCGGCCTCACAGCAACAGAGTAGGAGAGAGACTCTCTGTCTGCTGCGGCGGCGGCGGGCGGGCGCTGCTGCGGGCGCTGCTGCGGGCGCTGCGATTCTGGCGGCGGCGTCTGCCTCGGTCGGTCAGTTCCCTTTCACCCCCCCAAACCCCAAACCTAGCAAAAAGTCGAGTCACGTGAGGGCAGGACAGGGCAGGGCGAGGCGACTCACTCACTCACTTGCTCTCTCAACTCAACTCGGATGTATGCTAGAGATATGTGATACTTGCCTTTCTCCTCGTCTGGCGGCTGGCTGGCGTTGTGGCTGGCTGCGCGACGCGAAATCTGGGGAGAGGCGCGGCGGCCCCCCATGCGCCTGGCTGATAACTAAGAAAAGACGCTCGCTGCTGCTTGCTTGCTGCTTTGCTGCCTTTGCCCGCTCCGACTCTTCCAGCCCACCATTCTCCTCCCTTGCGCCCGCGTCCCTCGCCATGGCCCGCGTCCAGACTATCGGTCTCGCCCACCTGCCTGCCCACCCCGTGCACGTCGCCCTCTTCGATCACGTCACAAACGCGGCCGCCTTGCGCCAGCACCTGCTCAGTGGCAACCCCGAGTTCGAGTACGCTTTTCTCGACGCCACCACCGTACGTTGCCCCCGCCGCATGAATCCGCTTGACTCGCATCACGTGCACCCTGCTAATGCACTCCAGATTCTCTCCACATCCCACCTCTTGGCCGCCGTCTTCCGCGCCCTCAACGACCTGCTCAACGCCCGCTTGAAGAGCCGCAACGTGCACTCGGAGATTGTCTTCTCCCTGAGCCCCAACAACAACGTAAGCTGCTGCTTTTCTCTGTTCTTTTCTATTACCAATTGCGTCCTGCTCCACCTATTGTTTATATTAAAGGCTTGTATCATTAGCCGTCGTGGGTCGAGTCAGCCCCCCGTTCCGACGGGCCGGTGACGGCTCAAATCCGACGCCCTCTCTATCTCCGAATTGTCTCCCTATTCGAGTCGAGTCGATATAATCTTTGCATGCACTTTCTCACCCCGTCTCCCAGATAGCCGAGTCCTTCCGCCGCTTTGGCATCCAAGATGCCACCACGACTCTCCTCGCCATCAAGGTCTCCACCCCTTCTTCCCCCGTGACTGCTGAAGCCGTGCAAGCGCACCTCTCCACCGCAATCGAGGGCACGCCGCTTGAACTGACCGATGCGGAGCTCGCCCGGTTCACTGACCTCGCGCGCATTCGCAAGATCTACAAGCTCGACTCCGCAAAGCCGAGTCAACGAGGTAAGAACCCGAAGAAAGGGGCTAAGAAGGAAGAAGCAGTCGCAGATGTCACCAATGGAGTGGATGGAACGGCCGACGAGCCTGTCGACGAGAGAAAAGACATGGAGGCGGTTGTTTTGGGAACCATGGCACTGAAGGGATCATGAGCGAAGCCCAGATCATGCTCGCGGGTAGGAGACCAATAGAAAACACAATAGAAAGCCGTTTCTTGGTTAGGGCACGTTGCATGCTGGTTTTCCTGATAGGCGGATGCGTCAAACTTAAACAGCCTAGCTAGGCACCGAAAACGGCTAGGATGACGACACACGAGCGGGGGACGTGACTAGTAGTTTACCCGAATTATCTCCAGGTTAGTAGCTTCAACAATGTTGTCTCCGGTCAATAGAGTGTCTCAGAGCGTTTCAAGCGGATGCCAAAGGATTTGCTAGGTTTCGTGTCCTCGGAGCGGAAGTCCGGGTAATGGAGCGCGGTCTTGCTGCAACGGATTGCTTTAACTGCTATACTCTACATCAAGCCGCTCTTCACTACAACACCAGCACCATTGGAAAAGCTGTACAGGGAGGGGGTACTTTTTGTTTGCCCGCAATTTACCGGTACTCGGGGCGGACAAAGTCGGCCAAGGTCTTGGGCTCACCCTCGTAGTTGTGGGCGCCATCGTGGTCAGCGTCTATTGTAAATGTCAGTACTTCCCCAACTGCTCCAAATTACGGGAAAAAACGCACGGTGACCGTGAGTGTCGTGGCCGTGTTCGTCGTGGCTGTGCTCGGGGCCAACGTAGTCCATCTTCAGGCAGTTACCGCACTCGGGGCAACGCTCGAGGGGGCGGTCACGGGACATCTATCGGAATCATCAGCATCTCGAAGCTTCCATCTGTCGCGCAAGACCGGAAACATACAACAAGCCACTTGACAACGTGGGAGTCAGCGGGGACACCAGTGCAACCGGCGTACTGCTCGTCGCCGAAGGACCTGACAACGATGGGGTTGTCAAGGGTGCCTAAATCCCATCAACACACACTCGGAAGGTAAATTGACGCGTGGTGGACGTCTTCCGGACTGGCCATACCCTTGCGCGAGGAGTCCAGAGGCTTCATGTCGAAGACATCAACGCCCTGGATCTTGCCGAGAATCTCAAGACGCTCCAGACCAGTCGCCTGCTCGAGGTCGGTGGGGACAGTGCCGGGCTCGGCACCGGGAGGCATAAGGTCCTCCTCGGTCTTGATTTCTGTAACGGACACACATATCAGCCATGCGCGCTCGCAGCTTTCCGTCCGTCCTCGGATGGAGCTTCCGGAATAGCCGTACCCTCCAACTTCTTGATGCGCTTGTCATTCTGGCCCGGGCTGGGGTCGATCTTCGCGTCGCCTGCGATCCAATATCAGCATTGGAGCCATTGATGCCTCGGTAATGGATGGGTGCTGTTGTCGTTAGGGAGCTTACGGCGGGTGACCGAGGAAGCGAAGCTGCGCGCGACAGCGGGGCGGATGACGGCGCGCCTGGCGACGGCGAAAGCGGAGCGCTGGAGGAACATGGTGTCACAGCAATTGGTGTGGAGTGGAGATGTATGGGGTAGGCTGGTGGTTGGCTGGAGCTTGGTTTGTGAGAAGTTCAGTCGGATGATCTGGATTACGGTTACCGACACACCCACAATCGGCAGCCGCACCGCCCTGCCATCATCCATACGACGCCCGACCATTTCCAAGCATCGTCAACATCATTTCATCCATCAAGCAACCATCACCACTCCACGAAACTAGACACTACAATCAAAACTGCATCTCATTGGCCAGTATTCAGCCGTCTTTTGTGTATCTGTATACACAGCTCCATCTCCAGCTAGCAGCCAGGCCATTCGGCATGTCTTATCATTGCAATTGTTTTTCCCTTCAGTCTGGCTATCTTCTTCCTAATTGTCAATCACCTTCCAATCGCGATAAGATTCATATCCCCTAGCAGTCTCGTCACTTTGGTCAAATCTGCAATCGCCGGGTAGATAGAGACCAGCAATCCAGCTGGGCTGGTCTTTGCAGGCTTACAACAATCACTACCACCTATTCCCAACTGGACATGCTCAGCTGCCAAGCTTACAGCTCATTATATGAGCAACCCTTCTCACACACCGACTAATCGACACAACAGCGCTAATACAACATCCAGCCGCACGCTAACCGCGCCACCAAGCCCACCACCAAGCTGCTATCACCAAACCATCCTCAGCTGCCCCTGACCCAACGTCTTATGAAGTAAAGTCCAAATATACAATGACTCGTACCTAGTATAAATCCATCCAGACGGACGTCGTCTCTATTCCTTCTCTGTCCTGCCGTCTTCGTCCAACTGCAACAATGAAGTCCTCTCTTGTTGCGGCGCTCTGCGTGCCTCTTCTCGTTGCGGCTCTGCCTAACCCCCAATGCCCGAGCCCAGTGGAGTAAGCCTCCAATAGGTTCCAGCCACCAATGTTCATTCACTGACCATATTGTAGAGTGACCGTGACACAGACACAGACGTCTTCTCGTACAGAGACTGTCACGGCCGTCTGTACGTATTCTGGCGCCAATATTATTTTCTTAGCTGACCATTGCAGCCACGAGCACCACGACTATTCCGCTCCCAGGTCTTCCGTCTACAGTAACGCTCCCTCCGGCGACCGTCACGCTCACCGGAACGCGCTCTGGTGATGCCACAACTGTGACAGTCCCCGGCTCGACGACTGTCCTTGTTCCGGGTGCTCCCAAGGTCGTCACCCAAGTCCAGACAGTCACTGTCCCTGGTCAAGTTCAGACAGTTACCATTCCGGGTCAAGTCAAAACAGTCACAGTTCCCGGTGCGGCCGCTACTACTACCATTACTGTGCGCCCATCGACGTCCACTTTCATCGTTGGTGGTGCTGCCCAGTCGACCGCTGTGACTCTTCCCGCAGGCACAACCACCTTCGTCGTACCCCCTGAGGTGCAAACTGTGACGGTTGGAGGAGGCGTGCAGACCATCACACTCCCAGCACAAACCCGCACGATTACGCTGGCTCCCCAAGTTGTTACTGTTACTGTCACGCCGACTGTTGTGCCCTCGGTTAGCAGTTCGTCCACTCAGACTTTTGCTGCGGCGACCTCTTCCAGCGTCAGTATTTCTGCGGCGTCAGTGATCCCGACTGCTGCTACTACTGGAACCTCTACTGCTTCTGCTTCCAGCACGGAAATTTCCACGAGCACTGAGTCTTCCACGAGCACTGGAGCTTCCACGAGCACTGGAGCTTCCACGAGCACTGGAGCTTCCACGAGCACTGGATCTTCCAGCGTCTCTAGTGAGACTTCCAACACTTCTACTGCTTCCGATGCAGCAACTATCTCCACCGAAGCTTCTACTTCTGCCACTGAGACTACTGCTACGGAGACTTCTGCTAGCACCGACGTCTCAAGCACCACTACTGAGACTTCGACCACGGAAACTTCGACGTCTACTGAGGTTTCTAGCACCGAGAGCACCGCTACCGCTACCGAAACTTCCACCGCCGAGACTTCCGCTAGCGAGACTACGACTACTGAGGCTACCACTACTGAGGCTACCACTACTGAGGCTACCACTACTGAGGCTACCACTACTGAGGCTACCACTACTGAGGCTACCACTACTGAGGCTACGACCTCAGAGACTACCACTACAGAAGCTACTACCACAGAGCCTACCACCACAGAGCCTACCACCACAGAGCCTACCACCACAGAGCCTACCACCACAGAGCCTACCACCACAGAGCCTACCACCACGTCTGTCCCTGAGGTCACCACGACGGCGGACCCCGTGTCCAGTGCCGTAGAAATCATCACATCCAAGGCACTCCAGCCCTTCTGCTCCACTCTCCTCGGCTACACCGCCGCCACAGCCACAATAACCGGTGTCGCCACCGTTCCCGTTGTAGTCACGACGACCCCCTCCGGCTACACAACCCAGACCGTCACACAGACAGTCACGACGACGACGGAGCTTACCAGCATGATCTTCGCCCCTACCAACTTCAAGCGCACGTCTCTATACTTCCTCCCTACACTTGGGCTCCCCACATTTGTGCTCCCTACACTGGCGCTCCCTTCAATTGGGCTCCCTTCACTTGCGCTCCCTTCACTTGGGCTTCCTACACTTCCGCTCCCCACATTTGAGCCCTCGGTCGCGCTCCCGACGGCCCTGCCCCAAGCAGACACAATCACGTCCATCCCCACACTCACGCCCATAGACGTAGTCACAGCCTCGGCGCCCGCGCTCCCTGCTGGCACGCCCGCCGACCTGGCCACCTTCGCCGATGATGTCATCACCTCGGCGTGCCAGCTGGAGGCCTCGCCCGCCACGAGCACGGCCTACGTCACTGTGACCTCCTTCACGACCGAGCCTACCACAGTCACCAATTTCGCGGGGTTGAGGACGGTCACTCAGACCAACACCGTGACTGTCACGGCGACGAGGGTGGTGGAGATCAATGAGGCTGTTACTACTGAATGAGCGTGGGATGTTGTTGTAGAGGGCGGGGTGTAATGTAATGGATATAGATATGTAGACCCTCTGGAGAGAATCTCCAACTTAATCGATCATATTTGATGAGTTTTGGAAGTTTTCCGTCATCCATCTCCGACCATGTTGTTTAATGTTTACTAGCACATCTTTTAACTAAGATTGAGTCCTCGGATGATTTGCCCACCTCTCGCCTACATATAAAAATGAACTAGTATAGCTACAGAGCACTTCTTAGGTAGTTATAATAAACTTTTACGCTATGGCTAGTAGTCGCTAGCTAACCACATAATAGTAAAAGCATACTAAGTACAATAATGTTTAAAAATACACGGAGGTAGGAGTCAATATAAATACCAGGATATCCTATAAGAGTACGAAAACACAAACAACCGAAGGGTACAAAGGTACTTACAAAGGTACAAAGATACCAAACACCCAAGTGTAGAAAGCACGTTTCACAATCTTGCACGCAAGTTATCACACAGCGAGCAAGTTATCCGAAGCCTACATTTATACGTATTTTGCAACTACATACAAAGCCAGCTCGGAACGAACAAACGACCGAACGAACGAACGAACGAAAGAGACGCCGAGTATATAGATGCATGCAGCAACGAACAAGAACCTAGAAACGACGACAACGATGATGCCCCAAAAACGGCCGCCCGGATGCTATACTATGCCATGAAGCCAGCCACACCCAGGGAAGCCGCAGACGCCTTGCTGTGCCATATTAAAGAAAAAAGGGATATAAAGAATAAAAATGATAAAGCGAAACCAGATGCGCGCGGGTACGTATTACGTCTTCAAAAACGAGAGTAAAAACAAAAATAAAAAACAACAAAAAAAAGAAAAGAAAAAAAAGGGGACCAAATAGCGCAGAGCCGAAAAAAAGAAGAAGCAGAAGACAAGAGCTGCGCAGGACAAATCAACCAAGCACACACACCTACCTACGCATCTTACCACCCAACCCCCCTCCTACCCTAATACCCATTAGCAGCACCATACCCATTGGCCGTCCTCCCCCTTCCCCGTTCCTCCCAATCCACGCCCTCAGCATCCACGCCATCAACGCCAGGCATGAGCAATTCGCGCGCGCCCTCGGCCTCCTCCTCGACCCGCTCGCGGTGGATCGTCCGGCTCTTCCAGGCCGTGAACGCGACTAGCGCGCCGCCTATCACCAGCGCCAGGCCCAGCAGGATCAGGTTCACGGGGACGGGGTTGTTGTCGAAGACGCGGTGCGTGAGGGCGTCGAGGCCGGCTTGCCCGAAGTTGAACAACCCCGCTAGGCAGATTATCAAACCGTACACTTTGCCGAAGGTCGCGAAGCCGAAGACTTTGGCTGCGTAGTCGCTGTGGGGGAGAGGGGCGTTAGCTGGGTTTGTATTTGTGTTTGTGTTTGCGTTTATGTGGTGCTGTGCGTGGGGTGTTTTGGGATGGATAGGGATGGGAAGGGGGTTTGTGCTTGTGCTTGTGTATGTGGATGGGAAAGGCTTACGAGACAGTGGTGTAGTACAGGGGGCGGTACACGACGAAGAGACAGATATTCGCATACGCAGCCCACATCTGCGGAATGACGCCCAGAATGCCAATGAGCGTCGCGATCGCGACCAACAAGCCCAGCACAAACGGCGTGCTCGTATGGTCGAGCACCCACCCGATAAACGGCACACTCACGACGCCCCCCAACGGCAGCGCAACGTCAAAAAACGAGTTAATCTGCACCGCCTTCGGATAGCTTCCCAGCAAGTACTCGTACTGCGGCCTAATCGTCGCGACAAAAAAGTTGATGCGCGTCATCTGCACTATGGTAAACAGCGTGATGAGGACGAACCAGGGCGAGCGGATCTGCTGCGCCGCCGTCTTGCCGTGCAGCGCGCCCCACACGCCCGACTGCTGCCGCTTGCGCTCCTCGGCTGCGCTCTGCTTCGACGCGTCCTTGCTGCCCAGCAACTCCGTCAGCTCCGACACGATGCTCTCGCGCCGCACCCGCCGCTCTTCCCGCAGGTTCTGCACCACGTCCGCGTCCTCAATGTCTTCGTCCGAGTCGTGCACGTCCGTCGTGCTGTCGGCTACTTCGCCCACTAGCTCGCCAACCGTCTGGTACGACTTTGGCGGCATGAGGAAGAGCTGCGCGACTAGGATGTAGGCGGGGACGACGAGGTAGAGCAGGAAGAATTGCTTGGGCGTGAAGCTGGTGTCGCTGGATTGGTAAATCATTCTATAGATCAGGAACAGGGCTGAGGATGTGTCGAATGCGCCGGTCAGGAGCGCTAGGATGAGGCCCGAGTACTTGGGGAAGGTGTTGCTGAGCTGGAAGGAGGATATGAACACGAACGGCCCGCCCAGCGCAAGGAAAAGGTATCCGGGGGTATATCCGTCGAACGAAAAGTTGCCCGCAAAGGCCATGAAGAGGGCGCCGATGCTCAGTAGCACAACACCAATCATGCCGCTCACACGTGGACCGTACCGGTCGAGGATTGTACCAACCGGGAGGGCGCAGACGTTGGTACACACCGCAGCGACGGTGAACATCAAGTTGAGCCTATAGTTCCTACATCAGCCCACCGCACTCCCGACGTCATTCCTGGCGAAAACATACCGCAGCTCTTGCTCATAGCACACTCGCACGTCCTTGTCAAGCTCATCCTGCGTGCACCTATCCCTGTATACACCCTCGCGGATGAGCACGGGCTTGAGCGCCGCGTAACCGAAGACGATGCCTGCCGCGAGCAGGCAGTATATCACGGCAGCGACGACCTGCACTGCGAGGATGTCAGCACGCGCCGAACCAAACCGAACCTCCCAGCGCGCCAACAAACTACGAAGTACTCACAAATACGCTTCGTCTTCGACACCTCGAACGCGGGCGCTAGCTCCTCATGCGCTGCCGGCCCCCACACGCCCTCGTCGACGGGATTAAAGCTGAGTTTTTTGCGCTGGCTGCCCGTCGGGGTGGGCGAGCGACTGCGCCAGGGCTCGATTTCCTCGAGGGCAGAAGCGCGCGCGGCCAACGACATGGTAGCTGTGGTTGGTTCCGGATGGGTTCGCGCGAGTGTGGGTCAAGGCGAGAAAGAAGAGGAAGAGGAAGGAAATGGGTGAGCGGATGGAGGCGAAACCGGAGCAGACCCCGCAACAGCGTGTTGATCTTTGCGCTCGCTCGCTTTTTGAGCGTCGGATGAGGCAGCTGACCTGCTTCGTTCGCACGGCTGATGGCGGTTGCCCAGCTAGCGGCGGCAGGCGGCGGTTGGAGGTGCAGAGAAAGTACGTAAATGCACGGGCAAAATCTGGGGTAGGTAGCGAATGACGACACGAGGCGCCGTGGCTCAGCGTTAAAAAAAAAAAAAAAAAGCAATACGATGATATTATGTAGCAATGACTATGTGCGTGAGAGGGAACCGAGGGGCAGAAAAGAAGAAAGACAGATAGCAGCAGACGGAACAAAAGGCCGAAAGGAGAGGGAAAAAAAATTGCGTAGGTCGTTGCTGCTTGCACGCGCGAGGCGGCGGCCGACCCCGAGTGAGACGCGCATGCAGGCTTGAAACACTATGCCCAAACCGGCAAAAAGCTATCGTCTTGGCACCACTCAGCATCACCCGTCCGACGCACCCATCCTCCCATGCGGCGTCGCCGCTCACGACACTCGGAAGCGATTGCTCGATGAAAACTCATAAATTGCCCATCCTGCCTTATCATTACATTATGGCATCCCATGCCCAGCACCCCAAAGCCAATCACCCCCACCACCGACTCCCTCTCACGACACCCACTAAAAAAAAACAAAACCAATACCAACAAGACTCAATCTTGGCGACTGCGCGCCTGTGCTACCTCGCTCGTCACACGAATCTCCTCGTTTTTGTGCGTTGTGATATTTGGGCAACGTCGCATCTAGGGCTCGGCCTTGGCCGGCGTCGCGGCGTTAATGGCTTTTTTGTTTTTGAAGAAGAGCGTCGGAAGCAGAATGCAAGACGTCGTATAAAGGATGCTGTCGTCCCCGTTAGTGTCATTTCCCGCCGGCATACGGGCAGCTGAAACATACCAAAGGACAATGCTCAAGCCCCAAATCGTCTTGCTCTCGTAACAGTTGGCCTTGGTCGCGCCGGCAAAGGATGCCAGGGACAACGTCGAGCCGTCGACATTAAGATTGTTCTCGATAGAGGTGACGTAAGCGTACGCTGACGCTGAGGTGATTGACGTAGAAGTGCTTCGGATGTTGGGACAGTTGAGGAAGGAAATAGGCTTGCCGAGGCAAACGGCAACGACGATGAAAGCGATGGAAAGGAGAAAATCGACTGCGGTCATGACCAGAAGGCCGAGATACGCCTCGGACCAGAAAAAGGCAATGCTGACAAGGGAATAAAGCGTAGCGAGACAAGTCTGCGATCAAAGGTCAGTGTTGGCGCATCTTAGAGACACTCCTTGAGACATACGACAGTGAGAGTGCCAACGACCTCCTTCGGAGGGGAAATGCCACTGGTGACAATATCGTTGACAAAGTTGGCGGCTATGCCGACAACGATAATCATGCTTACAACCTCGAGCAATCTGACCAATGCAAAGGTCTTGCTGAGAGGAGCGGCTCCGTAGGCGGGGACAGGCATGATGGTTAAGGAGATATAGATATGAAATCGGTGACGGTCGTAAAGGATTGAGAGTAAACTCTTAAAATCGGAAGCTGGACGTGACAAATGCTATCAAAGCAATGAATGGAGGTGGTCTGGCCAGCAGATTACGCGGATGAGGAGTAGTGGCAGACTCGAATAAGACACTACGAGAGAATGGATGGTTTCTTTCCAAAAAAGAGATTGATAAATGGAAATGACGGCAAAGAAAATTCGTCAAAGAGATTGCTTGCTGAGAAGATGAGAAAAGAAGAAATGAGATGCTGATTGACACCTACGGCGGAGATGGCAACGCCTTAAGTATCTCTCACTTCCATCCATCGACATCAAACGCGTCTCTCCCGACCAAGAACCTAGACCTTCTGATCTTCGAACGACGCACCGACTCGTTTCTATTCTCGTGTCATGGAGCGAGCAACAGCCCGTTTCACGACTTCCAGAGCAGACGCTAGTGGCGCCAATGAAGGCCACGGCGATCCACCCCAGAGTTCAGGCAGGTCGGCTTGTGGGAGCGACCCGGCGGCTAGTAGCGGGACGCTCGGGCCCGCGGCAGCCAGATGCAACGACAGCCACTCGTCGCGCAGACGCAGCGTGCGGCTCTGGTCGCTGCGCCTCAAGCCACCCAGGGAGTCCCCTCCTCCAAATGCGCAATCCCATGACGCAAGGCCGCCAGCCGGAAGTGTCAGCGTCGTTTCCGCTGCCGCCCGCCCCTGCTGAAGATCTTCGTGCGGACGTTGGGGGAGGCGGCCTATTGTCGCGCCTTTTTTCTCGCTCCCCAAGGCCTGGAACGCGTGCGGCTGTGCGCGCGATCGGAATGTGTTGATGTTTCGCTGTTTCGGGGGCCGCCGTTCTCTCGGTGTGCTATCATCCATGGGCTTGTCGACTGCCTCAACACTGTGTCCTCATATGACAAGTCAGTACTGTAAAATGCATCGTTACTATTGTGATACTCTCTGCCCCGTGGTTCGCGGGTTTGTTCCGGCTTGGGCAACCGAGAATGCCGACGATAAGCTGAGGGGCAGCAGATAGCCAGGTAGCCTTTTAAGAGCAGCCGTATGGTGACACCCTCTTCCTGTCCCTCCGTGAGACTCTTCTTCAAGAGCTCTGCATATGCGACGTCTCCCCGTTGCCCATAATGGTCTACCCGCTCGATTATTTCCAGCACCGTCGCGACTGGTAAGCTCCCAGAGCTCTCCCCAGCTTCCCGAGCTCCCATGGTGCCCATCCCCGCACTCTGGAAGCACAGACTCACCTTTCCCCCACAACAGCCAACGCAAGCAATCCGAACGCGCTTCCAAAATCGCATCGCTACCACCCCAATACCAATCCCCGCTGTCATCTTCCGAGCGCAGCATCCTCGGCAAGCCCATCCAGGAGCTCGTGCAGGATGTACAGAAGCAAGTTACTAGCCCCGTCGACGTCCTACGCACCTACGCAAAGGTCGCCGTCGAGGCACATCACAAGACAAACTGCCTGACTGAAATACTGTTCCCCGAAGCTGAAGAATGGATTGAAAAGGGCGATGTCAACCTCGAGGGTCCGCTGGCTGGCATACCTGTCTCCCTCAAAGATTCCATTGCTGTTGAAGGATTCGATGTTACCATAGGCTACTCTTGCCATACCGGACAGCCGTATAGCAGGGACGGATCTCTGGTCCGTCTTTTGAAGAATGCGGGCGCTATCCCCTTCGTCAAGACGAACCTGCCCATCACTCTCCTCTCTTTCGAATCCACAAACGATGTCTGGGGCCGAACAACTAACCCGCATAACAAAGACTATTCTCCTGGCGGCTCAACTGGCGGTGAAGCCGCGCTGCTCGCCTTTGGCGGCAGCCGCATCGGCATCGGCTCCGACGTCGCGGGCTCGGTGCGGGCACCTGCGCATTTCTCTGGGTGCTATTCGCTGCGGTGCTCGACTGGGCGCTGGCCGAAAATGGGCATAAACACGAGCATGCCTGGCCAGGAGGGGATAGCCAGTGTGTTTAGTCCCATGGCCCGGACTTACAATGATCTGCACTACTTTACGCGCAGCTTCATTCGGATGAAGCCATGGCAATACGACCACAGTTGCCACCCCATCGAATGGCGGGACCATGTTGTCGAGGAGTTCAAGGATAAGAAGAAGTTTAGGGTTGGTGTTATGAGAACTGACGGTGAGCAGAATGACCTCCTATGCGAGCCTGTAGTGAGCTGACAATTTTTCCAAGGTGTTGTTGACCCCGCCCCTGCCTGTGCCAGAGCGCTTGACCAAGTTGCTACGGCCCTCGCCGCCGAGGGCCATGAAGTCTTTGATGCTTCCCCGCCCTCTCCATTCAGAGCTCTTGTCATAGCTTCACAGCTCCTCAACTCGGACGGCTGCCGTACGTTTATGTCCTGGTTCCGGACCGGAGAATGGAACGATCCGGGCGCTGTGCAGATGGCTTTCTACATGAAGCTTCCGCGTCCTTTGAAGTACCTGCATTATTTGTGGGTCAAATATGTGCGACGTGACCATATGTGGGCTGAACTACTCCATGGTTGGTATGAAAGGAGCGCATTTGAGCAGTGGAAGCTCGTCGCGCAGCGCGAGGCGTACAAAGCGATATGGCACGATTGGTGGAGAGAGGAGGCCAAGATGGATTTCATGATAACCGTGCCAAATGCTACTCCCGCAGTGCCTCATGATGGAATGAAGGAGGCCGTCAGCAGCTGCGGATATACATTCCTGTTCAACCTGGTGAGTTTCTGACCCGACAATATCTTACCGATAGGGCAATCGCGCGGTTTGCTGCCTGCAAGCACCGCTGAACCACCCATTTGCTACTATTGTTGCTAACACGCAATCTCAAGCTCGACTATGCGTGTGGCATCCTGCCGGTGACACACGTTGATCGTACGCGTGATGCGTTACCAGCCTCTTTCAACTTCCGTCAACTGAACGGTGTAGCCAAGGGCGCGTACAAGTATTACGATGCTGTCAAGATGGAAGGTCTGCCCGTGGGTGTTCAGGTCGTTGGAAGGAGACTCGAGGAAGAGAAGGTGTTGGCCGCCATGGAGAAGATTGAGGACGCGCTGGAGAAGAATGGCGGAAAGTACCAACTGCTGGAAGTTGAGTAGGGGGCGGAGCGAGGCCAGAAACTTTTCAATTCCAGTTTGCATCCGAGAGGTTGCGGTTGCGGAAACTGCAGATACGCGGACAGAAGACAACTCCGCAGAGCTAGCTAGAACCCCAGTTTTAATAATTGTCATCCTTTATCAGAGCTCGCGACTCAAGCTCGCGACTCAAATTCTTCTCTTAGTGAGTCCTCGGTCCCGCGCTTTTGGAGCTCAAGCTGACAGATCTTGAGATGTCTCCAGCAGTCGCCTGGATCCCCCCAGTCGACGGTGCGGTGCTAGCGAGTCTAGCGCGGGGGTGTAGCCGCGATTTGGAATTGGCGACATCCTGGCAAGCCGCTTTTGGGCTTGATCCAACAGCAGCTGCTCACCTGTTGTCGCTGCGCGCAGGATCCGATGGGGAGACAGTGGGGCAGCGTCCGGTTTTTGCGGGTGGCCTTTGGAGGTGACGTTTCGTCGAGCAGAGACTCCATTGCAAGCACCGCCCACGAGCTGTTGTGGCCGCGCGGACTGGCAGCAAGAGGTCAGCTTACAGAGGAAGTCTGCCGTATCTGGGTGTCTGGGTAAGCTCGCAATTGGGGGTGCCCCGCTCTCACGCAGACTGGCAGACGGGGATGCGCGCCAGACCCCGCAGTTTGCGGCCCGTGCGCCAACGTCATCGGCTTCTGGACAACGCTCGCGCGGGAGCTGGAAGGGAAGGAACGGTGAAGGTATTTGGAAGCAGGCACGGCAGATGCGATCGGCGGTGGGGCAGTGAGGTCGAGGAGGATATTTAAGGCTTGGCCCTCGCCTGGTGGTACTACTTAAGGACCCTTTGTCTGACCTTCTCTGTGCTCTGCTTTACATACTCGGTCTACCTTCAACGCCTTCTATACCAACACTCAATCCTGCATACCAATTAGCCAAAATGACTACCTACCACGGACAGTGCCACTGCGGCCAGACCAAGTGGAACGTCAAGCTCGAGACTGACCAGGCCAACCACATCCTCTGGTGCGTACTCTTCACCTAAACACCTTACCCTGATTTCAGACACTAACGCCCCATCCCAGCCACTGCGACACCTGCAAGTCCTTGTCCGGCGGCGCCTACACCCTCAACCAGATCATCCCTCGCTCCGCGCTCCAGTTCACCCAGGGCGGTGACAGCCTCAAGTCCTACACCTACACGGGCGAGTCCGGCAAGCCTGTCAACTGCTACTACTGCCCCAACTGCACCACACACCCCTACCACCACCAGACCGCCCTCGGCGAGGACAAGATTGTCCTCCGTACCGGCCTGCTCGAGGAGATGCGCTCCTTCAAGCCTGCTGCTGAGATCTTCGGCAAGGCTAAGCTTGACTGGGAGAAGGAGGTCGCTCAGACCTTCGAGACTCTTCCTCCTCAGTAAAGGCGTTGCTTGATGAAAAGGCGGAATTGTTGATGGAGTTGAATGGGAAGTGGAGTCGATGAGATACCAAAATGGGTTGAGGGGCGGTGTTGCATACGAATGATTGGCGGCTGGTGTGGTTGAGGCTACTTAGCCATGTTCAAACGACGAAATGAAAAAGTGTTTGAAGAAAATGAAGTGTCAATTGAAAGATGGTATCTGAAGTTGCCTTAACCGTCTATAGCACCCAATTTCCTTCCATTGAAGCTGACGCACAAATCCGTGCCGCTCGATAATAAATGCATAATTCCTTACTCAGTCCTTACGCAGACTCGGGCTTGGAAAGCTCCGGGAAGTTCCTCACGAAGTGCGTAGGGCAGTCATAACCACTAGGATTCTTGTCCAAGTACAGCTGGTGGTACGTCTCAGCATCCCACCATTGACCGGCAGGCATGATCTCGGTGGCAATCTCGCCCTTGTACCATTCCTTGTTGGCGCGCTCGGTGACGTCCTTGGCGATAGACTCCTGCTCGGCATCGTGGAAGAAGATCGAGCTGCGGTACTGCGTGCCCATATCGGGGCCCTGGCTGTTCAACGTCGTGGGGTCGTGCATCTTGTAGAAGAATTCGAGAAGTTGCCTGTACGAGACCTTCTGCGGATCGAAAATGATCTGCAGAGCTTCCGCGTCTGTCGCAAAGCGAGTCAGTACTCCGAACCGAACGAAAATCATCACCAGGGCAAAAAGAAGCAGGAAACATACGTCCGGTCTTTCCGCTGCACACCTGGCGGTAGTTCGGGTCGCTGGCGTCGCCACCCGTGTAGCCTACCCGCGCGTCGATGAGGCCCTTGTTCGCGAAGCTGTGGCGGTAGCGGTGCTCCACGCCCCAGAAGCAACCTGCGGCGATGGTCGCCTTCTGCGCGCCGGCGGGCAGCACGGCGCTCCCGCTACCTTCCGGGACTACGCGCAGAGCTTGCGCGGTGCTGAATGGCCGCATCAGGCGGCTGAAGAGCGATGCCATTGTGTGTATCGGCGGTGGCGTAGCAAGGAGGAAAGAGAGTAGGAGAGGAATGAGGAGAAGTAGGAGGTTCTTCAGTTTGAATTGCTGTTTGGGGTAGCGTTTGTGATGTGTTGTAAGGGTCTTTGGCAGGGTGCAGCGCGCCCTGGAGCTTTTATCGGAACGAGTCATTTGTGGCGGCAGTGGCGTCATCCATCTTTCTTACAAATCTGCCACCCCGACCCCCAGTCGCGACTCATCACCTAACATCATCGTTCACTCTAGATCTATCTTCGTATTCATTGATGTGTTGTTCTACTTTTGTCTTTATCATGCCAAAGCACCCTCACCACTGCTGGCTGACCCTAGTAGTGCTGCTGGGAGCGGTGTTGCCTTCTCTTTGAGCTCTCTCCGTGCCTCCATAGGAGCACTGAAGACGCGATACTCAGTTCTGCTACTCTTGTAAGGTTAAATATCATACAGGATGTAGATGCATCGGAGTGGGCTCCGGCGTGCGTACCTAATCTCTCAAGCAGTAACTCGTTGCCTCTGTATACAAAGAAAACTGAGCTTGTTTGCGGCAATGTCATTTTTTACTCTACAGGCCCCGATCTTTACATGATACTCCGATACGCCTAAACCCCATAGTTTTACAAAAGCAAATTGCCAATTTTCGGTTTGTCGTCTCTCTTACACGGTCGAATCTGGTCACTGTCTTTATTCGTCGCCAATTTTCCCACTTCATTCCTCATATATCGAACCAATAGCGGAGACTGCGATCTTCTTTGCAACTCTTTGGAAGCCTGAATGCTTTAGGCTCCTATTGTTTCGGGTAACAGTATTATTACGTTCTTCCTGTCCCCAAAGTCTAAAGCTTTGATTGCATCAGTAAAGTTACATTCTACAGTCCAGAAAGCAGCATACTTAGGAGCAATGGCAGCTCCATACGGATCCTTCGGCCACGGATCTTTCGGATCCGCGAGGTGTGTGTCGATCTTCGGGCTGTTTTCGCTAAGGACAGTTCAGGATCATTTTCTTGTGTTTGTCAACCAACTTAAACTCACATTGTCTCTTCATCATGGCAGTCTTCCGGAAGCAGGTCTGCGAGAGTAGTGCCTGTGCAGTTGGCGCACGCTTCTGCCCCACAATTGACGCACGCTGGGTACAGCGACCAAAGCATTGGACCAAAGCCACAGTTGCAGCAGTAGTAGCCTGAAGCATGCTCTCGTGGAGCATGAAGTAGGGCAACGCCGGAGGAGGTCATAGTTGAGTATGAGGGATTTGAGTTTTTGAGTGATGAGGATCTCGTCTATTAGGACAGTGGGTGACAACAATTTGAGAAGAGCAGCGGGCCCTCTTAAGCAGAAAGAATTTCCACCTGAGGCCAATTCGACTGGGATCTGTTCTCGCGCAAATGCGCACTACGCATTCTGGATAAACCTGCACTGAGGCATTGCTCCTTCAAAAGAAATGGCAAACATTGCCCACTACACATGGGGACCATCATCTTGTCTCACGCCTTGAAAGTCTCAGGTGCGCAATTCAAGCTCCTTTAGGTCGCCGGGCCTTCGCGCAAGGCAATCCCGCCCTTTTGTCAAAATGCGAATTTGCGCAGTATGGGCTGTGCAGGGCAAAAGGTAAAAGCTCCGATTCATCAGTTCGTGCCTGGCGCATCACAAACGCTTCGCGTGCCCTTCTGTGTTGGGTATGTCAGCATGTCCGCCTCATTACAGACATAACACAGCCACACTAATGAGCCCAAGGCGATTTTTAAAGGACTGGAGAACGACACCTAAGGCTGATATATTGCGGATTTTCCGCCTCACTTGGTTGCCTTCAACCTCTTTGCCTCCATCATGGAGCTGTACCCGTTGCCTTCTTAGGCGTAACACCGACGAAACCCAGTCCTCTTCAACTAATATTTGGACGCATTTTGGATCTCCGGATTATAGCAGGACGTTGTCTCGAGATATTTCGTGGGGCGCATTAGGCTGGTCCTCTTATGTGTCGCCGATTTGAGTCATCGGACTCCCTAGGACAACTATTTCTACCGCTCAACCAAGTCCAAGCAGGCAAACGACATAACAACGCATCGGAATCAGCCCAGCATTACTTTGTCCTAGGGTTTGCCGTTGGGAATATCTGTGCGACCGGCAAGGCAACAGTGGCGGTGCATGCATGCAGCTGACGTGCGCTGTTCCGACAGGCCCAAGGAGCTTTCGGAGAGGCCTCCCAAAATGCCTTGCCATGGTTGAGAAGCGCACACGGCGCAGTTGCGCATTTCCGCAGCGCAGAATGATGTCCTGTTCTGCGCAGTTTAGTTAACTCGCAAATGTGGAAATTAAGCAGACACTCTATAGTCTTGCACTGCCCCGACTCCGCTTTGGAAGGCCCTTTCCGGGTCTGCAAAAAACCTTCTTCGTCATCGGTATGCGCTGTGAGCTTTGTGAACCCTTCAAAAGCCTCGCGCGGTGGCTGACGAAATGGACGGTCTAATGGAAGATTTTTGGATCGACGAGCCCGGCAACAGCGAGACTGTGGGGGATACCTGCATTTCCACGGCATATCCCATTCAAAGAACTACGCCTAACTATGCCCAGGAGATCTTTCGCTACGATGCTATCTCAGGTCTGACTAGCGACGACTATGCTAATTGTGGGTTTTACGATTGGTATGACCCGTCATTAATGCCTCTGGAACATATGATGGGTGGGCCATCCGTCCCACCAAGCCACAATACTGGTTGCATTCGCCAGTCGGAGATGCTCGGTCCTCGTACCGCTACCAACCCTCGGAATTCTCTTATGTCTCCCCGGACACAGTAAATATCCTACCTTACGAATACCCTGCACGCAATAACATTAAAGCTGATATTCTCATGTAGGTTTGATCCACCTTGCGACCCGCTCTTCCATCACCCTCAATGGGACATTAGTGGTTCGAGAGAGACTGTGCGAGAACAAAGGCCTTATCCCGGTACCAGGTCGCGAACCTTCCTCAAACAACAGACTACACACTCTCAAAACGCCAACTCGAACACAAAGCTCGAACTGCAGTCTCCGACAGCTGGAACTGAAAATGACAGTATCGTATCTAGCCCACAGACAAAACCTCCGGCTAAGAAACTCGCATGTCCATTCTTCTTAAGAGATCCACAACACCCTCTAAAGCTATCCTGTAACAGCAATGGCTTTCCGGACATATCGCGCTTGAAGTAAGTAGAAAAGGAGCTTCTTCTTCAACCAACCTTTCATTGTTTTTGCGCTCGTTCTATCATTTGCTTCTGCGTAAGCCAGCTCTGATCCGTTGTTGCGATTTGTTAGGGAGCACCTCAACAGAGTCCATGAAGTATCGTTTACCAATCGCATGAAAGCAAGGTCAAATGTTGATAAATGGAATGCAATCTGGAAGCACCTCTTCCCAGAGGACTCTGAAGAATCCATCCCGTCACCATGTAAGCCTTCCAGCTTCGGTCATAGGAATTATAACCATCTACAAGCTGGTAAATTCTGACTATCATGTAGATTGGACAGATCGTGATACTTTGCGCAAGCAACAGAACCTACAAGCAATCGAAATCTTTGGTGATTTTATCCTGAAAGACCTATGCGATCATTTCAATTCGGCTTCATATGCTACTCCGCAAACTCTCAGATCACGACTGCAGGAGACATTCCTAGCCTTCAAGCAAAGCGAAGGCGTTGATATCTTGCCAGCGACAACAACAGAAGAGGATGCAAAAGCCATGACATCTACCCCTGAACGAGCACCACATGTTAGCTGTATGGGAATTCGACCTACTGGTGCTGAGCGTGCACGAAGTCGCCAAATTACGGGAGAGGATCCAATTCTGAGCACAAGTCCCTATCAATTTTGGTCTGGAGCTTCTCTGGATGCTGATGGGTTCTAGCGATGCCACTGGTTTGCTATATTCTTGTCTTCCTTTTACCTTCCCCAACAGAAGAGAAATCGGGGCTAGATGTTCGCTCGTTGATAGAATTGCTTCAGGAGCCCTTTTAATCCCTTCGCTTGTAATGTTACCTACAACTATACCATACTTGTCAATTAATAGCATTGGCGTTTTCAAAAAAATCTTTGACTTTCGTCACCGTCAATTAAAATTCGGCGTCTAGCGGGACAGGGAAGGATAAAAGTAGTCCCTGTAAAACACTCCTTACCCAGCTACATGTCTGAGTTCTAAGTACAAATGAGGAGACCTTTAGATATATACATTATGAACATCTTCGCTGGATTTCGTTTCTACACCGTACACAAATCGTTATCTTGTTAGGCAACAAATCCCGCTCGGTGGTGATGGACAGTACGTGCATATATGTCGCGATATGATTTGTGTCATGTTCATCACGCTATTAGTAGCTTGATGTAGATGCTCGTGTTACTCAGAGGCCAGGTCGGCGGAAAAGGTTAGACAATTCACTGAAGACAAAATTTTTCTCGGTAGGTTCGCACTCTCTTTATATACCCTATTCTCAGCCAAAAAAAAATAATCTGTTTCAGCAATTGCTCGGTTTCGTGAGGCTCAACCAGACGACTTGAGGCTCAAACCGGAGCTGTAGGTACCAATGACTGCATCCCGGTGACCGGTCAGTCTGACCAACACGAGCATTAGGCACCTGACTGATTTATTGCATGGCGCTTGAAATGATTGGATTATAATTGAGTCATCTACGTCAGCCTGATTAGTGGATGCTGATTAAGCTTTGTGCGCAGTTGCGATTTTGAGGCTGTAAATCAGCCCATGGATTCTTGCGCGGCTCTGTGACCTGAACAAGATATCTCTAGATATTTTAAACTCCTCGAAGGCCTCGAATAAAGGAAAATTTCTTTATTAAAAGTTCCTATGACCTATTTTACTGCATGCATATAAAATTTCAGCTCCATTGGGCTTCAATTGTGTGTTTGCCAAAACACCAACACTGCAGACTTTCGAAACCACGCTTTGGCTTTCCCTGCTCCAGAGCAACCCTTCACAACAAAAAAGCCGAAACAAAGTCTTTGTCCAAATATTCTTCTAGTGATAGAAGATGTTCCAATCTCGGCTTCATGGAGGAACTGCTCTCCAACAACTCTCTACGGCCGCTTCAATCCCACAGAGACTGGAGTCCTTCATATGTGCATCAAAATTTGGTGGACACAAGGGAAAGGCAAAACAGTATGCCATTTTCGATGCCCGAGAGACCTGTTCAGGACATTTCTACAATGAGAAGGACACGAAAGAAGGCTCATCTGCGGCTTTGCAAGAGGAAACCAACCTTCACGGACCTTCCCAGGAAGCTATGATATTATGCTACGCAGAAATCCTGGAGATTTTTCATAGATGCCAACGCATCGGCAGGAAACAAGACAATCGATCTTCAAGCTATGAGTACCAGTGGCTATTCAAGAAAGGAGCCCCACGCTACCCTACTATTACTTTCCGTGCTGCAGTCTTGCATGCAAATGCCCTGCTTGGCGAAGGAAATGGTCCACAAGAAATTACTGTTCCGCTACCAGTATCCATGGAGGTCCTAGAAGGCATGCGTCAACTGACATACTGGACATATTACTCCTGTATGGCACTTCACAGCGTGACCAAACACTCTCCTTTGGAACACCATCTGGATGTTGATTGGCTTCAGTCATTACATCTCACTCAATCAGAAAATGCCAGTCACGAACTTCACTGGCTTGATATCCGCCCTCAACGAGCAACACATGCACCTGAATGCATTCCTCTGGAACAAAATCACATCAGGGTCATCGAGCTTTCCTCTGGCGAAATTTCAGACCCACTGGATTATAAATGGAAGACCATTGACCTTGATGACCCGCCAGAATACGATGTAGTTTCGTATCTGCTTGGAACCAGTAGCAAGGCTACCAAAGACTGTAGAATCATCGATTGTGCTGCAAGAACATCAGGCTCCTCATTCAAAATCTCCGCGGAGTATGACGCTGTCCTTCGCAAGATTCGGTGTCAGACAAATCGAAAGCTTTTATGGATGGATGCTCTCTGCATCACTAGAAACAGCACTTTCGGAATTGATCCCCAGATCCAGCTCATACCTCAGATCTACAGATTAGCTGCACAGGTCGAAGTTTTTGTTAGCCGAGCAGCTAACTATGGCTGTGAAATGCTTGGAAACGTGCGAAATTTGTCATGGCCAACATTCCAAAAGACGCCTGAACCGGCTAAAGATGCTGACATAGAGGCTCAATCAGCTGACACAGAGAAGGGTGGTGTTGAGGTCGAGTCTACCGAAATATCAATAAGCTCTAGCAAGAAACGCAAGGCGAAAAGCTGTCAGGGAGATGAGGATGAGGATGATGATTCTGACGAGAAAGGTCGAAAGACAGGGACTACTAATATTCCGAACAAGGACAAACAAGAGAGAAGGCTGGCATGTCCTTACTTCAAGAGAAATCCGGAACAAGACCCAAGGACTGCTTCTTGTATATTTCCAGGATACCAGACCATCGCAAGGCTAAAGTGAGTTATAACTACGCAAAATTAAGGTGTGGTACACTGATATTGAACGAGCAGGGAACATCTCTACAGGCACCATATGTTGCCTATACACTGTCCGCGGTGTTATGAAACCTTTCAAAATGATGGGCAGATGACTGAACACCTTAATGCTATTGAAAGATGTCCACAAAATTCCAACCGGCCGACAATTGAAGGCATCAGTAAAGAACAAGCAGTGCAACTCAAAAGCAAAAAGAGGCAGAAAGGTGCCGATTCTCAAGAAGAGAAGTGGAGGATCATTTACCAAATCCTTTTCCCTGAGGATTCTGACAAAATTGTTCCATCACCCTGTAAGTTAATCCCACTATCAATAAGGTCTGGCCCTCTTGATTATGTGACTAATATTTATCTAGTCTGTGAGCACGATATGGCTTTTGCACACAGACAACCTTTGTCCAGCTCAGAAAAGCTAGCCTCAGTGTTGGATAGATGTAGCAAACAGAAGCTAGCTGATGTTCTGAAACAAAACTTTGAGCAAGAGCTCAATCTAGGAGCCGTTGAGGTATCACTTGGAGGGCAACTTCCTGAAATCATAAACAAGAGCGTAGATCAGTGGTTCTCTGGTCTTCAGAAAGAAGTGAAATCCGTGGACTCTACACCAATAGAGGATCTCAAAACACTATACAGGCCTGTCTCTCTGTCTCGAGACGAGGAAAGATTGGCGAATGCCTTTTCAAAAACGTCGAAGCACACAACAGATGCGTCAAACGAACGCCCGACAAAATTCCAGAAAAGCACCAGAACCGACTCTGGTAAGGGCTTTCCTGAATTCAACAGTGGACCTGAGGGACAGGATAACCAGGACAATACGCAATATCCAATTCCGAAAGGGGTGAACCAACCAATGGACTGATATCATAGCTACGATTCTACCACACTGGGAATTTTCTTTTTCCAAGCTAAAGTACGACCATTATCTGGATTTTACAGCCACTCAACTCATAATCACAGGAGCTGGGGAATGTTTGTCAAGGAAACACATAATTTCGCGGATATAAGGAGTTTTTCTGTTGTCGAGGATTGTCCTACAAATTCACGACCGAAGAGATTTTAAATGCGATTTCTTTCGGTATAATAAAAAATAATTAGGTTTCGTTTACTTCCGTACCAGGACTCAACTCCACAAAGGTAGGTAATTCACTTAACCCAAAGTTTTATCTCGGTTATTTCAACAGGTCAGTTAGGATTATGTCCAAGGAGAGGAGGATATAGTGCTCAATGCATACGTATTTCCCAATTTAGTTGTTGCTTAATAAACAATATCAGCTCGCTTTATGTCAGTTTTCTTTGTTTATGCCTTGTTTATATATTTGGTCTAAGTGACAATGAATTTAGCGCAAAATTGGACAGGTTGGATGCGAAATGAAATCCCGAGCACATTCATCATTTCACTATAAGTCGAGATTTTGGGAAGTATTTGAGATTTACTAAAAGCCCCGGACCCTTCTAAAAGACGCATCGAAGAGTAACATATAGTTTACTAATATTTAGAGCCATTTCATTGTCCCTAACCTTCCAATCCGGTTTTTATAGAGTAAGAGTGTTTCAGAATGGACAGTGTCACCAGTGTCTTGGCTTTGTGGTAAAATTTGCCTGACACCCAAGCCGGCCATCAGTGTGCTCTGTGTTTGGGACCGGAGCAACCACTGAATGTCCGAAACGATGTGGTATTGCACCCAGCAATATCAGCCTACACCAAGCTACTCAGGTTACACCATAGATAGTTGTCAAACGTAGTTCCAGATCCCAAACACGCGCCTTCATCCCAGCCTATCAGCGAGAACACCAACCGCTACGCCTCGTGCCCTGATGTCACGATAACATCACGACAACCCAGCGTACTCGTACCCCTGTTTAGATCATGCCGCCCTCCTAAATATGACATCCACTCTTGGCACTTGCGTTGTGAAGTGGTCTTTGATCTCGGCAGTCAGTTTCTCCTGGCTCCACTCCTGACCCTCTGGGAAGAAGACGTCAAACTCCCTTATCACCCGTGAGATAACAGAGCGCAACTCCATCATGGCTAGGGTCTTACCCGGACAGCTGTATCTGCCCATGGAAAAGGGGATGAAGGCCCCGCGGTTGAGGAGGAGGTCGGGCCGCGTGGTCCAGCGCTCGGGAATAAAATCATTTGGGGAGACGTAGTTGCGGGGATCTAGGTATTATGTTACTAACTGATGATGTTTTCACTGCACTCCACGTCAATGTGGATCGTTCGGATAGATTTACCTCTGCCAATCACACATGGTGGGATGGCAACGACCGTTTCTGGTGGGATCCACGTATGGCCAATTCTAAGGCCCTTTGAAGAGGTGACCCGCTGGCTTCCAAACGTTATAGGAGGATGCAAGCGGAGTACTTCGTTTACGATGGAGTCAAGAACTGGGAGAGGGTAGAGGAAGAACTTTCCAGAGCAGTCATTTGCGCTTCCTGACTCTTCTCGAAGCTTGTCAATGTAGGAGGGGTTTAGAGCGAGGTATGTGAACGCTAGACTGATAGCTGTTGCGGTGGTTTCACTGCTTTGTTGTTAGTGCTAACCACAAACCATGATGGAGTTAGTCGTGGGAATCGTTACCTGCCTGCCCCAATTATGAGGCGCGATTCGGCATCGAGAAGGGCATCACCCTCTCCTCCTGGTTTGGTGTTTTTTATGAGATGGCCCATGATATCTGGTTTAGGGTTCTTCATCTAAGTAACCGTCAGTATTCTGAAATCTGTGGTTGGTGAATTCATTGGTCACACCTTCTTCCGCCGTACCACATTCTCTTTTGACCAGTTGTTGTAGTTTTTCATCGGATTTGGGCCGGGTAGTTTCGAAAAAACCTCAACCGCAGTCATGATGTAAGGAACGTGGACCATCATGCCTATGGCGTTCAATCCACTTCGGATACCATTTATGACCTTTTTGGCAAGCTCGCTAGAACAACCATCAACAAATCCCAGGGCTTCGCCAAAGGCCAAAGCGCTCATGACGTCGTAACTGAAATACGTTGCGAGTTCGTTGATATCCATGGGTTGGCCTTCACCGTCACGGACGCGAGAAACAAAGCTGTTTGTGAATTTCTCTATGCGTATGCCATAATCTGGAAGCGCTAATTACAGTTAGCGGGTAGTAGAAACTCGACCATAGATATGTTTTTCTCCTACATTCTTTGAAGGCGTTATCCCATACCTTGCGCCGAGCTTTATGGAATGCTGCGTCTCTGGTCGTATGAATCGACTTTTCCAAGGAGCCATAGAAAGGACCTTTCAGTGATAGGTTCAAAATGGGCACAATAGCCTCTGGATCTATAACTGATAATTCACGTGGGCCTAGCCCAAAAATAAGTGTATGGATTGAGTGAGGGCGTCATTTGTTAACATACCTACTCTAACGTAGTCTCCATATTTATTATGGAGCTCCTTGCAGACTTGGTGCCAGCGAAAGTTCGATGAATAGGCCTTGCCAACGCTCCAAAACTTGGTGAGTTTGGCAGAGTATGGACCAGGAAACCTGGAGAGTGCATGATAGAAAGCTCTATACACCATAATACTGGCATATAGACCTAGACAGACGCTAGAGGTGAGAGAAGATGCAGTGTACAAATCTGCATCCATGTACACCGGAGAAGAATAAAGAAGAACAAAAAGTAGAAGATGGACAATCAAGAAAACACCTGCAATGGAGCAAGGGTAATTCTCGAGTTCAATCCTGATGAAGACACAATGATGAAGCAGCACACCGGAAAGGCATGCCGCTACTGTAAGGCCGGCTAAACTCGGTCCTTGAAGAGGTGTCATGGTTGAACTTCGATGGGAGGTAAATGAATAGAGAATGGGGGAATCCTTACGTTTTATCGATCCCACACCACTGCGTCCGTGTGCACAGATCGGCATTTGTTTAACCAACCATACGATATGGCGTTAAAGGCACATATGTGATACAGCCAAAACATGGTGCACCTCCAATGAGACTTTTTCTCGGCTGCAGGATTTCTTACCAATCATAGTGTGGGTACTTAGGGAAAGATGGCGCCTAGGGTAGCCAGCCAATGAGAAACCAAAATGACGGTAGAGGCTTATACTATGATTGGCCACGGAACCTGGAACCCAGGGGAAATCCATTGGGGGCTATAATGTTATGGGTCGCACATGCAGTCAGCTATTGTTTCTAGCTGCATGATGGCTGTCATCCGTGGGGAAAGTTGCCGCTACTCAATGCCGAATTTGACAAGACCCATGAAAAAACATGTCACGAGCTCTTCTGGATTGTCTTCGAAGGTGGAGAGGGTAGAGTGACCTGATGCAGATAGTGGATTCAGAAGTATGAAGATCTTTTTTAGTTTGGCCGCAAGTTTAAAATCAACTCTGGTGCCTTTACCGGTGGGTACCACCAACGTGAGGCAAATGGCCCCAGCCCTGGGAGGTCATCCCGCTATCCATTTGACTAAGGTTAGCAGTCCAAAGGTTAATCAAGTTATTTCAAGGTTCTGCTGACAGTACAAACCATGTAAAGAAAATATGAAGAACTCATCGGACAACTGTCGTCGAACACAACATCACTGCTGAACTAATCAGTTAGCTTCTTGCTTCTCTGGTATGTCGTTTTGAACAAGAGCACTTCCGTTGCGGTTGAGTGAGTGTCTCGCTTGTGGAGGTCACATTGACAGGAATTTGGAAACACTGCCGTGTTCAGCGCCCAAAAATCCTAAACTTGAAGTTACCTTGGAAGCATCCGATGACGGTAGCCTTGTCAGATGCCGCTGAGATAATAAATTTCGACTACTGCCGTGGTACATGGGGAAGGGTGAAGAACATTGAAACGAAGCGTAGACCACAGCGCGCAACTTCCAACGCAAAATTACTGATTTGAAAACAGAAGAGCGTGCATGGTGGTTAGAGAAGGGACCGAGTTTAAGAATTTAAAAAGCCGTTTGCCAACACCTACTCTGATTGGGGAACACTTGAAGGTTAGTACAAGAACAACCCACAGATGGAACAATGCTTTCCTTGTGCCGTTGTTATCCGCAATGACGTGGTTTTGCGCAATTCCTGAAGAGGACAGAGAGAAATTTATAGTGTCAAGAAGTTTGGTAGAGGCAGCAATAATGTCAACGATGCTTCCTTGACCACGCCACTGTTCCACTACCCTTAGGGTTAGGTTAGGTTAGGGTTAACCCTTCAGTTGTAATAGTTTAGAGCTGAGGGCAAAGTATTTCTCGTCGTCTGTGACCTACCTTGCTTTACTTTCTTCTTCCCTTCACTTCAATCGGCAGAATGCATTCAAGCTTGAGCGATACTTAGTTATCGGCTGAGTAGCGATCTTTGTGGGTCGTTCATTTTCTAACGCCTTAGTGACGTTCGTGGTAACACTGACAGCACTAGCAGGAATTATTGGATCGCCAAATGTCCAATAGGATCTTGACTTTTCATGTAACCACGGTCGTTTATCTGCCCGATTCATGCTAGATGATGGTGCACGGTATAGCTTCATGTATCAGTACCATCATGCAGGTCCGTTTGCATCGACAGGTCGCCAATAACGTTGTCCATCTGCACTATCGAGACGATGCAACCGTATGAAGAGCGTGCAAATGACATACGCCCCATCTTGCTGCAGGTTTTAGAGATGGCCTTGAGCGGTTCTGGATTGCAGATTGGCTGGTGATGAACTCCGGCGAGATCAGGTGCGTGACGGCCGGAGATAGCGGTGTAGGGTGGCTGAAATGCAGCTTATCCACCAACTGCCGGATAAAACAAGTGCAAAAGAAAGCTGCGTACGTGCCACGTTGATGCGAGGATTGCTGACATTGGAGGTCCGTCATAACGGATGTTCGGTGCCATGTGAAATCCGATGGCTGGACTAGGAAGGTAGGTAAGCAGGCTGGGATTGTTCGAAACAGAAGACACAGGAGCCTGGCGGGCTAATCACAGTGCAGATTATTTGAGCTTGTTTGCGATATAGCCAGAGGATTTGTGGACGTTGGAGAGGGTTGACGTGCTGTGGGAGTGCCGGCTTCCGAAGACCGCGGCATGACTTCGCCCATACGTCATCGCTGTCAGGAACGATTTCCCAACTCCACAACAATTATCTCAACACCATGTGCTTACAGGGCAGATGCAGGTCCACATGACGCGCTGAAACTCCCGGCCTGCTACTTAATCTCGGATTCGATGCTTTTTCGTGGCGCTCCCGCTCTGCAACGCAGCACAGCTTACACCAAGTCTCGCTTGCGCTTGTCCCCACACCTTGGCCGTGGATCTTATAGAGCAATCAGTATGGCTTCTGAACCTCACAACAAGAATGAGAAGCACTCCAAGTTTGGTCATCTTCCATTGTCGACCTCAGGACCGCAAGGATGCGCTCTCTCCGTAAGCTGGTCCGTCTGAACTCTGCAAGGCCTTGTCGCTTACATCCGCTATAGGGCGCCGCGCTCCTCAGGACACCCTACCTGAACAAGGGGTCTGCATTCACACCCGAAGAACGGAAAGAGTTCAAGCTCCACAGCCTCCTTCCACCGAACGTGCAGACCTTGGATGAGCAGGTCAAGCGCGCCTACGAGCAATATTGCAGCCGACAAGATGATTTGGCCAAGAACACATTCATGACGAGCATGAAAGAGCAGAACACAGTGCTGTATTTTAAAGTATGTGTCGGGATTTGTTGTCGAAAGGAGTTGTAAAGAGCTTCCGCGGCTAACCACTTGCGCAGCTAATCCAAGATCATCTGAAAGAAATGTTCAGCGTAATATACACTCCTACGGAAGGAGAAGCCATTGCAAACTACTCTAGGCTCTTCCGGCGACCAGAAGGCTGCTTCTTGAATGTTGATGACCAGGACAGAATCGAGGATAACCTAGACCAATGGGGCGCGCCGGAAGACGTTGATCTCATAGTGGTCAGCGACGGAGAGCAGGTAAGCACTCATGACCACAGGGGTTAGAAAGCCAAAAGATTAACAAACCTAGATCCTGGGAATCGGCGACCAGGGTGTCGGCGGTATACTGATCTCCGTCGCAAAGCTTGTGATATACACGTTGTGCGCGGGCATCCATCCCACTCGGACGCTGCCGGTGGTCTTGGATTGCGGTACCAACGTAGGTGTTCAATTGCTTCCAAACTTTACGAAAGGCTGACCTCATTCAGAACAAAGAGCTTCTGGAAGACGAGCTGTATCTGGGCCTGCGGAAACCCCGAGCTCGCGGCGAGAAGTACGACTCTTTTGTGGACAAGTTCGTGAAAGCTGCCAGAAAGAGATATCCGAATGCTTATATCCACTTCGTAAGTTTTTGGCGCGATACCCTCGGTGTCGTTTGCTAACAGTAAACAGGAGGATTTCGGCCTGCCGAACGCGAGACGCATCCTGGAAAAGTACACCCCTGAGATTGCTTGTTTCAATGACGACGTCCAGGGGACAGGCTGTGTTACTCTCGCCGCAATCATGGCCGCCATGCATGTCGCAGACATCAAGTACGAGGACCTGCGGGTTGTCCTCTTCGGCTCCGGCACCGCGGGCACAGGGATTGCGGACCAGCTCAAAGACGCAATTGCCGTGGACACGGACAAGAGCAAGGAAGAGGCGGGCCAACAGATCTGGTGTGTCGACAAGCCAGGCCTGCTCCTCAAGTCCAAGAAGGATGACCTCATGCCGGCGCAGGTTCCGTATGCGCGTGATGACAAGGAGTGGGAGGGCAAACAGCATGACGACCTGCTTAGTATCGTGCGCGAGGTCAAGCCGCATGTTCTGATTGGCACATCAACCAAGCCTGACTCCTTCACCAAGGAGGTCATCGAGGAGATGGCGAAGCATGTTGATCGCCCCATCATCTTCCCTCTCAGCAACCCGACTAAGCTGCATGAGGCCAACCCCAACGACCTCTTTGAGTGGACGAAGGGCCGTTGCCTTGTTGCTACCGGCAGCCCGTTCCCGCCTGTCGAGTACGAGGGCGAAAAGTACGAGATTGGTATGTGAACCCACTCACCCACACTTACCTCTTTTTGCCTCTTTCTATTGCCCACAAGATTTACAACTAACCATATTCTCTTAGCCGAATGCAACAACTCGACAACCTTCCCGGGCATTGGTTTGGGTGCCATCCTCTCCCGCACCAAACTCCTCACACCTCCCCTCCTCGTTGCAGCCACCAAAGCCCTCGCAGCCCAAGCACCGGCTCTCCAATCTTCCAACAAAGACACGCCCCGCGCCGTCGCCCTTCTTCCCGACGTCACCGACGTCCGCGAAATCAGCGTGAAGATTGCTGCAGCGGTGATTCGCAAGGCGGCCGAGCTCGACCTTGCCCAGGAGAAGAATATTCCTCTGGGCGAGGGCGAGAAGGGCGACGCTGAGCTCGAGGAGTGGATCCGCGAGCAGATGTGGGACGCGGAGTACCGGCCGTTGAAGCGCGTGGAGCCGCAGCGCGCTGATGCGGTCGCGAAGGGGGAGGCGGGGACGGGGACGGCGAGACGGCCGGCGAGCTTTTCGACAGAGACGGCGCATGCGAGGCTGTGAGGCGAATGGTGGTGGTAATGTTGTGGGGGTGGGTGAGAGGGAGGAGGAAAGGGACGATTGACGACCTACGAATGGTTTCGGTACGTACGTAATGACACGACTATAGACGGTCGCCTGTACATGGCAGACGGGACTCTCCATCCACACCTAGATGACGGAACAGTCAGATAGCTACAATAGTTAGAGCGTCAGTAATTGATCTCGAGACACATACGCACAGGCACAACACGCAAACCACGAAGCCCGTCGCGCCCTGCTGTCCCACGAGGTGACGAGACACGACGAGACGAGACGAGACGAGGACGTCTCATGACCGGACCGGGCGAAGCGCTCAACACCAAACTCGGAAACGAATCACATGCACGCACAACCGAAAGAGGAAACCGGGGCGCGCCCCAACAAAGGCCACGCTTCCTCCCCTCCGCTTCCATGCATGGCACGGCGTTGGCGGGGCGTACGCGCGTAACGCGGGTGGTCTATTTGTCTGTGTCTGTGGCCTGTGTGGTGTGGTGGTGACTTGTGCGGGCGTGACTTCGGGGCGCGCGTTGCGTTTCGCGTCTTGCGTCTTGCGTGAGTCTTCGGCCTCGGCCTCGGTGGTGCGCGGTGCTGGTGGTCGGTTGGTTGGTTGGTTGGACCCCCCTACCTAATCCGTACCTAACCTACCCCCTCTCCCTGCTGCCTTTTTGGCCGAGAGGGCTCGCTCGCTCCTTGGGCTGCGGAGGGGGCGTGGTGGATGTGGATGTGATGCGCGATGCGCGATGGTTAGTTCGTTGTGTTTTGGCTGCGTGGCGGGCGCTGTGCTGCGCTGTGTGTGTACTGTGTACAATAGAAGTAAACCATTTCTCTGGTTTGTTTGTTATTTCCAAGTTTGTCGGCCTGTGACCTGCGCGACGCAACGCACAGGCTGCTGGCGAAACAGCGTCGGGCGCCGAGGCGGGGGCGCGTGCGGGCTTGCAGCAACTTCGAACGTAGGGCGAGTGGGATGCCGTCAGAGCGGCTGGACTGCTGCTTTGGTTGGGTTTGCTTTGCTGTTTGCTTTGCCTTGCTGGGTTGTGTCGTTCATGGACGACGAGAGCTATTGGTGAGCGGTTGGAGGTAACTACCTATGGTTATGGGTAAGTTGGTGTAGATTGTAGAGAGAAAAAGGTAGCAGCCGAGTCAAACGGGTGAGGCTTCTGGAAAGCGCGTGAGTCATGCAGGCTGAATTTTTGGTAAACGTCACTGGTGGTGACGTCCATCCGCTTCCCAATTCACTCCCGCTACAACATCTCCCTCCTCTAAGTAGGGCCATTGACCGCCACCTACGCACGCAGCACGGCCAAGAACTTAAGCCAGAGCGTTAAAGGTCTGCGTTACAGTCGACCGTATAAGCGTTCTCTTTACGTACTAGTCACTACCATCACCACCGCACTACCACCACGATTTATCGCCGCGCTCTCGCAACCATGGCTGGAGGAGGTAGAGGCGGCAGGGGAGGCGGAGGCGGAGGCAGAGGCAAAGGACCCCTTCCACGTGACGTGCTGGTGTCGAAGAAAATGAGCCGCGTCTTGCGGCATGCGGCTGAGGCTGAAGGACTCACGCTGGGGCCGGGGGGCTATGTCAATGTGCAGGATCTGGTATGTACTTGCTGCTGCTATCTCATACTTCTACACTTTAATGAGTTTCTTCCTATAACTATGTCAATAAGTCCTTTTCATTTCCAAACCAGTCGATTGTCTCTTTTGTATTTCATTCATCCTCGACTAACCCCACCACCAGCTCAACTGCCGCACCATGCGCTCCATAAAAGCGACCTTCCCCGAACTCCGCTCCATCGTCAGCAACAACGACAAACAGCGCTTCTCGCTGATCGCCGCCAGCACCAGCACGCCCAGCAACACGACCACCGCAACCCCCACCACCACCACAACAACAACCACCATTTCCTCCTCCGACGTCCCCGACGACGCCAACCCGGCCCACTACCTCATCCGCGCAAACCAAGGCCACAGCCTCACCGTCGAGGACGCCGGCCTCCTCACGCCCCTCACCCCCGCCTCGGTGCCCCCGACCTGCGTGCACGGCACCGTCGCCGCGGCGTGGCCGCTCATCCGCGCGTCCGGTGGCTTGAAGCGCATGGCGCGGAACCACATCCACTTCGCGGCGGGGCTGCCCAAGGGGTTTAAGCCCGTCGAGGACGACGATGCCGCTGCCACCACCGCTGATGCTAAGAGTGCGGAAGGTGCAGAGGACGCAGGAGACGCAGCATCCGAGGCCCCCGCCGTGATATCCGGCATGCGCGCCACGTCGACGATCCTGATCTACGTCGACGTAGCCGCGGCGCTGGACGCAGGGATCCCGTTCTTCCAGTCTGCGAACGGGGTTATCCTGTCGCCTGGGGACGAGGCGCAGGGGGGCGTGCTGGGGCTCAAGTTCTTTAAGCGCGTCGAGGATCGTCGGAGTGGGAGAGTGCTGGTTAGGGATGGGGTGGTGGTGGGGGGGGGGGGTGGGGGTGGGGGGGCTAAGAAGGGGGAGGGTGAGGGCGGCGCCCCGAGGGAAAGAGGCAATGTCAAGGGCTTGCCGCCGCAGGGTGAGGGCATGGCTGTTTGAGCGGGCGATTGCTGTATTAATGGGCGGACGGGATATAGCATTGCACTGCGTTATCTTACAAAAAGCATTGCTAGCTAGTTGCTTCAGCGTACCTAGGTAGGGAACATATACGCACCGTACCGCATCTACACAACAGTACGAGCACGAGCGCACGCCACGACCGGACGGACAGATGAGTTGTATTAAACCAAAAGCACAAAAAAAGCAAAACAACCAAATCACAATCTCCACGTACCTATCTACACCCAAGCGTCAGAGAAAGCGTCTTGTCTTGTGTGCCAACAACAACAACAATGTCATCTCCCATCTCCCATCTCCCATCTCTCGCTTCACTGCACGACAACCCCGTACGGAGCCGTTCACGCTGATACGGCTGTGCAGATCGCTTGCTTGTATGTGCGTACGAAGTGTACAAATTAGAGAAGAAAGAAAGAAGAGCGCAGACTTCACCACCAACTACCTATAAAGCCGTAGTTGGCACTGATTATAACAACAACGCACTCGCACACAAACTCACTCAAACTCACACCCTTGCTCGCGCTCAAAGCACGCAAACAGCAGACCGATCTCCCCGTGCGCGCCGGCGTGCATGAACCATCACCCGTGAGCGTGAGCGTGAGCGTGAGCGTGAGCGTGAGCACTGTGCGCGCGCGCGCGTGTGGGTCTAGGTCTAGGCTAGGGTGTTTCGGATTTCCGCCCAGCAGCTCGAGCCAGTGCTTGCTTCTCCGACCTCCCCCGTGCGGATTAACTAGTGATTGCTGCCGCCCCGCCGCCGCCGCCGTTGCTGCTGCTGCTGCCACCACTGTTACTGCTGCGGTTGGAGATAAAGATGCGCGTGCTGGTGCAGAGTGATTTACTTACTTACCTATGTACTGTGCATACATAACTACAATGCAACTTCTACAACATCCCCGTCCACGCGCGCAGCTGGTCCCGCCCGCCCGCCAAACAAGAGCGCGCGGCACGCCATCCACGCCCACGACCACGCCCAAACCCGCACTTCGTCCCCGCTGGCTCGCACCCAGGCGTCGGCCGCAGCACAGGCAGGCAATCGTACCTAGGCACCCCCCCGAAGGGCGGGCGGGCAGCCAGACAGCACTTTGCGCGCCGGGCAGGCGCTCTGTGCGCGCATCCCCACGAGGGCGACGGCAGCGGCCTATCAGCGGGCGTGCAGGCCATGCAAGCAAGCTGGAACGGAAGGCCAGAGGTGCATATCCTCGAACGTAGCAGCGAAGGCACCGATGGACCGCCGAACGAAGCCGCCGAGGACGACGGGGGCATTCTGCTTCTGGTGCGCGGCAGGCTTGGGTCGTTGGGGGCGGAAACGAGCAACGGGGTGTGTGATTGAGGAGGGCGGCGCGGGCGTGGGCGTGTCAGACCTGATTGTCGGGACGGGGCGCATGTGCGCGCGGGCGGCTGTGGCCACTCTCTGCCGGGGTGTGTGTGGGCTGCGCTGGTGGCACTAACGCGTTGTGTGCGTCTTGCAGCTGCGAGCTGGCTTGACTGGCCACTCGGATGGGTTACCTGCTCGCTGCTCGCTGCCAGCTGCACTCGCCAGTTGCCTGTAGCAGACTAGGACTCCGCGGTAAGGGGGCTCCGGGGCCGGGGCCGGGGCTGGGGCAGGGCCGCTGTGGCTACGGCTTACTGGCTGCGGCGCGAGCTTGCCAGGATGGGGAGAGTGCCCGCGGCGGTGCGGGTATTGGGGGTTAGGGTTGCCACTGGCCTGGACGACCGAGGGCCGCGGGTCGCAGAGGGAAGTGGAGCTTATTGGTCGGCGGAATGTCAGAGCGGGTTGTTGAGTGGTGGTTGAGTTGGTGGTGGTGCGTGGCCTGTGGTTAGCGGCCGGCGGGCTGGAGATTGATTGACGGGCAGTCAGTTGTGTACAGTACATCAGCCCTCTTCCGTCCCGTCACAAGAGGGAAAAAATCGACCTCTCCTTCTCTTCCATGCTTTCCTCGATTTCCTCTCTTGTCCACGCGCACACACACAGCTCTTGCGGCGGCCGCCATGCTCAAAACACACACTTGCATGCCCGCACCTCGCAACGTCGAACGTCGCAAGCACCCATTTTCCACATCTGGTCGCCAAGGCACGCGGTTGCCGTCGGAAGCGGGTCTACGTACGCACGAGCTTGGGCGGTGCGGCGCCGCCGTCTGACGTGCATGCGCGCGTTCAACCAAGGTGTGAGCGGGCGTGCGTGGACTGACCGGGCTGACCGAGAGCTGACGGTTGGGTGATGATCTAGATGATGGACACAGGTCTCGAAGCAAGAAAATCAAGCATGTAAGCCAAAAAAGCAAAAAAGGAGAAAGTGGTGGAAAAAAAAAAAAAAGAAAAAACATGCAGATCAACGGACGCGGTGGAGTGATGATGAGAAGGCTCGACGACGGCGTGGACGGGCAAGGAAGGGAGTAGTCACGACTCACGCGCCTTCTCTCGCGAGCCCGGCCCGCCCTGCCCCCCTTGGCGCTAGCCCCAACATGGCAGCCCCGCGTGTTCGACCGCCCGCTAGATCCTATGTCCCCACGCATCATCAAACAAGCTCATTCTCTCTCTTTCTACCTAACGTTAATCTCTCTCTCTCTCTTTCCGTCATCCTCGCCTACAGTCATGGCGCCCGCCAAATCCCCCCGGCGCTTGCGCCCCAAACGCCCCCTAGACAAGTCCAAGCCGCGCCAACTGCCGCATGTCTCGAGCGTCAAAGCCACTCCGCCCCGTGACGAGTTCGTCGTTCGGAGGTGCCCGCCCGCCAAGTGTATGTCTCGAGACTCTACTCTACGAGGACCTAGTCTCCCTGCCGGCGTCGGTTCGGCGCGTTTGTGCTTTTGCTCAGCTGATGCTGACACCCAGCTCCTTGCAGCAGCAGCAGCAGAAGCGACGCGTGAGTTTGACTTGAGCTACGAGCGATCTGCGTTTCTGGACCAAGCCTTCTTTGCCAAAAAGGTTGCTGCGCTGAAGGAGGCGCGGCGCCAGGAGCTACAGAGCTAGGTAGAGTATGTTAAATGTGAAGCATTGATATTAATGCATAGCTGTCCAGACTTACGGCAAGCGGTAGATATCGACGCTTTGGAACTTGTCACGCGATTCATGAATACTCTGTCTAATATCAGGACGAGAGGCCGTAATGCTGTCGCAATGGATGCAATTTTAGCTATCCATGAAGCCATCCATCCAGGCGCAAGTAGACGAGAACCCGCAGTGTGCAGCCATAAAGTCGATGCTTCCAGCTACGCACGAACCCATCCGTCCAGACGCAAGTTGACCGCGGCCAAACCAACAAGCCTCAACACACGCTTCCGCACAAAACATTCCAAACATGCGCATGAGAGCATTAACGTTGATAAAATGCCTATATACCATACAAGACCACGAATCCTTTTACTTCACCAACCATGTGTAGCTTCGCTTCCGTAAAGTACAATTTCTGCCGTAACCAGCCAGACGCCAAAGAAGAAGCAGCACGCTCGCCCACTCACAACAAGACCACCACCACCAACAACTACTCAAAGTTGTCCTGCCGATCCACCCAAATATCCTCCAGCTCCGCAAAGTTAATAAAGTGAATCGGGCGATGAATGTCGTCGTAGAAGCCGCGCGGCGTGTCTATCTTGACCTCGACCGGCTTCTTCTCCACCGACCCGAACCCGCTGCCCATGAAGCTGTAGTTCCACACACCCGTCTCCGGCACCAGGAAGTAGCCGCGGATCTTGTCCGACAGCAGCAGCTGGCACTTCTCGCCGAACGACGACGAGAAGCCCGCCGGCGCGTCCGACGTCGTGTCCTTGTTCTCCGCGCCCCACTTGTAGCCTTGCGGCGTCAGAGCCCATGCAGACAGCGACACCGAGCCGGGCGTGAACGACACCGTCATCGTGACCGTCTTCTTGTCCCACGACGAGTGCGCATTCATGAGGCGCGCGTGCTGCGTCACGTCCTGGGAGCTCATGTAGTTGAGCTCATTGCCCGAGACCGTGTGGATTATACCCAGCGGTTCCATGTTCTTCAGGTGCTCGTGCTGCGGCAGCTGGTGAGGCAGCTGCACGTCGCGCGTGTTGCCCACCTGCGGGATCATGACAATCGTGCGGATCTCCTTGACTTGGTCATTGTCGGGTGGCGAGCTACCGTAAAGGTAACCGGCAACTTGAACGCGAAGGTCGGCGATCGTGATGAAACGCTTCAGGACGTTCTTGGGCATGATGTACGTGTAGTGGTCGTCCTCCTGAATGTCCTCCGAACTGATGTAGATGTTGTTGGCGCGCGTCCGGAGGTTGCTGGTCGCGATGGCACGAGTACGCCACTCGGTCTTGGAGGCGAAGGTTGCTTGTTCGTATTGCGACGTCGTGGTCACAACGAGGTCTTCGCCGTGCACGTTCTGAGTCTTGGTGGTCACAGCAGTGAGCTGTTGCTGCTCTTGCTGCTGCTTCTCGATCTCGGCGGCCTGTTGACGTTGCATCGAGGGCGCACTGATCTCCATACCCAGAATGATATCTCGAACTTCGCTGCTGGTCAAGCTCGAGGTGTTGACGTTGTTCTTCTTGCCATAGTCGTTCAAGATCAGATCACGCAACTGGACTTCGACCTTGATCCAATCTTCGTCGGACAGCGTGGGCCAGATGTGATGCTCCTGGGTGATGACGGTCTTGTCAGGACGCAGGATAAGCTTGGTCTTGTCCTGGTTGACGTGGAGAGCACGCAGGATCAAGATCAACCTGGAGAATGCCGTGTAAGACGATATGGTCTTCAACCATTCATCGTACAGGTTGAAAAGCACCATCTGAGGTTCCGTGGCGCGAAGGATCATGTCACCCAACTTCTCGACCTTCATCGCAGCCTGGAACGGCAATTGCAGCTCCGAAGCACGGATGGAAATGTTGGGGAAATCGAGCAAGTGAACCTCGAGAGGATCAAGCAGACCCTTTCTGGTGACGATGAGCTGCTTAGGTTGCTCTTCCACTGGCAAAGAACGGATGAGAGCCGCGACTTCTTCAGCGGTCTTCCACTTGGCCAATTGTCCAAGACGCTTTTGACCGGCCCATACACTGGTGTGGATGATCTTCAGGAACAGCTGACCAGTACGAGGGTTGAAAATGAAAATAGCACCGTTGATGGGCTTCGTCGTCAGGTTACCCTCGAACGTCTTGTGGATGGTGACACGGTAGACGTTGGTGTCGTCAATGAAGAGCTGAACCTGGTTGCTGAAGAGCTCCGAGTAGTTCTGCGAGTTGAGGAACTCCTGGTTGCTCTCGGATGCGTAGAGCTGCAGACCCTTCCGGATACGCTCACGCAGGACATACAAGGCAGGGTTTGCCTTCATGATCTTGGCCATCGCCTGCTGAACCAGCTGCTTCAGACCAGGGAAGTACTGGCCGTATGCAGAGTACAAGTTGTAAGCCAAGTCAACACCAATCATCAGACCAGTGGGGGACGGATAGATAGACATGCTGTCGGTGGTGTAGTCGAGGTACTTGGCACGGACGTAACGTTCAATGTCGTGCGAATCGTAGTCCCCGTAACGGAGCTGAATGTCGACCCAGAACTTATTCGTAGTCGTAGCCGTCATCGTGTCCTTCGTATCGTAAAGCAGCGAAGGGGGAGAGACACTCCACTTGTGGCTAGCAAAGAGCAGGATGTCGGCACAAGAGCTGTTCATCTTGTAAGACTTTCTCGGGTGAATCGTCTCCTTCTGGACAGTCTCAATGCCGAGGGCCTCCAGCTCCTGATCGAAGACCTGGCACATATCCATGACGACAGACTCGTGGATCTTCTGCCACAAATGGGCACGGAAGATCTGGATCAGGGAGATCTTGAGGGTGGGGATCTTGCCGTGCAAGAAAATACCAGTAAGATCAAGCTGGACCTGGAAACCAACGTAGACGTTGGCACGGTTGATGGTGGGGGACCACCACAAGGTGAACCGACGGTTGGGGATTTGGTTCAAACCGGACCGTTGAGCATTGGTCAACTTCTTGAACTTCATGGACTCTTCGAAACCGCTTGCCTTCTCCCAGAAGAGACCCTCCCAAGAGGGGAATGCGGTAGCCTTGAACAGCGTGTGTTCAAGAATGGTTTCAACACCACCAAGGGCCTGGATTACGTCCGTACGGTAAGCATTCAAGTTCCAGAGTTTACCATCATGGCGCTGGCTAGTCCACCAGAACGGATTGCTCTTCATGTGCTGGTAAATCTTGAACTCGGTACGGGCACGGAAACCCTTGTCGAAGCTGAGCGTGCTGCGGTCCTTTTGGAACAGCGTGTTGATACGGGGCAAACCGCGGTCCCAGCTGTCCTCAAGGTCCTCCAGAGTCAAACGCCGGTTCTGCTGGTTGGCTTCAAGACGCTTCTGCGAGTACTCGGTCCAGACACGCTGAGAGTCAATGAACTCGGCCTCCCAAGGAATGATGTAACGGAAGATGTTGGGAATCAGCGTCTCTTCGTCGTGAGACATACCGGCGCGGTAATGAGTGACGCCGGTATCCGTTTGCTTGGACCATCGCTTGTCGCTCGCAGGAATCAAAATGTGGGATCCAGAAATCATACCAAGACCTCCCAACTCCTTTGGCGTGTAGAAAACTGCAGGCGGGAAACGAGAGGGCATCTTAGAGTTAAGACCAATCTTGACGCGAGTCTGGATTTTGGTCTCGCACTTGACGATGGTATCCAGCAAGTTAACCGTAGACGCAGCAGCCTCACGGTAGTAAGTGAATAGGGCAATAAGGCTGGTGTTCCACTTGTTGGCGATCTTGGTGAAAGTGGTAGAACCAGAGGACATCAAGATCTGCCTGATGCGGTTGTTGAACTTTTGAATATCCTCTTCCGTAACCTGCAAGAACGCATGGGCGGTCCTCTCCTTGGTGGTGTTGTCCACCAGCGACCATACACTGTCCTTCACCGGGAACTCGTCGGTAAGGTTGCGGATCTTCGGCAGAATACGGACCTCGAAACCGCACATGGAAAACAGCAAGTTGGGATTGTCTCTGCTGTAGACACTGGCAAAAGTGTCATCCCACTCAATAGTCGTCACCGAACGAGGCAGGCGGTTCTTCAAGTCCCAGAAGACAGCGCGACCAAGGTTGACGTCGTGCCGCATCAAGCGCATACGGGAGTCGCGAGGCCAGCACTTCTTGTTCTTGTAGCCGATGACGTTCTCAAAGTTGGGGTCAGGGTTCTCCGTCAGGAAGCGCTGAATCAAATCACGCGACTCGTCGGCGGTGAACCTGAAGAACACCCAGATCTTATCGATGTAACGGGTGTACAGCCTGATTGGGTGCCTGGTTTCCGAGGCCCGATCGCGGAATTGCAAGAAGTCATTGGGAGCGCCTGGCGGACCAGCGATCTCGCTGGCACGCTGCAGACCAAGCAAGAGCAAGTCGAGGACGAGGCCGTAGTACTGGAAAACGAACGCCGAGAACTGAAGACCACGAATCATACCATAGCTGTTGGTGTGGTTCATGTCCTTGTAGTTGAGCTGGACGTTGTTCTTAGAGGTGATGTAATCAGCCAAGTTGTGGTCCATGATCAAACGCAGCAGACGGTTGAGCAAGGTGATATCAATCTTCTCGTAGACCTTAGACAGCTGAGTTTCGATCATGACGTTGCATTCGCCATCCTGGTACTCCCAGACCTTGTCAAGGTTGTTGATACCCTGAGCCCACTTATAGGTCAGGAGAGGGGGCACTTCCGAGTCGGAAGGCTTAATCCAAGCCGGGAAGAGATGGCGCTGATCAGCCTGGTACCACAAGTATTGATCGAGGTAGGCATCCGTGATCTTCTCGATAGGCTCGATATCGTACACGGGGTTGATGTTGCTGTAGTTGTCGTTCATGTCGATGCCGACCTCCTTGAAAGCACGCTGCGTCAACAAGAAACGCTTGATCCGAGCAAGAGTCGTGCCAGGAGAGTCGTAGGCTTGCTCAATGAGGGCCAACTCTTCTCTCTGGCTCTGGTTCAGACGTCCCTTAACCGAGTATGCCTCCCGCAGGCGTTCCAGAGCAAGGATCAGGATCTTGGTATCATGCTTGTAGGAAACACTGGGGAAGGGAATGGGCTGGAATTTCCGAGACTCAAGCCAGTGAACAGTAGTCGTGTAAATGGCGACAGCTTCCTCAGAAGAGACGTACGGACCGTCCTTCATGTAGTTGTGCTGGCGTTCCTGCTCAGCCTTCAACCACAGACGAGTGAGTCGACCCAAGTTCTTCTTAGCGACAGTCTTGTCGACAGTCGCGCCTCTCCGGATACGCTCACGGTTGTAGTGAGCAACAGAGACCCACCAGTCCGCCTTGCTCTTGACGTATCGGAGGATGATGTTCTCAATCGGGGCAGGCAAGCCAGGCACCTTCCATGGGATGTTACTCTTCCAGCAACGCCAGGCCTCCGACAGATGTTGAAGCACAGTGTTGACCTTGTTCTGTTTGATACCCTCGGGCATCATGTCCATCAAGTCGGCCATGACGGAAGCACGCAGTTCAAGATCGAAATGAGACTCAACACGCTGCTTAGTCACGGTCTTCGCGACACCCTTGCTATGACGACCCTCGAACTGACGAGAAAGGAGGTTGCCGAGCCAGCGCTCCAAAAGGGGAATGATACCTCTCATGAAGAAGAGCCAAACTCTCCACGCAGGCGCCCAGAAACCGCAACCAGGACCCTTGCCCACAGGGCCAGAGTTGAACCTGTAGTAGATCAAGTGCTTAAGATCCTTACAGGACCGGATCTGGTGCATGAGCTTGTACTTGTACCTGTACATACCGGTCAACTGACCGACGTGGTTGAAGGCGTAGAGGATACCATCTGCAAGTTGGAAAGCATCAATGTTGCCAAGACGGTACTGCACTTGAGCGTCGACGATGAGCTTCGTCAAGCGGAGGATCTCACGCATTAGATGGAACGCATTTCCGAAACGTGACTTCTTGCGTTCCTTGGTCGTCAACGTCTTGATGGGCTTCAAATTGAAGTTGTAGTCAAGATGGAGGTAGGTAAGGTTCTTGCGGTGAATGAGAAGGTTCAGCATGTTGAAACCTTGTCTGCAGACCTGAAGACCCGCTTCGACCCAATCGATGGTGGTCTGCTGGAAGAACTTAGTAGATTTAAGCGACCTCATGAGGTTCTGGTTGTTCAGAGCCTTGGGTGTCTTCTTGTGTAACTCGTTGAGAACAAAGCTCTTGAGGAGCTTCTGGTAGGAAACCCGAACCTTGACCGGCTGGCCCTGCGGAACGTGCTCAAGGTACCACTGCTTGACTAGCGGCACGTCCTGAGCGCGGACCATACGACCGGACCTGCGATCGAAGGGATAGGGCGCCCACCACAGAGCAATGGCGGAAGAGGTATCATCCGTGTAGAGTTCCTCATCTGCCAAAAACGGCTCAACCTCACCCGGCATCTCAAACTCATCTTCATCCTCGGGCCCAAATATCTCATCTTCATGAGAAACAGTAATGTTCTTCGGCGCAACGGAACGAGAGGAAATAGGATTAATGACAGGGTCGAAATAAAAGGCGGGCAAGCTCGGGTCCTCGGCGCGTACGTAGACAGTTTGGGGGTGTGAGTACCAAGAAAGCTTCACGCTTCTTGGCAGAGAATTGTAGAGGAAGGGGAAAGAGACGCGGTACTCCGTCCGGATCGGCGCGCGGAAAATTATGCGGTCAATTGCATTGAATTCGCCGAAGTCTTCGTCGTTCGGGTCCACATCCTTGTACAATGGCTCAAATCTAGGACCGCCGGGAATAGCCACGTTCAAGGCCTTTGCGGTGAAGAAGCTGTTGAGATCGAACATGTGAAAGTAGTTCTTATCTACCACATCGCTCAGCAGCTGATGACTGAGACGGTAGAGAGTAGCCATCTGCGGCAGCGTGAGGTTCCAGGTCTTGTAGCTGGGGCCATTGACATGCGGGGTATCCAAAAGAGGCCGGTGATCGTAGAACCACTCGTAAACCGGACCATCTTCGTTCTCGTCGAGCTCCATCTGGATCGGCTCCAAGGGTTCGACATCCTCGATGTTTTCCGACCAAGAAAGCGGCGGCTCCTCGTCATCGAATGGGGGAAACCGCATGCGCTTGAAATGCCTCCGATCACTCTTCTCCCTACGCATGCACACCCACATCGTTGCCCACTGCGCATGGAAAACCGGTTCAATGACACGAGGAATCTCGTTGACCAGCGTCAAACAGCCATTGACGTGATATAAGACCTTGACGTCGCGCTGGCTCTCCCAAGGCATCGGCATGTTCTCCAGCAACTTCAACACGGCGTGTGGCATGAACTTGAGCGCACCCAGGTAGCTGCGCTTGTCGCTGCTGAATTTCTTCTGCGACACATCGCCGATATCCTTGACAATCTTGCGCAGATGCTCAGGCGGCATGTCGGCCTTCTGCGTCTCTACAAAACCACCCTTGCGCTTCTCACCAAAGCGCTGCCTCTGCAGCCGCAGCCATTCTTTCTTCTTCTGTGCGAACTTCGCGACTTGCGGGTCGGCAGGCGGGCGGTAACCTGGGGGTGGCGGCGCAGACATGCCCGGCGGCGCGCCGGGCGGAGGAGGGGCTGACCAGCCCGGGGGCGGGGGAGGTATCGACGACATTCTCAGCGTGGGATTTGGCGCGTCGGTCGATGTCAAGGAGCGTACACGGATGAAGCTCTCAAGGTATAGACCTTAGGAGTGCTGTACGCGACCCAGACTCGGTCGCCCGAGGCGGATGGTGAGGGGGACGCGCGAGCTAAGCGGCGCGTGACACAAGCACCCCGGGAAGACGAAGGCGGATGGATGGATGCGGCTTCACCCTCACTGAGTCGTGATGGGAAGGGTTGCAGCAACGCGTATCTCGAGATGTGGCGGGTGTTGCGTCTTGATGCGCAAAATGCGGCAAGCCAGCGCTCAGGCCAATCGCAGCGCAGCCCGTCGGCTAATCCGCGGTCGGCAGTCCGCGGTCGCACGTTTTACCGGCGCCGAACTCATCGCCCACCAGCGGGTCAGTAATTTTGAAAGGCTTTTGCTTCGTTAACGACGACTTGACGCCAGCACCCTGCGACGACAAACCTCCAACACCGACAAGATGCCGTCCAACAGACTGACCTACGTACGTCCTATTTAGGCGCCTAGACTGCTCCGCGTGAATTGTTTACTGACGTTTTTTGTTTGCAGCGCCGCCGGGCTCCGTAAGTCTACCTTTGACGCACACCGTCCGAATCCGTCGCCGCCTGGAACGCGATTCCTCTGGGAGACCTGGGACTGATGGATTTCGCGCAGCTACAACACCAAGTCGAACAACGTTCGCGTCATCAAGACCCCCGGTGGCCAGCTCAGGTACCTGCACATCAAGAAGCGGGGCACCACCCCCAAGTGCGGTGACTGCGGCAACAAGCTCGCGGGTGTAAGTGGCACTCCGCACCTATGGTCGAGGCGTGAGTTCTGGGCGATCGAAGCAGGGTAAAAGAAGCTAAAGAGGCGGACATTGCGGGCATGGATGCAGGGTCGAGGAAACATCGCAACAGGCGAGGAGATGAGAAGCCGGCTGGAGAAACCTGCTTTTGATCGCCTGGAACACGCGGCTCGCCGAACACAGGATCTCGAGTAGACGCTGATGGACATCTAACAGGTTCCTGCCCTCCGTCCCCGCGAGTACGCCACCATCTCCCGCCCCAAGAAGACCGTCCAGCGCGCCTACGGTGGTTCGCGGTGCGCCAACTGCGTCAGGGACCGCGTCGTTCGCGCTTTCCTGATTGAGGAGCAGAAGATCGTCAAGAAGGTGCTCAAGGAGTCCCAGCAGAAGAAGCGCTAAACGGGTCATGATCTGTTGAGGGAAAGTTACGTTTGCGGACGGAGTCAGCGGATGCATATTCAAAAGGATGGGCTTCTTCGGCTTGTTGGGCGCAGTAATCCTGTGCCAGCATCAGTTCGTCGGAAACTGGGAGGTAACGAGCGGACTGTCACATGAATAAAAGCAATCTCCCAAAGGTCGCCCGCAACCTAGGATTTGAGCGCCATTCCATCCGTCCATTACGTGTGTTGGTCAGATTGGTGCTACTCGTAGTTCAGTCTCTTCGCGTTTATCGCAGTAACGATGCCGGTTACGGAGATTCACGCCAAGTATGAAATCTTGAGTGCTGTGTGTATCGCACAAGCGTGTCTCCGACTTTCGCTAACGCGCAGATCTCCCGCGGCAATGACCTTAGCTCCGTGGCTCCATAGCGGTTTTCCAACAGCGACATCATTCTCAAAACTCCCCCAATACGTACCCAAGGCGCCCATAACGTAGTGTCGGCCGCCCAACTCAGCCTTCTTATTATTTTAAGCGATGGATCCCTGAGTGTCCTGGTTAGCCACGTCTTCCTTTCAAAGCTTTCACATGCGCTTAAGTTTCGGGGCAAGGAGCGCTGAAGCTCTACGCCGGTCTTTGCCTACATGTACTACAAGTACGTGGCTTCAGGCAACAAACATCGTATCTCCGAGCGATCCATAGCCGCGAAGAAGTTGCGGAGATTGCATGTCGCTTCTCCATAGGTTATTTATAAGCTGACTGTAGGCTGCAGAGGACGATACACCGCATGGCCTGTCGCTCCACGAGGCTGTAGGCGACAAATAGCTAAGGTGGTATGGCAATGTTGTACCAAACAATTCTAAGACAGCCATGAGGTCATAGCTCCAGCTCAGCCGCACTCTGAATCCCGGCACCAGATTGCGGCCATTATACACCTGCATCGTGGCAAACAGAACATGTCCACAAGACCCTGCCTGAATGCTTTATCAAGATACTCATCTCCTTCCACTATTATCCCTGCTTAAGCGCCGCTTCCGCTAGACCGTGATCTCGATTGGCAATCTGGAGGCCGCAAACGCGCCCATTGTATTTTCAGTGTCATCTTTGCCTCGCCAGGATAAAGACGGCTAAGGCATGGTGCTATGAAACCCTCATCAATGATAATAAGCAGCCTCATATTTAGCCTTGCAGCCTTCTAAGGGCGGGTAGGTACATGTCGGGAAAGGATGTATGGCGGGGGTTACCCCGGTCTGCTGATCTTTTGTGGTCTTTAAGCTTCCCGTGGCAGCCTTGGTCGTACTCGAGTAGTAAAGACGCATCGACAGCCTTACCTTTTGCTTGCTTATCATTTGCACAATTATCGGACAAGTTAGATGGAGGCTTGCATGACTTCCACTGAGGTGCTTGCGCAAGTCAAGCGCGTTCGCCACCTGACTAGGAAGCTGACACTGTCTTGTACATACGTATCTCTCGTGCGATAGGTTGGATTAACTCTCAAAGCTACAGATGTCTAATGCGAGTGGAACAGACGACCCAGATCATACAAATCCGGGCACTAATGAGGTGTACAACGACAGTGAGTGCTCAAAACATGTACCGCGTTTCACTGTCCACAATCTGACGAGACTGCAAATAGCTGATAAATTAGTTTCTTCGCTAGTATACCTAAAGGAGGAAGCAAAGACGCCGGAGTCTCGTTTCATTTTCGGCCGTGAAAGCCGCGAGCATCAACAGGAATTTGATCGACTGGTTGATGAGTGTGTGGACGACGTCTGCGGTACTGGCACGTATCTCGAGGCATACAGCTCGTGCACAGAGAAGCTCATTACCGATGCGGATGGCGAGTCAAAACTGCAAGCATTCCAAGTGCGAATACGCAACCATGCGAACAGTTTCAGGATGTTCCCAAAGTGCCTAAAGATGGCCGCCATACCAAGCATGAAGAGACAATTGGATATGTTTATTGCGGATATTATCTATTGCCAAAAATCCCACAACGTGCTTGCGAAGGTCGTGAACTGGGAAGCACTTGAAAGAGAACTTGACGACTGTAACCTCCAACTCGACACCGCTTATGGCCGTGGCCGTATCAGGGACCGTGAGGAACCGCAGTCAGCCGTGACCGTCGTGGAATACCACTCTCCCTCACCGAAATCACCTCCGCCGCCAAAGATGATCTACAAACCCCCGACAGTTGAAGATTGCGACGACGAGGAAGATGAAGCACTGGTGGCAGCTGCGGAGAACAAGACCGATGCCTTGCTCGAAGAAATATTATTCTTATCCTCTGAGGACGAGCCCGATGCGACACCACCGGAGACTGGACCCCCCGTCGTCTTTTCCAGCAATATTCCGTCCATGCGCTGTAGCCGTACGCGCTCGCTGTGTATATCAATCGCTCACTCACTCAATCAATCGTGCCACGCCTCTGCACCCGCATCCGCATCCGCATCCGTCTCGCGCGCAGCATCCATCGTCTCGTGAGGGCTGTCCCGGCTTTGCATGGCAGCGCATCCCGATCCCGATCCTGACCCCGTCCGGCCCGCTCCGTCGTGGCAGCGGCAGCGGCTCCATCCATCCATCCATCCATCCATCCATGTGTAGGTAGGTGTGGTGGCTCGTACGTAGTCCGCCCTGTCCTGTCCGCTCTGTCCGCTCAAAAGCACGTACGTACGTGTTCGACATGCGATGCGATCCGGGTCCGTCCGTCCATCCGTCCACCAAGCCATGGTTCCATCACCTTCCATTTGCTTCCCCTCGCACCTCCTGCCGCCGCCGCAGCGTCATGAAATCCTTCCTCATCCTCATCATCATCATCAACATGAAGAAGCCCCAACCAGCCCAACCAACCCAACCAACCACCAACCAGCGGATCGACCGACCGTCCGTCCGTTCGTCCATGCATGCATGCGTCGCCGCGACATCGTCCGCCCGCCTGTTGTATGTACGTACGTACGTACATACGCCGTGCACAAGAAGACAGACAGACGCCCAGCCCAGCAACCCCACGGCACGACAAGACACAAACGACACGACACGAGCGAAACGACACGAGCGAAACGACACGAACGAGAGACAGGCCCGGACCGTACCGGACCAGAGCAGAAGACCTTCCAACGATCTGCAGGCAATGCAATGCAATGCGTCATCATATATGCGTACATCAAGTGTGTATGTGTGTGTGATCGACTGAATGCCTGCCGACAACCAGTCTGTTTCGTCGACTCCGACTGCAAGAGAAAGCGAGAAAGGCCGTCCCGTCCATTCGTTCGTCCGTCCGTCTGTCTGTCCATCAGTCCGTCTGTCCATCCGTCTGTCTGTATTGCGGACCTACTGGCCAACAGAAACGCAGTCGACATATATTTTCACCAATAGGTAGGTACACAAGTTTTCTTTTGCGCCCGCGTGCGCCGCGCCGCCGCAATGATGATGAGGGCTAAGTAGTATAAAACTTTTACTTTTTTTTTTTGCAGAACGTGCGTGGCGCAAGCAAGGCGCAGGCGCCGGAAATAGACAAGACAAGGACAAGGAGGAGGGCGCGCGGTGGCGTTGAGATCTCTAACCACCCTTGCGGTCAGCTTCGTTGACGGGCATTGGCTCGCCCCTGTGGCCCTCGCCGTTTTTGCTCGCGTTGCTCTTCGCGCGCGCGCGGCCTTTCTTCTTTGGCGCAGACTTTTGCCACTGGTGGCCATGGCCATGACCATGTCCACTGCCGCCCTTTCCGTGGAGCTTCTCGGCGGGCGTGGGAGCTGAATCCTTCTTGGAGTGGCTCTTACCACCGTGCGTGCCAGCGCCTGTGGATCGAGGAGGAGTCGAGTGGTTCTCCTTCCCCGAACCGCCCAGCGTACCGTTTGTGGACGGCAAGACTGCGGACAAGGGGCCACGGCTCACGGTCGGCGACGGTGTTCTCGCCTCTTCGACGGGGGACAGAAGCGGCAGCGCAGCGGCAGCAGACCGGATCGTCTGCACGGGTTCGGCAGCGGCACGGGAGATGTCTAGTGGCGGCATGCCGTTCGTCGGCCTCGCATTGACGCGCCATGCCGGCACATCTGAAGCCTTTGCCGAGCCGTTGCTGGGAGAGTGGTTTCCGTTTTCCCTGACCCCATTGACGGGCGAATGGCTATGCGAGCTTTCGGTGCTCGTGCCATTTGGCAATGCCACCGACCCATAGGGAGTTGTTCCGTTCATGGCGGGTTCTGCCTCGTAATGGCGCCGCAACAACTCATTGGCATAAAGCTGTTGCTGTTGCTGTTGCTGTTGCTGTTGCTGTTGCTGTTGCTGCTGCTGCTGCTGCTGCTGCTGGGTTTCGGGCATGTCCATGGGAAACGGCTCATCTTGGCGCCCCGTGGACCCAGTAACCGAGGAGTACGAATCCCTGGAGTCGAAGCCGTTCTTCGGATCTTTGCTCTGCGCCACGGGGTAAGAGCCGTTGACAATGACAGGTCCCGTCCCTATTGCAGGGCGTGTCGGTGCCGTCGCCCGACCATTCGTCGGTGCCGGAGCGGCTGCCGCGGACGCATTCTGTGGACCAGATGAATGGTTCCGGGCATGGCCATGGCCCAGAGGTGAAGGCGATCGCGACATGTGCGCCTGCTGGCCCGATGGCCCGTGAGCTTGCGCCTGGTCTGGCGAGAGCCGCCTTCGCCTGCTCTGCAGGTCTTGAAAAGAAGGTATCGGAGCCACTGTGTAATCCTGATACACAGGGCGGGTTTGCGGCGATTCACTCATGAAATAACCCAAGTACTCCTTCGGAGACCCATTATGCGTGACTTCCCGCATGACCGGCATTGGCTGAGTTTGGCCAACAGGAACCTCGACCGTCTGCGGAGCGGAAGTAGGCGGCTGCTCTTGCGTAGAACGCGCGATCGGATAGCCCATGAGGTTGGGCGGGTATGCAGGGATTGGTGGATAACCCGGAAACACCATCGCGTTCTGGTCAGGTCTCGCCGGTTGCGAATGCGAACGTATGGAGCTGTTGGCTGACCCCTCGGCGATTGGTGAGCGATGCACGTTCCTCCGGTTCGTGGGTATGCTCATAGGGAGGGATGGCGACGACGGGTTCGTCCGAATGCCATCTTGGGAGTTGGACTGCGCCATCGGCTGTCCTTGGTCATACGTATTGGGGTAAGGATAGAAGAACCCCGGTACGAGTGGAGCGCTCGCAGGAGGGTCGTCCAGACTTCGTGGATGACTGGTGACATACTGCGTTTGCGTCTTGGGCGAAGAGCCATTACTTTGCCCATTTCGCGCGTGAGCTTGAGCCTGTGCTAGGACCTGCGCTTGCTGGGCGCGCGCCTGAGCCTGGGCAAAAAGCTGCGCCTTCAAGCTGTGCTGTTGCAACTCAAGCAGGTGGTATTGCTTGTAAAGCTGCTCGTGAAGCGAAGCTCCGGTGGTGGTAGTGAAATAGTCTGGCCCGCCGACTCCCATCGGGGGACTTTGAAGAAAGGGAATGTTGTTCATGCCGTACGTGGCGCTAGAGGCCCTGCGATCGCCTTGGTTGTTCCTGTTATTGTAGTGGTTCCTCCCCCTATTGCTATTGCGGCCACCTCTCCGCGATGGCGAAGTGCTCGAGGTCAATGTCGGTTTCGGCGCCGGCGTTGGCCTCTGGAAAAGCGACTTGAACTCTTCCTTGGGGAACTCGTACTGCTCGCACATCTTGTCGAGCTTGCCACCATCGGCGAGGTAGTTAAAGGCCTGGCGGATTTCCAGATGAATCCCACGGAATGCGTAGTCGTCGGCGGAGTTACCAAGGTTTCGAAACGTATTGAATGGCTCTTCAACACACAACCGGGGCAAGCCCTCTTTGTTGCCACCAGTCGGTTCCCATCCTTTCTCTTTCCGCGTCAACAGCCGACCCTGCCGGACTGAAACCACATACTCTCCATAATCGAGCCCATGGCCGTACAGACGAAAGAAGTGGAACAGAAGCTGCCCTAACGACTCTTTGTTGTCCTTTCCAAATCCACGCACCTTGTCCAAGTCGTCGAAAAAGCCCGATTCGATGCCGGCCTCTGTGATGTGCTTTTGAAACGGCATCTGGTGTAATGCTGGAAGAACGGGCGGGTCCCGGTTCTGAAGGAAATTCAAAACCATGCAGATCCAAGTGTACGAGCTCAGGGTGCCGCCAAGGGCTGACGGGTTAGCATTTTATTGTTGTAAAGGGGCAGTTGGGCGCCACAAAACGTACCAGCATCATTCAATATCCGCCGCTTTGTCCAATACTTGATGATCATGGTCAACGGCCGGACGCGCTCATCAATCTGGACATAGGTCCTGATCATTCGCGTGTTTTCCAACGCGAGGGTATTGTTGACGTTCATGTCGCAAGCCAACTGGAGCTCCGGATCCCAAACCTTGACGATTGGCACCTTTGCCGATGCGACGCAGACCACTTTTTCCATTCCGTCTGCGAGGGTTGTCAGCGCTGCTCGGTCCTGTCACTCGATAGGACGACCCACGGTTCGCAAGCGCTTCGGCTAGCATATGGACGCTTTCCAGCTGTCTCATCGGCGTCTGTATGCAGACGTCCACTGTCAGAAGCGTTAGTGAGCTGCTCGGCTCATGGAAGCGCCTGCAACCTACCATCCGACTCGGTCGTGCAGAGCAGATTGCCCGAGGACCCAAACACGTGGACCTTGAAGACGTTGCCAGGCCACTCCTCGTGCAATATGCGCTCCAGCTTCTTGACCAGTGTCAGGCGCCTTTCATCGCTCTCCGAAGACGGCAGTAACCGGTCGTACAACTCGCGCATGTCGCCACTCAGCTTATCGTCCTCCTTGGGGGCGAGCGCGACCTTGGGCGTCTCGGGGGCGGGCTCGAGGGGATCAGAGTTCTCGTAGGGAATCCGGCGCCTGCCGAAAGCCATGCCCGTCTCAAACTTGCACCTGTACGGCTGCTTTCTTAGGGAGGGGAGCGCGCCGTTGGCCTCGGAGGAGACGGACCTGGGCGAGTGGCCACCCCCCAAGCCCGCGTTCGGCGAGGGCGTCCTCGAGCGGAAGGAGAGGTCCCGCGGATGCTGGTGCGGGGTGGAGGGGACGGAATTGGAGTGTTGCTGGACTATGCGCGGGCGCGTGGGCAGCGCGTGCTTGACCCCCTCAATCCCCCTGCTCGACATTTTTGCCGTGTCGGATGTCACCTGCGAAGTGCCGCTCGTAACTGTCCCCGCCACGCTATTATTCCCATCGGTTTGCCGTGGCGACTGGCGCGGTCTCGGGGGGGCTTTCTTTGTGGAATTGTTCGGCGGCGCGGAAGCCGCAGGCCCGAGGCGCTGTTCCTGAGACACGATGGTGGCGGGGGCGGGGGGCGGTGCGGGAGACGGGTGACGGAGCGAGTTGAGGTGCAGGGAGCGCAGCAGCGGGTAGTGGAGCAGCTCGCGGTGCTTGTCGCGCAGAAGAGGTGCGGTGAAGTCGGGCTGCTTGAGGCGTGGAGGCTGGGGGTGCGGCGGGGCGGTAGGGGTATCCAATAAACAAGAATGGCAGGCTGAATCTACTCGGGCGTCAGGAGTCGGGCCCATAAACTAGGCTGGCGGTGAATTGCGTAGGGGAGCGAGCGATGGTGACGGGTGGACGAGGCGGCGAAGGGGTGGTGGTGGTTCGGAGACGGGCTGCCTCGTTCTGGCCGACGAAAGTGCCCCTGCTTGGGCAAAAGGCTCGGGGAAGGGAATGAGCGCAAACGGGGTGAGGGTGTGGTGCGGGTTGTCGAGGCAAAAGGAAGGATGGATTCGTGTTTGATGCCGCAGCATGCGCTCGCTAACTAAGGTCGCGCGCTGCTGCTGCTGCTGGGCGGAAATACGGAGGAGGAGGGCAGTTAGTTACAGAATAATCAGCGTCAAACAAATCACGCACGCAGTTCAAAGAACCGCCGAGCACAAAGGGCGAGCCGGAGCCCAGGAGGCGTACAAACGACCCTCCTCCCGCCTTTCCGCATATTGGCTATTGGGCCTCCCCCCTCCACGTGAGCGCCGCCCACGGGAACATATTTATTCTGGGGATGCACAGGGCACGCCAGGTACGGTCTGGCCTGCGTCATCGTGCTTTTCCCATCCATCCCTTGGACACACACTATGGCTCAAGCCATCCGGAGAAGACTAGGTGACTTGTTGTGTTTTTCTTTTTTGATTTCTTGTGCTGATGCTGTCTCGACCCCGCAGGCAATCCCGCCCTCTTGTATGTCGAGTTGAGTTGACTCTCCCCGCACGGCACCCTCACTTACTCTTCTCTCCCTCAGCATTTGCGACTTGCAAGAAAAGTTTCGCCCGGCCATCCATGAATTCCCCAAGGTCGTCGCCACGGCGCAAAAGATGCTCAAGGCCAGTACGGCACCCCCTCACCCACCTCTACTCTCTCTCTCTCTCTCTCTCTCAATCTCAATTCCTCTCCGCTCGTCCGTCTTTTGCCAAAAAGCCCCAATTTGATTTGCGGCTCCAATGGCCCAATCAACCGCCCCCGTGCTTCTCTCTCCGTCGTCGCCAGAAAAAAGCCTTCCGAGAGTCCGCATCTAGTCTGGGCGCGCCGTCCTCGACGGAGGCCCTCGACGGTCGGCTGGGGCTGAGGTGCATGCAGCTGAACCACCCCTCTAACCCTCCATAGGCCACATTCTCAACATCCCGGTCATCGCGACGACGCAGAACCGCGCCCGCTTAGGCGAGACGTGCGCGGAGCTGGGCCTCGATAGCCCCGGCGGCATCCGCACCAAGGTCCACGCTGACAAGACGCTCTTCTCCATGTGGACCCCGGAGGTGCAGTCGGCGCTGACGCAGGCGGCGCAGAGCAGCCTGGCCGCGCAGCAGAAGCACGAGTGCATCATTGTGGGCATCGAATCGCACATCTGCGTGACGCAGACGACGCTCGACCTGCTGCGCGACGGGCACAAGGTCTATGTTCTCGCCGACGGCGTGTCCAGCTGCAACAAAGAGGAGGTCCCCATTGCGCTGGCCAGGCTCCGGGCCGAGGGCGCCGTGGTGACGACGAGCGAGAGCTTCCTCTACGAGTGCATGGGCGACGCGGGCATCGACGAGTATGATGATGACGCTTTTCTGTGGAGCTTATAGCTGAGGCATGCTGACGCGCATGGACAGGTTCAGGCAGATCGCCAAGCTGGTCAAGGAGACGAAGGAGAGCACCACTCAGAGCCTGCAGGCGCTCTGCAAGATATAACTAGTCAGAGATGCCATCTTGCGTCTCCCCGCAAGCCCCTGCATATGGAGGAATGTATGTAGAATGCTCACGTGAGGCTCAACCATGTCACGGCAGTGCATTCGTGCTGCCGAACTGAAATGATGCACGGCCCAAATGGCCAATGAAGGGCGGCCATTGCGATTGCGACAATGACCAAGACTTCGTGTTCGCTATATAAAGAAAGGCTCTAGGGACCGACATCGTACCTATGTATGCTCGTGGTCGCCTACCCTCTCAGCCCTCCCCCGCTTGCTGCATCCCACCCGAGCGTAAAGGTTCCCCGGCCCAAGAAACAAGGCGGCATTCGAAACAAGATCGCCCGGGACACCATGGTATCCACCACCCCCTTTTCGGAGCGAGGCCAGAAGAATTGCCGTGAGGAGCGCCTCATGCATAAACACAGAGTAGGGTGAACGTCGCCAGTGTCGCGGCGCACGCGTCGCTCCCGGGCGCGACCCCCGCTTGCGACTGGCGACCAGGAGCAGATCAAGCACTTCTGCCGCGTCGAGGCTCCTGCGCCGGCAAATAAAACGTCGAGCCCTGTCTTCGAAAAGGCTCCAGAAGCCACGTCCAGGTACTTATATATCCGTATACGGCCATCCCGCCCGCCTGATCTTCGCCGAGAACAGGAACAAGAATCATCACGAAGCAGGGTGGTTGGCAGCGGTGACAGGCCTGCGAAACGAAACGTGATGGACGATGTTTCGAGGCGGAACCTTGGTCTCCAATGATGATGCAAGGTTTGGCAATACCTATGCTTCCAACCTCTCTTCTCCCCCTTTGGCCACGCTGGACTAGGCTCGGCTCGTCGTAGCTTCCGCGCCCGCGCTCCCTGTGCCCGCCTGGTGACGGTCCCTGAGGGACGGAGCACGGGAGCTCCCACCCGGCGTGCAGCCCGCCCTTGAGGTTTGCTTTGTAATGGGCTCGCCGTTCGCCGTTTTTCGTCCGCCGCCGTGTACCTGCTAGGCGGCAGGAATTGCGACGAAGTCCGTCGAAGGATCCTTCCTGGGTAGTATAGGAGAGGGGGATTTAATCATACATAAAGAGGCAACGAGTCCACATCCTCTCTCAATTGCAATTGTCGTCACTACCTCGGGCGGACACATTGACTCCACAGAGCTCACCACGCCACCACCATCACCAGCGTCACATCGTCCTTCTCCACTACTACAACCAACAACAATGTCTCTCATCACGCTCGAAGTCCCCAAGGAGTATGGGTAAGTCTGGCCCGCCAGCTCCATCAACACCAAGAGCTCGCACCCGCAGCAGCTTCCCTCCTACCACCACAACCGCACACGATCATACCACGTGTACCAGAACCCATTGGACCCAAAGCACAACCCATTGGGTCAAAGCAAAGCAAAAAGGCTAACCACCAACCCACCACGGCAGCTATGTCCTCGCCGTCGCGACCGGCACCCTCTTCCTCGGCGCCTGGCACGGCGGCCGCGTGATGCCCTTCCGCAAGGCCGCCGGCGTGCCCTACCCCTACCAGTACGCGTCTAAGGAGCAGATTGACGCGTGCGATGACGCGAAGCAGAAGTCGGCGCTGCAGGTGTACAACTGCGCGCAGCGCGCCGTAAGTCTCAGCACCACCAACCACCACACCCACTCACCCACCTATCCAACCATCAATTCGACGCCCTACCAGCAGCAAGACCCCCGTGCTAACAAACTTGTTCCTCCAACAGCACTACAACTACATCGAGAACCACCCCACCTTCCTCACCGCAATGCTCATCTCGGGCCTGCGCTACCCCGTCGCTGCCGCCTCGGTCGGCGCCGCCTGGTGCCTGGGCCGCACGCTCTACGCGATCGGCTACACGCGCCCGAACACCGAGAACGGCAAGGGCCGCCTCATTGGCGTGTGGGCCAGCTTGCTGCAGATTGGTATGCTCGGCACGGCCGCGTGGACGTGCTGGAAGCTGTGCGCTTAGGTGGGGATTGTGTAGAGGAACGGGATGGGGGTGCAGGGTGTGTAATTAAAATGTCTAGACGCGGTTATAGGATTGGATTATGAAGGAGGTTTTGTGCTGAGGCGTGGGTGTATGGTGCGCTGGTGTTGGTGAGGTGAGCACCTAGAGGTGCGTCTTGCGGCGTTAATGTCACGTCAAAGCCAATACCTACCAATGCCGTGGAAGACCAATGCTGTGGACCTGGACGCAAACAGCACCTACTTCCCATGTACCTACCTACCTACGGAGCACTTACTCCCACCTGCTCAATCCTTCACAGACCGTCCCCGCATCATATTATATCTATATTCATTTACGCATGCCATGCCATCCTAAACCAGACCATACCAAACAAAGCCCATAATCAAAAGCTACTGCGAATATCGCCATCGCCAACACCAACACCGCCACTAACTCTAACTAACACCTACACTCCTTATCCACCCATTCATCTGTCTATTTATTTACGGTGCCTAGGTAGGTACCGTACCGCTTGCTGTTTGCTGTTTGGTATACGTAGCTGAACTTAGTAGGGCTTTATACTATACTACTGGATAGGATAGGAGAGGATAGGCAGGGAGCGTATACCTCTATTTATTTCTTTCTTTACTTGCCTAGGAGGGAAGAAATAGATGTAGATACAGACGTACAAGTGCTCTACCTCTCATAGGTAGCCAGCACGCCCTCCACCGCCTAGTCAAGCACACACGACCTCAAATCCCAAGAAGCAAAGCACAAGCACAAAAGACCGCTCTATTCGGTATATCACCCCCTACACTCCACACTCCCAGCCAAAAGAGAAATAAAAAAACGACACAAAACACATCCATCCATCATTTACGCATGCATGCATACCCGCTCAATACAATACACAATACAGCCATCACGTCGTCGTCGTCGCCATCACCGCCGCACCTGCCCTTGCCCCTGCCATGTCCTCCGCCGCTTCCGCCGATGCAGCCAGTCCTTCTTGAGCGGCTTGGGCGCGGGCGGCGCGGCGCTGCGGCGGAGCACCGCGGGCGGGATCTCCTGCTCGGGGAGGGGCGGGTTGGAGACGCCGCCCGCGCCCGCGCCCGCGCCCGGTGCCGGCGGGGGGTTTGGATTCAGATTCGGGGGATTGGGGGGGTTGGGGTTGACGACCGGCGGAGGGGTGTTGCTGCTGCTTCTGCTCCCCAGCTTCAGGCCGAGGAGGATGAACGCGCCGGCGATGAGCAGCGCCAGCAGCAGCATGGCCTTGCGCTTGACGGAGCGGCGCTGGTAGTTGGTCGCGACGGTAAGCTCCTTGTCAGCCTCCTTGACGTCCGTCGTCATGCGCTCGACGTTGTAGTCGATGCGGTCCAGCATGCTGCCCTGGTCGATGACCATCGAGTTGAGCTCCTGGAAGATCGACGCCAGCTCGATGATGCCCTGCGCGATCTCGTCGATTTCCCGCTCCCGCTGCGCAATCATGTTGTCGTTGGACGTGCGCGAACTCGTCGTCTGCTGCGCCGCCCGCGCCTGCGCCGTCTGCTGCAAAGTCGTCCGGCTCAGCGACGTGTCTTCGTAGGATTCTTGCATCGCCGGGTCCGTGTACGGGTTCTGTGGCGTGGGCGTCGTCGAGCGCGAGATGCCGGGCGCGGGCGAGCCCAGGCCGCCGAGCGTGCGCAGTTCTGGCAGGGGAAAGAGTCAGTTATTGTTGCGATGGCAGAGAGAGAGAGGGAGTCTCACTCTTGAGATAGGCAGACTGCTTCTTGCGAAAGGTGGCGCTGACGTCGCTGACGCGCGAGGCCAGCGAGATCTTCAGATTGCGCGCCATGACCTCCTCGCCCTTGTTGATGGAGCCGCTCTCGCGCAGCATGGCGTCGATGCGCTTGATGGCGCGCTGGCACGACTGGAAGCCGCGCGTGATGTCCTGGGTGAGGCGCTCAATCTCGCGCTCCTCGCGCCTCTTGACGTCCTCGTCGTCGAAGCCCGGCAGCACGTGCTTCTGGTGCAGCTGGTCCAGGCGCCGCGTCTGCTTGGCGATGTCGCCCAGCTGCTCCGTCACCTCGTCCTGCACGTCCAGCCAGCGCGGCGGCAGCACGTCCATCTCGATGACGGCATCGCCGTCGTCGTCGTACGCCCCCGCAGACATGAGCCCTCGCCGCTCTTCGGACGCGCCGCCGGCATTGTCGCTGTAGGCATTCGAGGGGCCGGCGTAGCGGGGCTTCTTGGCGGGGGGATGGTGCGAGTAGGACTGGCGATAGGAGATGAAGCTGGGGGAGGAGCGTGTTAGATGTGGGTTACGTAGCTAGAGGTAGTAGGCAATAGCAACGCACAGGTTTGTTCGATCGCGCCACATGACTGTCACATCAGGCGAGCATGGAGAGATATAATTAGACGGGTACAAGTCTCTCTCACATTGTTTGATGGTGTAGCTGTAATTTCCCAATGGGGAGGCCCTGACGCGCAAGGCTGGCCGTGCCAAGGCTCTGCTAACGCATGTCCCGCTTGCTGGCCAAAGCAGGCGCCCCGAACCAGCGACATTCGAACAGCAATCCCCAATCTTGATCTCTCCTCAGCCGCATCTCGACTGTCGACAGCGTCCACACTCTCAAAAACCCCGCTTCACCCTCTCCCCGATAGTCTTTGTCTCTCATTCCTTCATCCCCCCGAAATCCACAATGGTGCGTGCAGCCTTTCTTCTGCTCTCTACCCCGCGCCCCATGCCCAACGCCCGCCGCCGCCGCCGATAACAAGGCCAGCCAAAGCTAACACCTGTTCACCCCCCACAGGCCGATTCTCTCACCGAGGAGCAAGTTTCCGAGTTCAAGGAGGCCTTCTCCCTCTTCGTAAGTCGTGCCCACCCCCTAGGCGTCAATCTCTTTGAGCCCCCTGCTAACCCTCCTTACCACTCGCAGGACAAGGACGGCGATGGTGCGTGATGATCCCCCATCTCCCCCGACCCCAGCGCCCTGCTTGTCGCGACTGTTTGGCGTCGTGGCTGCCTATCGTCTTTTTTTTTGGGGGGGTGGGCAGTGGTGGCATCAGCCTTGCCTTGCCTTGCCCCGCCCCGGCGATGACACCATCCTCCCCCGACGTCGCAACCAGAAAAAAACAACGACAAAACAGCAAAACTGACGGCGATGCGTGCTTGCAGGACAAATCACCACCAAGGAGCTGGGCACCGTCATGCGGTCGCTCGGCCAGAACCCCAGCGAGTCCGAGCTGCAGGACATGATCAACGAGGTCGACGCCGACAACAACGGCACCATTGACTTCCCTGGTACGAGACGAGCCCCCTGACTGCGACGCGAAGGCGCGACGCACGCAAAAACGGCCGGCTAACGTGTGTGGCATTTCTTTTTTTCGTGCAGAGTTCCTCACCATGATGGCCCGCAAGATGAAGGACACGGACTCCGAGGAGGAGATCCGTGAGGCCTTCAAGGTCTTTGACCGCGACAACAACGGCTTCATCTCGGCCGCCGAGCTGCGCCACGTCATGACGTCCATCGGCGAGAAGCTGACGGACGACGAGGTCGACGAGATGATCAGGGAGGCCGACCAAGACGGTGACGGCAGGATCGACTGTAAAGCACCCCCCTCCCTCTCCACCCCACACCCCTTCCCCATGGGCCCCGTCGTCCGTGCTCACCCCAACATGCCGATCGAACCAATTGCTGACGTTTTGTGCGATGACAGACAACGAATTCGTGCAGCTGATGATGCAGAAGTAGAGCGCGACGGGCGCGATGGCTGGTTTTCGCGGTCGAAGATGCCACGACTTTGATGCATGCTGCTCTTTGGTGTGCGATGGCGGCGGGAAACTGGGCCTGTGCAGGAAGGGGAGAATATGATGATGATGGCGACGGGAAGGAAGGAGAAGAAACGAGAGCGCAAGCGTGAGTGAGTGAAGGGGGGAAATTGATTGATTGATTGATTGATTGATTGGAGGGTACCTAAGGTGGTTGACCGCGGCAGGCAGGCAGGCAGGCGCATGGGCGGAACCAAATCAACCTTTGTGGAGTGTCTCGCTCTCTACCTCGATTGTCTTTGCCTCTCTCTCTCTCTCTCTCTCTCTCTCTCTCTCTCTACTTTCTTCGCCTCTGTCTCTCTCTCTCTCCCTGCGCGACGGCGGCGCCGGTTTCCCATCACCTCAGATATCCTTCAATCTTCAATCCCACTTATTCTTTTTGCTGGTCTTGCCATAATCTTGACCTTGACGTATTGAGCTGCTGCTTACTTACCTACCTAGAGCGTTTTTATATTTGTGTGTTTTGGTGGATGCTTAGGTAAGGTTCTTGCTTCTTTCTTCTTCTTCGGATGCTAGAAATTGGTTGGTGATTGGTTGATTGATGATGATTGACTGGTCCTGCTTTCTGCGTGCGTGGTTTTGACGTATGCTTTGTATGCGTGCACGTGGGCGGTAAGTCGGTAAGTCAGTCGGTCTGTTGTGTTGTTCTTGTTCTTGTTCTTGTAGAGATGGTGGATGGTTGATGGTGAGTCACTCACTCGCTTTTCGTTGTCTGTCTTTGCTGTCTTTGCTGTTTTCTTTTTCTTTACCTTTTTTTTTTTTTTTTTTTTTTTTTTTTTTTTTTTTTTTTTTTTTTTCGTTCCAGTAAGTACCTAAGTAGGTAAGAGTAACATCAGAGCAGCTAGTCCCGTCGTGGTGGTTGGAGTTAGTTTGTTCGTTTGTTTGTTTGCTGTGCGGGTGTCGTGTCGTCTTGATGCATGCGTGCGGATAAGGGACAAAGAAAAGAGCTTGGGGAGTGGAGAATGGACGATGAATGATGAGTGGGGTTTGTACTGTAGGTACCGTACGGATGCGGGTGAGGGTACTTTGGCTTTGGCTTTGTTGTGTGGTGCTGCCGCATGCACTCTGATTCTCTGTCTTCTGTCTTCTGTCTTTACTTCCATGCGCGATAGCACTGCACCGCACAGCAACTATCCCACACCAGCGCCAGCAGTTTCTCTCTGCCTACCTAGGTACCTAGGCGCCGCTTCTCACGCTGCTTGTCTGTCTCACTTCACCTCAACCAGCACCAGCACCAACACCAACACCAACACCAACAATGTCGCCTTCACTCTCCTCCTCACCTCCTCACCCCAACACGAACCACAACCCCGACACCAAATCACCCCTCCTCTACCCCGCACCCCGCTTCCTCGACCTTAACAACCGCTCCCACGCCTCCTGGACCTCCACCACCACGTCCTCCTCCCCTTCCTCCACCCCTCGTCTCTTCACAACACCCAAACCCGGCACCCTCCCCCACTGGCGCGCCTTCCAATCCTCCATCACCCCCGCCACCGCCCCCCTCGTCCGCGCCCTAGCCCTCAGCCACTATAACACGCTGGCCGACCTGCGCTGGGTCGAACGCTGCCTGCCGGCGCTCGAGGAGCTGGATTTGGGCGATGTCCAGGATGGGTTTGCGTATTGTCGCGGGCTGCCTGACCGCGATGCACTATCCCATGGTGTGGGAGGGAAAAAAGAAGAGGAAGAGGAGGAAGAGGAGGAGGATGAGGGGGAGAGGCTAAGGAAACTGAGCTTCTACACCTGGGCCGACGCCGCGGCCGCGTGTCCGATGCTTTGGCTTAGGCTCAGGAAACTCACTATCCGGCACTGGGGCTGCGAGGCGCTGCAGGAGGCGGGAGCGTCGAGGGGGGTGCCTACATTACCAATATCGTCAACAACCACAACTACGACAGCTACCGCGACAGCAACAACGACAGTAATAGCCTCCCGCCGCCACGCCCCCGCAGCCAAAGACAAAGATGTCACCGTCACGGCTGTCGTGCGCGCCTGCTCGAACCTCCGCGTCCTCGCTGTGCGTGGGCCGTCGTCTTCTGAGCGGCGTGTTGACGCTGATGGCGACACAAACGGGAACGCAGAGGCGTGGCCGTCGTGGCGTAGTGCGGGGGACTGTTGCGGTAACGCTCACACCCACTCTCACGATCACGCGCAAGCTAACGCACACGCCCACGCCCTCATCCACGGCCTCCGCTCCTGCCTCTCGCGCTGCCCGGCCCTGGCCACTCTCGAACTGCACCAAGGCGAGTTTGCGCCCGCGATGCTGGGCTGGCTGGACGAGGCGGGCTTGAGGGGCCTGCATGTCGCGTGGGGGGATGTGCTGGGGTGGTGGCAGAGGAAGGGTCTGGACCAGAACCCTGTGCTTGGTGCTGTGGTGGGGGGCGGGGGCGGGACGGAAGAGAAAGAGGAGGCGATAGGAGAGGGAGAGGAAGCCGAAGTCCCCACAGTCCTCGCCCTCCTAACCTCCCTCCACGCAACCCGCGCCGCGCACCCCGCCCTCGCCCTCCGCGCGCTCGACGACCCGTCCTACCACCGCGCTGTGCCAATCCGGCTTTTCGTCTCCTCCTCCTCCTCCTCCACCACCACCTCCCCATCCCCTCTCCGCCTCTCCGACACCCAAGCCCTCGCCGCCCTCCGCTGGCTCAGTGAAGCGTTCAACTGGGTCCCGCTCTGGGACCTTAGTTGTCTGGCGCTTCTTCCCGCCAACGACGGCGACGGCGCTATCAGCAAGGACAGCGACGTGCTCGCGAGCGTGAAAGAAGGGTTCACGGCCCTGCGCGATGCGGGGCTGCCTGTTAGGGTGCTGCTTGCGCCGCCGCCGCTGCCGCGCGAGGGTGGGGACGGGGAGGGCCTGTTCTGGGGCGGTGGCGCGGGAGGGAAGAAAGCCAAGGCCAAGACAGCGCCTGGTGCCGCGTTGAGTGCGCTTGCGCCGCTGGTTGCGGAGCTGGTCGTGCGGTATCCGTCGCAATTGCCCTCAGATCCGTCATCCACACCGTCCACTAGTGCTCCTGCTCATGCTCGCGCCCGCGCCCTTGCCCTCCACCGGGAAGCCCGCGCCTGGCAGCGCTTCTGGCACGCCCTGGCGCTGCGGTTTTCGGCGCTCAGAAGGCTGGAGCTGCGCATGCCGGCGTGCTGCGATGGGTATGATAGCCGGCGGTTGGCGTGGCTGTTGGAGGCGCGGGAGGGGTGGGTGTGGACTGGGCGGGGAGGGGGAGGGGGACGGGGTGGGAGGGTTGCTGGTTGTGGTGATGGTGGTGGTGGGGGTAATGGGGGGTTAGGGGAGGAACTGGTGTGTAGGGTTTGGGAGAGGGGAGGGAGGGAGTGGATACGGGATCGGGTTGTTAGGGAGGAGGACTGGCGGGACACGGAGGAGGTGTTTGGGGGTGGGAGTGATGAGGAGGATGGGGATAGTGAAGAGGGGGACACTGTTGCCGTCGTCGACGATGGGACTGCTACTGCTACTGCTGCTGATAACACCAGCACCGCTATTGTCAGCAGCGACGACGGTAGCAGCAGCGGTAGCGACAACAACACCAACCCAACGCACAAACCCCTCCCCCTCCCCCTCCCCCAAGCCCAGGGCCCCTTTCCCTCTACAACCGCAGACGCAGATACAGCCACCGCCACCACCACCACCAACAACAACACGCCCCCCTCAGAGCACGACTCCCTCGACTCCCTCTTCTACGAAACAGCGACGACGGCACTAGAGCCAGAGCCAGAGCCAGAGCCAGAGACGCAGCAACCGAGCACAACTACAACAACAGCCACAGCCACCACTGCCAAAAGCAGCAAAGAAGCTCCGCCAACCTCCCCACCACAACAACACCACCCCTCGCACAGCACAGACAGCGAGGCAGCCGACATCATCGTGATTTCCTCCTCTTCCAGCTCCTCGCCTTCTCCCCCTCCCTCACCACCAAAACGCGCACCAAAACGCCCTCGGACGACCCGGCCACGGCCCTGCTCCTGCGCGCACACGAGCGAAACTTCAACATCAACACCAACACCAGCACCACCACCAGCCCAACCGCCAGCACAATTGTCACCACCACCAGCAGCAGCAGCAGCAGCAGAAGCGCAAGTACCACAAGAAAAGGAGGTAAACGAGGAAGAGGAAGAACACCAACACCGACCCGCGACCAAAAAACCTCGCCTCTCGGCCCGCAAGGCCCGCGAGCTGGCCGAGCTGCAAGCGTGTGCTGAGGGGTTGAGGGGGCGGAGTGGGCGGAGGAGTGGGAGGGGGAGGGGGCGGGGGAGGGGGTAGTGATTGTGTTGGTATGCTATTGTGTCAAAAGTACACCGTGCCTGCCACGAGACTGACAAACGACGCCTCCAATACTAGGTATACAGAATTTTATGCACACTTAGATCCGGCTTAAAGATCGGAAAACAGCGGGCGATCTACTAGTTAATTATATTTTTGCTACATATATAAATATATAATAAATATAATGCAGTGAGCTGATAAAATATCTAGATTTATATATCACCTACCTGACCAATCCTCCTTGAGACAGATTACCATTACACGTGACACAACACTGCGCCTACAGACATGCACGCACACACAAACCCCACATAACCCGAAACACCCCTCCTGCCTTACATTCTTCCACCTCATACCTAGGTAGGCAACAAGCGTCAGCCCTTCCGCGCCTTCCGCCCCACCATTCCGCCCCCGCCAAGCCTCCGCCCCTAAGTCCCGCCGCGCACGCACCTCCTCCACCCTCCACCACCATCCGTCACCACCACCGCCGCCGTGATCAACAATTTAGGTATCTCACGTACCAAGAACCACATACAGCAACAACAGCAAAAAGAAAAAGAAAAAGAAACGCAGACCATGCCCCCATGCGCCGAGTCGTAGTTACTGGACTAGGCGCCGTCACGCCGCTGGGCGTCGGTGCGTGTGCTCCCTCTACCCAGTCCTCCACAAGCCCCCAGTGCTTCACACATCCCAGCAACAACAAACACAGACTGACACCCCAACAGGACTCAAGCACACCTGGCCACGCCTCCTGAACGGGCACAGCGGCGTCATAAACGTCGCAACGCCCGACCGTGACCCGCGCTTCGCGGCGCTGCCGAGTCGCGTTGCGGGCGTGGTGCCGGTCGGGGACGGCGGGCGGAAGGCCGGGCTGTGGTGCGCACGGGAGTGGGTTTCTGCGGGGGTATGTGTTTGTTTTCTTTCGTCTTGCTTTTTGTGGTGTTTACTGGGGTTTGGGCTTGAGGGTGTAACGTTGTGCTGATGTACAGTGAGCAGGACGAGCGCAAAATGGCCCGCTTCACGCAGTACGCCATGGCGGCGGCGCAGGAGGCGCTGGAAGATGCTGAGTGGGCGCCGCAGCGGGACGCGGATCTCGAGAGCACGGTAGGTACGCTACCTATGCTTGCAAGAGGCGCGGAAGAAGCGGCAATTGACGCGTTGAGTTGCGCTTATAGGGCGTCTATATTGGCTCGGGCATCGGCAACTTCGACGAGGTCTACGACACGTCGGTCGCGTATGAGAAGGGCGTAAGTACAGCACCAGTGGACATGCACACGCACGCAGCAGAACCATCACTCGCTCACGCACACACGCAGGGCTACAAAAAAGTGTCCCCCCTCTTCGTGCCCAAGCTGCTCATCAACCTCGGCGCCGGCCACATCTCGATGCGGTACGGGTTCCGCGGCCCCAACCACGCAGCCACGACGGCATGCACGACAGGCGCGCACGCAGTCGGCGACGCCGCGCGGCTGATAGCGTTTGGCGACGCGGACGTCATGGTCGCCGGCGGCGCCGAGGCCTGCATCCACCCGCTGGCGATGGCGGGGTTTGCGCGCGCGCGCAGCCTCGCTGCCGACTGGAATGCGGAGCCGGCGAGGGCGTCGCGGCCGTTTGATCGCGAGAGGGCCGGGTTCGTTATTGGTGAGGGGGCGGGCGTGCTGGTGCTTGAGGTGCGTTTTCCCCCCGTCCTTCCCTTCCATCTATCTACCGTTCCTTTTTCTCGCGACAGAGCGTGCTGAAGCTAACACCCCACCCCACCCCCGCAGGAGCTCACGCACGCCCTCGCCCGCAACGCGCGCATCTACGCCGAGCTCGCCGGCTACGGCCTCTCGTCCGACGCGCACCACATGACGGCGCCGCGGGCAGACGGCTCAGGCCCCTTCCTCGCGATGCAGCGGGCGCTGCGGCACGCGGGCGCGGCGCCGGGGGACGTGGACTACGTGAACGCGCACGCGACGTCGACGCCGCTGGGCGACGCGGCCGAGAACGCGGCCATCAAGGCGCTGTTGCTCGGCGAGGGCGGGTGGAGCAGGCCGAGTGAGGTCAGTGTTAGCAGCGTCAAGGGCGCTGTGGGGCATTTGCTTGGGGCGGCGGGCGCGGTCGAGGCGATTTTTACGGTGCTGGCCATGCATGAGGTAACTTCTGTCGATTCCTTTCGTCCTTCCTTCGTTTCATTTGCCATGAACTAATACATAAACCCCAGGGCATCCTCCCCCCAACCCTGAATCTCGACAATCCGGGCGACCCGCCCGAGGACTTCACCTGCAACTACATCGCCGAGACGGCACAGCAGCGGCGGAGCGGCGTGCGCGTCGCCCTGTCCAACTCGTTTGGCTTTGGCGGCACCAACGCCAGCTTGTGCTTTCGGAGCTTGTAGTGATTGGTGATGCTGTACTGTACAGTACCGGAAATAGAAAGGAAAAATGGGAAGAAGCTAGGTCGGGGAATATCTATCTGTTGAGGTGCAGTCGTAGTCAAGGCAATCGAGTAAGCGCATGACTCAGCAGCTGATAACACCGACCAAGCCAGCCAATTGCGGCGCGGGGCCTCTACTCCTCTACCCCACTATGTATCGTATAAAACAGCGGCGGCGGCTGCGAGGCACCCTAGGAGTAGGTATAGGTATAGCTTTTCTTCCTCTCTCCTCCCCTCCCTCAACAATGGACGCGCTTGCACCCGCGGACCTCGAAGCAGAGCCAAAGACGCCGCTCCTGCGCAAAGCGGCGCGCGCCCACGCCCGCGTCCCGTATCTGCGCCATCTGCCGTTTGCGGCCGTGGCCGTCATTGTCGCGGTTGCGGGCGTGAATGCGCTGGTGTGGGCTTGTGTGGGGGGCGTGCTGGTGGGTTTGTCTTTTGCTTTGGGTTTTTGTGTATCTTGCTAACGTGCGTGTGTGGTGTAGCATTTCCATCCGTGCGTGTGAGAGAAGAGGAAGAAGAAGAGGAAAGAAGAAGAAGAGAGGGCTGACGCAGGCGTCTTTACAGGGCCCTCATCTCGTCGTGCGTGCTGTCGTACACGCTGGGGCTGCGGCACGCGCTGGACGCGGACCATATCTCTGTGAGTGCGGCTTCATGTAGGCTTTGATTGTACCTACTGACCCCGCCAGGCCATCGACCTCATGACGCGCCGCCTCATCGCGTCCGGCCAGCGCCCCGTCACCGTCGGCATGTTTTTCTCGCTCGGCCACTCGACGTGCGTACATTCCATTCCATTCCGCTCCGCCTGGATAACACTCCCCCTCCCACAGCATCGTCATAATAACGTCCATTGTCGTCGCCGCCACCGCCTCAGCCCTTACCTCTAGATTCGACTCTTTCTCGCGCATCGGCGGCATAATCGGGTCCTCGGTGTCGGCAGCCTTCCTACTAATCCTCGGCCTCGCAAACACGTACATCCTCTTCCGGCTAGTGCAGCAGTTGCAGCGCCTCACGCGCACAGCGCCCGACTCGCGGGCCGAAGCCGCGTACAGCAGCCCAGGCCTCAGTCTCCAAGCCAGCGGCGGCTGCATGTCCTTGCTGCTGAAACGCGTCTTCCGCCTCGTCGACCGCCCCTGGAAAATGTACCCCCTCGGCGTCCTCTTCGGCCTCGGCTTCGACACCAGCTCCGAGATTGCGCTCCTCGGGCTCGCGAGCCTGCACGCCGCTGGTGGCACCAGTGTTTGGCTCATCCTGCTGTTCCCGGCCCTCTTCACCGCCGCCATGTGTTTGCTGGATACGGCCGACGGCGCGCTCATGATGGGCTTGTATACCAGTGCGCGTCTGGCGAGCGATACGCTCGCCGTCCTGTATTATAGCGTCGTGCTCACTGCGCTGACGGTCGTGGTGGCCGTCGTGATCGGCGCGATCCAGTTGCTCACGCTCGTGGCGAATGTGGCGCACCCCCAGGGCGTGTTTTGGGACGGCGTCGACCGCGTGGGCGAGCGCTATGAGGTTGTTGGTGAGACTTTCTTTCCCCCTCTCCTTTCCTTCTTCTCCTTCTCCTTCCCCTCCCCTTTCCTTCTTCGTTTTTCTCCTCCCCCCCCGAAGCGCACGCTCGCTCTAGCAACCAACTAACCCTCGCAGGCGCCGCCATTTGCGCCTCCTTCCTCGTCGTCGGCGTCGCCAGCGTCGCGCTCTATGGCCCCTGGCGCGCGCGCATCGATCGCCGCCGCGCGCTGCTGGGCCATGATGACGACGATGATGGCGACGACAGCAGCAACACCAACACCAACATTAATGGCCGGGAGACGTCGGCGCTGAGCGCTGCTCCTGGTGGTGGTGGTGGTGGTGGTGCTGATGATGGGGATGAGTGTGGCAGGGGCAGTGGCAGTGGTGCGCAGAGAGGGGATATGAAAGGCAAGGATGTGGGCGTGGGCGTGGGGGAGAGGGCGTGAGTGAGTGCGGAGGAAAGGGAAAGGAGAATGTGTTTTATATGTGTGTGTTGGGGAATGAATGAACTCATGAAGAAATGGAAGCAGTACCTAGTAGTGTGCGAGGCGCAGTGGCTGTTGTCTTGCTATTTCTTCCATGTTTCAGTGTGAATGCTTCCTGCTGACCAGCTTGCACCATCCACAGACCACCAAGATACATGCACATGCACATGCACATGCATGCGCACATAGCCAGCCAGCGATGTATCCACGCAGTAATCCAGCACACAAACAAACAGCCATGCCAGAGCAGCACAACAACCCACCAACCAACCAAATAGACAATCACATAACCAAACCCCCACAACAAAAAAAAAAACCCAACCCCTCCCCAGAAAAAAAGCGCCATCTCACCCACCCCCACACACAACCCCCACAAACCCTACCTAAAAAACGCCTCCCCCAACTCTTCGACGCCAAAGAACCCCCCCAGCGCCTCCGGCATCATGAGCCCTAAATCCACGTCGTCGGGGAAAAGCGGATGTTCCGCGTACGCGGTGCCCGCGGGCTCGTCCTGGGCCTGGCCTTGGGCCTGGCTCTGCTGAGGCTGCTGCTGCTGTCCCTGGTGGTGGTGCTGCTGCGCTCCCCCCGGACTCACCAGATACTGCTGCTGCTGCTGTTGGGGAAGCGGCACCACGGCACGCGCACCCGCCGACGACGACGCGGGCGACGCCGACGCGGCCCCCGGCGCAAACGCCCACAGCGCCTCGGCGGCTGCGCCCGAGAAGTCGAAGAATGCGTGCGGCGGCTGGTTGTGCGGAGGAAACTGCGGGTGCGCGTGCGCGGACCCGGCACCGGCCAGGTTCGGCGAGTAGGGCGTGTGCATGGGGAAGCTATGCGGCGCAGCAGCGGGGATATTCGTGGAGGAAAAGGGCGGGAACGCAGCGCCCGGGGTGTTGGCGTCGGCGGTCAGCGACGCCGGCACGCAGTACAGGACCTGCATGGACGCGGCGCGCAGCATGGTGAACAGCAGCTCCTCGAGCGCCTTGTTGCGCGGCGAGTCGGTCACGTAGCCGTGGAAGATCTGGCACGCCTTGTGCAGGAGCTTGAGGTCGGCGCGCGCGAGCGGGTGCGCCGGGTGGTCCATGACGTGGGCGTAGAGCCAGGAGAAGGGCCCGAGGATCGTGACGGAGCTGAGCCTGTGCGTGTTGCGGAGTTGCGCCGTTATTACCTGTGCGAGTGGCTTGGTGGGGATGCGGGGGCTTCTTCTGCCTTACTTACCAGCAGGTCACGTTGGGCTGGTGGTTTCGCGAGTCGGAAATCATGAAGATGACTTCGAGGATGCGCCGCGAGTAGATGAGCCGGATGTTGTGGTAGTCGCGGATGTACGTCGAGTTGTGCTGCCGGATGTTGGTCTGGCCTGGGAGAAGCCGCGCTGCGGCCCCGATGACGACCGACAGGCCTAATAGCGCAATGTAGTATTCCAGGTGGACATAGATTATGTGGTGGTAGTTTGGCATGTCGGGCTGGATTCGCCCTTCCGGACAGTACTCTTCCAAGACGACGCTCTTCCAGGCTCGCATGTCCTGAAAGAGTCGATCCATTTTGTCGGCCATCTGGGGTGGATCGAACATGCCCTCTTGCGTAAAGGTGCAGAAACGGTGCATGAGCAACGACAGCTGGAAGCGCATGAAGAAGATGGGGAACGCCCGTCTGACGTTCTCGTCGGGGCGTTTCAGTCTCGAGACCCGGATAGAACTTCCTTCTCGGCCTTGCATCATGGTCATCCGGCTGAAGGCTGTCGTCAGCACCGAGTGAAGATAGTACAAGCTCCCGGCAGTACTTACGTCTCCATCGTGAAAGCGGTCCAAGCAATAAGATCCTTTTCACGCTGCTCCTGCTCGTTCAGAGCTCGCACATTGCGGCCGTAGATTCCAAAGGCCTGGGCAAGACGGATCGCTGACCCGCACCAGTACCACGCGCTGTTCGTACGCTTGACTTGAAGTGAATAGAGGGACTGTGGGCGTGAGCGTGCATCCACCACCGATATCACATGAGACCTACAATAAGAAGCATAATCTGAATACTTTGGGTGCTGGCTTTGCTGTACAGCGCCGGTGTGGCTTTGAGCGCTTGCGCAAACAACGCTTTTCTGAAGTTCGACAGGCTATCCTCGCCCTCCAGCCCAAGATTATCTTGACAGCTGGCAGCACCCGACGCCAGCACCAGCCGCAGAAGTATGGGCCATAACTCGCCGATATCCTGTTTTTGTTTGTAGCGCTGGAATAGAAGTCGAAAATTTGCTTCATCCAGGATCGGATAAAGCGGTAGTACATTCTGAAAGAAAGCTAAACACGTCAGCAGGCATAGGAAGAGGGCATTGCAGACAAACCTGTCACTAAAGCGTCCACCGTCGTGCTGGATGCGAGTTTGAAACTTTGATTATCTAGGTCTTTTGGCAAGGGCTCGCCTATGTCCTCGACACCGGTCAACATAGGCGTGATATAGCCACTCAGCTCTTTGGCAAGGTGGTCGCGATGGTGCTCTGGCGGTCTACGTTTTTCTAGTTACATGAGTAAGAATCCAGGTGGTCTGCTACCGACTACGTGATTAAGCTTACCTATCGAGTAGCCCTCTTGCACCGCAGACGATAGGATGATGGCCCCAATATCGTCCGGAGCGGGCTTCGGGAGATCTTCAGGGAGTTGGCTTACGGGATCTGCAATCGGGGAATGCCTCGGGGGCGTATATCCGGGGCCGGGCAGGGGTTGGTTCGCGGATGATGGTATGGCGTGCACTGCTTCCTTTGCGGGAGGATTCACTTCGCTCGGCGCATCCGCAACCCTTGCTCTTTTCCGAGCATTGCCTGAGCCCTCGGGGGGTGGCCTGCCCGTGTACTCGCACTCGGTGTCATAAAGAACGCAATTCATACATTTTGTGCCTCCGATGTCATTGGAGCATTTCAGCTGCGATGGATTGCGTCATCAGCCTTGTACAATTTCAGGATCGCGCTCGTGGCACACACGCGTTTCCGTCGACAATGGTCGCAAGCCCTTGCGGCTCTCTTCTGTTGCTTGACAGCCGTCGCCATTGGGGCTTCTTTAGACGCGAAGCGGTTTTCGAGGGGTTGGGAGTTGCCATTGATGAGCAGCTCTGGACTTTTGGCGTCGACTGGATGCGCTTCACCGGGCCGCGTTGACGTTGGAGGGTGCGCGTCTGGGCGCTTGCCCAAGTCAGCCTGGTCGGAAACACTGCCCTGACTATACCGCATAAACATACCCCCACAGAGCTAAAGTCGAATGCAATATGCTGTGCAGTGATGATCTGAGGGGACGGAACATCACAGGCAGGCATGCCAGGGGGTCGGACTTACAGCTCGGGAATAAAGCTTATACACTCGGGATTAAGGCCTCACGCCAAGTCCAAGGCTACTATCGCCGCGCTGCAGAGACTGCTCGATGTTCTCCAAGGCGAATCCAATATAAGGTGCCCCGTAGCGGCCCAAAACGGAGCGATGTCGGGGCCCTACGACCCTAATTTATAAGTTGCGGGTAAAGTCAACGCGGTCCAGCCCTGAGCACTCAGATGTGTCAAAATATTGGACGCAGGGTGACAGAACGTCAAGCCGAGTTATTATTGCTAAAGACAAGCATTTTCTGCGGGGTTTGTCCTGCCGGCACACCGGTAAGAGCCGAAGGATTAGGGTCTTTGCAGATCCTCCGCTCCACAAGAGCAGTTGTTTGTCTCACTTCTCCTCGCTGTCGCCTGCCTTACGGAACATCAAAAGGCAGAACGCCTTTGGATAATGAAAAGGAGATTGGTGGACCAGAGGAGCAGAACCGCGCTCTGCTTCGTTGATTCAGGAGCGGAGCGGAATGGAGTAGGAAAAGAAACAAATTTTAGGCGCAAGAAGGTAAACGAGAAATGAACAGAAGAAAACAAGCAAACTATCTACTTCCCCGGACGCTTATTGCTCGCGCAATTCGTGGGTGAAGGGGAAAAATGAAAGCAGGTGTTGGGCCAGGCAGCTTCTCTAAAAAGTCACGCACGTGCGGACGCGTGGGGAGTCGCGTCTCCGCCGGGTACGTGACGTGACCAGGCGCCAACCGAGCTATCTTGCCCGCCGAAGCTCGACAACAACACGACACCAACCTACAACGCCATGGTGGACCTTTCAGATCGCTACAAGCATGAAGAGGACGACGAGGATGAGGAGGATGAGGCAATGGACGAGACCGTACGCCTTTTTCTCCGCTCCACCCCCGAAGCCATACTCACCGTGAGCGCAGGGATACAAGACGGTCAAAGATGCCGTCTTATTTGCCATTGATGTCAGCGACTCCATGACCAAGCGCCCTCCGCCCTCGGATTCGAAGAAAGCCGACCGCGACTCTCCCACCTCGGCCGCCTTGAAATGCGCATACCAGTTGATGCAGCAGCGCATCATCTCCAACCCCAACGACATGATGGGCATACTGCTGTTCGGAACCGAAGAGTCAAAATTCGAAGGGAGCGAGGTGATGGGCGAAGGGGGGCTTAATTACCCGCACTGCTACCTCTTGTCAGACCTGGACGTGCCGGCCGCCGCCGATGTCAAAAGACTAAAGAACTTGGTTGAGGATGAAGAGGAAGCGGAGAAGCTCTTGGTACCATCGAAGGAACCCGCATCGATGGCGAACTTGCTGTTCTGCGCCAATCTCATATTCACTACAAAGGCCCCAAACTTCTTGTCCCGGCGACTCTTCCTCGTCACGGACAATGACAACCCGCACAAAGGTAATAAGGAAATGAGGGAGTCTGCGGCGGTGCGCGCAAAGGATTTGTACGACCTGGGTGTTGTGATCGAGCTGTTCCCAATCTCCAATGCCGAGCGTGGCTTTGACAGAACCAAGTTTTACGATGTAGGTTGGCCATAAAAGTCGAGAGAAAAGTCACTGATTGATTTAGGACATTGTCTACCGGCCACTCATGGCCGACCCCGAAGCTCCGGCACCCATCTCTGGACCGGCGGACCCTTCTTCTAGTGCAGACGGCATCACATTGCTGCAGTCCCTTCTTTCCTCGATCAACTCCAAGGCCGCGCCTCGACGTGCGCTCTTCAATCTCCCCTTCGAAATAGGCCCTGGTTTGAAGATAGGAGTCAAGGGCTACATTCTGATCAAGCGCCAGGAGCGCGTTCGGAGCTGCTATGTCTGGCTGCACGGCGAGAAGCCACAGATTGCTGTGGGAATGTCGTCGAGATTCGCCGAAGACTCGGCACGTGAAGTCGAAAAAGCAGAGATCAGGAAGGCATACAAGTTTGGCGGGGAGACCGTCACTTTCACGACGGCGGAGACCAGTGCCATCCGCTACTTTGGCGATCCCGTCATCCGCATCATCGGCTTCAAGCCGATCTCGATGCTTCCCGCCTGGGCAAACCTGCGTCCTGCAACTTTCATCTATCCAACCGAAGTGGACTACATCGGGTCAACCCGCGTCTTCTCCGCCCTCTGGCAAAAGCTGCTCAAGGATGAGAAGATGGGCATAGCATGGTTTATCCCCCGACGCAACGCTTCGCCCACGTTAGCCGCCCTCATCCCGGGCAAGGAGAAGCACGGCAGCCGCGACGAACAGGTGATGCCGCCCGGGCTGTGGGTCATCCCGCTGCCCTTCGCCGACGACATCCGATCGAACCCCGACACGGATCTCGTGCGCGCCACCGACAACCTAACAGACGTGATGCGCGGCGTGATCCAGAACCTGACGCTGCCCAAAGGCGAATACGACCCGGCGCGGTACCCGAACCCCAGCCTGCAGTGGTTCTACCGCATCCTGCAAGCCATTGCCCTCGAGGAGGACCTGCCCGAGAAGCTAGAGGACAAGACGGTGCCCAAGCATCGGCAAATTGCCAAGCGCGTGGGCGACCAGGTCACCGAGTGGGGGCAGGTGCTGGACCAGGAGTTTAGTGAGTGGGAGGCTGCGAGTCGGCAGCAGCATAAGCGCCGCGGCGAGAGCGAGCAGCCCCAGGCGCTGCCGAAGCGGGCCAAGACGGAGGCGGCGGCGGGCGACGTGCTCGACGACGCCGAGATGAAAGGCCATTACGAGCGGGGCTCGCTGGCGAAGGTAAGTCGCTGTCTATTTTGGTGTGTATGCGTGCGGTTATGACTGACTCGACGCAGCTCACGGTGCCGGTGCTGAAGAACTGGGCCCATTCCAAGCACATCTCGGTCGCGGGCAAGAAGGCAGACATTATCGAGCGTATTGAGGAGCACTTTGAAACGAAGTAAGCGCGGCAGCAGAGCGGAGTGGACTTTTTGGGATCAAAATGACTTCTGCATGTAGGCACAGACGCGGACAGGGCCTGTGAGACGCTGTATTGCTGGCTCGTGGGGCTGCGGCAATAGCGCCGGTGTAGAGAGCATGTGTGTAGGTTGGAGAGGGCTGAGGGCTGAAGGCCGAGACTTTTGCCCGATTGGCGGCGCTTCGTAGTGATACCAGATGAGATTATGGAGCAAGGAGTCCGGGCGAACGGGGCTAGGCGGGCGATTGATTGTGTCCATCCACACGTCCTGCGGGAGATGGATGATGATGATGTAGATGTGGATAGCTGAGACTTGTTTATCGAACGCATATATATATCCCTTGTGCTGTCTCGCTATCGTGACATGAGCTTCACATACATACATACATACATACATACATACATACATATACTTACAGAACCAACGCCAACACGGTTTCCCCCCCATCACCTGCTCTCTCTCACACACCCCTCATTACTCATCAGCACCAAACGGCTTATCCATCATCGTGCTCTTCTCATCCACAACGCGCCTCTCACTCCTCAAATCGCCAAACCCGACATCCCCCGCCGCAATCTCCGCATCCGACAAGCGCCCCAGTCTCGCAACCTCGCGCCTTACATACGCAACCAGCATGGCCAGCTCTCTCGGCCGCAGTTCCTCGCCCTTCCACAGATTCCTCCACAGCGCGGCCGCTAGCACCGCGTCCCCGCGCACGAGGCCCTCGTCGTACGCGGCTGTCACGCCGCGCCACTGCACAAACAGGTCTTTGAGGTACTTGTTGCGCACGGCGCGCGCGACGATGTTGTGTTCGCTGGCCATGCGCGCTTCGGCTGCGTAGCTGAAGTGGTCGATCAGGTGCTGTTGCCAGGACGGGGCGTGCGCGGGCGGAAATTGTCGCAGCCGCGTGGTCAGCAGGTGCATGTGTAAGAAGGTCACTTGTGCCCAGGTCGCGAATGTGGGGGTCAGGTTGAGCTCTGGTTGCTTGTGTTAGCTGTTTGTTCGTCCGCCTGTTTATCCTTCTCTCTGGAGTTTGATGATGATGGTGGGAGGGAGACTGGGTTTGCAGTTGTGTGTGTGTGTGTGTGTGTCCAACATCAAAAACTCACCCTGATACCACGCGCCCTCACCAACGCCCAGATCTTCGCCCTTGGCCGTCTTGGGCGCCTCGCCATCCGCGTCCCGCTCAACCCGATACGCGGCCTGCGCCGCGCACTCGCGGAACAGCAGCTCCGTGGCGCCGTACGCGACGTACGTCTCGGTGGAGGCGCCGGCGCGCTGGCGCAGCTGCTCCGCCACGACGTTGCTGACGGCCTTGCGCGGCAGCTTCTGCGACGCTGTTGTCGTCGGCGGCGGCGGGGAGGAGGTGTCGGGGACTGCGGCCGGGCCTTCCCGTGCCGGCTGCGCTTCGATGTATGGTTGTGAGGCGAGGACGGCGCGCGTCTGCGACAGGTACCGTGTTTGTTGCTGCTGCTGTGGAGGGTGGTTAGTGCTGCGTGCGTGCGTGGTCTGGCTTGCGGAGGCGGGCTTACCGGCGCGGGCGCGCGCAGCTGCAGGGCGCGGCGGCAGGCGCGGCAGGCGGAGCGAGAGGCCATTGGGACGCGTGCGAAGCTTGATCGGTGATGCGAGGCGCGCGCTGTGGTTGTTGTGGTGGTGGCTGCTGTTGCGGTTGTGGAGATGCCGGCGCTGGTGATGATGGGAACTTTTCGAGGTTGTTGCTGCACGACTCGCGCGCGCGGCGGATCGTCAATGACTTCACCATTCCCGGCACGCATCATTCGGGGATCATAGCTTGGGTCGAGGGTTTTTGGGCTGGAGCGCTCCATGCGTGTGCGAAATGATAAGTAGTTGGCTTGCTAGTTTTTCTAGATTGCGAGACCGCGCTGCGTTGGATGCAGTTTTGGAGATGTGCTGAGGTCGTTGTGTATAGCTGGCTGGCTGCGGCCAATCAGCGCGCGTGTAGGTTGCTATATTCGTGGTTAGTGTATTATGTCGTGGCCGCCTTTGAATTTTAGTTAAGGGTTTCCAGCACCACGGTAAGTATGAAGTTAGCCGGCGACGAAGTGACAGAGGCTTTGTATGGCGCAGAGAAACATGTCGCAGGTTCATTAGACGATACCTCCATGGGTCTGGTGCGATATAACGTACATAAAGCTATTTCCGTCAACTACTTTTATTTTTCACAAAGACCATTCTCCACCCCACAGACCGATCCCAGTTTTGGGTGCTCTAATATGCACGTAGCCGTTTCTCGCGAAGAATACATATTGTGGCGTCCAGAACGCGGGATCCTAGCCAGCGAGACCCTGGTAAGTCACCGAAAAGCTGAACATCACGTCTCGCCCATGTTTACTGTAAAAAATAGAAGAGGTTGTCCAATTCAGCTTCGTGCATGCTATACTTGAACACGCAAGCTGGGGAATTGGACTGCGGTTCGAGAATACAAATACTGACTGGATCTGTTGACGGATAACCATCCTGTCAGGCCATCAGACCATGCACCTCTTCAGACTAGCATCAAGCAGCCTCCCGCGCTCTAGAAGCTGTCACATCAACCTATACGGGTGCGACATCCCGCTCCGAGCAAGTGAGCGCCAAAAAGCATTCCATCAGTTACCGTTGCCGTCCTTCCCGATCCTGGATACGCCAGGGGTTGTGGCTGCTTACAGTGACCTGATTGCTTGCCTAAGTGGCTTCTTCATGGCTGGTTGTGAAGAAGTAGGGATTTCTACATGCAACCTTTGGAAGTACGAGGATATTGCAGTCGCTGTCGTGGATAAGTATAGTTAGAATTTATGGAGACGAAGAGTGTACCAGACAGATCACTACACTGGGCACTGGGACAATAGCTATAGGAAAACCCATCCACCAAACGCATCCGCGCGTTGAACTTTACCTTAAACGTTACCATCTTACCCAACACGCTCACGCCGAATCAGAGACCAGAACTGCTCCCCAAAGCCATCCCAGCCCACTGTCTCAGCTAAAAGCCTCCAACCCCACAAACCTCGACAAGACAAGCAATTCCAGAACCGACCTACCCGTCCAACATCCAACAATGAACTCAAAAACAAAACCCCAGTCACAAGCCCAGCCAACCAAGGAAAAAGCAGCAAACACCGAACTCCCAGTCGTAGATAAAAGGCAGCGAACACTTCCCACAATAGCGCGTCCCAGAAAACACCGAGCGTCCTTTCCCACGATCCCTCTCTTTTCTCAAACCCTCTTTTGACTACCCGCCGCCATGAAGTTCCTCGGCAACCTCCTCGCTGCCGCGTCGCTCATCGCGTATGCGGTGGCTAGCCCGACCCCTGATGCCGAAGCTGCAGCGGAAGCAGAAGCAGAAGGCGGCACAGTCAGGCTCGCAAAGCGCGCCGAGGGCATCCATCTCGTTAACTGCTACGGGAGCGGTACCTTCTCCTACTCTACTGTCGTGGTGAGACATCCCTATCTTCAGGGTTGACTATGGCAGCACCAGTCAGTCAACTTACAACCCACCAAAACAGTACTGCAGCAACGACAGCAACTGCAACCGCTACCCCAACGGCAACGATCGGTGCAATCCCAACAACAACAACATCGTTACCTGGGAAGGGCGTTCCCAGAGCTGCACGTTCGGTACTAACGTTGCCTTCTCCTGGAACATCAACGCCAATGCTCAACAGCAAGCCAACTATGCCAGAGTTGGGTAAGTTTGGCCTAGAGAGAGCCATGGCGGACGTTCATGTGCATCGCCCGACTCGTACCTAACGTCTTTTTGTTTTAGTTCTGGCAGCAACAACTTCCGCAGTTTCAGTGTCTTCAAGGATGATCAGCACGTCATGTATTCTGATCTTGATGGAAGACAGTGCCGGAGCATTTACTACGCTCTCTAGACCCTCGTGAGCATCTTACATCCCTTAAGCTTGTTCGCAGTATATAGCTAATGCAGAAAAGCAACTTCAGACGGAGCTTACTAGGAGGAGGAGGATATAGGACAAGGACAGGGCCTACTTGTCACGAGAAACCATCTACGCTCCTTAACGACTTCCACACATTCACTCATAACGATATATATATTCCTACACGGACCTCTTCTTCGCGTGATCTATAGAGCTTAACCAAAACCACACGTAATCAAACCCAGAAACAGAAACGGCGACGAAAATTAAAACTAAAACCAAACCACCACACACGACTCCCTATCTCTCACACCACACGCACACCACCATCACACACGACACCCTCCCCCAATCAATCCACCAAAATCAGAAATCCAAAACCCAAAATCCCTATCTCCCTCTCTATCTAGCCCCAGCCTTATCTCTACCCATATAAGATACCTATACACATACCATCGCACCACCACACCACACCACCACACCACCATCCACCCACCTTTAAACTCCCTCCGGCCGGTCCTACTCTTCCCTCCCTCCCGCATCTACCCGCCCGCTAGCGCCAGGGACCGACCAGCGCCGCTAGCCAGGACCGCTAGCCAGAGCCGCTCTTAGCCCCACTCCTTCGCACAATCCCTTTTGCGGGGGCCGGGGGAGGGAGAGATAGCTACCCGACGCCGGTGGTAGCCGGTATCGGCGGCGGCGATGGCGGCGACGGCGGCGTAGGCTTTGGACTGAATGAGTGGAGAAGTGGTGCTTCATTCATTCGCTTAGTATTGAGGCAGTCATTCATTCACAACGTCCAACAGTACAACGTACATCGTACATACAACAGTGCGTCGATGCAAGACACTGGAGGCAGGCAGTAGGCAGTAGGAGTTTCCCTAATTTTCAGTGACCATATTGATGTATGTGTGTATATGTATATATGTATGTATATATATAACTATATATCCTCTCCGCAGCTCCTCTAGAAAAAGAGGAGCCGCTCTAAGTGGGTAGTATGTAGATACTCCTCTATTCTATGCCACCACCATGGCGTCAAAACCAAGCAGCCAGCCCAGCCCAGCCCGATGAGGGCGCTGTCCCCCCTTGCAAAAAGCGATCCAAAGTGATCCAAAACCAAAAACAAACCCAAACGCCGCGCTATCGTTGCATCATGCAAGCAGACAAGCAAACAAGCAAAAAACAAGAAACGAAACGAAACAAAGCAAAACGAAACTCACAACTCACACCCCCAACCTATGCAGCCGACGACGCCGCCTTCTTGAGCCCAAACCGCCTCTTCAACTCATCCCAAAACAAGCCCCTGACACCCCTCGCCCCCCCAACAGCATCCCTGTTCTCCTCGGCGCGCCTAACAAGATAAAGCACGCACTCGGCCGTCGTGCCCCAAGTAACATACTTGTAGACGTCGCAATCACCAGCCCTAAACCCGCGCTTCTCGTCCGCAGTCGTCAGGCTCAAGCTCAGCTCGTCCGCCATGCCCATCAGCTGCCCGTAGACGGCTTCCGCCGGACGCAGGCCCCTAGCTTGCTGCTCCGCCCGCAGCGTGCGCATCAGGTTCGCGCTGTTGGCATTGTGCGTCGCCAGCACGATCGCGACGTGCGTCTGCGAGCCGGGCTTGCGCTCGTGGTACGTGCCCAGCATGTGCGCGGCTGTGTCGTACGCCGTGTCCGTCTCGCTCTTCGTGTCGTGGATCAGGTGGCGCGGGTCGCTGCCTAGGTACGCGCCGCGCACGAGCTTGGCGCCGAAGTTGAAGTTGCGGTTTTCGGCGAGTTGGAGCTGCTCGGCGAGGACTTGGGACGAGGCCTTGAGGTACCTGGGGGAGGAGAGTGTTAGTTTGTGTTTTTATGTGTGTGTGTGTGAAAAGGGAAAGGGTGGGAAAGTACATTTGGTAGGTGTTGTAGACGACGAGGTCGGAGCCCTTGTTGTACTTCTCCATCAGGTCCATCGTCCACTTGTCAATCGCCTTCTGCTGGGACGCATGCTCAGCATCAATCAGCAGCTTGACGCCCCTGGCCTTAGCAGCCTCGCACATCTTGGTCAAGGCCTTGCCGAAGATCTCATCAGGGACCTCGCGGTTCTCCTCGAGCATGTGGACGACACCCAGACCCGCACCCGAGAACTTGATAGCGGCGAAGGCGCCATCGGCGCCCTCAATCGTCTTCAGCGTGCCCTCGAGCCACTGCCCAACCTGCTCCTCATGCACCTTCTGACGCTCAGCCTCGTTGGCCTGGCCCGCGGCGTGCATGTCCACCTCCTTGGCGTAGTTGAGAATCACGCCCTTGTATCCCAGCTGCTGGAGCCCGCGCACCGTGCGCGTGATCTCCGGGATCGTGGCGCCCGCGCAGTAGTGCGCGTAGAAGGCCTGGTGCAGCACGTGCTTGAACACGGGCGCCGTGATGAAGAAGGTCGTGTACCGCTTCAGCATGCCCAGCAGCACCGTCAGCAGCCGCGGGTACGACGAGATGTTCTGGATCAGCAGGTTGCGGAACAGGCTGGGCGTCGGCAGCTTGGCCAGCACCGCCGTGTCGGCCGTCGAGCGGGGCGAAGAGCGCGGCGTGTTGATCGTCTGCGACGTGTAGCCCGTGGTGGCGCCGGGCTTCACCTCAATGGTCGATTGGGACGAGGCATGGTTGTGGAAGCGGGCGTGCTGGAATTGGACGGCGTAGCCTCCGCGAGAGGTCGTCGCCAGCAGCGAGCGCCGGGAGAGAAGGTGGGCGGCCGAGGTGCGAGGGCGAGCGGTGCGGAGGGAGGAGGCGAGCATGACGTTTCTCCGGATGCGGAAAGTGTGCTGCTGTGTTGGGTTGAATAAGGTAAGAGGTTATAATGGAGCGATCGACTCTGGGACACAGCGCAACAGCAAGGGGAGAGGTGTGAAGGGCATTTCTACGGACCGCAGCGGGCAGAAATTATATAGGTGCATGGCAGCTTTGTCGGCGGTCTAGCTTTCGGGGTGGTGATGGTGCGGCTACCGTCGGGGCGAGGCCAGGCGAAAGAGGAATTGTTCGTTGGCCGACACCGGCGGTGGCCAAAAGGCGAAGTATCATTGGCCCCGTGAATTTCGGGCTGTCAGGGAAAGCCGACATGTGGGGATTTTGAGCCGCATAGCGCCGGCAAACATTGCTTATCTCCCTCCGCCCCAGGGCACGTGTTCCGGGGGGCTGGAGCGCCGGAACGCCGTCTTGCCGCCTCAGACCACGCGGCAAGCCGAGTGTAGCAAACAAAGGACTAAATTCGGCCGATGCGCTGTGCCGGGCTCCTCTTATCGCTCCTAAGTCTTACTCCAAACTCTACTGCTCCTCCTCCTCCCCTCACCACAGCTGCGGCTTGCTGGCACTGCCATACTTGGCCTGCCACGCAAAAAAGTACAGCAACGCTCCCAGCGGCTGCCCCACCAGGCAGAAGCTGATCCAGAAGACGAGGTTGCCCACCACCTTGCTGCCCACGCCCTTCATCCGCTGCAGCGGGTCCGTCGCCAGAATCAGCGGGATCTGGAACACCATGCCCAAGAACGCGACACCTGCACCCTCGTTAGCAAACCTACACCTCAACCTCAACACTCCGCCCCTTCCGATCTCACCGATTATGTTGTGTGTTGGCACCCCGACCAACAGCTCATGCAGCAACCCCGAGAAGATGAAGACGATGATCTGCGCCAGGGCCGGCGGTACCCCGCGGCCCACCAGCGGGCTGTACAGGTGGCGCCGCATAAACGTCGTCACGGGCTTGTTCCAGGTCACCCAGTAGATGCGGATGCTGGTTGCATTCCACCACTCGGTGTAGAACTCGCGGTCGCCGAACCGCATAATCTCCGCCAGCGCGTTGAGCGACGAGTGGAACAGCGCCATGAAGCCGCACAGCCAGCAGAAGAGCGAGATCGTCGACAGCTTGAGCACCCGCTCCGCGATCGACACCAGGTCCAGCGTGGCCACCTTGTCCAGCGAGTTGCGCAGCAGCGGCGCCGCGTACTGCGCCGACGCGATCCAGATGACTATGCTGAGCACCACCACCTCCGACATGCGCTTGAAGACAAAGACCCACCGGATCCGCTCCGTCCGCGGGTACACGGGCTGGTAGACCAGCGTGGGCGCCCACCAGAAGTAGGTCAGGTTCCCGATTGAAATGTTGCGCGGGTACGCGCAGTCCTTGTAGAGGTCCGGCAGCGGCGTCGCATCCTCGTCGAGCATGGCGTGCCGCAGATCACGGTTCGTAAAGGCATACGAGCACGTCTTAAGCCACACAATAATGGCGTGCAGCTCGCACAACGTGCCAATGCCCGGGTGGTGGATGAAGTAGTACACGACCGTCGACGCAATGGTCAGGTTGAGCGTCGCGTTGATGCCGTGTGCGAGCGCGATTAAGCCCCATGTCTTGCGGAAACTGTCCTGCCCGAGCACCCGCTCCTCGGCCGTCTCTGCCTTTTTCAGGCGCGCGATGGCTCCCTTGGCCTGCTGCGCAGCCACTAGCTCGATGATGTATGCGACGAATAGGTGACAGGGGACGAGCAGGTAGAGGATGGAGCCGTAGACAACGTCCTGGCGGCGGTAATCGTGGCAGCGGATGCAGATGAGAACGCCATACTGCGAGCGACACGGTCAGTCGGGGGCCGTGATTCCGCGCGTGTAAGCTATAGGTGTACCTTGAGGAAGTTCTCGATCATGAGGCGCAGATTCGACACGACTGCGGGGAAATGCCGTTAGCCGTCCGTGAACAGCGCCATGCAGAGCTGGGGCATACCGAGCACTAAGGCCATGAGATTTCTAAAGCCCATGAAGCTGGGCGCCACCGTTGCATCCTGGCTCAGAGGCGACGGGCGCTGCATGCGGTGAACGGCGACGACGTGCCTGTATTTCCCCCCGTTCTTCGCCGCGGCGGCGCTTTTGGCGGGCTCGGGAGCGGCGGCGGCGGCGGCGGCAGCAGCAGCATCAGCGGAGCCGTTGGTCTCGGTGGTGGCCGTGTACTGGCGCTCGGGGTGGGCGATGGGCACATCGGTGCTCGTAGACACGGCCGTCTGGATAGGGGAAGCCATTGGTGTGTTGGCTTTGGCAGGAGGCCTCTGGTGGAGCGGGTCAAGGACAGGCAGGATAGTGAACGGATGCGAGGACGATCAGGGACGAGGCAAGGCGCATTGGACCGGCTCACGGTGACCCCCTCATTTCTGCGTTGGGGGCAAGCAGCGGGAGAAGAGGCATCTGGACTGGCGGGCTCCAATCACGTCGACGGCTTCGATCGTTGAACCCCAAAGCGACGCGCCCTCGTCATGGTCAGGGATTAGCAGCAATCGTGCCGCATTCGCCCTGTGGCTGCTGTGGCGCCGTGGCTGCTGCTGCTGCTGCTTCGCAACGGCCGGCGACAACAACTTCAATGGTGGTGTGGGTGAGTAGGTAGGAGTCGATTAAAGTTTGTAGAAACATTCTTGCGCAGTTCATCGGCGACGGAGCCATGACCGAGGAATGCATGCTCGTCGCGTGCCTTCCACGGGCTCCCTTGTCTTCTTCCTGTCGTGCCTGTCTTGCGCCTGTCGCGTCGCACGGGCCTGACAGACATCGTTTTGCGTCAAAGCTCCAGGACTTTCGCCGCACCAACACCACCACAACCTCCGACGCGCTCCGCTGCTGCGACGTTCATTCTAAACTCTGCCTCTGCCTGGTCAAAAGCGATTATGTTCGCTCCGATCTTGCCTACGATAGATCGCAAGTTCCAGGGTGGATGGATGTGGCGTGGCAGAGATGCATTTTTTCGTGGCGCGATAGATGGATGTATATGGATGTGTTCGTGTGGTTTATCCAGCGGTAGAAAGAGCTTTTGTGGGAGGGGCGCGTTCATGTCTTGCGTCGAGATGTGTACGCATTTTTTAACCTTTTCGATCCTCTGAGACGCGGTCGAATAAGTCCTGACCGGTTCGTGTACGGCACATGGACAGCTCCAAACATAGTTGGATTAACTATATATCAGGGGAGTTAGTGTACTCTTTGTGTAGTCCTTGGCCATTTTGTATAACTATCGGAGTTGATTTCTGTCCGGTCAATGTTTAACTTCTATGGTGGGCATGAGTATGTCCATATCGCCCTGTTTTCCTTTGTATCAAGAGTTTGCGCATTACTTCGCCTCGTTTAGTGTAGTTAGGCGAAAAGGTAAGTGAGCATAAAAGTAGCGCGAAGGAAGGAGTAAACTTCGATGTCAATATTATCTGAATGTGTCCCTCTCCTTATTTTTATCTTAAATCTCGCACGATTTTTTTTAGAGATCCATTTCACGAGTCCGAACCACCACTGTTCGTTTCCGATTTATTTACTTTATTTTCATTCGCCTTGTTTGTTCTACCAAGTACTGTTGTAGTAGTATACGTGAAATCAGGAGCACGATACCAGGTACGGATAATTTCCTATTCCCTACGCATGGCTTTCCAAATCAAGGCTATGATTCTTCAAGATACTAATATTATCAGTTAGAAATTGGGCCTTGTTAAGAAACGATGAAGGCTGTGTGTGAGTACTTTACCTTCATGAACCTTTCCCTGACAGACAGATATTCCATGTGCTCGTTGTTCTCGAGTGAGCGTTTGATGACGCTGGACTTCATTTCTTGCACGGCAATGACATACTGAGGTTTCCGGTGTCAGTGTTGAGCACTAAGGAAATAAATGAAGTGACAGAGAAGGAAGGTAGAGAAAGAGGGAATAAAAAAGGAGGGAGGGAGAAGAATGAAATTGAGGGGGAAAGAGTTGCTGGTTACTTACTTCCTCGATGGAATTCCGCACCACGTACCGCGTGGCAACCACGTTCCGAGTCTGGCCCATTCGGTGCACTCTGTCCAGAGCTTGTTCTTCCGCCATTGGACTCCATTGCGGTTCTATCATGTACACTCTGGAAGTGGCTGTGAGGTCCAACCTGTTTAAGGGACATTAATGAATTTCCAGATGCTCTTTATAAGGTTTCATCTTGCAAGAGAAACGTACCCAACACCGGCACTTCCAATGGAAGCAAGGAGGACGCAGTACCCCTCGTGTGTGCGGAACTTTTCTAGCGCAGTGCGTCTCGCACGATCGGACTTGCTGCCATCAATGCGCTTAAATTGGATGCCGTTGAGCTTGAGAGCCTTTTCAATTTGGTCCAACATTTTGGTCCAGCAAGAAAAGACCACACTTGTCCGGATGTTAGCAAAATAATCAAAAAGGACAACAGAGAAGAGTGGTTAGGAGATACCTTTTTAGTGGCGGCCATGTTGGATCTGCTCTTTCAGCTTGGAGGTTCTTCAACAAAGCCACAACTTTGGATGATGGTTTGTATGCCATATCAAAGTCCATGGAATCGATAGATTGAGGATTTGTAGAGAGACGTCCAGGTGTCGTGCTAGGTATCGGGGTCAATGCTCTGCTGTCAAGACACAGCCTGCAACTTCCTCCATCAGTAAGTAAGCTATCGTCTTTCTTCTCGCAGCGAGAGCAAACTGGATGTCCGCAGTCTAGCTGCGGGTCTACTTCTTCATCCTTTCCTCGGATCTTCAGTGACTTCGTGCAGATTGCACAGATATCCGACGATTTGAATAGTTCATTTGCAACTGCATCTTCATCAACAAAGCCTTCGAAGATTGCCAGAGCAGCTCGTGGAAGAAGTTCCGAGCCATGATCGCAGAATCTCCGAAGCCTTGATATCGTCTGGAAGATGCTTTGTGTGGACGTTTTTGCCTTCTTCGAAAACGGTTGTGTCTCGAGGATCCTTGAATAGCTTTTCTTAAGGATCTCATATCGCTCGCGTTCTTCATCGTTAAGGAAAACTTCCTCGATTCGGGTTTCTCGAGGTTGCATCTCAAGATCCCCAAAAACCGATGCCTTGGTCCTCCGGAGGGAGGTGGATCGGACAAGTTTTCGGAGGGTATCTAGTGCCTTTTCCGGGTTGCTCCTCAAGTTGTTTGTAACTTCGGAGTTGAAAAAGCGTAGATCATTGAAGGGAGTGATGCGGAGGAAGCTGAGCAATGCTCCAAAATCTTCGACACGGTTGAACATAGGGCTTCCAGTGAGACACCAGCGATGCCTTGCTTTCAGCTCCTTTAAAACTCGGTGACGTTTCGAAGACGGATTTCGGATCATGTGAGCTGTACAGTATTTAGCAGCCATTCATATTAATTCAATTCTAAGGCATTATTTTACCCTCATCAAGAACAATTCTGTGCCATTTAAGTCCGTTGAGAGCTTTTGCTTCCCTGTTTCGCCGTTTTCTTGCTTCGGACTCTGATACAAGGGTATCATACGTGGTGAGGACAATGTCGAATTCATTCAGCTTGGGCCACGAATTTTGCCTTGAAGAGCCATGGTAAACACAGTAGGATAGTGTTCCGGGATGCGTATGTCTGTATCATGAGTAAATAGTTGGTCACTAACAAAGATCAAATATGTTTTACCTCTTGATTTGCTCTTCCCATATTTGAAGAACTAATTGCGGTATCAGTATTTAATGCGAAGTTCGTTATTTAGTAGCCGGCTCACCCGACATAGGAGTAATGATCAACGTGGTTTGTATCGGAGAGGAGTCAGCATGTTTAGCATTTGGATTTTTCATGCGGTCAAGCTGTAGCGTAATGAGGGCGAGCATCGATAGAGTTTTACCAAGACCCATTTCCTAACAAGAAATATCAGTATATAACGAAGATTTTACACAGTCTTCACTTGAAGGTGCCTTACATCAGCAAGAAGACCACCAAGACATAGGTGCGGTTTTTCGGATTGAACGAAATCAATGGCGGTATTCCGATACCTGGAAAGGGTAAGCATCTCAACATTGGTCTGGACGATAGGAATAGATATTGAATACCTTATTTTTCCATCGATGTGAGTGAATGGAGCCCACATGGTGCCGAATTCATTGCCATCAAGTCTTCCACTTTCCTTTTCCATCATCATAGATAACGCCTTCACTTGATGACTGTGAATATTTAGAGGTGGAATTAGTGAGAAGAACCAAAAGAGGTATCGGATTAAGGAGAGGTGCCAATCTTACGGTTTCAGTGACGTGCGCAAACGGGAGCTTGCCCGAATTTCAGCAAAATGTTGAGGACCTTCGGCGGAATCAAACACCTGAAGAACTTTATATTTCAACGGATCGTCATCAGCCAAGATCGCGGAGCTGGAACATTCTGTACTTTGGTTATATGAATCTTGAATCATGTCTTCAGTACCTGGCCGGTACAAGTATTGCGGGTTGAAGTACGGTACTGATGGCTGGAATGCTTGAGGAGGCTGAAGGTATATCTCTGAATTACCTAGCAGCTCCCCAATAGCATTCGCGTTCTTTTGTTCTCCATGAACTGCAATGCACAATTTGTACTCCGCTAGTTTGTTCTCAACTTTGTTGGCCTTCTTGATCTTCTTTAGAAGCAAAAATGCAAATAAAGTTACAGTGAATCTTCCTAAGAGATCGACTAGGGGTTCCGAATTCTTGCGCTCGAGAAGCCCTCCGTATGCCATAGATTCGTAGTTGCGTACCGTTGCGATATGGCCATCGAATTTAAGCTTTACATCAATGCGAGATACATCAGTATTTCCGAGATTATCCAGTCGTAGGTTTGGAGCGTTTAGTTGTATCTGTTGACAGTTAGCTCATTCCCACTGGCAATATCACAGTAATGTTACCACCCCGAAGCACGTATCATAGTCCGGCTCGTAAAGTCGGGGAACAGGATCGGAAGTCTGGTTATGGACGAGACTATCTTCGGCCATATCTTATTAGACAATTAATAAATACTATACTCAATTCTAACGGGAGCTGGTGATTACCCGAGTATTGCCGTTCTGAAACTGAGTTGGTACTGGCTTCCGCATGTGATCCAGCCGGTGAGATCGGCCACTCCCGGATAGATGAGTATGAGTACGCACTATAGTCTTCCCGGCTTCCGGTATTGTTATCGGCTATGACAATTCGTGGTAGCAGCCCTGTAGTCTCAGCAGAGAGTGAATGCGGTGTATATCCATCTTCGGTTGGCGCAAACGACTGTGCATCCGGTGGCCTTTGTGCATCAAATGACCACTGTGGGGGAGTGAAGGTCTGTTCGAAGGGCTGTGGCGATGGACAAGTCAGACACTGTCTTTTTACACCCTCTGGATCAGCTTGCGTCTCCAGTAACTCCACCCACGACCGTTTGTCTCCATGAGGGTAAGCCATAATAAATGCTGGTCTGTGTCAGAACTGGTATGGGAGTAAGGCTTATATCGGGTCTTAGCAAAGCCTAGTTGATGCTAAGCCACATCATTCGACTTCCATTTACTTGCGTCACAACAGACTGCGCCATGCACTTTGCATTAATGAAGGATGTAGGACGCATGTCAGCCCGACGAAAGCCTAGCAGGCTGTAGTACAAGGGTCACGTGCATTGGCCCTCCCGCACCGCACATCTCGGCTGTGGCGCAGCCATTCAACTTTTACTTGCTCGAGTAACGTACATTTAGACTAGGGAGTACGTGGCGAAGCTGAAATATCAGGCGCCAAACGCATGGCGCGTTGCTTATCTCCACCCAACCGTGAGCTGCGCCATGCATCTCGCTTCCAAGGCTTCCACATGTGACATGTCGACCCCGCGGACACTCAGCCTTGCTGCCTGCAAAATAAGATCAATAGCTCCTGGCGTCTCTACTATAAAACCTACCACATCAAATCTGCTAGCCCGCAGATCACAAGTTTCTGTAGCCAGAAATGACCGACGAAGTCCGCTCCTGAGCCCGAATTACAGTAAATGAAACGGTGATGGCCTTATGCCCTACTGCTGAAGCCTTTGAAGCAGCAAAGAAAGAATTTATTAGCTCGGTCAGGAATGGAGAACCAGAAGTCTCACACTTCGCTTCCATAAGTGAAGTTTACGATGCCACAGAAGAGATTCAGAACGAACAATCAAAGTCTGGCACTCTCCGAAACCTTCGAATGATCCAGCCATATCTGGATTGCCTAAACCATTATGCCGGGGTTATCGAGACTTTTGCACAGGTCAAACCTGACGTGATATCACTCATATGGGTACGGCTTAACCATGATTCGTTATCTTATCAAACGAGACATGCTGAGTAGCTTTAGGGTCCAATCAAGATGATCTTGCTTGTACGTCACTCTGCTTCATGTTGTCGATTATCACTACAGAGATGGGTTGCTACTCATATGGTTTTTTTTGGCTTTGAATGTTGGAAAAAATACTTTCACTTTACTGACTTGCAAACTAGGTCACTAAGACCTACGTCAAAGGGTATGAAAAGATATGGGACGCTATGGCTCAAGTGGGAGCACGGCTGCCTCAATTTGAGAAATATGCCCGAGTTTTCGAGCAATATTCTCAGATCAAACAAGTACTTTGTTTGTTCTATAAGGACATACTTGAGTTTCACTTCACATTACTGGAATTCTTCCATCTCAACAGTATGCATAATTCTTAAATTACGTTCGCTTATACACTAACAAATTGACGATAGAAAGGAGAATGTTCTTCGAGAGCATTTGGCCGAAGTACTTCGGCAAGATCCAATTGATCATTGAGAATATTGAGAAACACCGAAACTTGATGGACAGCGAGGTCACGCTGGCCAACATAATGGAAGCAGATGCTGCACGACTCGATGCATACAGGAGATACGAGCAGAACCAAGAATTCCAACAGCGTCAAGATTTCAACACAGCAAAAACTTCTTTATCACCGGCCCTATACGACCACGAACTTGAAAGGATCAAAAGGGAATGTTCAGTCCAATCTGGTAATTGGCTGGAAACACTTGAGCAATTTCGAAGCTGGTTGGACCCCAGCAAGTCGACGACAAGGCTGTTTTGGCTCCAAGGGATTCCAGGTGCAGGTTCGTAGTTTTTATTCTCCCTGTTATCATACTGTCTTTAGATACTTATGATTTGTAAAGGAAAAACATTCCTCACATCACTCATCACGCGCCGTATAAAAGAACGAAAGGATCCTTTAGCTTTCGCTTTTCTTTCCTACCAGGCTCGAGATGAAGCTTCCACTTTGAAAGTACTTCACTCCTTCATTTTCCAATTGGCTATCGAAGACCAGAGTCTGCAGCCACTGGTCTGTTTTGCTCATAAAAACAGCCCTCGGGAGCTTTCTAGTAGTGTTGACTTCGCCCAAGGCCTTCTCAAAGATCTACTGAAGAATCTACCTGCAACATACATTGTAATCGACGGGTTGGATGAAATATTAGAAGTTGAGCGAATATTTCTCCTCGATATTTTGCTCGGTTTACACATTGAGCATGATAATCTCAATCTGCTATTTAGTAGCAGAGCCGAACATGATATTTCCCGGCTTCTGGAGCCCAAGGCTCAACCAACCCGAGTCCAGGATAGAAACAGTCAAGACATTCAAGTGTATGTCGAAAAAAGAAGAGATGGATGGCTTCGGAGGCTTGATATCGACCTTGAAATCGCGAACGAGGTTCGTTTGCTTATGGAAAATATCGGGGAGCGTGCCAAAGGTAAGAAAGTCTATGTTATATTCTTACAAACCAATGTTAACAAGTATAGGTATGTTCATGTATGCGAGGTTGGTGTGTGACAACTTGGAACTCCAAACCGACCTTGATGCCATCAAAGAGGAAGCAGCCAACCTCCCAAGCGGACTGAATGAAGCGTAAGTACCCGCTATGAGCGCATATAAGATTGCAATCAGCTTACGTGAAAAGATACGGGCGAATTATGGTTAGAATCCAGCAGGACCTTAGACCGCAAGAACGTCGTGAAGCAAAGCAAATTTTAGAATGGGTTGGTTGCTCGTTAAGTCCAGTGTCCGAGAACGAGATAAAACTGGCACTCCTGGTATCGCGTGGCGGAGACTTATCTAAAGGTCCTCGAGGGATCTTTACAAACATATTCCAACGATGTGGCCCAATCATCGAAACCGTGAACGGTTTCATTCAATTTGTTCACTTCAGTGCAAGAGAGTATGCTCAAACGGCACCACTATTGTCTTGACTAAGCTGATCCTGCATAGGTATCTGTTCCACACACATAGTGGACGATATTTGAAAGAAGCTGATGGGCATGCAAACATTGCTTCGGCTTGCATTCGCTACCTTTCATCTGACTGCTTCGACCCGCATGTTCAGGATAGCTCTATGCAAGAATTCGTCGTCAAAGGATCCTACGTTTTAGAGAACTACGCCTACCTACACTGGTTTGACCATGTTCAGAAATGCGCTGACGTAGCTCCGGAAACGATTTCAAATGAAATCAAAGACCTTGCAGGAAAGCGAGCCAACCTTGGTTTCGATCGAACCAGCGGAACCAATTCTTCAAATTTAGTCTACAAGGTCTTCCAAAAATTTCCTGTAGACTTGCACGAGATCCTTCTTGACATGAGTGCCTTCTGGAGATCGCGGAATCACAACTTCTGCTTTGAGACCGGTAGGTTACCATGAGAAGCTTGAAAAACACCCCAAATCCTCGATACGTTTGTTAACCTATCAAAAGTTGAATCGTGGAAGAATTTCGACCCACTCATAATATCCGCGCAACACTCTCGAATACAAACTCGCCTGGAAACAATACTCTGTTCAACCCAAGCGACGCATGAGCCAGGATGCAAATGCACAGTGTTGCAAAGCACATATGGTACCTGTCTCTACAAATGTAGTAGGCCAGGATGCCCCCGATTCAGAACTGGGTTCGATAGCAACAAGGAAAGAGTGAATCACATACAAGCTCACAATCGACCATTCAAATGCGATTCCAGGGATTGTCCTTACCGAGAGTTCGGCTTCACGACTAAAGCACTTCTCCAGGATCACACAAACAAGCTCCACAACAATAACATTGGGACACCCTTATCTCAACTAGATACAATAAGTGACATCGAGGATGCCAGAACCATTATCGAGGATGCTATAATCTTCAACGATCTCGATTTAGTTCGTAGCCAGAGGGAAGTAGTTCGATCCTGCGGTGATATATTGATCCCCCTTTGTGTTACAAGAAGGTCATCTAGTGAAATGCTTCGGTTACTTGTGGAAATCTGCAAGGGTAGAAAATATAAGGTGCGGGACATTTTCACTGTTTTCGACGCTAAAAAAGAAGACTATGAGCATTTGCGTATCCTATTGGAGAACAAGATCATCCCCGTCGGCACTTTCTACAGCATCGCTGCCAGTGCATCACCAGAAAAATTCGAGCTGTTTGCTAAATTTGATGCAGAGATTGGAGATACTTACAATGAACTGTTCAACGCGCTGTTACCTATGCGGCCGAACACTTCAGTTGAGATCCAAGCTGTCAAATGCATTCAAGCCATGGAAAAGGTCATGACGGTCAGAGGGTACGAAACATGTCTCTCGGTTCTTGCAGAACGCTGCTGCTCTCGCCTGATCGCAAAATATTGCCTCGAAAATGGAGCTGCTGTGGACTATTCATCGCCGACGCCATTGTGGAGGGCTGCAGGGAGAGGCACAAAAGAAGCAGCTGTTCTTATGAAGCTTTTATTGGACTTTGAAACCAGCCTGGTTTTCTTTTAAAAGCTAATTACACCAACGCACTAACCGCTGGCTGCGTCTAGGTGCCGCCCTGTTCTGGAATAGAATTGACAGAAATATCGTCAAGGTAGAAAGTACCGTAATCGCCATCAAGTACTCCCATTGTCAGGGAGCACGAGACATCAAGTATAAGCGTGTCATGAGCCACGTTAGCAACGAACGGGCCCGACGCAACCTGCATCCAATCATACGGACTTGTGACATCGAAATTGTCGATAAGGTTATTCTCCATCGCCGACTGCAGATAGGCATAGACCCTGCAGTCGGTTATGGCATCTTGCGGCTCAGCGCGATTGATCCATAAGTCGATCGAGTACTGCGTTCCGGGTGTGAACGTCACGGCTTGTTTAATCAGGACGTCATTAGGGCCTGGTCTGTTATACCAGCTGACACTGAGGGAATTGGAGCCGGTGTGCACCACAGCGGTCCTGCCGCCGATGAGATAATAGTCAGGAGCTCCCTGGACTACCCAATTATCGAAACTAAAGGTCTCGAAATCACCATTTTGGATAACGTTGACGGAGCTGGGAGTGGCGGTGGCGGAAGCGAAAGTCTCTGTTGAGGTAGCCGATGGAGTAGCATCAGTGGATGTAGAATCAGTGGATGTAGCTTCAGTCGATGTAGCTTCAGTCGAGGTAGTAGCTTCAGCGACACCAGTCGGGGTAGCAGACGTAGCAGCATCTGTCGAAGTCTCAGTTGCAGTGCAGCCGCTGACGCAAGTAATAACAAGGTCATCCAGGCGGTATAAGCCATCGGTGTAGCCCGAAGTCATCAAAAATCCACAGGTGGTGGTGATAGTGAGTATATCTGACGCGTCGGTGGCAGTGAAAGGCTCCGACGTAAACTGCTGCCACTCAAAGCTGCCCGTGAGTTGCGGTTGAGAGATAAGCGAGGACGACAAAGACTGAAGACCGGCTTGGAGATTGCACGAAGTAACACCTGCATCTTCCAACTGGATCCACATGCTGAACGTGTACTGCGCGCCAGGAGTAATGTTGATAACTTGTTTGGTTGCAGCCGACGGACCACTATACGCGTCCCAACTTATTGCAAGGCTGTAAGTGCCGGAATGACTGTTGTAATCAAGGGAAGAATATTGCGCGGTAACAGACCACGGAGCAACGACAGCATCTTCGAAGTCTCCGTTCACGATGAGGGTACCAGCGGGACCTGCGACAGAGGTGGTAGTAGGAACATCTGTCGTGGTAGCCTCGGCGGTAGGGGATGCCGTCTCAGTCGCAGAAGTTTCGGCGGCAGAAGTCTCGGCGGCAGTAGTCTCAGTTGCAGAAGTCTCCGTGGCAGAGGTCTCGGTGGCGGATGCCGCAGTGGTGAGAGGCCCAGTGCTGTCGGCAGCAGTCTCCGTCGTGGAAGCAGAAGCGGAAGCAGAAGCACTGCTCGACGCGGTGTCGTAGACTGTAATAGTTGAGGCAGGAACATAGGTCAGGGTGAAAATCGGACGCCCAGCCACGGTAATTTGTGTCGGAAACGAGGAAGCAGGAATAGTAATGACAGAGAACGAGGGTGCGGAGGTCGTCGTTCCCGTGACTACAGGAGTTGTAGAGAATGAGGTAGAATCCGTGGAAGCGGCGGTAGAATCTATGGAAGCGGTGGTAGAATCTGTGGAAGTAGTATCCGAAATATCCGTAGCGATGGCACTGCTTGACGGCGTGGCATAAACAGTGATGGTTGAAGCGGGAAAGACGGTTGTGACGGTAAGCACAACGTCACGCATGGTTCCGTAAATCGTAGATGTGGAAGCAGGAATGACAACCACAGAGAATGAGGGCGCGGAGGCCGTAGTTTCCGTAGCCACAGGAGTCGTAGAAAGCGAGGTAGAATCCGAGGAAGTGGCGGTCGAAATGGAGCCCTCAGTAATAGTGGTAAGCGTAGTGGAGGGGAGAGTAATCGCTGTAGCCGAGGCTGATCCAAAGACAGTAAATGTAGAAGCAGGAACACTGATTGTGCTGACAAGGGTGGTAAATGACTGCGTGACAGTGGTCAAGGAGGTAGTGCCAGGGACAACAACAGTAGAAGGTGAGACCTCGGCAGTAGTAGTAACAATCTCTCCGGGAGCAGAGACTGTAACAGTTGAAGCTGGAACACGGACAGTGCTAACAAACGTGGTGGACGACTCCGTAACGGTGGTCAAGAACGTAGTGCCAGGGACAGTGACAACAGAAGACGAGGCCTCTGCAGTGGCCGTGACACTTTCTTCGGGAGCAGAGATTGTGACAATAGAAGCAGGAACACGGACGGTGCTGACAAGCGTAGTAAACTGCTGCGTGACGGTGGTCAAGGAGGTAGTGCCAGGGATGGCGACAACAGAAGTCAAGGCCCCCGAAGTGGCAGTGGCAGTGACAACTTCCTCGGCTCCGGAAACAGTAATAGTAGAAGCAGGAACCTCAACAGTGCTGATGCTTGTAGTGCCAGCTCCCACAACCGTGGTCGTGTAAGTGGTACCGGGAATAGTGACGAAAGACGGCGCGCCAGTGGCCGTCACAGTAGAGGCAGGGGCAGTAACCGTGCTGATGATTGTAGAGCCCGACTCGACGACAGTAGTCGTGTAAGTAGCCCCAGAAACAACAACAGCAGAAGACACCGCGGCGCCCGAAACCGTAACAACCGACGGCGCAGCAGTGACCGTAACGACGGACGGCGCCGCCGTAACAGTGACGACAGACGTAGCAGCCACAACCGTGCTAACAACCGTAGTGCCCTGCAACGTCACGGTCCTGACCTCCGTCGAGCCCGGCACCGTCCGCACCTCCGTGGATCCAGGCAGCGTAACCACAGCCGTAGAGCCGGGCACGCTGACCACGCTTGCGCTACCTGTGACTGTGACAACAACTGGCGCGGCGGAGATGGTGACAACAGATGCCGGGACCTCGACGCTGTGGACCGCAGTGCCCGTTGCCAAAGTGACGGTCGTCAGGCTCGTGCTGCCGGGAACCGTGACGACAGCCGGGGAGCCATAGACTGTGACGATGGATGGCGCGCCGGGGATCGTGGCAACAGACGGGATGGGGTTCTGCACTGGACCAGAGTTGGAGCCAGAGCCAGAGCCAGAGCTAGAGCCGACGATTACAGGCGCGGACACCGCGGCAACGGCGGAAGAAGAGACAGCAGCAGCAGGCGGCGCAACGGCAGCACCAGTGCCCTGTGCCTGGCCCAGCGTGACAGTCCGCGTGATAGTCTCCGCGGGCAACACCTCGCCTGGGATAGTGACGACGCGGGGCTCGCCGGGAACGGTGAACGTCAGGGTCTGCGCGGGTGCGGAGACAGAGAGGGAGAGCGATTGCACGAGCGACTGCGCAGGAAGCGTCACAGTGACGGGAACGGCGGAAAGAGTGACGGTTTGCGTGGCGGGAACGAGATGGATTGTTAATGTGGATACGGTGGTAATGATTGAAGTGCCTGCACTGGTCAGCGGGGGGATTGGCGGGATAACAGGGGAGGGAGCAACGTACGGACGTCAGTGACAGTGATAGTCTGCGCCTGCGGAGTGAGCGTGGCTGTCGTGGTGACGGTACCGACAGAAGGACATTGCTGCTGCTCGCTGCGACGCAAGGCCAGGTTCGGGAATGCAGACGCCGCCGCGGCGAGGGCCGCGATAAGGACGGGCTTCATGCTCGTGAGCTGGTAAAGGAAGGACTGGAAAAAGCGATGACAGACGGCTCATCTGGAGGGCATCAATTGAATATATACACCTTCTTCTCCTTCTCCTATCGCTCCACAACAATAATACATCTCAGCCGCACGCACGAGTCCGTGGCGCATGGCTGCGTTAGTCGACAGCTGAACGTGAGCGCCACATCGATCCTTTGTACCTTAAACGCCAAAACTTCACACTTGCGTCTGAAGGGGACTGAGGAAGTCCATGTTCGGCGCCTGTACCTCCGCTGCGCAGCAATGTTAGTCCTGGTACATTGCGTTGATGGTACTCAAAAACGGGCGAGGTAGCGAAAGACGATGGTGTTGAGATCAAGGATCGTGCACGTGGAAATGAGCTGGCCCCTGATGCCCTTGATGCGGACAAGCTCGGCCTTGGCACGTTGTCGCAGGAAGGGAAGACGAATGCGGAGCCGATCCTATAGCGGCATACCTATCGGTGGTGGTGCCACCGGTAGCGCTCGTGGTCGTGATCCTGTAGTCGGGGACTTTAATAACGGCGGTAGCACAGGCCATCGTAACTGCTGCTATCGTGATGTGGTGCGGGTAGAGAGGTGAGTATGTGCGGTCAGTTTGCGTTCGTGAGGATCATCCAATCATCTTCTCGTGCCAAAAAAGCCAAGGGCAAGATCCCCACCAATCCCAATCCGACCTTACCATTGTCTTGGCACACCGCCAGGCACTTACTGTATAACGAGCAATCTACCTAGGAGGGAGGCAAAGAACTCGCGTACACACGCGCGCGCAAGTGTGTATACTGCTACGAGCCGTGGCGAACGAACGAGTCAACCGTCCAGCGAAACCACCGTACAGCTGCGCAGTCCGTTTTTATGGCTCCGCTGCACTTTCTCGGTCGCAAAACCGCGAAACACAACTTTCTTATCCCATTTTTGCATTTGTCTGTCCCCGCCTCGCCGCACCACAGGGCTACAGTGCTCGCTTGCACGTTGCGAAGCGGTCTGGCCTGATGACGCTGCCGGTGCGGTCCGGTCGGCCTGCTTGGTGGGAGAGGAAATGTGTGTAGTCCACTCGGTTCGAAACTGGGAATGGTTTGTCGCGAGGTGCCGGACTGAGAGCACGAAGACGATGCGGTGCGGTGCGGTGCAGAAATGCGTGTAGGCCTGTCTTTCCCGCGCCTGTCACTCTGGTTCAGTCCGAGGTGTGGATGTGGTCAAGAGTTGCCGCCGTCATGTTACAGATCATCCTGTGTATATATTCAGCCATTGGTTGCAGACACAGAAAATGCGTGCCATGCGGGAGTTGTATGGAAGTGTGAATACTGGGATCGTGGAAGGGAAGACTCACCTGCCCGGGTATTGCTGTCGCATGTCGCGCCGTCGATGGAATCGCTAAAGGCTAACCATAGCGAGTGATCAATTGCGAATGTGTGTGCCGGGAGATCATCGCCCTGCAAACAATGGGATCGCGGGATGGCGGTTGTTGTTTGTGGAGATGGACGGTAGCAGCTCGCAAGGTCGCGCGTGCGTCGCGTGCATCGGCCTTCCCCGCATGTGACGAGAGCTCCCGTTTTTCGTATTTAGCTAGCAGGGATGTTTTTCCAGAGTTAGCTTGATAAAGTAGGCGTTAGACTCAATTCAGGAAGCGAAAGCGAGCTTCCATCCGGAAAAACTTCTCCCTCTTTACCTTGGAAATACTAGTGCTTCCCTCAAGTAGTTACGGCCGGAAAAACATCCCTGCTAGCTAAATACCAATTTGTACGTACTTTCCTGCCAAAAACATCAAGACATCCTACCTAACCATCTCGACTCGCTTCCCACCCACCGCCTTTCATGACCCTCGACGGCGGCTAACAATCGGTACTCGGCTTGAAGCGGCATGCAGTAAGAGGAGAGAAGCTGGCAGATCGAACAGTTGTGGCGGTATACAGCTGGGAGGACAAGAGCAGCAGAACATCAGGGCGGATGGCACTATGAGTAGATGGGTGAATTGGTGCGGAGACAGAGCCAGAAATGGAGGTCTTTTGGTGCAGCAGACTCGCATTGAGGCCCTAAGAAGAATGATTAGTATCAAACAACAGAGCCAGCAAACATCTTTAAAAAGAAGACTTCCCGCGAGAACCGCCAGCCGTTACCTTGTGTTGCCGTCACTAATGTCGCCGATATAGATTCATGAGAGATGGACAAGAGGTTGAACGGGATCAAAGTGGTTGGCTATTATTCCGATCCGTTGGAAGCGTCTTGGGGAGATGCGTGATGGTCTCGTCTCCGTGCCGGGTAGCTGGGGCGTGCCCTGCAGAATCCGGAAGAGCGGCGAAAGAAGAGGATGACTCACGGGGTTTCTTCTGTCGCATAGGTTCCATATGTCTCAACCGCTAAGGGCAAGGGGAAATAAATCTTGAGCGCTGTAGTTTGTAGGGTAGATGTGTTCCGTCGACTCGACTGAGTACGACCAGGCTCACTTGGCACCGTCTACAAGACAGTGAGCCTCAGTACTACGTCAAGGTGGAGCCTTGCTCAGGTACAGATCCATCATCGCCTACTGCATGTCAGCAGCCTCGCTGCGGAAACCTGCCGCCGGCCCGCGATACAATCCGTATCAGAACGCGCCTTTTCCAGCTATGCTCCGCGTCTATTTATTGCGAAAACAACTAGTTTAAGGGCTCTTCCTTTGCCTTGGTCTCAGCCGCTTTTGGAAGTGTGTTCCGGTCTACATGACCATCACCGGAATTTCCATGGATGGACCCCTCCCCAGTCTTGATGGATTCATCCTCGGTCTTGATGGATTCGTCCTCGGTCTTGATGGAGTCATCCTCAGATTCCAGGTGTTGGGCAATCCTCTCCTCAGAGCCGATCAGGGAAGGATCTGACTTGATCTCGGGCTCCTCCACATGAGCTTCCTCCACAAAAGTTTCTTTGGCAAGAGAGTATTCCTCGTCAGAAGTGTCATTGTTGGGAGGAATAACGACAGCCGAGGCCTTTGCCTTGGCACTTGGATTGGCTGGAATGGTAGGGTCGCTGCCAGCCGCTTGCTTGGCCAGTTTTTTCTGCTTTCTCACCCTCGCCCGCTCCTTGCGACCTGGGTTCTTGGGCCTCTTGGGAGCCTAAGTACAGGTCAGTACTTCATTAGAAACGCCGACAAAGGGATCGCATACCTCACCAGCGTCTTCGCCAGCTGCTTTTCGGGCCTCCCACTTCTGCTTGTTCTCCCTCCACCGCTTCATGGGACTACGATTCTTCCTCTTCTTCTTGCCAACCTAAAGACAATTGGCACTTGTTCGAACACACTGGCAGGACAAGGGCATAGGAATTACTCACAGTTTGTCCAGAATCACCACCATGACCTGCGCCAGCCTTGTCGTCACTAGTGACATATCCCTCGGGTATGTTGGCATCGGAATCGCCAGCATCATGCTCCGCGCTGTTCAGCTTCTGCCTCATGCGCTATTCGTATGCATTAGTCAAGTCGTGGGTTGACATTTCGAGGTCAACTCACACTAGCAGTGTGCAAAGGCGCCTGGCCGGTTATCCAGCCGGCCCAGCCGGCCGGCTGCAGTAGCCACGCCTGACCCTGGAGTGGCTTTTTTAGCGCTAGAAGCTGCCTGGCTGGTGGGGCGGCTAGGCGGGCTAAAGCAGAGGCTACTCTATAATAAACCATGGTGTTGAAGAGTTGAGAGGGCCGAGAACGCAGTGGTGGTAGTGAAGGGTTTGGGGTGGCTTAGTCATGAATAAAGCCCTAATGTTAGACATTATTAGGCAACATGGCGGCGTTTCTTTGCAAATCTCGCACCTCCTTGCCTACACCATGCCAAGCCTTCGTGATAATGACTGTGCGTGGCCGGCCGGCCCGCCGGGCTGGGCCTGCAGCCCATTTTAACGCTAGCAGGCAGTGGGCGGGGCGGCTGCACCCCTGACCGGGTGAGCCAGGCCACGGTCGGCGACTTTTCACACTGAAGCCTAGGTAGTAGCTACTCTGGCACCTCGGCTCTGCACCCGTCTGCTCTTCCTGCGACAACATTACCTAGCTTCCCTAGGGACTACCTACGACCATGGCGATAATGGAGTAGTCGCCTCGCACCCGATGTCCCAGCCAGCTTCACCCCATCTGCGCAGTCATTTTCAGCCATCGTTACAGTGCGACCGATTCCTGTCCTGATGCCTATAGCGCCCGCAGATTCTGGCAGATTCATCGCATCCGGCAGCTCTGCAAAGCAAGACTGTGTGAGAGAGCTACCTACACGCGGGCAGCGCGTGACGCGACGCGACGCGGCGCGCTACTGCCTGCTGCCTGCCAGTTTGTAGCCTGCGCTCACCAGCGCTGTCTTCCTCTCACCGGCCGCCATCACCGTCAACCTGACGGCTGAATACCTGCCTTGTGCAAACGCTTCATCACGTACGTACGTCTTACCGGCTTCTGCATTGCTGTTTGACTGTATACTAATTAAACAAGTAGTAGATAGACAATGCCGTTTCGCAACGTCACCATCCATCTTAACGGGCCTGTACGTGATGTGACGCATATACTATAGGTCGGAGATTCATAACTGACGGATTGTCTCTATAGTTGACCCCTGAGTCTCGTCAGCTGGCTTTAGAGTTAACTGCCGCTGTCCAAAACGCCACCGCAGATACAACGGGGGCTCATGTCTCCGCTTCGGTTTCGGTGAGTGAAGACTAGTTTTGGTTGTACTAGATTGAAGCTAACATGTAACACCTAGGCCATGAAGAAGACGAACAAGAAGAAGGGCAAGGAAAAGAGACTTCCTGCCGCCCCCTCGAAGCCCGATACCGAGCCCACTCACCCTGCCGATGGCGGCCGCCGCATTAAAGTATCCAACTTGGACTACCAGGCTAAGGAGAATGACGTCCGGGCGTTTTTCCGAGCATTTAAAATGTAAGCTTATCTATTAACTACAGCAATAGTGCTAACATCAACTATAGTATTGATATTCTCGTACCGGAGAATTCCTCAGGCGGTAACCGTGGCTATTGCTTTGTCTCGTTGTCATCGCCCCGTGCTGCCGCTGTGGCCATCGAGCTGCTCAGAGAGAAGATGATCTGCGGGCGTATGCCCAAACTCTCTGGCTAAAGAGTTCGCCGCGAAAAAGACCACCTCCACCGATGTCGTTGCCGCTAGGGAGGCCTTCGAGAAGGCCGTAGAGAAGGCTGTTGGCGCTAAAGACGAGGCTGTCGCCGCTAAAGCAGCTTACGAGAAGGCTTTGGCCGCCGCCGCTACTGCTGATGCTATTACTGCTGCTGCTGCTGCTGCTGATAATGATGCTGACGCTGACGCTGATGTTGATGCTGGTGGTGGTGCTCCTGTGGAGGTGGATGAGTAAAAGTAGATAGCAAAGATCGAGGTAAAGTAGAGAATATTTCGGAGGGAATGAGAACTAGCTAATCTACACTAACGTATCCTCCTTTTCCTCATCTACCTATACTAAGGTGATAACTATATACGGTACGTCATCCATATTTATAACCTCCCCACGCATGATGCCATGAACGTAACACTCGCCTACGAGCCTATACTTATCTCCGTCAGCCTTTCGGATGATGAATGGAACATTGCATCCAAACAAAACGCAAACAATATCGCCTGGCTTTGCCTGCCGTGGTAGAAGCCCGAGGTACCCCTTCGCTGTCGTGCCCAATCGCTGGTTCCGTATAGCACTACGCAAGGCACTTCGAATCTCCTGGTATACTAACGCCGGAGTCCTCGAATATAAATTCGCCAACTCTAATTTCCCTTTCCCTTCGGGCCTCCGCTGCCGCGCGGAGTATGTCTGGTCAGGGAAAGTAGGGCACTGTCCTGTTGTCTCGTCCAACAGCAGGCTGAAGACTTCAGCAAATGTTGCCGGACTCTTCTGCCTCCCTTCGCCGTCCTTCCCCGCAACGAGAGTGTGCCAGAATGCCTCGAAAAGCATGCACCCACCCGGATAGGGAAAGCATTGCTTTGCTAGTTCTATCCATGGGAGAATATGCTGGTTGGTGCTTCGTGGGTCCTCGTGCGCGATGTTGGGAACGGTGCACACCTCCGCCGTCTCCTTTACGACGTCGAATATTTTCCCTTGTACAAGGAGTTCCTTTCTATTTGGGTGAATAGAAAAAGAAGGGCACCACCATCTACCCGAAGCCGCATATACCCCATCAGAGCTGGTTGAGAATCCCAAGGAGCTAGTTTGCCTGCTTAAGCTCCAGTCGGGAACCCACGAGGGTAGATCTTGAAGCTTGGATATATGGTCCACGCAGCTCAATAATCGCGGCAGACGGGCGGTATCGGTCCTCAAGCAATCTAATGCAACCTCGTAGTACAGATCCGCTACACTCGAATCTTCATCGTAGCTGACCTTAATCCCATTTGAATCACAGATGCCGAAGAGACCGTATACTTTATCCCGAGGATCAAAACACTGCGCATTGCGGGTGTTGGCGAGAGTACTGAACAAAGATAGCTTGTCCGTCTGACCGTGGAAGCAATACCGCTCAGAACTCAGCACTTGTATTGAACGACATCCGCCGGTCTCTGAATCATATACAGTATTTCCATGCTTATTCTGGAGCCAAGTGGAAAACCCGGTTAGTACTAATTTGTCGCACGTGCCGGCGAAGTCCTTCCAGTAGGCGATCGTGTTGCCGCATATAACCCATAGGAAATTGGACAGGATAGTTTCTTGGATGATCCACAGTCGCGAAAACCACTTTCGGTTCAGCATTTCCCAGAGGTGCTTCCAGATAGGATCATCGGGGTGGGGTAAAAACAGTCGCTCAAACTCCTCGGGATTGGGAGATCTGTCTTCGAACTGAAACATTGTGTCGATCAGCTCCAAGAGCTTGAACACCTCTTCCGACCTGTCAGTGCCTTCACCAAGCCAGATGGCGGTGTTGATAGCGTGCGAGTAAATCTTGGACATGAGCGAAATTTGCTCTTCTTTTTCTCGAGCGTCGTTCTGGTTTATGCAGATTTGGTCTACCCACAAGTTGATGGAGTGCTCCTTGTGTCGAAAGTGACGCAAAGCCATCTCCAGCGAGCGCGTTATGGGAAGCTTGAAGCCATCACAATCGATTAGGGTGTCTGTGCCAGGGTTCGCCACGCCCCATGTGTAGCTTAAAGCTGTATATCAGACGAGCTTCTCTAAGTTATCTGAGGCGAGAGCATGCCGAGTCTGGAATAAAGAAGAAGATTTAGGGCCCTTGGGGTTAACGTCAATTGTGTACTCAAATTCCACAGAGCAGTGATGTAGTGATCCTCTAAGATCGTCCCAAAAGTGACCGGGATAGATTTCGAGAACTCGGATCTCCTGAGCGTTGCATATTGGGCGGTAGAAGCCTCGAGGTTCTCTAACGTTGTTGATGATGCTCTGGTCGTGTAGCTGCTGTTGAATACTCTGATTTTTTGTTTTTTTTTGGTCGCCGCCCAACGAGCAATCTGTTTTTTAGAGGTTATTCTCCATAAATCCCGTCGATAGACGTTGGCAGCCTCTGCGGTGATGCCATCTGTTCGAGCGAACTGGAAAGTCTTTGGGTTTACAGATATCGAAAAATTTGCTTCCATCTGATTGAAATTCCATCTCTTTTTAGATTGCTCCTTCTCAAAATGCCGTAAGTATCAATCACTGCTAAAGATCGCAGGGAAGACGGCGAAGACAAAAAAAAGTTGTAAAAATCTTGCTTCGGTGCGGCTGAAACATGTTGGGCGCGTCGTCAACCTATCAGGATTGTTCCCTTTTACTGGCCCCCAAACTCATGGATACCGACCCCGCAACGGGCCCACAGAGCCGGGGTGCCACGCCCGTTGACGAATCACTATACAGAGTTATATTTAGCTGTTACACCCGCTCCTGCATTTAAGTGTCTCGTTCCTCTGCAGCTTGCTAGAACGAAGCCTCCATCTCGTTGATTTTCAACACCGTAAACAACCTCTACGGTTAAGGTGAAAGAACCATGGACCGGGTAACATTACCCCTTACAGTTTTGCTGGGTGCACTCATCCTGATTATCTACCAGGGACTCTCAAAACCCGTCGCGGCTAAGGCTGAAGCACCTAAAAAAGAAGACACCAATAGAAAAGATTTGGCCTCGCAGACTTTCCGATTACAGCTCATACCCGCATCATTTGAGGGCCACGATACCACTGAAAAAGATGTACAAAAGTTGGTGAGGGAAGCGTACACTGTAGAGAGCGATATTGCAATTTCGGTGCGGTCGCTCGCTAGACATCACACAAGGAAAGATGAGAAAGTGGCGACTATCAGCTTTTCGGAAACGCCTCTTCGTCTGGCTCAAACACCGAAATCGGTTCAGGAGTTCGATTGCGTTGCACCGTTCAGAGTACGATTGGACATCAATTTCCTCGGTCTTACACCATTACACTCCCACGACAACCCCGAGAGCAGCCTTGAGTGAGTAATCTCTCTTGTTGTGCCTTCATCTTTCTAACAGCTTTTTACAGCATTGTTGCACTGTCAGGCTTGAATGGCCATGCATTTGGCTCCTTCAAACGGAAAGGTGGTGACTACATGTGGTTACGGGATGACTTGTGTCAATCCTTGCCAAATGCTCGTGTTTTTATCTATGGATACAGAACGGAGATGGTAGGGAGTGATTCGTTCCAGAGCCTTGAGGATTTGGGCCTGTCTTTCAAGTCCACCTTAACAGCGCTTTTTAACTCCAATGATAGCGTGAGCAGCACCAAACACTTCGCAATAGTTATCACCATTCTGACTACAACTTTAGAACCGCTCGCCAAATCCACTGGTCCTAATCGGCCACAGTCTTGGTGGCCTTGTCATCAAGCAAGTGAGATATCCCCGCTTTGGTTTCAAGGAGATCAAGTTAGCTAATGATCTGAAGACACTGTGTCAAATGTCAGAAAATAATGCAGCCAGGGAGCTATCAATCCTGAAATCCATTTATGGAATCATGTTTTTCGGCACGCCAAACCAAGGCATGGACATTTCATCGCTTGTGCCGATGGTCCAGGGGCAATCAAACGAGGACTTTGTGCGTTCTCTTGGACTCGACTCCCCAGAACTACGCCATCAAGCCAATCAATGGTATCGTGTATTCCAAGCGCGCGAAGGAGACAAAGTCGCATCGGGTCTGGAAATCATATCGTTCTACGAGACAAAGAACTCTCCAACGGCTATCAAGGTAAGATATAAATGCGACCCTGCACTGTGCTTCTGCTAACAGATTGCAGGTCGATGGTAAATGGAAGATGGGTGGAGAACCTGCCAAGCTGGTAGACAGAAACTCCGCTACTCATGGTCGGCCGTTCGATAGCAACGAACACTACGTGCAGCCGATCGACCGCAACCATTCTGAGCTGGTGAAGTTTCAATCAAATGTCGACGATGTATATACCGAGAAGGTTTTTCCTTTGCTCAAAGGGTTTTACGATACAGCAAGAAATCGTTAGTATAAGTACTTAGAAAGCAACATATGTCTTTGGCTAATAGGTTAAGCAGAGACTTCTCTAAGTTAGCATCATCACCACAACAAAAAGAACTAGAAAATTTCCGGCCGTCACCTTTCTTTCCCGAGGAGCAGATCCACGCGGGGCAGATTGTGGTAGCGGAGAAGAATACATGCAATCATTTTCCAAAGCACGAAATCTCTCAGGAATGGGCGAAGAAGAATGGGAGGACAAAGGTTATGAAAAGGCTACTAGATACAGGAAATATTGATGGGGAGTGAGGTTAGAGCATGTATGTGCGTAGATAGCTTCATAGCTCTCTTGTGTTAAGCATATTTCAAAGACTGGTTCCAAGACATTTGCCGGGTCGCAGGTCAGTGGCGAATTAGGGAAGAGGCTCGACGATTCATACTCTCACCGCATACGAAATACCTTAAACTTCTGAACAATATTATCCTCTACAGCTTCCCAAGAATGATGGCAACACACTGGCACATAAGGTAATTGCGTTTCTTTGTCTTTGAAACTCAGCAAACTAGAGCTAAACCCTCCCAGCAGCACGCTGCGCACCCGCAAGCAAAAACATCAACGCGGTGAATAGCCAGATCACTCCGCCTCATATTATATACAACACATCACACACGTCACACAGCAAGCCCCAAGCCCCAAACGAAAGAAAAAGAAAAAAAGACTCATTGACGCATCTACTCCCATCCCAGCCCAGCCCAGAACCCGTGGTATCACTATCAGCCGCCCTCTCCCTCTCCACATCTTCATCTACGCACGCACCCACGCACCCACAACCATCACCAGCAAGCCAGCAGCAAGCCAGGCCAGGCCAGACCAGCCTACAACTCCACGCGCCTCTGGACGCGCCTCTGCACCCGCCACCGCCCCTCCCCCAACACGCCGCCACCAACCCACTCGCCGACCCAGCCACCTCCCTCCTGCAGCGCCTTCTTGACGACGCCCGAGCGGGCGATGAAGGTCCTTTCTACCATTTCCCCCTCACCTTCCTTACCCACACCCTCACCTTCCTTTCCCTCACTCCCCTTTCTTTCGCCGTCCCTGGGTCCCTCGTCGTCCTTGGAACTCGGGTCCGCGTCCTTGGAACTCTCGCCCTCGTTGGGACTCGGGCTCGAAACGATCTCAACGACGCAATTATGCCACGGCGTCGGCGTCTGGAACGCGAATTCTGTGGGCTGGGGCTCGTCGACGGCGTCGAGCGATGCGATGACGGCGATGTTGCGCGCGGCGGGGAAGAGGCGGATCCCGAATTTGGGGCCGGCGTTGTTGTGTCTGCGCGTGTTAGTGAGGAGGTATGTGTATGTGTGCGAGTGAGAGAGAGAGAGAGAGAGAGAGAGAGAGAGAGAGAGAGAGTGTGTGTGTGTGTGTGGGGAGGGGGGTTAGGGTGGGTGTGTGAGAGGGAGGGGTGAAGGGGGAAGGAAAGGCAATCAAGACTTACGCGTGAATAGACAGCCGCACATGGTTAGGAAACAGCAGCTCGACAAGGTTCGAGTACGCGTGATTGCGCTGCCACGGCGGCCCAACATCAGCATTTATTTCATCCACAAAACAACCAAGAAAAACAAGGTAAGGGTGGAAGAGAGAGAGAGTGGAAGAGAGGGAGGGGAATAAATAGAAGCGCAAACAAAACTCACACCAATCATCTCCCCCGCACTCCCCGCCGCAACCCTCTTCAGCGCCTTGCGACTCAGCCCCCGACACTGGCTCACGGCGCTCAAATCCGTCTCCATAAACCTGCACATGCCCCTATACAGCGCCAGCGTCTTGGCGTCCCCGGCCTCGACCAGCGCCCTGAATGCGCGGGCGTCGATCGCGCACAGCCGCATCAGCAGGCCGCGCGAGAAGTCTGCGTCTGCGGTGCGGGCTGTCGGGACGGGGTGTGCGAGGTCTGTGGCGGCGGTGGAGGTTGCCCAGGCATTGTGGAAGAGACTGAAGGCGGGGGACGAGGGGCCGAAGATGTCTGTCAAAGACTTGAACCGAATGCGGCAGTTGCTGGGGGCGCGGCCGTGCAGCCGCTGATACAGCGTCTTGACGTCGGCGTCGTACGTGTCGACAGTCGTGTCGTCGGCGCCGACTGTGGTTGCGATATCATGTCAGTACGTACTCAAAACAAGCAAAACAAGCAAACCAAAACCTCAAACAAGCAAACAAGCAAAGCAAGCACTCACTGCAGTTGGCAAAAACATGCCCATCGCTAATAAGCCAGAACGTACACCCCGGTTCATACACCTCCGCGACGGCCTCCAAAAAGCCCTGCACAGCATCCAGCGCGATGCGCTCCGCGCGGTCGGGGATCCGTCCTCCGACCTTGTCCGGGTTAGGCGATTTGCATGGGAACGCCGGCAGACAGAGCTCGATGGGCTGGTTGGCGGCGACGAAGCCCTGCACGCGGGACGTGAAGAACGCGCGCCCGCCGCCTGTGGCCCATTGGTCGAGGGCGGCCGTGTTGCGCAGCGTCGTGGAGAAGATGGTCGCGATGTGCGCGGCGGTGGATTGTGCTTGCGCTGCCTCGGAAGTAGGAGTGGACGTGGTGGCGGCAGGGAAAGGCTGCAGCCTTGTCTCAAGCAGGAAGAACAGCAGCGCCCACGATTCAAAAGTCTCGGTCTGGTGGTGGTCGTCGTCGTTGTCGAGCGAGAGCGCTGACAGGTCCGTGATCGACGACTCGGGGGAGGTGAAGTACGACGAGCCCGGGGACGACAGCGACGACAACGACGACGGCTCCGTCGCCGTAGCCAGCACGCCGCGGACGAGCTTCCGCTCCTCGTCAAAGAGCTCGCGGACGTGGTAGGCCTGCGCGATACCCGGCGACGCGAGGGGCGAGTCGTGGCGCACGGGGACGGCGTATTCGTCGACATCGTCATTGTTGTTGTTGCCATCGTCGGCCACGGTCAGGTAATACGACTTCACTTCCTGCTGGCTGGGGAGGACGAGGCGGTGGTCCCCGCCGGGGGAGCGCGAAATGTGCTTCCAGATTTGCGGCCAGAGGGAGTGAAGGTGGGCGGTGCGGCGGCCTTCGACGGCGATGAGGGACCCCGAGGTGTCGCGCCAGTAGAGGCCGAGGATGCCGTGGAAGACGGAGGTGCCGCTGTTGAGGGACGCCATTGTGAGGGAGGTTGTGAGGATGGTTGGAGGTGGTGTTTCGGTTGTTTGTTTGAAGGGAGACGGAGTGGGAGGGGAGTTGGAGTTGGGGGACGGTGGGGGTATATAAATTAGGTAGGTTGATTAAAGGGTGAGTGCGTAGACTTGGCGAGGTGAGTGTGAAGGAGAGAGAATGAGATGTTAATGAATAGTACAGTGCATGTGCTTGGCAGTGAATGAGGAAAAAGTGACTGACGATGATGAAAGACCCGGTATTTATCTCCTCCCCCAAGAGAGGTATATTCACAGACGGTTTGTGTAGACGATCAGGCTGCCCTACCCTAGTCAGTGTGCCACATACCAAGGTCGGCGGACCCGAGCTGAGGACTGGTTGCCTGTACACCGCCCCGTCAAGTCAAATCCGTATTATAATTAGGATGCCAATAATGACAAAGCCTAGCACAGCGCCGTCAGAGCTAGAGAAGAAGACGGTCGGTGTCCCTCAGCCCCAGCTCGCAGCCTCGCTGACACTGCTCCCTACCTACCTACTCCCTAGCCCTCACCAGCTGGAAGCCACAAGGGCAGACTTAAGCGTGGCTCTGTCCGTACAGCAATCGTGATGGGCCGCAAGACTCACTATGCTCGTTGTTCTGCTCGTGTGCGCTGCGGCCGCCGCAGCCGCCCTTCTCCATCTCCTCCGCCGCATCGTTCTCCCTCCCCCCAACTTCCCCCAAAACATCCCCACCATCCCCTTCTACTACGCCCTGATCCCCCTCCTCCGCGACTGCGACCAAGAGCAGCTGTACCGCCGCTACCTCGAGGCCCCGCTGGCCGCCCACGGCGCCGTCAACCTCTTCTTCGGCGGGCGGTGGAACGTGCTGGTGCAGCGGCCAGCGTACATGCTCGACGTCTTCCGCCGCGAAGACGTCTACGCCAAAGCCGGCAACCAGGTCAAGATCCCCCATGCCGTCCTGGCCCAGTATACCGGCGACAACATCATCTCCGCCCACGGCGCAAACTGGCGGCTTTACGCCTCTGTCGTCAAGCCCGGCCTCCAGCAAGACTTTGCCAGAAACGCCGCCCCGCTCTGGCGCAATGCGCAAAAAGTCCTCGCCCTGATGCTCGCTGAGGACGACGCTGTCCTCGTTCCCTCGCTCTTGCAGCGCTACACGCTCGCCAACCTCTCCGAATGCCTCCTCGACGCCCCGTTCGGGACGCTGGACTCTCCCTCGGCGCCGCTGCACGCGCTCCAATCCGCGCTCAAACCCCTCATCTTCGACCCCGTCTTCCTGAACTTCCCCGTCCTGGACTTCCTGCCCCTGCCCTCGCGCCAGAACGCCCGCAAACTCGCGCGCCAGTTCCACGCCGAGCTTGCAGACACGCTCCGCCACGCCCACGCGGGCCACTCGCATGCTACCCTCGCGCCGGACAGCAGCCTGGGGTGTCGCCTGCTGGCTGCGCGCGAGGCGGGCAAACTGACTGAGACGCAGTTCACGCACAACTGCGTCAGCGTCTTCCTCGCTGGCCACGAGAACCCGCAGCTGCTGCTCACGTCGGCCATGTTTCTGCTGGCCGAGCACCCGGCGTACCAGCGGCTTCTGCGGGCGCAGGTGCGGGCGTGCATGGCCGAGTGCGGGGTTGGGGTCGGCGACGTGTCTGGCGAGGGCGAGGCACAGGAAAACGTCCAGGGAAAAGGCGGGGACGCTGCTGCAGCCCGCCTAGCGCACCTCACCACCCGCCTCGCCGCCCTCCCCCTCCTCACGGCCTCCATCTACGAAACCCTCCGCCTCTACCCGCCCATCAGCCAGCTCATCAACCGGCGCACGACGTGCACAACCGCGCTAGGCGGTCCCGCATCAGGCATCCTCATCCCGGCCGGGACCTACGTCGGCTACCACGCCTACAGCACCGGCCGCGACACCAGCGCCTGGGGCACCGACGCCTCGTCCTTCCGGCCCGAGCGCTGGGGCAGCACCGCCGACGCCGTCGCCGCCATGTATCGTCGTGTGAGCGCGTCGGGCGCGTTTACCGCGTTCCATGGCGGCCGCAGAGCCTGTCTGGGGCAGCGGTTCGCGCTGCTCCAGGCGAGGGTGAGCTTGGCTGTGTGGTTGGCGGGCGCGGAGTGGTGTCTGGATGAGGGCTGGGAAAGGCAAATGACGGCTGCGGGGCCGTTGTATCCGCGGGCGTTGAGGGTGAGGGTGAGGCGGTGATGGTGATGGGACGGGCGTGTTTAAAGTAGCAGTAGTTGTCCATGTATGTAGGTTCAGTCGTCTCGCTCTCAATAATGCGCAAATCTGCTCACGCACAAGAAAAACATGCTCATCCATCCGTCCGTCGCTCGCCGAAACATGCGCAGTGCCGCAGCCAACTCGCGAAAAAAACATGCTCAACCTTCCGTCACGGAAACATGCTCACGCCCGCTCACGATTAGCGATTGGCCGCTCTCAATCTCGCACCCACCTATGTACCCTAACTACGAGTACATAACTACGCACTCCATCCCCATCCCCAAGCTCAACACACACACACACTCTCTCTCTCTCTTCCCACACTCCCATTTCCCCGCGCGTTCGTTTCAGCTCCGACCGTGCGCCGTGCTGTGCACCCCACACCCACCCATCACGGCAGCCATGCCACCCCACTTAGTCTTGTACTCTACTCTACTCCAACGTCTGGGCCAGGCAGGGCAAGGCGACGCAAACAATACGTTACCTACAGTAGGGCTGGGCTGGCTTCTAGAAGGCTATTATTAGCACACGCGCACACCCCAGCGCCATCACTGGTCACGCACGCTGCCGGGTATAAATAAGCAGCGTGCGACACCGCTCAAGATAGGCACAGAACCTGTTGCACGCTCGTAGCAACGCTCGGTGTGTGGGCGGTGTAGAGGGCAGGGCTGGCGCGGGTCTGCTTTGTTTGCGCGTTTGCTTGTTTGCTTTGGTTGGTTGCGCGCGCGCTTGCTTCTGCCCTATATTGGAGCGCGGGTTGCCTGTTCACGCCTAAGGCTCTTAGTTCTTACGCTGTTCTCTGGTCGCGCTTTCAGCCTTTCAGCTCGAGTGCGGTGCTCCGCCTGGCCTTCCTTCACGGTGTAGAGGCGATGATGCGGGATCCTAGTGCTTTAAGGTAGTGGCGTAGTGCTGGGAGGGATGCCTTGAGGCTTTAGTGCTCTGTCAGCGGTTTATGTTGATGTCTTTTCTTTCGTTCCATAGTATCTCACGTCCGGACACGCCTCTCTTCACTTTCACTTTCACTTCCAGTCGCAACCCGAAAGAAAAATATGGCACAGCCAGACTCTCCTATGGGGAGACCAGACTGCACGTCCACGCCCTCACCCTCACCCTCACCCAAACTCCCCTCCGCCACCACAAACCCCTCTCCCGCTCCAGAAAGCACACCCGAAAAACACCCCTCCGACATCGAAGCCGCCTTAACCCCCCCACAAACCCCATACAGCGCCTTCCCGCCCGCCCGCCGCCGCCTCATCCTCCTCATCGTCACCGCAGCAGGCTTCTTCGGCCCCCTCAGCGGCGCCGTGTACCTGCCCTCACTGGTCGTCTTCCAGGACGTCTTTGATGCGAGCGCCGCGGCTGTGAATGCGAGCATTACGGTGTATATGGCTGTTTTTGCTGTCGCGGTATGCTTGCCCCATTTCTATACCTCTCTTCAATCCCCCTACCTCTCTCGCACTCTCGCTCGCTCACTCACTCACCTCCACACAGCCCCTCCTCGGCGCGCCCCTCTCGGACCACTTCGGCCGCCGCCCCGTCTACCTAAGCACGCTCCTCCTTTTCATAACCGCCAACATCCTGCTCTCCACCCTCCCCGCCAGCCTCGCCGCCCTGTTCGTCCTGCGCGTCTTCCAGGCCCTCGGCGCCTGCGTCGTCACGTCCGTAGGCGCGGGCGTCGTCGCCGACGTCTACGAGCCCGCTGTCCGCGCCAGCGCCATGGCCGTCTTCTTGCTCGGCCCGCAGCTGGGGCCTATCCTGGGGCCTGTCATTGGCGGCCAGTTTGCTAGTGCCGGGAGCTGGCGCTGGGGGTTCGCGTTTTTGGGTACGTTGGGTTGGGTTGGGTGTGCTGTGCTGTGCTGTGCTGTGCGGTGCATGAGAGTGAGGATGAGGGCTAACGTCACACAGCACTCGCCTGCTTCCCCGTCTACCTCGCCGTCGCGCTTCTCCTCCCCGAGACACTGCGCTGCATCGTCGGCAACGGCAGCACCAGCATCAGCACCAGCAGCAGCAACTGGTTCATCATCCCACGCCTACGCCTGCGCGCCCCGCCCGCCCCGCGCAGCGACAAGTTCCCGCGCCCCCTGCGCCCGTCCCTGCGCACGTTTGTCCAGCTCCTGCAGTACCCGCCGCACCTGATCGTGTCCGTCAACGGCGCGCTCCAGTTTGCGGGCTTGTACTGCATCTACACGAGTTTTCCGCGCGTGCTGAAGACCGTGTACGGTTTCTCGACTCGGGAGGTCGGGTATGCGTATCTGGCGCCTGGTGAGCAGCAGCACTTCCTCCTTACCTAGCCACTGAGTGTCTTGCTGTGGTAATTGAATTGACCCACGTGTGCGCAGGCCTGGTGATGCTCCTCGCATCCCTCGTCGCAGGCAGAGCCTCCGACGCCCATCGCCGCCGCCTCATCGCCCGCAATGCCGGCGTCAAGCCTCCCCCCGAACACCGCATCCCGCCGCAGCTGCTTGCATTTGCGCTCACGGCCGCGGCCAAGACGGCGTATGGCTGGCTGTGCGCGTACGGGGTGCATGTTGCTGCGAGCCTGACTATGAGTGCGCTTGGTGCGTTGATTGGCCCTTACCCCTTACTTTTGTCTTTGAAACCTGTGTTGTTTTGTGGTGTTTGCGTTGCTGATGTAAATGTGCGCACAGCATCCTTCGGCATGACGCTCGTCTTCGTCACCAGCACCAGCTACCAGACCGAAGCAGACCCCTCGCACGCAGCCAGCCTGGTCGCGCTCGGCGGGCTCCTGCGGAATGCGGCGGGCGCGGTGGCGGCCGCCATCATCAGCCCCGTGCTCGATGCTATGGGCCTCGGGTGGTGCTTTACGGGGTTGGGGTTGCTGGATCTTTGCTGCATGGGCGGCGTGGTCGTGGTTATGTGGAAGGGGGCGAAGTTTAGGGAGGGCTTGGAGGGGCGGCGGTGATGCGGTCGGACTGGGGAGGTGAGGTGGGTGGGTTTTCTCGTTTTTCTTTGGAGGGTAGATGGTTAGACTTTAGAGACGGGGTTTGCGGCTTTGCTATAAGCATCTTGATTAGACGTAGCTGAGAAGTGGTTCAGTAAGCATAACACGTTTGGGGTCGTAGTACGTGTGAAAAGAAACGTCCTCATTGTATGAGACTGGACATTTAAAAGAAAAACCCTATTCGCTACCCTTGGTATTGTACTGGTCCCCTCGAATACTGACTCCGCTGAACTCCGACAGATACCCTAAGCCACAACGCCGATCGCGGTAAACAAGCTGAGCGTTACGTTAACTGTCAACATTCCTCCCTTTATTCTCTCCAGCAAATCAACCCTTTCCGCAGCATCACAGTGAATTTTCCAGTTCCACGCCTTGGTCTGGTGCGCTTAGCAGAGAAAACGGCCTTTTCTGCATTCTGATCATCATGCGCTTCCAGTGCCTTCCCCGTTACATGACTCTGAATCTCTGGGAATTTGCTGTTTGGATTCCCATATCCGTGAAACCCGACCGTGTCTTCGAGAAGTGGAATGCGGGACTGCTTCACATCATCATAGGCCAGATGGCTGACATTCTTGAAAACGTCAACGATGGCGTCGCTGTGCTCGGTTGTTAGGACGTTGGAAAGCGCGCGCCGGAGACTCTGGATCTCCGCATGGTCGCTTGCCAATGCCGAAGAGCGTCTGGTAGCAAGATTGGCTTCGTTGTCGAATAGGCTCATGATGGTATCGTAGATGCCTTTCTCTGCTTGAGAAGAGCCGTCGCCCGGCATTTGCGCATTCTCGCAAAAGTCTTTCAGGAATGCCGATACCGCTGTGTGGATGCCTGTTCTGTGGCTTGGGTTCCCGTGCGCTAGGACGAAGTGCACAAAAGCGGAGTCGAATGTCCACATCGCTTTGTGGAAAGCTCTATTCAGGGCCTTTTGCTCTTGGCTTTGGCGGAGAAAACATGCCACGGATTGCTTGAGGCCGCAGAACCAGCTGAGCGCGAATAGCGAATCGATGTCTCCCCTTAGTGGCATTGTTCCGCGCTGCATTGTAAAAGGTGCTGGCAGTGCCGTGGCTTGTATCGCCAGTGGTGTCGAAGTGTAAACATAACTGATGGTTTGTGGGCTGTAGTGGAATGAAGCCACTGCAGTATCCAAATGCTCGATCAGTTTATTTTTGAATTGAGAGCCCTCCAACGTGACGGCGTGGCCAAAAAAGGTCCAGAGCAGCTTGGTGAGCGTATCCAGTTTGGCATTGTTTGTCTCTTTTGGCATAGCCTTGACCATGCAAAGCAGTCCCTGGCAGATGCTTTCATCGGCGCTAAAGTCACCGCTACTCCAGTTCAGAAGACGTTCCTTCGCCCTGAAGGCCTGGAAATAGTCTCGTACGCAGCGGTGCAAGAAGACCACGCGAGGGTGTTCGAAATAATGCGTAGGCGAGCGTACAACAGAAGCCGGGCATTTTTGGATTCGCTGAACCTCCAGCAGGCCTTTGCAGCAGGCGTTGAGCCGTTTGTGCATCTGGTCGTTGTACCGCTTCGTTGATATTCCGTCGAACGGCTCCAATTCCTTTTCCCAATCTATGTCTTGGTCGACGAACCAGTATAGAAGCATAGGGAGATCCTTCTGTGCTTCTTGAGTGATTAGCATCATCTGCAATGCTTGCTCGCGGCAGACATTCTCTACGCCAAAGAGAACCTTCTCGAATGCCCCGTCTAGGTCAGTAGGGAATTCCTTAAGCATAGCTTGCAGGTCGATAACGCTATCGCCGCTGGCCAATGCCTCTTTGAAGAATTCCACGACAAGACACACCCAAAGAAAGACGCCTTGGGCTGCTTTAGTCGTTTCTTGTACAAGCTTCTCAAGGTCACGATTCCTTGCGACCTCTTGATGGTCCAGATCAGGGCGGAGTGAATCCTCGATGAACGCTCTCATGTCTTCGCTATTGTGGTCTTGCATGTAGACTTTCTCTGAGACCCGCGGCTCGAAGAAGCTTTCGAAGTCTTTTAAAGGCCGGCTCGATGCGCAGATCTTGACGTTAGGCATGGACTGCAAAATCTTGATGAACGCAATGATTTCCGTGGGCTTTCTTTCGTACTCGTCTAGCCCGTCGATGAACAATGCGATTCGTAGGTTTTGCTTCGTGGATATCAGCTCCATCTTTGCGAGAAGAGCTTCTGTTGATGTTGGAATTTTGGTTTTATAAGGGAAAGCCAGAGAGCGTCCATTGAGCGGCCAACACTCTCTGTAAACCTCTGGCATGAGATCCGGACACTTCCACAAGATTTGGTAGATGATAGAGCGGAGGAGGCCCTGTTGATCCTTCTGTAGAGTCTCTTTTGCGGCATTCCAGAAAAAGAAACTCGCGATAACGAGCTTGTAGCCTTTCGCCCATTTCTCAAGTTGTTCACTGGTTTTCTGATGTGTGCTAATGTGCTTCATCAGTGTGGATTTTCCTGAGCCCGGCTTTCCCGATATCCAGTAGAGATTGTCCGGAGATGTCAGCCACTCGGAGAAGTTCGTAGCAGTTCTTGAGGAAGCTTGGGTGTCCCCAAATATCCAGGATGCCGTGTTTTTGTGTACGTCTTTGGTTGACATGTACCGGTCATCCATGGTCTCGAATCGTAATTGCTCCAAGATCTGTTGCTCAGCAGATAGCCTCATTCCGAGCTCTCCTGCGCTGATAAAAGATTGGCAAACCCTCTCTTCTTTCCGGTAGTCGTAGCGTTCGCTTTTGATCGCAATATAACCGGACGTGAGTTGACGCTTCAGTTCTTCAATCTCCTTCGCCCGGGTTGAGTCTAAGCGCCGGTTCTCTGTAGCAAGGCGTTCGATTATTCGGTCCATCTCTCCAAGTTTGGACGGGGAGAAGTACGAGTTCAGCTGTTGGCTTATCCAGTCGAGCCTTTTGAGAAGGAGTCGAATGTCTCTTTCTGTCCACTCACTCAGAAGGACTAGATAGAAATTTTGCTTTATGATTCGTTTGCCTTTGGGCTTGCGTGACTTGAGGACATGAATGAGCTCATTGGAGATAGCGGTGCATCGACTGGCAAGTGATGGTAGGTCCCTGTCATCTTCGTTGTAATTGACGCCTTCGGGAACCATGCGGGTTATCTCTGTGGTGGATGCTTGAATCATCTTCGCAACTTCCTCGAGATCCGGGTACCCTTGCTTTACACCTTGGAAATGAATTTGGCGCATGGGAGATATCAGGTTTGATATCAACCCCAAAAACTGTAGGACATTGCCCGCGAGGCAGACGGCTGCCAGCGGATCCATAACAGACAGTGCACTGATATAGGCTTAGGATGAGTGTTTACTATTCATCAGGAACAATGGCGTTATCCACTGTTGTAGAACTCGCACTCAAAGAAAACACAAAAAAATAAACAAAGAAGTTTTGGTGCGCGAGAGTGAGATCATCGACTAGATTTAAATTAGTGGATGTGCTAGGCAGCCTGCAGCCTAAATCTAGGAAAGTTTATTTGCTCATCTGTCTGACATGCATATGCGTACTACGCAGAAACAGGAATAGCGGAAAGAGGATTCATCAGCGGATAGGGGGCCTTGGCCCACCTCGTCCAATCATACAAAGCGCACATCCCCGTTTCCAAGGTTACGTTACGTCCGGTTTGCCTTAGTAAGGCTTCGCGTAGCATCATAGCCTATTACGGATTAGAATCACCGCGTAGCATTATTGCCAATTACGGCTTAGTACCACCGCGTAGCATTGTTGTCAATTACGGACTAGAACCATAGACTTGCGGTGTGAGGCTGATTATCGGACACCGCAGTCGGTTGTTGTACTACTATATCTACGGATCCGTAAGCACCGTAGATTAGTAGGCTTATGCTATTTCCCCACGTCCGATAGTATAGTGCTGTTGTGCTACGCTTAGCCTTACTACGGCACTAGGTCGAGTACATGATGTTATAGTGTTGGAAATCCAAATTTAGTCTGATATTTAAAGAATGGCTAAATATAAGCTACTTATGCCTGCAGGGGAGAGACCCTATAGAATACATGGAATCTTCCAGAATGAAACACTCGGGTGCCCATGATGCTTGCCAACATTGTCGACTCCTGGCTCCAAACATGTAGGCTTACCTATTCACTTAAAAAATACTTCCGATTGCTGCCGGTGAGAGATTATATACTGTCAGCCAGGATCACTCCGATAACTCTCGTTTATCAGCCTCATTATTTAGTT